ACCAATTTAAGGAAGAAAGTTATTTTAAAATATGTGTGTGCTAAATTATGCCAAAATGGCTTTTTACCTATGATTTGAGGTCTAGATTTATGATGCTGTTCTAACATCCCATAAACAGATAGAGTTATCCACTAACCTAGATGCTAATACAGTGCCATCAAGTGAAAAACAAAGTTATCCTACCTAATCTTAATTCAAATTTAATTTTGCTTTTTATTGTCCTGTCTAAACATTCCATATACGGATGGACAAATCTCCACTAGAAGACGCTAATGTAGTACCGTCAAAAGAAAAGCATACTGAATAAATAGTGCTGGTGTGACCGTCTAATTGAGTCTGTTATTGTCCTGTCTGAATATCCCACAAACGGATGGTGTTATCATAACTAGCAGACGCCAAGAGAGTACCATTAGGAGAGAAGCATACTTAACTTACATAACTAGCATGACCATCTAATATGGCTTATTAATATCCTGTATTAACATTCTATACCCGGATAGAATTATTGTCACTACCAGATGCTAAAGTAGTATAATCAGTTGAAAGGCTGGCTGTAAGAACACTACTAGTATGATCAAATAATTTTTGTTTTTAGTATTGTGTCCTAATATCCCACAAACGGATAGTGTTATCATAACTAGCAGATGCCAAGAGAGTACCATTAGGGGAGAAGCAGATTTAACTTACATAACTAGTATGACCATCTAATATGGCTTATTATTATCCTGTATTGACATTCCATAAACGGATAGAATTATCATAGCTACCAGACGCCAATGTAGTACTATCAGAAGAGAAACATACTGACTAGACATAACTAGTATGACCATTCAATTTCTTTTGTTATTCTCCTGTCTTCACATTCCACAAACGAACTGAATTATCATTGCCTCCAGATGCTAATAAACTACCATTAGGAGAGAAGCATACTGATAGAACACCGCTAGTATGACCATGTAAATTAAATTTTGATTATCCTGTATTCACATCCCACAAACGAATAGAATTGTCGTCACTGCCAGATGCAAGAGTAGCACCATCAGGTGAGAAGCATACTGAGTACACAGCACTATTGTGTCCATCCATTTTTAATATTTATTGATTAGTCTAAATGCTCCATAAACGGACAGACTAATCTTCACTACCAGAAACTAATGTAGTTCCGTAAGGAGAAAAGCATACCGAATGTATGTTACTAGTATGCCCAGTTAATTTGGTCTGTAATTGCCCTGTTATACAATCCCATAAACAGATGGACTTATCATTACTACAAGATGCTAATTAAGTGCCATCAGGAGAAAAGCTTATTGAAAAAACAGTACTAGTATGTTCATCTAATTTTGCTTTCTATTTGCCTGTCTTAATATCCCATAAATGGATAGATTTATCATCACTACCAGATGCTAATGTAGTACCATCAGGTGAGAAGCAGATTGATAGAACATAACTAGTATGACCATCGAATTTGGTTATTTTTTGCCCTTTTTAATCCCATAAACGAATAGACTTATCATTACTACAAGATGCTAAAATTGTGCCATCAGGTGAGAAGCATATTGATAGAACATAATTAGTATGACCATCAAATTTGGCTGTTTATTGTCTTGTATCAACTTCCCATATTCGAATAGACTTATCTGCGCTGCCAGATGCTAATACTTTACTATCAGGAGAGAAACATACAGAATAGACAGAATTCGAATGACCATCAAATTTGGCAGTTTATTGTCTTGTATCAACTTCCCATAGTCGAATGGACTTATCTGCGCTGCCAGACGCTAATGCCTTACTATCAGAAGAAAAGCACACAGAATAGACAGAATTCGAATGACCTACAAATATGGCAGTTTATTGTTTTGTATTAATATCCCATAATCGAATAGAATTATCTGCGCTACCAGATGCTAATAGTTTACCATCATGAGAGAAGCAAACAGAATAGACAGAGTTCTAATGTCCAACAAAAATAGATTTTTATTATCCTGTATTAACATCCCATAAGCGTATAGTTTTATCATTACTACCAGATGCTAATGTAGTACCATCATGTGAGAAGCATACAGATTAGACAATACTATTGTGACCATCCATTTTTTATTATTAATATCCTGTCTCAATGTTCCATAAACGGACAGACTAATCTTCACTACCTGATGCTAATTTACCATCACAAGAGAAGCATACTGAATAAACAGTACTAGTATGACCATCCAATTTCAATATTTATTATCCTGTCTTAATGTTCCATAAACGGATAGACTTATCATAACTACCAAATGCTATTATAGTGCTATCAGAAGAGAAGCATATTGATAAGATATAACTAGTATGGCCAAGAAATTCATTGAATTCATGAATTTTCAATTTCTTCCAACAACAATTAAATAATTGTGCACCATTCACATTCATTCCGCTAATATCTACATTATCAAATTTCGATCCGCTCAAATTACATTTCGCAAGATTAGCACCAATCAAAGTTGTTTCTTAAATTCTAATATCCTCAAAGCTTTGTTCTCTCAGATTAACTTTCATCTCAACTAATAAATTTAGTGAATTTGATCCACATTATATAAATTAGTCATCATAGGCGGTAAGACGAACAATAAATTTTAAAAATTAAATTATTTTTTTATCGTTTGATATTTTTGTAATTAGATCTTATCTAATTTCTTTTGAAACTTCTGTAGAATAATTCCATTTATTAAATTAAATGTCAAGAATATTTTATAAAACATGAGTCATTAAACTCAGGTTTTCTTTTATATTTTTCATTTTTTCTTCTTTGTTCATTTGCTATGAATAATTTAGATCTGAAAAATATTGTTCGAAATACTTTTTCTTATTATTCTTTGAAAGAAACCCAATACAATTAGTAATCTTTCCCTTTTTAAACATTTTAATTAATATATCGAATAAATATTCGTCAAAATCTTTTGATAAAACTAAGATCTCATATATATCTTCCTTCTTTTCATTCTTCTTTCTCTTTTTTTCAGCCACTTCGATCCTTTCTTATACTATGTGTCTTATATCATTCTTAAATACTTCAAGATTATATATCTTTTTAATTATTAAAATAAATTCCTTAATTAAACGGTCTGAACTGTTTTTGAATAAAATCTTTGACTCTTCTAAAAATTCATCTGTTATTTCTGTTTCAAATGAGATCTCTTCTTTAATTACTAATAATAGTTAAGAAAGCTAATTTTCATGACCTTTCTGATTATCACAAAACTTTTAAAGCTATGTCACTAATTTTAAAAAATAGTTGTCCGAATTTTCTTTTAAGCTATCCTTTATACACCTAGAGCAAAGTTTAAATTCTTTATTTCTTATATTTTTCATTATAAAGTTAATTCTAATTTAGTAAAAGGAAGCCATTATTTTCAGTTTTGGTTTCAGATCAGTTTCAATTCTCTGTTCCCAATATTCCTTTCTTTTTGTCTTATTTAAGGCCATAGAAAAATTATTCTAAGCTTATTTAACTTTTATATGATAATAATTATTTGAGCCAATTTAATCCATTTCTATTACTTGAAATTCAAATTAAGGAAATAAAATTACTTCCCCTTCTCTCGGAAATTGCGAGTGATACTCCTCAAGTTTAAAGTAAGGATGAGGATTGTTTTAATCTAATTAAATTTCAAATAATATTTTGTATTTGCTTTTCAAAAAAAAATTGGTTGAGCTTTGATTAGTTGAAGTACTGGTTAAAGAATTCCAAAATATACTTTTACTTTGTTCTTTGCATTCAGTTAATTCTTTTACAATCTAATCATAAATTATCTTGTCAGGTTCTGTAAAACTTATACCTCTATATAATAAACTCACAGATAAGCTTAGATAATTTAAATTTTAATAACCATAGAACAATGTGCACATGATTTATTCCAATCCTTCATAGTTTGATTAGGATAATTTCTGATTCAACTTCTTATAGAAATTAACAGATTGGTCTTCTCTTGTATAATAGTAAATTAGTTTCTCAAAATTAGTGAATATCTCTCCTGTTTTTTCATATTTTAATGTTTCTTATAGTATTACAGACTCTTAAAATGTTTGTAACAAGTTTTAGGGTATAAGCTAAACTATTTCTGAATTAAGTAATTCTTCCTAATCAGCAAAATTCTCCTATAATTTTTGATTTATCATTAAGAATCTAATACTTATTTCCTAAAGTTAATGATTGTACATAATTTCATTGGAACTTTATTAAATAAATTATAATGTCAAAGATTATTGAGCTTCTAGGAAATCTAAATTTGATTTTACATATTTTTCCACATGTTAAATGCCAGAATCTATTATAACTAATAACTCATATTTATTTAAAAACATAGAGAAATGTTTTCGAACACTCCTACAAAAGACAATTAAATTATTGTTTAAAGGTTTTTATAAACATTCTTCAATTAAAGAACTTGAAATCATTACAACAATTTTATCTCCTTCTTATTGATTAGGAACAATTTGTAGAGCATCATTAATCGAATCAAAAAAGCTACACTCATTAATAATTTTTAATAATCGTGTTTAATATTATTAATTCTCTTCATTATTAATTCTCTTGTCAACCCAAACTAATTTTCTCATTCTTCAATTTAGCCAAAATGGCTTTAAAATTTATTTTAATAGAATTACATATTTTGAGGAAATTGAATAAAGAAGAAAATATTCTATTTAATATTATTTTTATTATTTTATCCAATTTTATGTTCTTCAAATTTGACTGTTACATTGAACCAAATTAATTCCCCTTTCAATTTGTGGATAAATAAATTTATTGCTTTTTAGATGAGAAATCAAAAAAGTAAAGAGGAGCTGAGAATTTTTCTAGTTTCCTTTCAATTAAACTAACTGTTGCAAACTGATAAATAAAAAATCCAGAGAATTAATTCGTAAAGAATGTCTTACAGATTCTTTAATTTTCAGTAATAAAAATAGATATAAATCAAATTTAATTTAAAACGACAATTTTATATATTGATTTAATTCAAATTAATTATAATATTTTATATTTCAAAGCAATTACAATTGTTAATTAATTCCTAAATAAATATCTTTAACAATAATATATTAGAAGAAATAATGTTCTAGCAAATTTACTGCTACCTTTATAAATAGATTAAACGTATATTTTTGCATAAAAAAAATTTTACTTTAGGTCAAATCTTGTATTCCCAAATATGCAAAGATATCAAATAAGGCTTAATTAATAGATAATTATGGAATCTCACTTCTCATTAACCATTTTATTGAAGATAGAATAGGAATACATTCAAGGAGATCACCTTTACGCAAGAAAGTTAGAAATTCTTAATAATTTTATTTCAATATTATTAAAAATATGATCTATGTTAATTCGTTCAAATCCCTTATGATTAAACTTAAATAATAATTAAAAATTTAATATGAAATACTGATTGATTCACTTGATAAATTTATGAATTCCTGTTTATTAAAGTTATGCTTTGAAATCATTTTACAACAATTAATGCGAATTGAGTTCTTAAAATTATTTTTTCTCTTATTCTGTTAAATTATGGGAATTTTTGCATTTATCAACTAATTGTTAGATGAATAACTGCTGCTTTTTACTGTGTTTTACTAAACTTTCATAGTCAAGAAGTACAATGTCAACAACTTTTAAAACTTTCTTGATTGCTTCTTCTGATTTCATTTAATTCTCCAGCAATTAGTATTTCTAATATTTAAATAAAAAAATACTGTTTCTTATAAAGAATTAATTAATTTCTATTGAATAACATTTGATTTATCTTTTGATTCTACATTTTCCTATTTTTATTGGATATTTGATGTTGGATTTAAGGCAATTTAAATTGATTATTAAATTTCTTCTGGGGATTCAATCAAACTATTTCCTTCTTCGTTTTAACTTCCTTCCTCATCTTGAATTTAATTTTATGAAACATTTTATGAATTTTCATTTTATGAATTCTAGGATTATGATCTTTTTTCCTTCTCTTTTTCCTAATGCAGATTTGATTTGTCTTTTGATTCAAATAAATCTACACATGTTTGTACAAAGAAGACAGCATCAATTGAGTTTGTCAAGATTTTATCATACACTTTAGTTTTGGAATTCACTTCTTTAACTCGAGCCCCAATTTAAGATATAGATTCAGCTCCTAAAAACCGGGTTGTCAAAGTTGACCAATCATCTAGCTTAACTACTTTATATACCAAATTTCAAATTTAGTCCATCAAGCATTTGAGTTCTAGAATTATATGAAAAATTAGTGATGATAGTCTTTCTTAGTTTTATGTAGAAAGAAATTGATGAATTTGATTTTTTTAATTGAAAATATCTCTTGATGTATGAAAGGTCTTATGAATTATTTGATTTTTTCATATAGCTGTATAACAAGATGGTTACAAATGATTTCATTTTACTAGTTACACCACTTTGTATATGAAATTTTTATTGCTAAATATTTACTATTCTATACTGAATAATGAAGTAATAATTGTTCAATAGGAAGCTAACTTGTTTTCATTAATTCAAGTATTTCTAGAAAATACCCCATGATATTGACATCTTTCATAAGGTTGACATCCTTTTATTTTGAAGGAATTTCATACCTTTTCATACTATGGATCAATAAGATTAGGAATTTTTTCTTTCAATTTGCTTATAAACTTAGTGTCATCATCGATTTCCATATTATTAAATAATTGAATTAATGGATATTTTAAAAAAGGTTTTTCAAAGCATCACTATCCCTTCAATACAAGGGTATGACTTTGAAAAGGATTGCGTTCTTACAGTGGGCTAGTGGAGAGTTTACAATGCCAAGAATAAACAAAGGCTGGGTTCAGTTTGGCTATGCGATTAGAGCAAATAGTTTTAAATTGCCAAAAAAGAATACATCAGTATGATTAAATTAAAATACCCTGGAATTCTGCAAGTGCTTGAACCCCTAGTGGAAGAAAAATCTCATATAGGATTTGTCACTGAGAGAATAGAATGTACTCTAAGTCAGGCCTTAAACGATAGCAAATATGTATTGTCTGATATAGAGATGAAATTGCATGTATTGGAAATTGTAGATGGATTATAATTTTTGCATAATAATGTTCGACAAGTTCACTTAGATTTACAACCAGAAAAAATTTATTTTACGGACAATGGAAAATGGAAGATTGGAGGTTCCCCATTTTAATAATAAATTTTAAACTCTGTAGTTGAATGTCAGATTAGCTCTGGATATAATATATTGTACACAGCCCCTGAAATAGTAAATTATTGTAATTTATTATAGCTTTCATCGAAGTAATAATGTGGATATTCAACAGATATGTTTTCATTAGGAATGATCATATTGCGTTTAATGAGATTTAAAAATAATCGTGTGCCTTTTCCAGAGACTCAAGATTAAGATACCTATCTAAAATTTATCAAGAGTTTAGATTTAATGAGATATAAGGATGTACATCAGGAATCATTTTTATAATTTTTGGGGTTAATGCTATCTACCCAAATGAATAATAGACCTTCATTATCTCAATTTGTTCAAATTGAATGGTTTAAAGATCCATATTTAATTACATTTAACATATTAAACAAATTACCAGAGTACGATATGCAATAATAAATTGTGTTTTTTAAGGGATTATCAAGTGTTATTTTTAATTTTGAAAAATCTATTCTTAAAAAAAGGCTTTTACCAATTGTTCTAAGCCTAACTCAATATGATCATTTGTTAACTGCAATTGTATAAATTATTCTTGAGACTATGCGAAGAGAGGATATTATAAACTCAACTTAATTTTAATCAGAAATTTGGCCTAAACTTAAGTATTAATATAAAATTTATAAGATAAATCTTTTCTGGAAAGGAAATATCTGCCCAAGTGTTGTATGATTTGGTTCTTGCTTTGCCTGTCTTTCATAAATATATAAGTCAAAAAGAAACTTAGGAACACTTGATACCTTTATTGATAAAGTGCTATGAATGCAAAGTCCCCAAATTACAAGATTTAGGAATCAGAGTAACAGAATTTGTTCTTGAGAATAATGATTATACGTTTAGCAAAACAAAAATTTTGCCACGAATCTTTGTACTTGCATTGGATTAAAACATAGAAATTAGAAAAACAACACTCATTTGTATATATAAAACATTAAATGTTATGGATACTGATTTAGTTTTGAATTCATTAGAAAAAGTAAAGGCATTGGGAACAGATCGATAATTAAATTAGATTGTCTTAAAAATATATTAGTCATTATCTAAAATTTTATCAATCGATTAAGTGTCACAAAAATTACTACCTTAAATAACTCCTTATTTAACTGATCCAACGCTTTCAAAATAGGAATTTAATGAATATTATGACACCTTATAATAAATGCTAGCCAGAATTAAAAGTGAAAAAGAAAAGAACTTGAGTGACTAAAGTATCAATGTTATACAGGTTGACTATAAATTAGCTTTACCTGAACCTAAGAGATTAATTGAGAATAAAAATGTATAGTTTGAATTTCTAAATCAATTTGATTAAAGGTTAACGTCTATTCCAGATAAACCTGTAATTTAAGAAGCCCCTAACTAAACACCTTCTTAATAATAAAAAGATCAAGTTCCATAATCTTAAAATTAATAAGTACCTATTATGTAGCCACCAACTTAAGCAGCATTTCCAATTTAAGAAAATAATGGTTTCAATACTATCCAACTAGGTCAGCCTGTAACTTTAGGAATGCCAATTGATTCATTTTAATAGAGTTCTTCTCTTAATATGTTTAATTAACCTGGAGCATTTATTATGGACAAACCCCCCACCCGATAAATTTAATAGTTGAATTAACCTACAATATAGCCTGCTTAATAGTAGGGCTTCACTTTAGAATTTAATACAACCTAGCTTTAATAATAAACAGCCTTTGGATAATAATAATAAGGTGCCTTTCAAAATTCAAGTTAATTAAATTAAGGGTAATCAAATCAAGCATCTTAATAAGATGTAAAAAAATTAAGTACACGACCCTTATACTCAAATAATAACCATTCATAATAATAGTAATAATAGTAGTCATAATAATAACAATAACAATAATAATAATCATTTTTTTAATAACCATAGAAATAATAAAATAATGTTTTTGAAAAAACTAATGATCCTTGGAGTGCTTTTAACTAGGGTACCACTTAAGATCCTTGGGCGTAATTTTAAAATCCGGTAATTTAAAGTTAAAATTAACCTTAAAATTAAAATTAAAGCTAGGGCGTTTGGGGAATATAAAATCAATAAGCCTAATAATAGTCTTAAAACCAACAATCATTAAAGAATAAGTATGCCAGCTTTGATGAGTTAATATGAAGTATTTTACAAATTATATTATAAAACTTAATCAAATTTCTAATCTTAAAGGTTAAGAAATCCAAAAGAAATAAAATATTTCGCTTCCTAAAATCACAACAATTAAAATAATTGATGAAATTTATACACATTTCAAATCGCTATCATAATCTCTAATAAATGGATAAGATAAATAGTACATTTTCATCAATTATTTAGCAAATGCAAATGCCAATAAAGTACCAAATACATAAGAACCTAGGATTCCTATGTAATCAATAATTTCCCAATACCATGCTTACCAGAAAAATATGATTAATCCACCAAGTATCATTCCAACCATCTAATATCTCCCTGAACCAGAATAACTCCATTTATCCCACTTTAATAAAGTATACCCAAACAGCACTCCATCAAAGGTTGAAGGTACTAAAACACCATTAATATGCAATTTAGATGTATAACAACAGCTAAGTAATGTGCCTCCAAATCCACCAAATATACTTATCATCCATAATTTCTTCCAACCTAACAATTTTTCTACGTACGACCCAAATATTGCAACAGCAACCTAGCATGAAAAATAATTTATGAAATTTGAATATAAGAGAAGACTTAAAAACAATCGTTAAATCTCTTATTCATATTTAACCCTGTATGGGTAAAGCATGCCTAAAGAATAGAGAGACTATGAATAAATTAATAATTTATACGTTTTAATTGGGTTCAAGAAATTATCCACCATCCTTAATATCACCACTTACTATTAAAATGATAAAGTAAAATGAATTTAGTATGATAAGAATTGTTGTCATGCTTTATAATTTAAAAGTTGGAAGACAGGTGTAAGTTATCATCTCAGTAAATTTCTCATCTCTTGGATATTTTAAAGAATTCTAAAAATTTACTACATTATAAGTTTGAAATACTGAAGTATGGAGGATCTGAATCTTAACTTCTCCAAATGCTCATCAAAGCTTAAGGTGTAGGTTATCCAGTTGATGATTAGGCAAAACTCATTAATAAATATTTTTATTATATTAAATTAATTATTTTTAATTACCGCCAAAATACAATGAATGATTAAGATCAGATGGACTTTTACAGAAATTTGCACTTCTATTATAAGCATCTCTTTCCAATCCAAATGATTGTAGACTGGCTTTCATATGCCAAAGATAATTAACCTGAATTGAGGTATTTTAGTAGAAGAGAATTTTCTTTTGAAAGGAGTATCGATGGAGAAACTTTTTACTAAAGATATTAGCAATTTCAAAATGCTTATGGTCTTTAAAAATTCCTTCTGGATAATAAATAAAATGATTAAACATCCACTCTTATAAAATATGATATTGGAGCAGTTTTTGACAAATTGCCTAAAAAGGGTGAAAAGCTTAAAGCAATGGAAAAGGAAATAGTTATTGATATTGATATGGATGCTTATGATGAAGTGCGTACTTGTTGTCAAGGAGCAAAAATTTGTGAAAAATGTTGGAAATTTCTTTAAGTAGCTTGTGATATTTTGAGACCTGCTTTATTCCAGGATTTTGGGTTGGAACATATTCTAGCAGTTTATTCAGGTAGAAGAGGAATACATTTGTGGGTTTGCGATAGTCATATAAGAAAATCTACAAATGAAGTTAGATCAGCTATCATAGGGTATCTCAACATAAATACTGGTAATGCAGATGCTGAAGAAATCATAAGAGAAGTTAAATAAGAGAAAGTTGAAAAATTACACCCATCTATTTAAAGAGCATATTTTATAGCGTAATAATTTTTTAAACAAATTATCTTAATTGATCAAAACAGTTTAAAAATTGAGAATGTAAAGAAAAAGATTTTAACTATTTTAAAATAAACTAAAATACTTAATCCTAAATTAGAGAAATCCATTCAGGAAATTAATGATTCTAGTTAAATTTGGGATCTCATTTGTTCTTAAGATTCAGAAAGACTTGAAATTGCTAAATTATAAATAATTTTAATGTGCTTATATCCTCGTCTTGATGCACATGTCAGTACAACAATTAATCATTTGTTAAAAGGACCTTTTAGTATACATCCAAAAACATGTAATATTATTATGATTATTAGAACGTGTTTGCGTTCCATTCAATCTTAAAAATAGTTCGCAATTTAATCCATTAGATACACCTACTTTACCTAGTATTATAAAACAATTAGCTTAATTGCCAGATGAATTAAAATAAAGAGAAAATGAGAATAAGATCTTTCCATTTTTAGGAAAGGAAATACCAAGTTTGTCACCTTATATTTAATTATTTGAAGATTTTATCTCTAAATATAATAAGCCAAAAATTAACTGATGAATTAAATATTCAAACCAAATTAATCATTTAATTAAAATATCAGACAAATTATTTTTTATTTTCATCTAATCAAAGACTGTCCATTCCATTTGATTTTAAGTACTTGCCCTGGCGTCTCTTAAATTTCTTTGCAAAAATACACCTTTGATTCTATTTGAATAGGTTGTTGTGTAAGATTTAACAAATTATGAGATTCGATTTAATTATTATTTATCTTAAATACTCGACCAATTAGGCAAATAATTTATATGTAAACTATCATCTTATAAGCAAAACTAAAAATTATGCATATCTTACTCTAAATAATACTCGTTGTGCTTGTTCCCATTATAAATCTAGCAACGCAAAAGATAGGTTACTTAATTAAACTTCCTCAGTTTTAGTTGGATCTAACTCGTATTTGTCATTGTTTGACTTGAACAAGAAATCAAAGAAAGAATCTGTCAATTTATCATTTAATAAGCTGGCTAAGTGTTTACAACAATCTGACAGCATTTTATCAATAGTATAGAATAGAAAAGCCTAAAAGGTTATTATATACATTCACTTGTTTTCCAAAAAGTAAACTTAAGTAGTCTTGATATTTGAAATCCTTATTTTTAATTGAGTAAAGGAGAGCATGCTTAAATAACTTGTATCTAATTTCAATTATTTTCTTTTTTTCTTTTTCATTCAATTCTAAAGTTACAAATTACAATACTTTCAAATTTCTCATTTTATTCAAAATTCTAACTAATTTAATGTGCCAATTCAATTCTTTGATACAACGAATAGAAATATCGAAAAAATAAATATATTCCGGATGTTCCATAAATGATTTTTCCTTGGGGTTTAAAGTTACTTTTAGTGTTTGAAAGTAATTATAATGAGTTTCTTGGAAACACATCTTCTTCATCAATAAGAGGTGATTTAAGAGTTTTGATTCTCTATAGTTCATAATCAGATTCTTCAAAATCATCTGAGTCCTTTCTATTGTTACTATTTGAATTATTGTTATTCAAATGAGATTTTTTAGTTTATTCTTATTCAATGTTAAACTAATCTATATAGGAGAATGATGAATTAGTAACGTACTATTCAATAGTTGATAAGTCTCCTCTCAAAAGTGAAAAATTATAATTCTGATCAACCAGCTCAAGATTAAAGTATCCTTAACATAGTTTCTAAAATAAATCAAGAATCCACTCTGATTCATTTAAATTTGATTATTCTACATAATACTTAAAGATCTCAAATGTTTCTTCCAAAAGAGTTTTATTGGAAATATATAAACTAAACACAGTGGTTTAGTCAATTTCATTGATATTAACCTATTTTCCATGACTGAGTGGTTTAATTGTAGTTAATTATACCAAAGAGTTCAAATATTCTGCTTAAATTGCAGTATTTGCTTATATTAATGTGAATTTTTCGTCAGGTTCTTTTAGAAATCTTGAAGCGCAAGTATACTACTTTTCATTTTTCTTGAAATAAAAGGATCGATGATCTAAAGATCTTGAGAAATTGTTTTTTTAAGTGATTTTCCATGTTTGATTTGCAATATCTCTAGATTTAATCAATTCCTAACATTTTTGATTCAATCTATCTCTTAGGATAGGAGAGCACCCCACTGGATTCTTCTACCATAATGTTATAACTTCCTCTTAATCTTTACTATTGGTTTTGTAGACTGATTGTAAACACTTAATTTGGAGTATTTTCCTTATTTGCTGTTCAATAGCTTATTGGTTGTTTCCTGCAATCAATTAATCAAGTAACTATTTTATAGATAAATTGGTACTTTAATAGTTCTTCTGTAGCAATTAATATTGACATCATATTCGAACATTTCATCTTCTATTTTGAACAGTTACTCCTCAAAACTGTTTTTTCTCATGATTGAAAATGAGTAATCTTCACTACCAAATGGTACAGAAACCCATAGATGATTTAAAACATTTGGTAATTTTGGGTCTTCCTTCATTATGTTTGCATAACCAGGATGCATTCTCACATATGAACCAGTGATATGTTCAGCATTCTTAAAGTCTGTATCTTTAAGTGGTTTAAATAATTAAGTTTATTGCCGACGTGCAGGTGCTCTAGTGAAAATAGCAATTCTGAGTTCATCTATAATCTCTTAATCAATCCATGTGTGTGATGACAAAATATCCATAAGCTCGTATTGAGTGATTATGCATTCTGTATATAAATGAATGACATTTACAAATTCATAAAAGAATTGATTAAAATCAGATTCTTATGTAAAATGGCTAAAACACTTTAATCTTAGTTTATCCAACACAATAATTTCATTTTTAATCTCTCTGCTTACTTGTAGTTAATAAGCGTTATTGTAAAAATATTAAGTATAATAAGCTTAATATGATTATATTTCTTCCATGGTAGGAGGATTGGGCTTTACTCTTTTGGTTTTGATGTCATCCCAATCCACTTATATTTTCTGCTTCTACTTCTTCAATTTGAATGCATTTTGAATTTCTTTAAGTGCTTCTGGATCATCTTTAAATTAGATTGATATTAACTAGAATATGATATAAAAGTTATAATTACATCTAATTATTACTGTTGGTCGAGGTTTCCCTTGAGAATCAGATTTTTAGTTTACTCTAGTAGATTGATTCTATTCTTGTCTTGCCTAAAAATGGACTCTAATTATTAGATCGCATCATTTGATTTGATGCGGGCATCATGATAAAATAATTTATTCAGATTTTCGATGACAGCTGGCTAATCAGAAAAGAGCTTTTTTATCTCACTGTAATAGAGAGATATATTTTATCTGTTCTATTTGTAATCCTTCAAAAGTACAACGAGCTATCTAAATATTTCATATTAAAATTTACTAATATAATGATGGATAGTCTCTTCTCAATCTGTTGCAAAAAGCTTCGCAATTTTTCAATCCTCTTTGTGTTTATTCTTCTTCTAGGTAAGAATTATTGTTCTGACCTTCACTCATAGTAATATAAATATATAAAAATTAATGATTTCTATCTCTGATTTGATTCGTTGACTTTTGTTATGAAGAGATACCTGATTATTTAATTATCATATAATAATTTGAATCAAAAATATCCATTGTCTTGAAATGCTTGATGCAATGCATTAGAAACATTAAATTAAAGTAGCTCTCCCAACCTCTAATATTCTTGTCTTAATCTAGTGTTTTCGGCATGTGATTCTCTTAATGCTTTTTCCAAACTATGGATCCTCTCAGTTTATTGAATTCTTTCATTCTATAAATATATTCAAATATTTACTTCCCAAGCCTGACGATCAATTTTCTATTCATTTAGCAATTAATTTAGAGAATCAGATTGCATTTTTCTTTTTTGCTCAATCTGTGCATTTAACGTGTTGATTTCACTTTCATATTTCTCCACTGCGGATTCTTTAACCTTGGCCTATTGCTTCAAAGAATCGCATTTTTGTCTTAGCTCTTAATTTTATCGAATAAAATCTTTATTTTAATTTTTCAGTCTCTCCAATTCGTCATACAATACTTAAACTTCCTATTTTCCATTTAAGATTCTTTCATCATATTCCCTTGCAGCATCTGCATTCCTCTTGATAATTAAGTCCCTGGCCTCCTCCATAGCTCTTATTTTGGCATCCAAAGTTGTTGAAACTATATGGTATTTCTGGTACTCTTCCTCTTAAATTCTTCTGCCAAGATCTCTCAATTCTTAATCATAAGTTAATTATAATTAAATTTATCTTTCTTATAATGATCGCAACTCCTCCTCCAATATCCTATTCTCTTATTCAAGTTATCTGGATCTATCCTCCACCGATCTGCATCTATTCTCCCAATCTCTCACTAAATCTCTGGCTCTAAAGTTATTTTCATTCAACGCTCTGTCCAAATTCGTCCTGTGTTTCTTCTCTAACTCATTCAAGATGAATTCATTCTATCTGATCTTTTCCTCCATCGATCTTGTTACATCCTCTTGTTGTCTTTCCATCAATTAATATTCATCCCTTAATTTCTCAATCTAATATAAACTAGCCCTATTATCGGACTCTAACTATCTAGTTTTTGCATCCAGTTCTTCCAACAATCTCGTATCTGCCTTGTCCCTCCTCATTAATTCATCTAACTCTCTCTCCATTCTTTATTTAATGTGCATTGTATGTATTCTCTCTTACTCCAACATTTATTCCAAATGTTAAACTACTGATGCTCCAGCCAATCCACTAATCATTGGTTCTTCCTCCTCTACAACATCCTCATCAATTGATAGAATTCTATCCTTCTAGATTGGATTACTAGCCCTATGTTATTCTAAAATATCCTCTATCGCTTCTTGATCCTATTATATTATCTCTGCTCCATTTAAATCCAGGTACAGAATTGCCTTATTGTCTCCAACAGCTGATAACAAGAATTCTCCTCCCTTCTTTCCAAGAGAATTCCATCTCAAGTCAAGTGAAAGTAGAGTAGTGTTTTACCTTAAAGCATTTGCCAAAGGTTCGATCTGATCTCCAGTTAACTTATTGTTAGATAAACCAATGTGTTGAAGTGACTTATTTGAAACTAAGAATCCAGCTAATGTTTCTATTCCAACTCCATCAGAACCTATCTAATTCCATTCCAATGATAGAATCTTTAACAATGGGCATCCTCTTAATGCTGTTACAATGTCCAAAAATCTAAATTTTAATTGTATATATACCCTTAAGCTGTAATATTATTTCCTCTCAATACTAAACATTTCAAATTTTTATTGTTTTTCACGTAATTTGATAATAATCTTGCTCCATCATCCCCAATGTACATTTCAGATAAATCTATCCTTTGGGCATTCTTTAACTACTCCAACATTGTTTGTAACGATATACTCATTTCAAATTTAAATTTTATATTATTATTGATATGAATAATTAATCACTTCTATTTATTTTTCAATCTATTAATTGTTTAACACGATTCTACATCATCCAAACCATCAATGATACTTGATGATTTAAATTGACAGTTTGGCTTTTTTTATTCTTTCATCTTATTTTCTTTATCCTTGTTTCCTTCACTCTTTTCTTTCTCCTTATTCAAAACGGCGATATACTTTTCTTTTTATTGAATATTTTTTTGTAAGGTTCTGATATCTGCAATTTTGGCCTCTCTTTACAAGCATAACTCATGAATTTGTTTTTCTAATTGGATCTAGGCATTCTCACTTTTAGTAAGATCGCTCTTGAGTTTATCTATTAATGAGAGATTCTCATTTATTTCATTTGATTGATTTGTTACGACATTCATAATTTCCTTTTATTTTTCTTTGAGTTTCTCATAATTACCATTAATTTCTCTTAGCTAAACTTCTAGTTTATCTTTTTCTGTTGTTAATTTTTAAGAATGAGCTTAAAGCTACCCTAGTTCAATTTTAAAGAGATTGTTTTGATTTCTCAATTCAAATAAATTTTTTTCATCTTCTTTATGTCTCAATTAAAATTCAAAGTTTAATTTTTCATATTCTGAGACTTTATGTTCTAATTCAACTACTTTTTTTTCTAGCTCTGCTATTCTTCTTTCTTTAGTAAAAAGGTTATTTCCTAATTTTAGATTAACAGCCATTTTAAATTATTAAATTCTTTTCTATAATGAATAAAAGTTAATAAGCGCAAGAAGTTTACAAAATCATATTAGTCGGAGACCAAGGTGTAGGAAAATCCTCAATCTTACTCAGATACACAAAGGATCTATTTTAAAGAGATTACAATGTTACAATAGGTCTTGAATTTGCTAGTAAAAAAGTGACGATTCAAGATACTGCATTGACACTTTAAATATGGGATACTGTAAGAAATCTATAATTTATATTCGGTAGGCAGGCTAAGAAGCTTTCAGAAGCATTGCTAGATCTTTTTATAGAAATTCTGCTGCCATCATTATTGTATTTAAATTGACAAGGTTTATTTGATAATTTATTAAAGCCGCGAGTCATTTTTAAGTGTTCCAGGATGGGTCAAAGATATCTAAGACAATAGTGATTAAGGAGTTGTAATTTCAATGGTTGGGAACATGTCAGATTTGGAAGCAGAGAGAACAGTGTCAAATGAGGAAGCAAGATAAAAGGCTATGGAATATAATGCTCTATATTTTGAAACTTCAGCTGCCACTGGATAAAATATTGATGATGTAATTTGTATAAATCTAATAAACACGTAGATCTTTATTAATACTTTGGAGAAAGTGTCACAATAAAATAATCCCATAAGAACTAATTCTGAATAAAATGTTAGAGAATCTCTACATTTATCTCAAAAGTATACATAGCAAAGCTTTGGAAAATAGGAATAAAAAGGAGGAAAAAACTCACAATAAGAGGCCAACTCTGACAAAGGCTGTTGTTGAATTATTTAGCAATCTTAAGGTTTATTGGTTATTGATATAACAATATTATTATCATTAAAAAGGAGAATTTAATTAAGTGTCTTCAAAGCATTCAAACTCTTCCAAACTAATATTGAGCCTCTCCAAGTTCGACTTGACTATCTCATTGTGTTTATAATTTTGATACAAGTTATAAAAAGCTACTGTATTTTAATATTCGTTGCAATAGATTTATTTGATATTCCTTATTAATCCAAGGTAAACTTACGACAAATCCTAATAATTAAAAAAAATATTGTATTTTTATTTCAATTTATAAAACTCATCTACGAGTGTGTAATTATTACTACAATGCTAGATACTACTATCAACTAAAATCAGAATGTGCAATAGTTTTTGATAATAATTTATTTATGGATGGATAACAAATTATTCGTTTTAATAATTGTCCAAATAAAACTACTGGGGAAGGTGTTTATCCTTGAAATTCAAATATTTCTTAAAAGATGATAGTATCAAATTGTTTTTATAGAATTTGTTAAATTTCTTAGATAAGATAATTTCAATATTGTTGATCTGTTTTGTTGTGATGTAAATATTAGGTAGTTGTTCCACAAAATATTTTGGAAGTGCCACAAATAAACCAACCATAATCTAGCATCTGAGCCAAAAGGAAAATGATATGATTCTCTCATTGATTGGAAGTATTGTAGTTAAAGAATACCAAATTATGAAGAGAAATTGAGGATACAATGTCAATTTAAATAGATTATCCTAAATGCTTTAGTTTTAGATGATTCCGATTATTATTACAGTAAGTGCCTCTTACACAACAATACTTATTGCAACAAGACATTTATGCTCCTTATACACTTACATTGCTTATATCATTGGTTTTGATTCTAATAAACATTATATGTAAGTTGCAATAGGGAAAAAAAGGATTCCCTAAATTAAAGAGACAAACAATAACTTTTTTTCATCCTGAAACAATCTAGTTATTATTGAGTTTTATTGTAATTATTTTTTCTTTAAAGCTAGAGCAACTCTTACAAATTTCATTAATTACAATGTGTAACAGCAACCTCTTGACCATAATTAGAAGAATGAAACTACTTATATAAAGATTATCTATGATTGACATCGTTCATCGATTTCTTTGAAAAAATCATCAAAGAAATCATTGATTATATCTACAAATAAGATAATTGCTGCAAATAATTAATAAAATCCGCCTGAAAATACAGTTAATAATGGAGATAATTGTTTTATTGGGTATTGAAACCTCAATTTGTATACAGCAGTGCAATAATAAACAGTTAGAATAATAAAAATTAGTTAGAGTGAACTCATGACAATAGCATAAACCAATTTGAATGTACCATTTTCTGATTCCATAAAAACAAAATTATATTTCTTGTTTAAATATATTAATTAATATAATTTAATATCACTTTTATAAAGAGTACAAAAGAATATAAAACAAATAATTCACTAAGGCTTAAACTTCTTAAGCAATTGTACAACCTTTAATCTCAAATCCAAGTATTCACATTTTATAAATTGCAAAATTCCTGGGTGCAATATCTATTCTTGAAAATACAAAAAATCAAGCATTAAACCCATATTATGAATTTCCTCATTTTTTCTTTCTGTTTCCTCTACAAACTATGCTAAATTAGAATAAATAGAGGACAACAAAGTAGGCTTGATAGTCTCTAAAATCTTATTGTTCAGATTATTATTGCTTTAAAATAGGCTTATTATGTTTATTATTGTTGTTTATTATGATATATTTTCCTTTGTAACTATCTAATTAATGTAAAACGTTGTTATTAATTCGACTATGACAATCTCTTATTCTTCATTGTATTGGATTGATAGAAAATATTGAACCCACTCATAAATCTTCTTATTCTACATTAGAATTGGTTCTACTATTTATCTTAAAACATCTTATTTTAAGAATGTAATTATTTAAGAAATCAACTATTTAATCTTATTGATAAACGTTAATTATAGTCTTTCTGAGTTATCATTTAAAAATCTTTAGCATTTCTATTTAAAATAATAATAATAGTTACATTTAATTAAATTATGAGGGATCTAATGAATTTTACAGTTGGTTCAACCATTGTTTCCGTCAATTTTTATCTAATAATGATATCATAGGAAGTGCAGAGCATTTCTAATAATTTGTGAAATCTCAACTGAACTCCTATTGAGGAGAATTATTCTGAAATAAAATTTAACCATTTAAGGGCATCTTCTTCTGAAACATCATATCCAGGTAAACATTGCTAGACATACGATTTTAAAATTGAATTATCAAATAGGAAATTTTCATTACATACTAAGGCCATCAATTTGGAACTAATAATGAATGACTTTTGTTGTTGGCTTCCAAATCCTCTGCTCAATATTTAACAAATATAATGAAATGTGTCATTATCGATAAAATATTGGGTGTCAATTTAATCGTTATCCAATAAAGAATTGAGAATATCCAAGGATATTTCTATTTGTTAGGTTGAATGCTCCAAAATCTTTGACAATACCATAATGATTTCATGTTTGATATAAACTAATTGTGCTTAATTAAAAGATTAGATGTGGTAATAGAATTTATCATATTTTTGCTTTTAAATAACTATTTCAGCCCAAAGTGAAATGCATAATTTCAAAATCTCCAAAGATTGTTTGTATTATTCATTTACTGTTTGCTTATCAAATTTTATTGATTAAATCTAGAATTTAGGAGTCTCAATTAAATTATTATGATTAAATCTAGGGGTGGTACTAAATAAACTGATTTATTAAAATTCTACTCTTAAATATTGAATGATGCAATTATTCATTAACTCTTCAAATAAATCATAGATTTCATTAAATTATTCATTTTGTGAATTCAAACATAACTAAGAAGCTATGTGCAAAGCTGCAAATTTTAAATCATCTTAATTATCCATTGTGTCCTTGATTAATTTTAAGGACATACTCCATAGACCAGGATTGTTTATTTTATGTTAAATGGATTTTAATTACAACTGCCATAACATACAAATGATTTTATGTTTGATTTCATTTTAGTATTATTTCGACAAATACTTTGTGAGATACACACAAATACTTGCCATTCTCATCAAACATTAATCATTTAATTAGTCTAATTAATTAAAGATTAGTTCACTTAAACAATTCAAACATAATAACAAATGTATAAATTCTTCCTTTTCATTTAGTAATGTTTCAAACACCTTTATTAAATCAACATACAATGTATCGGATATTTGCTATTCCTTTATTAACAAATACAACAGATTCATAATATATTCAACCACATCATCATACCTCGAGTTTATCAATTCATACATAGCATTGAATAGATCAATTTTTAGATATTTGTTATTAAAACATTAACAAATAATGCTCTTCAAACTATTCAAAGAGTAGAGTCTCATTTCCTATGATTTAGATTAGCATAAACATAATAGCAAAGCTTCTACAGTTTACCAAATCTTCTCTAATCTAAAAACATTCACTTATACTATGAGTACAATTTTATCGATTGCAAATTGCTTGTAGGTTTAATTGATGTCAGCTGTATTACTATTTATTTAAACTTTTTCAACTATTTATAAAGCGAGTTAATTTAAACCATCCATAATTTTGATCAATGTCTATTCATCATAATCAGAGGAATTGATAAAGAATTTCATTATTTCATCTTTTGAAAAGTTGATCATTTCAATTCTTTACATTGTTTAGAATATCTAATTCCATATTTTCGGTGAAAATTCACTCATATAATGTTTTATACATTCACACAATATGTTATAACTAATTATCCAATTATTATTGATTTCTTTTCGTTAATTAAAAGAATTCAAATCAGGTACTGAAATTTAGGACAAAAATTTAATCATCAAGTCTTGGCCCTTTTTAGATTATTAAATCCATTTATATAATTACTCATTCAGCTCCACGCATTGTTAATGAGTTGATATTTACAAGATTTGCTTCAATAGTTTAAACATAGGTCTACATATTTACACATAATTTTTATCGTAATCTTAGGTAATCAAGAATTGTATGTTAATATTAATTAGAGAAGCTAATTGATAATAATTAATATTTACTTAATTACTATATGTATTTATTAAATACAACAGTATTTATAAATTCTAAATATTTAACGCTGAAATTCACAATCAAACTGCTTGATTTTTAGGATTGAATTTATTCATATTCTTAAATGTGCGGCATAGTGCTATTATATATAGTTTTAAATATTTATTCGTGATAGCCTAAAATAACAATTTATAGATACTATTTGAAGTATTTTTTATTTTCTAAGTGAACAATTTTATAATGATAGGCTCATTTTGATATAGTTACAATAAAGCATCGTGAATAGCAATTTTTAAAATGTCCTTTTATTGTGATTTTGTGTATAAATTGATTATTTAGTCTAGTAATTAGATGTGGTCTTCCATCATGAGTATGTAGTTTGATATCACAAAAATTGAGTTAATTTCTAAGTTAATTAGCAGTTGATACTTGATAATTGATTTGATTGCATCGATATGTCTAAGGATAATAAATAATGATATAGTTTGGATGTGTAGAATTCCTAATTCTTGAGTGTTCTACCATTTTTTAGCAGAATTATGAAGATATCCTTGCCTAAATTACAAAATCAATTACAAAAGATGGTGTTTAGGCTGCTGTTGATTTTTGTTTAATTTTTGTCTTGGAGGATTAAGAAGAAAATTTCCAAATACTCTAATAATTAATCTCCTTGTATAAGTGAGACGATTAAGAGTATTCCCTAGATAGCAGATTATTAGACTATAGAGTTTTCTGAGACTGTGTACGTTAGGAATAAATTGAAAAGCTATTTTTTTGGGTATATTTAAAATAAAATACTTTTGTACAATTCGGCATCCAGTTAATATCAATGATGTGAAGCAATGTGGATATCAATTTGATGTCTATGGCGATATCGTATTCCTTTTTGATTTCATTGATAAAGTCAATAATACTGAGTTATTGATTCTTAAATTTAGATAATTTTGATTACAGCATTGAAAGCCTGGTTGAATTATTGAATTATATTTATTGCTTTACGGACGTGTTCCTCATTCTTGGAATGTGATATTGTTTGTAATAACAATGGCAATTTGTCAGCATCTTATTCTTAAAGTTCAAACAATTATTTAATATTCATAATAAATAAAAATGGTTGATAATCCAGTACAGCTGCATATTGATTTTGAAAATTTATAAGTTTCTGATTAAGAGGATGAATGCTACAGCGGAGTTTCAGATGTTTCTGTTGAACTGTAATTATTAGAATACTCGCCGGAATAACCAGCTAGCTTGAACATAGAACGAAGCATTGTCTCCTATCTCAAGGAACTTGGCATTAAAATGAAAACGGATCCAAGAGCTAAGCAAGAGAGATATTTTAAGAGAAAGCGGCAATTTAAAAGAGCACAAACAACTTTTATGGAAGAAAAAGAAATTAATTCGACTACTATGACTCCACCTTAGATAAGTAAGAAGCCTACAATGTAATTACAAATGAATTCAATTATCGGAAGACGTACTCCCCAAAATTTAGGAAGCACCCCTTTACTACAATTTCCAAATAAAGTTACTGAAAAATCTAAATTCAGCTTATAACGCGATACCTCTAGTTCTCCAGTATGAATTTTATAATACATATACAAATTAACATCCTATAAGATACATGCTTAAATTCACAACATTTGAGAAGAAAATCATGATTTTATAATTTAATTTTGAAACTTTAAAATCATGATAAATGGATTCAATCAATTTTGTATATCTACAAATTGTCTTTATTTTTAATTATTTCAATGTTTAATATCGAATTGATGACCTAATTCATATTCCTTATTATTATTCAAGTTATTTATCTTAGATTTAATAATGTATAAGAACATCATTCCATTAATAACTATCAAAGTCTTCACGGTTCCTCACATGTTTTTAATTCTAAAAATTACAATTTACTACAGGAGTTGACTCTATTTGCAATACTTTAATTGATGTCTCTAAATTGTTCCTTTTGTTGAGAGTAACCCTTAAATGAATGGTGAAACGAACTTCAAAACCAAAATTATTTAAGAACTAATGAGTTCCCTCATAGACTGGTTTTTAGAAGATGGATAGTACGCTTGAAATGAAGGATCCATGAGCATTTAAAGTAATTAATTTATTTTCATTTACTTTAAAATATGACCAAAAATGTAGTATTTAAGCTTCTGGGGATGGTCTCTTGAGGAAATAATGTTAAGCCATCTGAAAATACTTCAGCATGGAAGTAGAGTGAAGCAAACAGGCTAAGATTTTTCGAATTATCTAAAGAGATCACTTAATTAAGATAAATTTAAACTACATCTTTCTTGTTAGATACTAACTGCTTCACAATTTTCTCATCTCTTATTTTATGTAACATAATATTTAATCCTTATTCTCGCCATTCTTCTTTTGAATTAGAGGAGTTCTTTAAATTTAGCAATTTGAGAGATAGATTAATTCATATTTTAAATTAATTAATATAAATCAGGCGTATCAAATGAAGTCTGAGGCAATTATATAAAAGATAATGGATGGTTAATTTCATAAAAATGTCTGAGTTTATTAGAAATACCTACTTGGCTAATACTGATTACATAGATTTTTTCTTAATCTTTTCATCCATTTTTCTCGGAAATAAAGATTTATAATGAATTCTAACCTCTTTATTTATTTTTGCAATATCGAAGAAACATCCTAGATTGTTATTGTTGATTTAATCTTCCTATAGCTTAGTTTTAGGTGTTTAAAATTTTATTTGAGTTTGTAAATTCATCTTAAATAGGTTTTTTAGATGATATTACATTTTAACAAAGTGCTATTTTTGATATTTGTTTTTTGCAAATACTCTACTTTTAATATTATTTTTCTATTTCTTAAAATTTCTCATTCAATAAAATAATTGTAACTCCTTGCTAATCAATCTCAATCATTGAGATCTTCAATAGTTAGAGATGAAATATTGTAATGATTTTTATAGTTGTTATTTAAGGAAGTCTATTACAATTTTTAATTATCCTAATAATTAAATTTTATTTAATTAATATAAAAATCATCATTTTTGTAAACAGGGATTGATACTTTATTAGTATAAAACTTTCCATCCATTCAAAATCATAATAGAGATTATAGCACTCTGTATGGTAGATAAATTTTGAAGTAGCTAGTTATAATTAATGAAATTCAATAACCTACTTTGTATTATGGATACAAGAGAATCTATGATACAGATCTATGATTGAAATCTTTTATAATCTTTCTTAATGTTTCATTCTCTTGAATGCATTTAAATTTAGTACTAACAACCTTTTCTTTTATTATTACTCATCATAAACGACCTGTTCTTATTCAATTCATAATACTTTTATGAATGAATTTGATTTTTCGTTTTCTAATTGCATTTGATAGGAATCTATTCTATTCTATTTATTTTTTTTTATTCATTATCTCAAATCAGTAATTTTTATGACAATGTGTGTTATAAAAGGTGTATAATCAGCATACTTATGTATTTTGAGAGCATAAAGTTCTTCATTTGATAGTGACTCAACTCAGAATAGACTTAACAATCAGATCTATAATTTCATAATAATAACTTATTTACATCTAGATCCAAATGAGGTGCTGGGTAGTCAACAATTCAGGACTCTTAGTATATCTCATGCATTTTTTGGAATGTGTAATTTTAATTTAAATCCTCCAATTCCTATTATTTAATCCATCTGAATGTAATTAAAATAAAGAAAGAGAATTGATATCTCAGATGATCGTATTTATTTAATATCTACAGATTAGCTCTCTTCTTTAATGATGAACCAATAATCAAATTGAGGAAGTTCAAGCTTAAGAAATTGTCAGATTTAGAGAGTCTGATGCATCAATAAAGTTAACGTAGAGAATCATTTAACTAAAATTTCAAGCACAATAGGTTACTTTAACAACAGAAGCATCAATCACTTGATCAAGGCAAGATGATTGATTATATAAAAGTTTAAAACAGAGAGTAATGATCAAATATGATTTCATAGGTTAAACTAAGTGAAATTACAATAAAAACTATTGAACCGTTCCCGTATTCTCCAAAATGAACCCTAAAAAAGTAATGACAAGAATTTACCTTTCGTTGAGGTACTTCTATGCATTGTCTATTTCTATAGTAATACCTTTTCAGAAAGACATTTAACAACATCATCAAAAAATCTCGTCATAAACATGAGAACATCAAAGCATCACTGAAGAAGGTTGAGACTCTTTTGAGCGGGATTGAGACTACGCGAGATCAATACCCTCTGCTTTCACCCATTGTTCAAACTAAACACACTCAGGTCAAGTCATGCAGAAATGAGGATAATTCAACACACACTATAAAATCTCAATTTCTTAATGTAATCGACTCTCCAACAGCTAGAGATAGGTCCTCATCTCTTAAATACACCATTGACTAGAACAACGAAATTCGAAGTAACTTAAATAGTATATTACATCGTAGACATGAGGAAAGCCAAAGTCAAGGAAATTATTTTCAAAACTGAGGAAACCAGAGAGCGAAGCATGGCAGCTGTAAGATAATTGTAATTTTAATAGAAACTATCAGTTTACAGCGAAAAACCAGATAGCATCTAGCCAACAAAGAAATAATTATAATAGCTTCGTTTTAAATGGGTCAGGAAATTAAAGTATAAAATTGAATTGCATAACAATTAAATGAGATAATTTATGGATTTCTTGGATTATCTCAAATCCTCTGAATTAAAAGTAACAAATGAAGATCACCATTATTTAAAATACTATCGAGATAAATTATTAAATGGCGATCATCTTGTAGACCAGGACTTTTAGATCATGATCAACGATCATAGGACTAATCTTATTGGCTAATTAATCAGAAATTCAATAGCCATCGAGAATTGATCAATGTTTATGTAACAATTTATTCCAGAATTTTGGATAAAATCATTCATTATTCATATTCATATATGTGAATAAATAATAAATCTTTTATATATTATTTTAATCCAAATGGCAGAGAATGTAAAGATATTTTCTCATTATTTCATAGTTTGAATTGGCAACAGAAGAAGTTAAATCATTCGTTAATAAATTGAATGATCAAACAAAATTGTAGATCTATGGATTATACAAGTAAGCAACAGTTGGTGACATTGATATTGGTAATTTGTCAACCTTATAATTCTTTTAGGCAAACCAGGAATTCTTGACTAAAAGGGAAGAGCAAAATGGGATGCTTGGAATGCCAATAAAGGAAAGTCTAAGGAATAAGCCAAAGTTGAATATGTGTAAGTGGTCAAAGCCAACGCCCCTGCTGATATCGCAAAAAACTTATGAGAGTATGAGAATGATAATATCATAATCAAATTTTACATAATCATCTATTATATAGCTGATGAGTTCCCCTCCCCTGCAGAATTATTATAATCTTTATATGGAATAGATAATCTGTATTGAAGTGTGCAATATATGTAAGTGAGTTTTATAGGGTTTGATCTGATCTCCTAACGACAGCGGTTAAGAAGGCGAAATTTTAGAATTGAATCAAAAAAAGATGGAATTATCTATAAGATTTCTTGACCATTCTTTCTTGGATTGATATTATATAATTTAATGGGGTATGTTGAGGATCGAATCCAATATTTCCTTCTTTAACAATAACTTATACAATTCTTTGAATAAGGATTTAATTTATGTAATAAATTTGTGACTTTCATTTACGTTTCATAAAATAAGTCTGTTGTGAAAATCAATGTTCATCAAAACTTCTTTGTGATGAATGCATAAAATCAAGCAATGATCATGCAGGCCATAGGTTAGTTGATTTGTAACAGTTTATGAATTTAGCAGAATAGTTTTTAAAAGGAGGCTAGTACATATATTAATTATAAATTCCTAGTCCAGAAGTGGTATTATATGGAGCTGATTTAAATACAAAAACAAAAATTTACGTTTCTAACACTCAAAATATTAAGCAGGATATGTAAGCTTAGTACGTTAAAATGCTCGAAGATTAGATTTAAAAATACATAAACCAATTGGTTGATGGAATCAAATAAGGTAAAAAAATGATTATCGAATTTGTGAATTAGATTATTGATGAGAGTTTTTCTTCAGCAGTTTTAAAGTATTAAATTCTAGATAATAAGTAATCGAGAATGCAGTCATATGATTGTCAAGGGTGTTTTGCAGGCTTTCGAGCAGAAGATATCAACGAAGGATGGGAACAATTTATTGTATAGATTGCATACTGGATAATTGGAGAAAGATTATTATGAAAAGAAAGTAAAGATTTTGAGTTTAATTTTAGATTCAAGGGTTAGTAGAATTGTTTCAAACTCATTTAAAATAAATTTTGGAACCATTGGGTAATTAGGTTGAGAATTATGCAAAGCAATTTCTATAACAAATGGAAAAGGTAAAGGTTTCAGTTAAAAATGAACACTTCAATCTCAATAGGACTAATATGATTGCCAAGTAATTTAAAATCAAAGATATGGTCATCGACTAAAACCTTTAGTTGAAAGTCGAATAGCCCAATTATGTTTCTAGAAAACATAATGTATCATTGCCACCACCACTCCAAAATGAAGGTGAATATTAGAATATCTTCAAACTTAAAACTGCCAGAATTCCTAAACAGAGGAAACTAGAGTTACTTAAATCTTTAGACTTCATGCATCATACAGCGAGGAGTGATTCGAATTTGTAAACTATCTCACAAATCACTCCCCAAAAGGCAAAATTAGATAATGCAGGACAAGATCTTAAAAGAATTATGGTTGTCAATTCAATTCATTAAAATCTTCTTGATGTAATTAGCATTCAGGGTAACATTTGTATCACATCTGGAAAGGAAGGCACCTTGAATTTATTTACTATTTAAATTGACGGACCTGACATTTCTATAGTAAACCAACATTAAATCAAACCCCATCAGGAATTGAGAGATGTGGAAGTCTGTTAAACTCCAGGCATGTTTCTTACTGTTGGTAGGAACATCAAAGTAACTAATGAGAAATATGTGGATTTGGGATACATAGTGAAGTTGTTTCTTTTTCAAGATATTAAAGACATTGAATTGTTGACTGAATTCAGGGATCTTCACAATCAACCTATTGAGAAATTGAAGTTCATCAATGAGAATTATATCAGAACAAGGATAGAATATTCGAAGTTTAGTAATGAATTAGAATTTGCATCCCAAACTGTGGACACAATTAAAGTGTGGAAATTCTCATTCGATAGCTCTAAAATATACGAGGGAGAAATGTAGGAGATGTATAAAGTTGAAGTCAAGTAGTAAATAATCAAAAGCATTGAATTTTGCAGCGATTTCTTAATTTTAACAACCAAATAGAATTATTCCATATATTTCAAGACCACACTAATTAAGTAGTAAGTTTAAGGGAAAGATTGCATTGTAAAATCTAAGGTGATCAATAACAACAGAGTTTTGATATTGAGTAACTAGGGAGTCATTACAATCTTGGATATGTTGAAGATCAAAAATAACGATAAATCATTTGAACCTCAAAAAATAGTAATTATATCAAATAACCTAATTTTAAGAACATCAAGAAGTATTTGAGATTGATCCTGTTTGAGAAAGAGGAGAAGGAAGTCGAGTTTATAGATTGTATCCAAATCAATCAAAAATTCCTTGTGTTCATGCATAGTACAGTATATGATCATTTTCTCACATTGAATAAAAATTTTGATGTAAATAATACGCTTAAAAACTATAGATAGAAAATAGATTCAGATACCCGCCTTCCGAGATAAGATTATTGAAACAATTGGAATTTGATAAATATAATTTCATCATAAGTGTTGAGGGCAAGAATGACTTCGGAATTTGGAATATTGTTTTAAAATGATTTATATATATATTTATGTATAATTATTCGATGTATCAATGGAATATGGATTTCTTTTATGAGTTCAATAATGATTTTGTTTCTACAGTTTAGTCACTGAAAACATAAGCCTCACCACCAGCTAACAATATAAATATGATTCACATACCATAGCTTTAATCGATTCCCAAGGATTCCTATTCAGGTTTAATCTTGAAGATTCCAAAACCTTTCAATGGTACCAATACTGCTAAAATGAGGAGAGCCCATCCAGCAATAGAGAGTACTCCTACAATTTAGATTCCAAACTATTTTAGATTGTTGCCATAAAACAATCCATGTGATCTTGACAATATACCATATAATAGGGTTCCAAGGATTCCTGGAACGAGATGAGCACCAACTGCTTATCCTGGATCATCTACATGAGATCTTTTAACTATTAATTATACGACAAGATATGAGATTCCAGCCAAAGTTCCGATGAAGGCAGCTGCCCATAATTAGATATCATCAACACTTGCACTGACTGCCACTACTCCTGCAAGAGCACCTCTAGCAATTGTGATTAAACTGGTTTTTTCTTTCTTCAAATAGTATGAGACATAACTACTCAATCCACCAAATGATGCAGCCAACAAAGTGTTCACAGGAACTAATCCCTTGACATAAGTTGCTGATCCTCTATTCAATCCAGAGAGGAAGATGATTTATACAACAACAAGTAAGATTGTACCGATTCCGACGAAGAATGGAGCATGATGTGGGAAGATTCCTGGATGAATTTTTCCATTTTGATCTCTACGCTCTTGTAATAATAATGATGCCACCAAAGCAGTAACACCTCCAAATGCGTGGATTACTGAGCTGCCTCCAAAGTCTTGGAATCCGAATGTACTCAACCATCCCTTTCCAAAAGTCCAATGCACAACTATTGGATACAAGAGTCCTTGTAAAATGATCACCCCAAAACTGAATGAGAAGAATCTTGATCTCTCCAATGTTCCAAAAGCGAAGATTGAAGTAACGAAAATGGCAGCTATTGTGTGGAAAACAAAGTTGTCATAATCATTTCTGTTTGGTGTTGATTCAAATGATGCAGCGGCAAATAATGATTTTCCAATGAATTTGTTTGAATCCTATCCAAATGCAAATGCATAGCCAGTCTAATTTGATATTCGATTGTCTTACAATGTAGAAAGCAAGAATTGTTAAGATTCCACCCAATAAAATTGTTATAATAGCCGATTGTACTGATTTGTATCTGACAGCTCCGGCAGCTATCATTGAATATCCTAGTAGTCCTAGGACAGAGAAGAATGCACAAGACAACACCCATGTTTCATCTAAAGCCATTTGATTCCGTTAAAATTATTAATTACTTTTTGGAATTCAAATTTTGTTTTTATATTTGGATATTATGTATATTTTCAATTCTTTCATTGCAATAACCCTCGTACAACTCCATTCTTTTCTTTAAATGCCTATATTTCTGTCCTACTGAAAATAAAAGTATTGCTTTGTCCCCCCCTGAACTCAATGATAAACCCGCGCCAACTACACAATATAATGTAATCAATTACCTTTCTCATCAACAGTATCAAACTTGCTCAGTATTATAGCATCAATCCCCCTTATATATCCTTTGAACTAATTAAAATCAAATTCTTATTAAAATTAACCCAATCCATCATTACCAACCAAGGCTTCTCCCACAAATACTATAAGATCAGGATTGTGCATTGTTCCTATTCATGGTAATTGTCTTATTGATGATTCATTGTTTTGCATTCTATCAGCTGTATCCATTAAAGCAACATTAATATTTTATTATTCCTTCCCTTAAAGCTTAATGAGCAATCTCAGGAGCACCATTCTTTTTTACTCTTCTTCATAACTGGTATCCCTAAACATTATTCTTGAGTCTTTTATTACTCAAAAGCCCAGCCCAGCCCTGTGCTGAAATTATCACAAATTGTAATGAGATGCTTTAAATAAACACCCTAACTTTGCACAAATTATTTTCTGAGTTCATATTTCTATTCTTAAGTCATTTATTTCTGATTTTAATTAGTTTAGACTTAAACTAAATTCTTATTTGTAAAATCCAAAGTTTAAACTTATTTTTTTGTCACACTATCATCTAGTGATTTAACACCACCAGAAGTTGATTTTGCTCCTGATTTCTATTACATTTTCTATTTAATTATGACAACTTTGCTCATAGTATATTAATCATAAATTGGTTGTTCTTTTTTGCGCCTTCCCTAGTTCAAGTTTTGGTTCAGATATTTACAATTATTCTGTTTACTTATATATTCTTGTAAATCCTTTCCCTCTCTTTCTCATTTCTTTGCCTTAATACACATTTTCATGATTTCCTTGAAACATACATAGAATTCTGGGATAGTTTATGCAATTACTTGTAAATTCCCTTTCGTTTTATAGCAGTATTAAAAATTAGTTGGAATTAGGCTTACAACATTATCATTAACACATCGATTTACTGAATGAAAAAGAGTTCCTAATAAGAAACGATAAAATCAATCCCAAATCATTTTAGATGACCCATTAAACTTTGATAGATCCCAATTATATTTAAGTTTTCTAATGTAAACATCACTCAATGACATTACTAAATATATCTTCTTTTATTTAGCAAACAGCCTAATTAGTATAAGGATTGTCTAAATCTGTAAAACAGAATGACTCTTCCTGTCGTTATTATACTTACCAAATGAATTATAAAAAATACATATAATTATTTTAATATAAAATAATTAGTAATATTAGAGAAATATAATAGCTCATTCAATTGAAATTTTGTTAAATTGTTTTGAAATTAGCAGTGATTTAAAAAGCGATTTAGATTTATATTTACAATTTTAGAATTTCAATTTAAATTTTACAATGAATAATTAACATTATCATATCCAATATTCTTTTATCCATTCTGCTGGATATGAATCAGGTTTTGGCATTCTTGGGAATGTAACAATTCTTGTATTTTAAGGCACTTACTGTTTACATTCGAATACAAAATCAGATATTTGTGTAGGGTAAATATCTTGTAGAAAATCTGCATTTTCCACAATCATCTCTAACCAGAAATCGAATCTCACAATGAATTTTTATATATTCTTCCAATTGGAATCTAATTCCGTGAAAATTCTTTTGAAAACCTCCCTGTTATTCCAAATAACTATACTGCTGTTATATCCATTTTTATTTTATTTTTCACATGCAATCTCATCTGTTTTCAAGATTCCAAATGCTCCCTTATATCCCATAATTTCATCAACATTTCCAGTAATTATCATATCAAGATCAATAAAAAACAACTTCCCTGGGGGATACTCATAGTAATCCATAAACAGAGTTGCTTTGCCCCACCAACCAGTCCAGCCCTTTTTCAATTCTCTAGTCATTATTCCCTCTTGTAAGTCTTTAGGATCATCAGTGACGCAAATAAAATTAAATTATCTAGTGCAGTGTCTCTTAAACCCATTAAACAACTTGTTAACATAGTCAGGTCCATATTTGGTTCCCCATTTCATGCATATCACATTGACTAGTTCATTTTCTTCAATAGGGGTTGATTTCACATCTATTTTCTTAGGTTCCTCATAGCCTTAATCGCTGATAGAGACAATTTATTTCCATGTGTGATCAATGGCTTCCTTTTGTCTTCCAAGTTGTCTAAGCAAATCGCCAAAATTGATTTAAGCTTCGTAGTTATTTGGTTATAATTGAATTGCCTTTAAGCAATATTCGTAGGCTTCGTCTGGTTTATCTAGGTTTGTTAATAGGCAAGCAAGATTGGTGTGTGCATCAACAAAGGCTTCAAATGAATTGATCTTAGAACAGAAGTGAAGGATGGGGACTTTCTGGGATTCGTCATAGTAAGGCGATTAGGTGATAACTCTCTTATAATATTCGACTGCTTTTTCATGTTATTTTTGTTAAGCATAAAAATTGCCTAGATTCATGAGGATGTTTGTGCTTTAGACTTAATTTAGAGGATGAATGTACTTTCGAGTTGTTCTTGAATGGTGTGATAGGAACTCTCAAAGTGTTTTAGGGCTAGATCGAATTTTTCAGCCTTGAGACAAACACAAGCAAATTTATTTTCTTCTAGGGCTTTTGTTAATGTTTCATTGGATTTTTTTTTATATTCTTGATCGGCTTTTGCCAATCTCATGTTGTGCTTTAATTCTGAATAAAAATTCATTATAAATATGAGATTTATTCGATTGGTTTATAAATGATTAAGGAATCAAAAATATTTAGAAATAATTTTTATTGTTAATTATTAATGTCTGCATCAAAGATCTTTTACTCGCCATCACGTTCGAATGTTAATGCTTCAAAATGTACAACCATATGGAGGTGACAGGGCTCTATCACCAAGCAGAGCAAAAATATCGCAGCTATCAGAAAAACTCTCCAATCTCCAACATTAGATTGATGAAGATCAAGCTGTAAGAGTGTATTGCTAATTCCTTAGTTTAAGAAGGAGACTTTTGAAAGCAAGATCAAAATCTTAGAGGACAGAGCAACCAAGTAGGCTTAGGGAGATGATTCCAAGTTCAAGTTGTTGAAGGAACAATCTCCAAAAGGTTGAGGAGGGTGCTCAAAATGAGAAAATCATCAGAGAGGTATTGATCGTTTTAGAAGTAGGCTGGGAGACGAGAAATTGAGATCAAAAGATTTTAAAGGGATTAGAAGGATTTTTGAATAAGGAATTATAATCGGAAAAAATCAATAGAAAAGATTTTGAAGGAAAAATAATTAAGAATACAGATGACAAGGTTTACAGCTTGAAATTGGATTTGGCTAGATAGAAGAAATACAGAGAGGAAACCGAAGAGAAGAATGCTCAGGAGATTGGGGATCGTATTTTGTAATTATAGGAGGAAGTAGAGGAGGAGAGAAGACAAAGGTACACAAAATTAAATAAATTACTATAGGGAATAGCAAAACCAAAACACAATCAAGAGGTTGGGGGATTCCATCTTAAAATTGTAAGAGATCTTGACAACTGAGAAGAAATAGAGAGAACAAGCATAAGGTCAAATGTTCAGGATGTTGGATGAAATGAACCATTACTTGAATAGCGAATTAACTAGTGAAAAGAATGAGAGGGAAGCCACTGAGGAGAGTTTGATCAACTTGATAGATCAAACATGCAACAGAGTTGAAAATTCATTAAGAAAGTGATATCATATGATCTTTATACATTTAATTTTAAATAATGTTCAATTCTCCAGTGCCAGGACTAAAGGCTAAACGAATATCTGTGTTTCTTTGTTGCTTTCTACAATACGCTATGTTACATTCATGTCGTTCGACCTGGAGTTACACCACTGGAATATTAACATCTACAAATGATAAGTATGACGACCAGAAAATTGATGATTTTGATAAGAGTTATTTGGCAGACGTTAACTTTGCATTTCTATTTACATACGGATCCTCAATGCTATTGTAATCCATCTCAGTTATCAAAGCTTAGGGCAAATCGGAGACAGAATAGGCCCCAAGAGATTCATGTTGTACGGTACTTTTATGACTGGAATTATATAATTTTTGATAGCAGGTCTCTTTCACATTGAGCAACACAACAAATGGCTAATATTGATGTTAATGATATTCAATGGAGTGGCATAAGCTCCAGTTTGGCCAGGTCTAATGGCAATCATGAACAATTGGCAGAGCAAACCAAATAAGGTTATTGTGATGGGGTATTTTACGGCATGCACAAATATTGGAAATATCCTTGGAGACTTTTTCGCATACATTCTCATAGAAAAATTAGATTTAATTGTTATGTCACCCATCTACGTTGCTGCTGCTGGAGTTATACTAATGTCAATCATCAATGTCTTTGCCATTCCAACTGATTCAGCTAAGGAATACATTGCATCTTTTCGAAACCCTAATACAAAATCACTTGTCTATAAATAGGCACACGAAGAGTACTTGAGTAGAGCAGGATCCAGGACTAGTTCAGTAGTATCTAATTAAGATTTAGATGTTTCAAAAAGCAATATCGATCAATCTCTATTGACAGTGGCTAGAAATACTATAGGAGAACCCTAATTAAAACCCAAAAAACCCAAGAAGGATAGTATCAACATGTTTTCTGCATGGAAACTACCCAACGTTGCACTCTATGCTTTTGCCTTTGGATGCGTTAAAGCAGTATTTTACATTTTAGCATTTTGGCTCCCCAACTATTTAAGCTAATAAAACTTAGAGAATATTTCGTTGATTACTCAAATGATAGAGTGGGGAACCATCCCTGGAGGCATTCTTATTTGGTATCTCTATTTTTTCAATCTAGTTATGCTGGAGTTTATTGGAACATTCGGGCATTTCTTATAGTTCCTATTCTTTGGATTGGTACAGTTGTGATGATATGCATCGATCAGTTGCAAAAAATCCAAAGTCATCAGCCTTACTTCTTATATTACATGTTAGTGTTTCTAACTGGTTTACTGATTGGAGGAGTGTATAACAATATCTCTGGAGCAATTGTAATTGAACTAAGTAACATGAAAGAGTTGAAAGGTTAGCTTTGTAATAAATTCTCTTAGGCAATAAAAAATCAACGGCTACAGTCACCTCTGTAGTAATGGGGTATGGTGCTACATTTGCTGCTATTAATTAACTTATTGTGCCACATTTGGAATCCAAAATATTCTTGTATTGCGGATTGAATGCTATAATTGCAGGAATGTTTCTCATTCCATTAATTGTAAGTGAATACAAAAGAATAAAGTAAGAGAGATTAAAAGTGTATGATAAATGATATACCTAAATTTAACATTTTATTTTTCGCCTTTAATTTATCTAGTAGATTTGTAGTTTATAAATATTAAAATTCAAAATATAATTAAAATCATTCATTCCATCTAATTCTTAAACTAATAATACTAAAAAATATGTTAGAAGTTATATCAAATGTTTGTAGATAGAAAAATAATTAAATTATTATTATTAATAACAAATTCTAATTTTATTTATATTAGAAAATAGTTACTTATTTATAGAAGAATTCTTGAACAATAATAATAATCAAAATCTCTTCATTGTCATTCTCTCTTTTAAGTATATTTTAATAATGGATTTTCCTGTTTTTATTATGGGATATTTCTAAGAATTTAAATAAGCATTCATACTGTTTAAAACGGGAAGGCTTAATTTGGGGGGAGGCTTAAAAGTTATTTTACTAATTCTTTTAAGTAACTCCAATGTTAGAAATACTGTCTACACTGTCAGTTTTACCTGTCAGTAGAGGTGAATTCATTTATACTTGATTAGAAGAATCAATATTCTTTTAATGCTTTAATTACTTAGTAGCCAAACCACCTGGAGATTGTAAAGGCGAATTAAGCAATTGATTCTTTCTTGCAGCATCAAAAATGGCAGATCTAAATTAATACAATCTCTTACTCTTCATTCAAAGCATTCATTCTCATTCCCAAATCATTTTCTTCTCCTTCATCTATGAAATCATTTGAATGGTCATCCAACATTATTTAATTCATTTCAGCCAAATAAGGATGTTCAAGACATTACTGTGCAGTTATTCTTTTGGTAGGATCTTTTTCAAGCATTCTTTTTAATAAATCAATGGCAGTTTGAGGTGCATTTTGTAAGTATTTTATGGTGAAATCAATTGTAGCCTCTCTATTTTGTTTGACTACAGTGCTGTAACTCTTTCCAGGGAAGGCAGGTTTGCCAGTTAATAATAAATAAAAGACCAACCCGAAACTGTAGATATCACAAACAGAACTATAATGGGATTTCATATCCTTGATATTTATGACTTCAGGAGCAACATAGCCAGGAGTTCCACATCGACAATACAGATAAGCTGGTTCATTTACATGAGTGGCCAATCCAAAATCTGCCACAACAACTGTTTCCATTTTTCTATTGATTAATTTATGAAAATCTTTACTTTGGTTATTTGAATAAAATATTTTCTAACTTTAAGTCTCTATGCATTATTTCTTTTTCATGCATATGACACAATCCTTATAGGACGCCTACCAAAATTTATTACATTTATTTAGTAGTTAATATGACCTTATCTTTGATCAAATCATACAATGAGCCACCTTCTAATAACTCAAGTGCAACGTAGAGTGAGTTTTATGTTTCATAAATCTCATGCATCCTCATCAGATGATGGTTGTTTAGCTTTCTCATAATTGTTAATTCATTTACGATAGCCTCTTTTCCATGATCCTCAGCATATGCAGCTTATTTTGAAAACGCTTTTATAGCCATTTAAGTATTGTCCTCTATGCGTTCTCCCAAGTAAACCTAAATTATGGGGATTAAATACAGAGGCAAAATTGCCTTTTCCAATTTTCTTAAAAACTCTGAAAAGATGATGAAATTACCATTAATTAATTCTGGGCTAAAAAAACTCTCTCCATTATGCTATCACTTTTTCATTTGCTGATAGTTTATAACTAGGCAATTGATCTTTTCCGTGATCTCTCATCAGAATCATTCCTATGATTGTACCCAAGGAATCATCATCTTCATCCTTCTTTTAAACTGGTGTTCTGAGAACCTCAAATTTGGTCTCAAAGTCTAATTTGAGATATTTCAAGGGAGGATCCTCAGGCTTCTTTATTATTATGTTAATTTATCATACTTTTGTAATTAGAATATATTGATCATAACCGATCAAAAACCTGGACTTTTTGTTGGGCTTTTAGAATTCAGATTTCAATAGAGGCTTGTCATTTTTCCACTTCAATTCATTGGGAATAGCCACCCATAGTTTTTATTTCATGTATATTAATATTAAAATTTTCAACCAGTTTAATCATACTTTTTAATTTAAAATCATTTGAATAAATTCCTCCATATAGGAACTACCTTCTCGCAAATATTCTCAAGTAATATTAAATTTCATTAATATTTTACCAATCCCCTCATTAATTAATATTAATTTACTATCTCTTTTTAAGGAAGAATTTAGTATTTCTTAAATAATAAATATAATAATTTATTAAAGTAATATTCTCATTCTCATTCTACATGAAACTTTGGATGAATTTTAACATTCTTAAATTCTTATTTATTAATTCAAAACTCAGAATAACAGGTTAAAACAAAATTTTTATTCATAGTATTGATACTTAATAGAACAATCAAAACATAAGTGTATAAAAATTAAAAATTTTGCCTTGATAATAATCTTAAAAAAAATAAAAAAATTTGAATTTAGATAATAGATGAAGGCAGAGATTCAATAATGCAAATTAGCAATTCTGGAAAAAACTGATATCTCGAGTAATAGATAATCTTATTAATGATCAATAATTAATTGTAGATTCTTCAGAATTATAAAATTAATTCTCATTATTTATAATAATAATAATAAGGTTATTAAATTCTTTGCTATAAAGTATTCAGCTAAGCGTTACATCAAAAAAAGGAAGATTAAATAAAATATACTTAATTGGTTTTCCATAGATCGAAGATTATGATAATTAAATTATAGAAAACTAATATATTTAAAACAATTTATCTAATATTATTTCATTTTTATGAACTTAAGAAATCTTAAAAGACTGAATTCTAATCTTAGCCTTATATGCATTATGATCTAGTGCAATCGTTAATCATTCCCTCAATAATTCTATAGCATCTTTATTATGGTGAATTAAATTCATTAGATGTTCTCAAGGCAACTATATTTATGCATTGATTTAATAAAAAAATTCCTTTATTCTCGCAAAGCTGTTAGCAAGATTGAAACTCTTCTTAATGTTCTTATATATTAAAATCATCTAAAGTTAGCATTATAATGGTAATTACCTGTAGCACAAATTACTAATCCAATCAATAAGGTCAATATGATTTTAGAAACCATTTATAATATATTTATTAATATATTTATTAATATATTTATTATATTCTTTTAATATTTTGAAAGAAGGGATGGGATCATAACTATGTTGATATCATATTAATTTATGTACCATATACGTTTTTAATTATTTGGCATTACAGATAGATATATGTAAATATTATATGGAACTCATTACAAAAAAGGTGAATCTGGAATTAAAACTTTGATCCTGTTAAATGTTTGAGTTAATTGAGCTTATTCCAACACACTAAACTCATATTTCTTTTTTGCACAGATAGAATGTATTTTTAATAATTCGACCTCAAATAATCGAACATAAATAACAAAAGACTTGGCTAGCAATATCAAGTCTTGCTTATGCAATGATAGCGGGTCGATTCTAGTAATAATGTTCCTGATAAAGTCTTTATTGTCTATCCTAAGAGCTGCTGATGCAACTATGACTTAAACCAATTCTTTTTCTATTTAAGAGTGGTGATATATATTTACATTCAAAATCATTTAATGTGAATACTTGAGATCTGTTTGCTAATTCAATCAGTATTTTTATGGTTTTTTCTAAATTGACGCTTTAATAATTCTTGTTCTTAATTTTAGCAACAGCCAAAAACAATGAAATGTATTCAGAGATATTCAACTTCTCACTTTTGGCATGACAAATTCTTAACATTTATTTAACTAATTATTCACCTTCCTCTTATTCCAATTGTAAACAAGAGAGTATCAAATCAATCACCTTCTACATAGAAATATTTAAATTATGCTTTAATGTTGACTCAATCTTCTTTGTGAGCAGATCTACCATCTCTTTTACATACTCTGTATTCTCATGATTGGTAATTCTCAACAATTCCACTAAAACATTGACGAATTGATCTTAGGTCAACAAATCTTACTAAAATTAATCAGTGAGCTATTCAAATATAAGTTTTGAGTTAGTAAATGATCCCGCAGGCAAACTCTTAATTAGTGTAATCAAATTACTAGGAGTTTATATGGTAATGTTTAATTAGGTTAGTTTTGAGATCTTCAAAATTAGATCATTCTTCTCTTTCAGAATATGATTTAATGAGAATGCTAATGATGGCAGTGTTTCAGGTGGTATTTTTTCTATATTGATTTCAGCTGATTATTTGATGATGAATTGTTTTGAGTCATTTAAGTTCAAATCCCCCATCTCAATCTAATACGTAGAGAGAGCCCAAACAAAGGCACAAAATTACTCTGGGTCTAATCTGTTAATTTCTAATAAGATTTTGGATGCAATTTGTTAAAATCTTTCAGAATGGCTCTTCATCTATTCAGCATAATCCTCGTTTCTGAGACAACTTGTGAAATAGAGAAACAAACTCAACTCATTACTATTGAAGGGAGGTTGAGGATTTTTTTCGTCTAATTATTTTGCCACTTCCTTTGAATAAAAGTCGAACACTTCATTTATGTCACTCATCTGCATCAGTTTAAATGAAATCAATTATTCTCTTTCTTTAAATACATTTTCCAAAATTTCTATGGTTTTGTTATAAAAATATTACACTCCTTTTGTTATAAGAACTGTTAATAGTTCTCCTTTTATTAATACAATTGCTTTAATTTTTCAATGTCCTCCTCTGATATTTCAAACTTATCCTTGCAAAACCTATAAACAGGTATTCTGTAACAAACTCTCATTAGTCTCGAGCAGTATTTAATCATTATAAATTATTTATTTAATATTATTCATAATTAAATTTTATCAACTATAAAACTAAGACAATTTAGACAAAAAATTTTATTATTTTAGATCTCAAAAAATTTGAGTCAAAATTTAAGATCCTTTGATAGAAGTAGTTTAAAATAAAATAAAATTTATGATTCTTTAGTAGAAGTAGTTTTTTTTGTAAAATCAATATATTACGTAGTGTGTGTTCAATAAACTTATGTATACATAATTATTTGCTATTCTGAGTAGGATTTATATCTATAGTTCAAATATGAAACCGAAATAAATAATTATAATTAAATTCTGTTAATCTCCGGATTAAGATTAATAATTGATAACAAATGTTGAAAGCAAAAATACATAATTAATTTAATAATGGGTTAGTGTACTTCAAAAAAGTAAAAAAGAATACTCTTAAACAAATAACATCAATCAACTTCTTCTAATAGTTAAACTCCAATCTAGCAAAAAGGACAATAGGCTTTAAATTTACAAAATATCCAATCTTCCAATTTACATGGCTAAGAGAAGAATGAAATTGAAGTTGAAGAAAAGGCCTCACCTCCACCAAAATTGTATTTTAATGGGAATCAACCAACGGCTAGAAAAGAGAGCATTTTTGGAAGACCAAAAGTTTAAAGTGTGAGACTCAGCTAATAAAACTTTCACAATCATAAGGAAGAAGTTATATTTGGTAGGAAAGTTCATCTTTCCCATCCTCATTTATTATAATGAAATATGAACAACACTTTTGAAAGATATAAAAAATATATATTTACTAATGATTTGAATTTAATTCATAATACAAATAAATTTAATTGATACCAATATTTTCTATAGTGTCATTTAGCACTCTATGTAATCATTCTTGAATAATGTTGCAAGAGTGAATTTTAAGCGGATAAAATCATATAAATATTTAAATGAATGTTAGTTTGTATATTGAGATGGAAATGAATTTATTGAGTTTATTGAAATATTGGATAAGTATGCTATAAAATTATCAGGAAAGAGATGTGTTTCTACAAAGTCAATACTGACCCTAAAATATTAATTTCATTTAAAATTTATAATTATTCATTTAATAATTAGAGAAATATAGTTTATAAATTTAATAAGAAATTCGAAATTAAAATACTTAAATATATAGATCTCTTCTTAATTATATAATATGTTATTGGTTTAGCTCTAAAATTAAATAAACAAAGATGTAAATTAGAAATTAAAACCAACTAGCTGAAATAGAAATTAGCCATATACATATATGAAAAATGAAGGTTGGATTAAGGATTGTAGCGATGTTTAGGTTGTGATGAAGAAATATCGTTTGAATTCCTTATATCAAATAGTAATTATTTTAATTGATTTAATTAATATGAAATATAAATTAATTTCATTTCCTTTTCAAAATACATCAGTTCCCTATTCATAATAATAGATCACTAGAATTTTTTGTTTCTGGATAACATTTCCAGATGATTTAGATGTTTATTTAGTTTATGAGTATTTATTTGAAGGACATAGGATGTACATATAATTAGGATATAATTATAAATAATTTTGTTTTAATTTTCAAAGATGACCTTAAATACTAATACATGATTTGAAGATATTTAATTAACAATATAAACTGAATTCTATCGTTATCAGTTTTCTTCCTATATTATGATAGAGTCCTATTAGAATGAAGGCTGATCTTGTGCTTTAACAATTTGAAAATGCTTAGTTTATCTTCTAAACAGCATTCTTTTTTAAGCTTGACTTGAAATAGATGGAACAAAAAAGTTGTTGTTGTTCCTTTTATTCTCAGAGATGTTGCTATTAGATTATTGGGAATGCACGTTAAGCATGGTTTATTTGACCACTATTGTATTTATTATAGATCTTCGCTATTAGCTAACATTGACTCCTTCGAGCGTTTACCTTTTGAATTCTTCAACACTATTTTTAAAATAAAACAATAAGTAAGCATCAGATTAATTTTCTGGTTATGAAACTGGTGATACTAGAGAGTCATTATAATGATACCATTGCAAATCATCTCTGTTTTTGGCATAAGCAGTGTAATGTCCCGATGTTAGTGTGCCACTATGATTGATAACTGCATAGAGATCATAGGTTGGTTTTTCTATTTGTTTTGTACAAACAAGATTTTCAAATGATAAATTCTATAAAGGATACCTGACTAATGACCTGATTTTAGCTCTGAATTAAGAATTAAATTTAAATCGTTTTAGGTGTATTATCAGAATGTTTGGCATACTCCATAAGTCAATCTTTTTATTGCTGTCTCTTCTTTATGAACACTTGGTGCAATTCCATCCTTCATCGCCTGTGAGAGTTTCTGTTTTCAGGAATTCCTCAATGCATTCCAATAAATCACATTCTCTACTCAACACAGGCACACTCAAATACATAAAAGGTTCAAAGCAATATCTAGATGACTTACATGTTAAGCAAGATAAGGTGTCAAGCATGTGTCCCTAAAATAAATCAACAATGATGGACTAATTTCTAGATAGATACTTAGTCCATTCTTGATGCGCATCATCATTAGTTGGGAGTTTGGTAAATTTAGTTTATTCTACATAAGGTTTCTTTTTAATTCTATTCAAATCTTCATGAATCATATCTAAGAGAAAAGCAATAAACTCATGGGCATCTTCTTAGGTACCTTCTGCAAATATAGGATTATAATTTCCGATTGTTGATATGAATTGTGTCGGTTTCAAAGCCTATATTTCCTCAAGAGTATATTAATCTACTTTCTACCATAGTAGTCTAATGAGTTAGGCAAATGATTGGACTATGTTGCCTTAACTAGAGAGGGGATTGTCAGGATTTATCTCTTTCACATGGAGTTATGACATGAAATAATCAGTTAGTGGTTATGTATTTGATAAGGCTTAGATAGACTATATAAGTATTGATAATACTGAATTTAAAAAGCAGGTATTTCCTAGATTGGTCAATCCTAACAATCCTTAAGATTCAGTTTCGAATTGATTATTTTATTGGATTCTTCTTTATGTAGCCTACTTTCTAAATTTATTTGGGATCTATTTGTAATTTACATCCAAAATGCGACTAAGTTTAGGTTGAAAGCGTTGTTCTGTATTCATTTTTTTCATCCTCGCCTAGGGTTCATTGACTTGGGGTCTACTATTTATGCAAGCTCCCATTGATATAATAATAATTATTTATTCTTAAATATTGGAATGTAAAAAGGTCAAGACATAATCGGAACTGTATCAACCTCCTACTTTGTGATTTTGGTTGGTTCGGTTGCCTACAAACTGAATTGTTAGTCATCATCAGCAGGTCTTCTGTTTTTCCTTTCCTTCTTGGGTTTCTTTTCTCCAGAAGCAACCTCATTTTCATCTTTCTTCTGTTTGGATTACTTAAATGATTAGGATGAAATCGTAATACCTGCACTTTGGATGACTTAACTTTCCTTTTCTTTTTCAAGTTCTCAGGATCTTCCTCAAAGTCCTTGTTTAAAGAATCGTTAAGATTTTACATCTTGTGTTGATCCTCAATCCTCTAACAGATTTTTCTGCTCATGTCTGACCAATTTGTTGTAAATGTCAGAATTAGATACAAGACAGCTAGAATTGCATTCACTATGCCAAAAGCAAGCCAAATTCCATAGACCTTATCACCCAATCCAAAGTCATAAGCAAAATACACAACTAAGGGTATTCCAATCAAGTAATAGACAAGTAATGTAGAATAGGTTACGAAATCCTTTCTCTCGATTCCCTTCAAAATACCAGTTAATGTCCCTTGTAATCCATCGATAACAAAAAACCCAAATACAAAGATGGGATACACTTCCAATATCAGATCTGTGATTTCCTGTCTGCCAGCCGAGTAGAATTCAGCCCAGGTTTCCTTGAAAAAGGATAAAGCACTCAAAAATATTGTTGTAAATCCAATAAATAATAGGACACCCACCCATGAATATCTCTTGGCTCTCTTGATATTCTTGGCACCCATTTCATTACCCACGAAGGTCATCAAAGCCAACGATAGAGAAATGGGAAATTTATAATAAAAATTCGATGTATTGGATAACGCCAATTGAGCATTCAATTGATCAGAACCAAATCCTACAGCTATAAAGTTCAATAAAAAGAAGACGAAAAAATCTGCATATATATGTCCTATAATTGGTATAGAGCCTCTGAGGAAACTTGAAAAGAGTTTCTTTTCTTTTTTTCTCATTGTGAATTTAAACTTGTAATCACTAAATACTTGCTTCTTATATTTAGTTGCACATATGGCTATGAGACAGAATACACAATTGAGAACCTCAGTACATATGATAGCCAGTCCTGCTCCTGCTATGCCGCCTCCAATGTCCCAATAATCGATAAACAAATAACACCACAAAGTGTGGAGTGCTGCTGTACCTAGTTGTATGAACATGAAGACTGCAAAAATCTGGATCTTACTTTGAATATGTTACCTTATTTGCTATCATATAGCTTTTCATGCATTCATATAATATGGCAAACAACGTCGATGGTAATAAATAGTATAAATATATCTGGGAAGCATCTGATGTAGCCTCTCTATCATCTTCATTAATAGTCTTAGCAATCAGAGGTTTAATCAGAATCAAGATGACTATTTCATTAACTAAATTCGAGTACTTGAGAAGGGAATAAAGTACATTAAATGGATGAAGACGGTCAATGTAAAGTAACTCTGCGCTAACTTAGGCTTCTTAGCTCCCAAAGCCTAGGCTGAATGCACATTCAATGATTAATTCGTTCCTTGTTCTCACATTTTATAATTACCTAAAGCCATTGGGATCAGCAGCACATTCACTGTTGTAAAGGCTAATCCTAAACCTGCAACTGCATTTGGGTCATTATGTTGGGCAATGAAATGCAAACTGATTCCAAATACAACATCTAAACAAACATAGCCGATAACTGTATAAAATGTGGACGATAGCAAGTCTGTAAAGACATTTGATCCCAAATGATCAGGAGCCTTATTAGGGTTTTCTTTATTCAATATTGAACTCCCGTGGACTTAAGACATATATTAATAATAATTTGATATAAATTGTAAGTCATAAATAAAATAAAACCAAAAATTAAATGGAATCCAAAAAAGAGATTTTGAGAATTATCATATATATAGATTACTCTCTAATATATCTAAACCTTATTAGAATGATAAGCATATGAAATATTTAAATAATATATTTTTATCCTCAAAATCAAATAAGTCACAATTCTAAAAATGTGTTTATCTCTCATTAATTAAAAAATAATTCTGAAATTGTAAAAGTTTTATCATTATTTTTTTATAAAAAAGGATGAATGACTAACAAAATACTGATTCATAAATTCAATAGAAATTAGAATTGTTTATAAGTTGCAGGGGATTGGCTAATATGGATCTCTTTTCGAAAAGCGATCCTTTTGTTATTTTGCAAATTCAACAAAACCACAATTGGTTTGACTTTGGCAAAACTGAGATTATAAATGATAATTTGAATCCAAACTTTACAAAAACCTTCATTATTGATTACTTCTTTGAATGTTAACAGCCTCTAAAATTTATAGTTAATGACGATGATGGAGATGGAAAATTTGATGTACATTCATATTACAATTCAAGTTCATCGGTAGTGCAGAGACTACATTAGGTTGTATTGCAGGTTCTCGGGATCAAATGTTAATTGTTGATTTAAAAAGAGGTTCTAAAACCACAGGGAGTCTAATCATAAAAGCAGAATAAGTGAGATCATTGAATAAGAAATTAAGTATGCAAATAAGTAATTGTCCTCATTAACTTCTAGTTGGAGATCAATTTCCAAATAGAAGTTGTATTCCTTGGCTCAGCTTATGTCCTTTTTTCAGAATATATAGATAGAGCTAAGATGCAAATTAAAATTTATTAATTTATCAAAGTGAGCATGTCAAATTTTGTCTTGATCCAAAATGGAGAAGATTAGATATTACTCTATAAAAACTTTGTAATGGAAACTTAGACAAACAACTCAAACTTGAAGTCTGGGATTATTTCACTACTGGTAATCCTGACCTAATTGGTCATACGTAATTTAGAGTAAATGAGATTATTGAAAAGAAAAAATATCAAAAATAATTACTTAATAGGGATAATAACTAAGCAGGTTTGATCACATTTAATGATGTATTCTTATTCATCTAATTAAGGTTAAAATATATGAGCCTCCAACGTTTATGGATTACCTAAAGAGTGGAACTTAAATTAATTTAATATCTGCCATCGATTTCACAGGATCAAATGGATCACCAAATTTATCATCATCTTTACATTATATAGATAACTAAACTGGAAGATTAAATTAATATCAGTAAGCTTTACTGGCTGTGGGAGAGATTCTTCTTAACTACTCATACGACAAACGAGTTCCCATGTATGGTTTTGGATGTAAGCCAAATCTAAAGAATTTTAAGTCTTCTTCAACTTCACATTGCTTTCCCTTAAACGGCAATCCCTAAGATCCAGAAGTTGAAGGCATAGAGGGTATTATGCAAACCTATAGTAATGCATTAAAAAATGTTAACTTTGATGGGCCAACCTATTTTAACCCATTACTTCAAGAAGTCATTAAGATAGCTTCACTGAGCAAGGATATGGCAAAGGATTCATACTACGTTCTATTTATTTTGACTGATGGTGAAATTCATGACATGAGTGTAACTATCATTATATATATCTTATTTAGTAAACCATCGATTCTGTAGTAGCTTCCTCCCATTTGCCCTTTTCAATCATCATTGTTGGAGTGGGAAATGCAAATTTCAAAAACATGAACATTTTAGATGATGATGAAGGAAATTTAAAAGATTCTAAAGGTAATCAATCATTTAGAGATCTGGTGCAGTTTGTTCCCTTCAATTAATTCAAAGATAACCCAGAATTGTTGGCTAAAAATGTGTTGTAGGAATTGCCTGATCAGATTGTTGAATATATGCAATTAGTTGATCAATAGCCTAGTAATATTATTTTACATTAAACTAGAATTGCAGTAAAAATAACAAGATATTACTTATTCTGAATTCAAGTAAACTCCAACGATAGGCAATTTCAGTGAATTATAAATCTCAGATGAATACATTCAATAATTCAATCAACAAGGAAGAGAATGGAATTCTTAATATGAGAACTATAAATAATCATAGGATCCTTATTTTAATGAAAAATAACAATTTAAATGATAATTATCATATTTATATAATTAAATTCTTAATCAGAAATGCAATTTATGGGTTGACTTAAATTAATATCTTATTGAAATTTTATTGCAGAGTTAATTTTAGTTGTTAAAGATCAAAATAATCGTTACTTTACAGTGTTTATAAACTGTTTGATCATATTAGCATATAATTGTTATTATCTTAATTAAATCACAAATTCATTATAATTGATTGATTTAAATTAACATTATTTTAAATAGTAATTTATAGAAAATATGATATTGATGGAGTAAATGTATACTGTCGTATAAACAGTATTGATTGTATTCTAGTTTATGAAAAATTATACATATAAAAAGACAATTCAAAAATAAAATTGATGTTTATTTCGATTCATCATTGTGTCTTGTTTTTAGAAATAACTATTATTAAATTATGTTAGTAAGTGGGACATCCATTGATAATTATTTCTGATTCGTTATTTTCCATTTGGACTGTTTTGATAAAATACTTAGTAATAAATATATATTGAATTTTAATTAAAATTGATAAAATAGTGTTTATTGTTTGAAGAAGCCTAAATATTTTTAGACATTCTGAAACAAGAGTGTTTATTAACTAATTCAAGAAATTATACAAATTAGACATCAATCATATTCCGTATTTGTAGAGATAATAAGCATCATACAAAATACTTATTTTTATATTTTTGCAAAACCTTAGTACATAGCTTAGTTGCCCTTCTATTTGGTAACCGTATTTAATTGGGCTCTCAATCTTATCGAAAGTATTTCTCTTCAATTTCAAAGGAGAAACATATAATCCGCATAACCTTTTTGGAGACTGACTTTTTGGAAACTAAGGCGAATTATTATTGTTATTGCGTTGAAAATATTTTAATTAGTTTGAGCTGCTTGACTCCATATTTGTGCTCTTTTTATAGAAGTTGTTTCGACTGCCCTTTGGCTGTATTGTATAGATTTCTTCTGGAGTGGATGGAGGTGATATTTGAACAGGCTTCTAAAAAACGATAGAAATTTCTTCTTTGTAAAGCTTTTAAGGTAATCAATAATTAATACATTTAACTTTTGCCCTCTCATCAATTAGGAACAGAATAAATAAAAAATATTTAAATAATTCTCAGAAATTCTTTCAATTTTAGAATTAAATTATTAAGTTTTAGAATATTCAAAGAGCTTCGATTTAAACTCCGCATAGTAAAGTGATAGAATTACATAATGATTGAAGCTAATTCCATCAATGGTGTTTATTTTATTTGTATTGGAAAAACACCTTAGGAGGAGTGATTCTCAGTATAAAATAAGCAACCAGAATGCTGTGAGTTTTTGGATTTCAATATTGATAAGTGTTATACAGGGTTGTGTTATAAATAAATTTAATTTCATATATATTTTTATTATGAGTCAAGACACCAAAATAATTAAACGAACTTAATTTACACCTTAAGAGTCAGATATAAAAAATATCATTCCAACCTAAGGGAAATCAAAAGAAGAGATGCGTATCTTCCTTTTCGAGTTTTTTGGAATGGCTTTGTTTGCTTATGGGTAAAAAGGGCATTTCTTAATATTAGGATAATATGCTCACAAGGCTCCGATGAGTTTTTGGCCTTGTTTTTCTTTGCCTCTGTGTGCTTGGCTGCTCCATTTTCAGGAGCGCACGTTAACCCTGCGGTTACCTTGGCAATGCTACTTTCAAGAAGAATAAATTTCGGATAGGCAGTGTTATATTGGTTGGCCTAATTTACTGGGGCTTTATGCGGAGCTTGCTGTTGCTATTTGATTTTGAATGAGGTTGATAGCCCTTAGGTGAAGAGCTAAGAATACAGTTGGATACTTTCAGATGTGAGTGGGGAGGCATTTGGAGCATTCACCTTTATTCTTTTTATTCTAATATAGACAGACTCAGAAACCACACTAACCCCAGGAGGCTAACCAATGACAACCTATGTACTAGTAGCGTTGGCGTTGTACTTCTCGAGAGGATTTACATTTCATTCTGGAGGTACGAATATAAGGTTTAATCGATTTAAGGTTGTTTGAACCCTGGAATGGCTGTGTCGTTGTAACTCTTTTAATCATTTTAAACAGGAGATAGGTAGAGAATGGAATTCTTATGGGTGTTTGTAGGTGGTCCAATGGGAGGAGGATTTGGTGCAAGTGTATTTTTCGAACTCTTTTATAAGAAATAAATAAAGAGACTGTGAAATTATATATAATTTTAATCAAAATAATGGGTAGTTTAAATTTGAATTGAAATTCATTTGAATAAAAAATGCAATTTACTATGTAATTTTAACCTAAATAACACACAATTTATAATTGATCATAAAAATTATTTTAGATACTAAAATTGATCTTGACTTCTGATGAATTCCTCGTAAATGATGTAATTTACGTTGCTTCTTCTTCTTAATAGCTTTTAAATTCCTGTAAATTAGAATTGGCCTCCACAATCAATCATTTCATTTACAGAAATGAACTAGAATGCTATCTTATTATCAATCAATAAATCGGATTAGAATAAGGGAAACAACACATTCTTCTGCACTTAATAACCTTGTTTAGTAAATAAGTCGGCAACTTATTGGATAACTTATTGGGGCAGATACTTTTCAATGCCAATTTCACTATTTCTTTGAGTAGCCTATTATCTCATTTGATTTAGTAACAATTGTAATTCCCCTTATTAATAGTTGCACTGAATTTTAGACATTAGAAGCAAGTATTTTTGTTCAATGTATTATGGATCTAAAGCAAGGATTAGTTCATTGTATAGCTATTATCCGATTTCACACTTTGGAAGTGAAGTGACAAGCATCATCAAGAAGCATTTACTGGTCTGGTCCAATTCTTAAATTTGTGTTGGATCAACCTTTTCCAAATCTGAAACTTGTAGTTTATTAAAATAGAACATGGCTTGTAAATAGAATAGAACTCCTTGAATGGATGGATTGGTTTGCTGATTAAATTTGGAAGCAACTTGATCGAGGTTGTGATCCAAAGTGTTTAATTGGATTAATAGGGGGAACAAGTACTGAGTATCTTGGACTTGTTGAAGTGATTATAGGAAGGCATCCTTATGGATATGACCGACGGTTATTAGACTGTGAAAGAGGATGATCAGGCTTTTCTCTGAGAACATTTTATCATATGATTTCAAAAGACTCGTTAATTTTTGATAGGGAACATGGTTGGCTGATTTGTAACTATAAGGGTATCTATGAAATACAGTTTGGAGCAATATCACTTCGTTTACTCTTCTAATGGGATACATCATCTTGATATCTATTTGACTCAAAGATGATATAGTCATGGCAATATCAAATTCATCTTACTCCTTATTCCTGTAGGTTAGGATCTCAACAAATCTCTTTTTAGTTTATTAAACCAAATCATGAGATCGATGAACATCTAACTTGGATAAAAGCAACGAGAATTAAGCCAGATGTCTGCATTCACAAGACTCTATTGCTGATTACAGAATTTTGGAATTGCTCTTTAATAATGATGAAATCTATTTATTATCCTCTAATTTTAAAAGAGTAGAAGACAAGATCATTAAAGTATCTCTATCGATTTCTAAGATTGAATTAGGTTGACACAATAGAGACTGGGTTAAATTATACACAACAATACTAAGACTTTAATCATTTATTAAAGGTCTTGATAAAAATGATATGAAGGACTCAGCCTCATAGACACTTAAATTATTATTGATTCTATTCTATATGATATCCTAAACTAGAAGGTTTTAGAGTTATAGATTTTTTGACAATGGCAATGAATGAAAATTCCTTACAATCATTGAAAATTAAGAGTTGGATAGTTATTTAATTCTTGGAATCAGCTGAGTTGCTAAATTATCATACAAGTGATACGATAGTTTGTCATAGACAGTTTGTATTGATTTGGGTTGTAAGAGACTCAATGCTAAGATGGTTTATGCCAAGGTTTGATCATCGTACTCAGATCTAGCAATGTAATTCAACAAGGCTCTGTATCTATCATCTGATAACAGAGCTAGCTGATCTTTTTTGACAACCACTAGTTTTTGTAAGATTGAGGATGCGATTTTGGGAGTAAATTGATCAGGAATTTAATCCATTGTAGAGATCAATCTCATTAAGATTTCAGGTGTGCTTATGTCATATTTAATATATCTGACACATTCTTCTTCAGTTAGATCTGCAAACTAAATCTATCCCCTTGTTCTCATTTAGAGTGAATTATTGTAGAATTTATCCATCAAATAATTTTAGTAATTATGAATCACATTTACACTAGATTAATGTTGCGAAAAAGTAATCAATGAATTGTCTCTCTATTGCTACATTCCTACATAAAACTACTTAACAGCATCCCAATCAATGAGACTGGTGCTGGAATCAACTTGAGATTTGAGTTCGTCTACAAATTCATCTACTTAGTTATTCTCTAGTTTTGGTAGATGAGATTCTATTGTTTACTTTAGGTTTGGATACTAAACTAATAATTGGCTTTTGATTAAAAACCCGTATGGATTCCTAACATTTTCTCTCATTTCTGTAATTCTTTAATTGTGCAATTGATGTAATGTGGACTTATATTATTGATGTTGGGAATTCAATTGCAAATATTCAGTTTCACCTTGCTCTTGCAAATATTATGGAGGCAGATGATTATGAACTCGATTATCTTCTTATTTAATGAGTCTGAGACGTTCATTTTTTTGGAATAACAATTTTTCAAATTTTTTCACTTCCTCTGTCATATATGCATTTTCCACCCATTTCAATTTTTTGTCCTCCACTTCTTGTCTATCCATTCTACCAACTTCCTTATCAATCACTTTATCTATGGTCTTCTTGTATTGCTATTTGATATATTTGTTGAGATTATAAGGTTTAGTCAAATGCTAAATCTTTTATGATGAATCCTGTATATTGATGTACTTTTTAGACAGATTCCTAATCTTCATTTTCTCGAGTTGAGCTTTATACACTTTGGAATAATCTTTATCGACATCTCTAAGTATTTTGGCTATCTTTCTACCTGTTGAAGTAAAACCATATTTAATTATCATTAAAATTAATAATACTAATCACAACTTTGATTATTATTTTTAGTGTAAAATAGATATATATATATATTTAAATTCAATAAAACTTGTATTTTAAGGGTTAATTTTTTGTTGTTCCAGGAAAATACTGTTAATACTTTTAATTACTTCCATTTTTGGACGTATGAAATGATTATGATAGAATGCGCTTGTTTTGTGGAGTAGTGTCATTATTAAGATTTCCATAGAGAGTGAGAGTTATATCTTTGTCCTTCGACTTCTTCTAACTATAACTACTGCTGGATTTCTTTTTTTCCATTTCAGGTTCAGAGATGTGATGATGGCGAATAGTTTCATTATTTTTAAAGAACACCTTTTAAGTCATCTGTTCGGATTCTAAATATTTGATGTGTTGTGATCGTATCTCTTTGGGTAATCCCTCCAGAATCCATTAATGCATCAAAGCATCTATGGGTTTCATTCTTTACTGAGGATCCCAATTGAAACAATTATCCAGAAAGTCAATGAACAATTTATCCTGACATTTCATGACTTATTATAGGTCTTTTGATTTGGGAACTCTTACTTTACCTCTCTTACTCTTATAAGGCAATGGCTGATAAGGTGTACTGGAAGTGAAAAAGTGTTTCTTCCTGGTAGCTTTCTATGGAATAATGTGGATGTAATTATACCTCAATCAAGGATTGATCTGGGACTCCCTTGACTTCCATAATATAAGCAATTTGTTCTTGTTCATTCTCACCAGGAAAAATAGGATAACCTATGTACAACTCAGCCATTATACACCCAAAGCTCCACATGTCTATACCCATGTCATATGGAATGCCAAAAATGACTTCTGGAGCTCTGTAATATCTGGATTAGATGTAACTATAGATTCTTTCATTTTCAAAGCAACTGCTGCCGAAATCAATTATCTTGATGCCACTCTTGTTGGGTTACTTTAAGAGGATGTTCTCTGGTTTGAGATCGCAATGGATAATCTTATGTTTGTACAGAAAGTTGAGGGCGTTGAGTATTTGAATGGCAAATCTACGGATGAGTTCTAATGATAAGCCTTGGTAGTTGTTATTCTTAATGAGTTCGTACAAATTCAGTGACAAGAGTTCACATATTATGCACTATGAATATATAGATTAATCGTTGTTACCACGTGATTTCTGAAGATCACAAAGTCTTTGATTTTGACTATGTTTGTGATGTTCTCCTCATCCTTGTCTCGGATGAAGGAGAGGATGTTCAACTCAACCAAAGCTTGATTCTAGAACTTCTTCTGGTTTCTGATGACTTTCAAACAGAGGACTTGTTGTCTCTTGTGATCAAAGACTTTGAATGCTTGTCCAAAACTGCCAGATCCTACATGTTCCAACAATTCATATCTATAACCAATGTGATCATGCAATGCATAGAGGTATTCTCCTTGGGAGTTGTCGAATCCGTCATTGAAATTATTTTATGTTTATGATATTTTCTTGGCATTTATTCCTATACAATAAATCTAATCATACATAACAAATCATACTCTCTTAAATGTCAGAATCTCGGTCTTTTCAAATTCCGTCAATGCGTAACCGTACTTAGCCAAACAAACCTGGGGAGTAAGGGGCAATTAACATTTATTCCATTCAAACTCACTTCTGGTTATACTAGTTTTTTTTGTTGTCAATTCAGAAATTGTTGTTTTTTCCTTAGACAATGTGCCTTGTCGTATATTTACTCTCTCTGTGGAATCACTCGTCTTCGTATCCAATTTATTCTAACTCTCTCTCTTGTTATTCTGCACAAAATAATTCAAGTTGTTCGCATGCTTATTACTCAGTTGTGTCTGTTTCAATAACACTTCCTTTAATGTTTCTATCGATGATCCAGTTTTTATAGAAGCAGTAACTTTGCATTTCTGTTATTGTTGTTCCTTACTTCCCACTCTCTTCGCTGAAAACAACCTCTTCCTTGGCGATCCCGATGGAGACGAGTGCTTGTTGGTCATCGGATAACGCATTTTTATCTCAAATGAAATGTTATTTTATTAAGTAATCTTCCCTCTCATAAGTTGTTAAAAATTAAAATAATCATTTCTTTTTCTTTTACATCCCACTCTTTCCACACTCTTGTGCTTTTCTCTCCCAAAATACTCCTTGTTGCCTAACCGTCTCCACACTAAACTTCCTGCTGCAAATCCTGTCTTACACCAAACCCTCAACACTCTCCCCACCCTCACTAAACGATACCTCCTCCCCCAATTTCCGCCCCTTAGCCTATCTAATTATCGCTCTTAAGGCTTCACTCTGAGCCTTCCAATTCGGTTTCTCATTTTTCACCTCCCCTTACTTCTACTCTTCTTTTGTTGTCTGCATTTGCAATTGCCTCTTCACTGGAATTCCTCTCCCTTGTCCATTATTCTCCACATCTATCACTCTCTACTTCGAAGAATTGAACACCTTTCTCTTCTGCTGAAACACCTTCTTGCAAATCTATTAAATTTTATTTCTCTTCTCATACCTTAGAATGCCTTTCTAAAGCATACGCATTAAATGATCTTCCACACCCTTCTGTACATTCGTAAAGTTTATCCTAGAATCTCAATTCCCCTTTTAAAATTTTTTGTTGCTATCTAGTTTTGATTGGTTGTTCTTATTTTTTATTCAAGGTTTCCTATGACTTTGTTTAATGGATTGTCTTTGTTAATTAATGCTATTAGGTAGGCTTTACTTATTAATCTTAATGGGTTGTCTATTTCAATTATAATTAAGACTGTGTTGCGGTTTTTGGTCTACTTAATTTTTATTATTATTATTAATTATTCAAAGATTTTGGTTAATTAGATTAAATTAAAAGCTTAGATTATTATTTTTATAAAACAGGAACCTCTTATTGATTTAAATTCTATTATGATTTCATGTCACTTTATACATTTGTAATTTGTTAATTTGGTTCATTACTTTTTGAATCAATTGGCTATTATTATTGTGTCAATGGCCTTTCAGATTATGACAATTCAGATGTCTTAATGCTTTTTTAGAGGGGAGATTTTTCCTTCTCATTCATTTTTGGAATGAGTTTCTCATCCGAATTTTATATGCATGATTTATTTCGATGAGAGTTCTTTTGAAATGTCTATTTTAAAGGGGATTTTGCTTAGGTTTTCTTGGTTTAATCCTCTTATCTACGAGTTGGAACATTGGATATATTCTGGAGGGGTTTTGATATTCTAGACACAACATCAATTTTTGGTTTTTAGGTTGCAGAAGTTTATACATTGAATAGTTTATTGAAAGAATTCTATGGATTCTAAGGATAGAGGGATGGACTTACTTATTTAGATTACTTAAACATACAATATGTAGGTTTGGACGGTTTGAATAAATTTAAAACTATATTATTTGGTTAATAAAATAAACTTGGCTCAATAACTGTGAATTAACTAGATTCTATCAGCCGCTAAATTCCACCAGAAATAGATTCTCCACTTTTTCTCCTTCAATTTGCTTTCCTTATCCAACCCATAAACCACTGTCCGTTTGCCATCGCAGACTTCAAAGTAGTTGTTATCGACATCCAATTTAACAGCCAACAGTTTTGGAGGCATCTAAACTGTTATTTATTGAGTCTTACTTTAAATACATTATTGAAATCAGTTCCAATTCTTACATTCAATCCTGCTCCATTTTGACTAAACAAGTCTTTTCTATAGCCATGACCATAAGGAGACTTGTCTTTTTACTCTTCCTCTACAACACCTACATAGAAGTTCCCATTAGCTCCAGCTCTCTTTTGATCGAATTCTTTAAATAAGATTATACAACCATGTTGTCCTTCACTAAAACTTGCTTCAGAATAAATAATTTAAGATTGAAATCCAGCTCCAGCACATTCTTTATAGTCTTCTGCCAACTATTTGATTTGCTTGGACTCATCAGCCTTAGAAGGGTTGAATTTCCATTGGAGTCTCCCAAATTTATACTAATATGAGATTAATGGAAATGAATACAGGCCATTGTTAGATGCTAGATTAAATTTATTCCCAATAACTTTCTAAGGACTGCTTGTTGGATGCTATCTAATTGAATCCATTTTTCCCTGACATGAGTCCTTAGAACACTTTTCTCATGTTAATGATTTACTCAGATCTTCTTTTATCGTTTAAGTATTCATTGATTTTGGCACTCAAGAGATTTGGATCACTCTTAGCATTTTCCTTGATTAGTGTCTTGATTTTAGTAAGATCATAGATGGCATCATAATTTTTCTTAAGGTTTTCAATGCTTGGTGTTTAATCCAATTCCTCGTCTATTTGATTTAGGGATCAAAAATACCTTCTTTCTTAAGATCTTTCTTCTCTTCCTTTTTGTCATCCTTTTTTGTATCTTTCTTATCATCCTTCTTTGTTTCCTTCTTATCATCCTTCTTAGTCTCCTTTTTGTCATCTTTTTTGGCATCCTTCTTCTCTGGCTCCTCCTATTTTAGTTTTTCATCCTTAATGAATTAAGTTGCATTAAGTGCTTCCACCAATAGTTGTTTGACATTCTCCACTTACTCATTCAATTTGGCTTTCATCTAAACGAAGAAATCCTCAACATCCTTCCTTTATTATTCGACGCTCTAAAGAAAGTTACATTCAATAGTTACCTTATATTAAAGGAGGAATTCCTTGACTTTGTTACCTTCATCATCAGCTGGCCAATTGTATACAGAATAGGCATTTCCTTCCATAACTTCATCCAAATCGCAAAGTTTAAGTTTGCTTACTATTTGCGATTTTGTAAAATCTGCACCACTAGCATCACTTTAACACTGAAAGCAGAACAGTCTTTTTTCAGCCTCGTTCTGAAGAGTAATGGATACAAACTTTTTTTTGTTATGATCAGCAGTCGTACACCTAAGATCTTACATAAATATAATTAATATTATTAAAGGAAAAAAATTTAACATTTTTATTCTCCGATTTTTCATTTATTGTTGTCTTTCATCAATAGTTGTGTAAATTCTTAGAATGTCACCATCCCATCCCCATTAGTATCCAATTCGGAAAAAACATTTTCCCATTGGTTTTCCTATAAGGCTAATCCACCGAATATCTCTTGAAGTTCCTATTTACTAATGGTTCCATTTCCATCCTTGTCAAATAGTTTAAAAGCCTTTTCAAGTTTCTCCTGAGCCATTAAATTTGACAACTCCGAATACGCTACAATAAACTCTATTTATTATTAACTCTCTTTACCTGTATATTCTATGGTTCCTGAGCAGTCGACATCAGAGTACTTGAAGATCTTGTTCACTATTTAATTGCATTTTATTTCATCCTGATATAAATCCATATAGCCTAATTCTATGAACTTATTGTTTACATTAAACTAATTCTTCTTTACTCAATTTACCATCACCATTTTTGTCTATGGCACTAAACCCTTGTATCAATTCTTTCTTCTCCTTCGAAGTCATTATCTGAGTTGAAATCAATTGCAAAATTGCTGAGCCTAATTTGCTATTATTCTTAATTATATTAAACTAGTCAAAATACATGAAATTAAGAAAGATTTTCTAGATTTTTTATATTGATTTTTTCCTCTCTTTTATTGCTTACAATCCAAGGTTCTTTTAATGCTTATTCTGCTGAAATTCGCTTGGCAGGATCTACTACTAAGAGTTTAGAAATAAAAGTCTTAGCATCCTACGAAACATCTTGCCATTCTGAACCTAATCATTTCTTTATATTATAAAATTACCAGTAAAATCAACATTTCCACATTTTATATTTCGATAGAGTTCCTCTATGTTGGTTCCATGAAATGGAGGCTTTCCACACATCATAATGTACATTATTACTCCACATGACCAGAGATCGCATTTGTTGTTGTAATTTTAATCTATCACTTCGGGAGCTATATAATAGGGTGTTCCAGTCTTTTGCTTCAGTTGGGTGTTCGAGAGGACCTGCTTGGCAGTGCCAAAATCAATGATTTTAAGGGTTTGTTCAGATCCTCTTTAAGCAAATAATATGTTTTCTGGTTTTAAATCCCTAATCGTTATTTACTTATTACCTATGAACTATGTTACTCTAATGACAATAATTCACGGCACTTAATATTTATTTCATATAATTAGCAGCCATGCTCTCATTTAAATTGCTCCGTTATTAGATCCGATCGAACAACTCTCCTCCACTCAAATATCTTGATTAATCATCTCTATTTACTCAGTTATCAAGTAATAATAGCGTTCATCTTGATAAAGCTCATAAATATTCACAATGTTTGGATGATCAAGACCTTTCAATATATTTACTTCTTGAATCATCTTTTCTCTTTGACTGGCTAAGATCCTGTCCTTAGCAATCTATTTCATCGCCCTGAGAATTTTGGTTGATTTCTGCTTAACCAAACTCACTCGCCCAAAAGTTCCTTTAGATCAACAATCTTCTTACCTTCGCCTAAAGTGGATTCTATCTCATAATATTAGGATATATCCCCATTCTTCTAGGACACAAATATACTTGGAGCAACCTTAAAGTCTGTTCTCTATTTCTTAAAACTTTTGTTTGATTTTATTGTTGAAACCTCCTAAGTCTTATGAAAAGTAGTCAGACTCTCTGTTTTTTAATGAGTTGTTCTCTTAGGTTAACCACTGCACGAACCCATAAAATTATATATTTATTTATGTTTGTTTTTTTGTCGAATAATAATAACTCATTCAGATTATTCCCAATTGCAATAAATAATTTTGAGCCTACAGACTAACTCTCACATATTGAAGGTAGAACTAGTCTCCTTTTCAATGGGCCATCAATTGGTTGAGATTCTAGGATTGTAATCTATGCACTTTTCTACAATACTCACTTTTCTTATATTAATATTCCTTTATTAATATAATTTATAAATCTTAGTCGGTAAACTTCGATTATAAAATGAATAGCAAGAGTGAAACCAAAATAAAACAAATAGGTGATTACGCTTTTGATTTAAATAAAGAAATAGGATCTGGATATTCCTCCAAAGTGTATTTGGGAGAAAATTTAAAAAACAAATAAATAGTGGCAATCAAAGTTATTAGTTCTTAGACATACACCTCTCCAATCTAAAAATCTTTACTAAAAAATGAAATCTCCATCCTGCTCAGAATTGACCACCCTCATTTAATGAAAGTGTTTGAAGTTAGTCAAAGTGCCAATAATACATATATAGTAACTGAGTTTTGCAATGGAGGAACCCTGGAACTTCAGATGAAATAAAATGAATTGCCAATCTCCAAAGTCTTCTAAATCCTAAAACAAATCTCGTTGGGAATACAAGCTCTGCACAATAAAAGTAATAACGAAGAATTTTACCTTAGAAATCATCCACAGAGATCTGAAGCCTGCCAACATACTAATCCACGAGAATGTGTACAAACTAGCTGACTTTGGATTTGCACTCATCGAAGATCAAATAGAAAGCATAATCAAAAGATTCAACGTTGGCACTCCACTCTACATGGCTCCTGAAATTCTACTAAATAACCAATATTCTGAAAAGAGTGACATATGGGCACTCGGCATCATGACCTATGAACTCATCTTTAATTGCATTCCCCCTTACAAATCTGATATCAAGGTTCTCCACAATGACATACTAAAAAAATCACAGAAAGTAGATCTCTAATACCAAAGCATAATTAAATAATTGCTGTTTGCTATGTTATAAACAGAACCCAATAATCGAGAGAATATCAACTAGATTCTAAACTATATAATGTAAGATAAAGCAGAAACTGTATCTCCAAGAATTCAATAGCAATTTATCAAAGTACCATCCTTTGGTGTACAATCCAATCTGAGTTCTCCACTATCAACCCCAAAATAAGTAAACACTCTTGAAAGCAACAGATAAAAGTACCAAAAAAAGGTTTAAACTCACACCAAAGCATAAACGTTTGATTCTTTAAAATTCTTGAGTTTAAATAAATACAAAGATGTCCAAACCAAGATGAATTCTGTGTCTGATTTCAACACAATGGAAGATCAGCCTAAAGTATTTTCTCAAACTTCAACTAAAAAGAATCGTGAAGTCTTAGGTTAATAATCAACTGAATGCTCCTTTTCTACTGCAAATAATAGCAACAGACCAAAAACAATGAGATTGAAAATGTAGCTAACTCAATTGCCAGCAATAGTTTTACCAACATATTATTTTTGTCTATTTTTGGAAAATTTAATCAAAACTATGGATTGTTCTACTGAACAGAAACAATAATGCAATTTTCTATTTAGAAAACTGTTGGCAATCAAAGCCAAAGCGTTTTATTCATTTGCACCGTAGACAATAAAAGACTAATTGTCTCAATGGATGAATTAATTAAGCGTTTACTATTAGAAGATAGAGCACACTCTCAATTTTACCTTGGATAACACATTTTAAATCTTCTTCAACTCTTTGTTGGAAGATTAGGGTAAGTTGTTGAGTATGTATTTGGTTAGTTTGTTGAGTTAAGTGGTTTTAAAGGAATAAAACCCAGACTTTGAAACTTTGATTGACATTCTACAAGAAAATGTGAAACATCAAAATGACCCTTTTTTATTTGCTAGAAAATGGGCACACAATCAAATACCGTGATTTTTCCTATTTCTATTTTTCTAACAATTTTTAATATACTCAAATTATAGAAATTGTGAATATTCTCGATTAATTATTTTATTAAAATGGGAACTTGTAATTCTTAAAAAAATACATGCAATACTGTCAAATAAATAAACCAAGTTGAAGTCATTTCTTAGTTCACTACTATTAGGGAATTGATGCACTTCTTTGATTAGATTAGTTTAGAGAAATTGAATTTCCCAGATTTATCAGCATTTCTATCGAAGCACATCAACAAAAATAGAGTAGTTAATGAGGGCAAAACTTGGGTTGCTATAAATGAAGTTAAAACCATCTTAAACAACAAAACAGCCATCTTGATTAGGAACTTTAATCCAGAAACTGATGCAGCCATCTAATTAATTTATTTGCTTAAGCAACTCATAGAAGTTTCAATGGGGGCTCAAGAACTATCAACTAGTTTTAATGAGAATGCAGTCGAACTTTTTCATTATTACCAAGCTCAATTGGTTCAAGTAAAATCTACAATCATTACTTTAGGTCTCCATCGAAGTGCTACTAGCAGTTAATACATTGGTGCGGAAATAGGAATACTGGTGGAAAGATAATTATTTCAATTGGAGAAGCATTTACATCCAAACGATGTTTAAAATTTAATAGCCTTTTGTAGAAAAGATAGATCTGATTGGGCCATTTTATGGATTTATCGCTTTATTAAAATAATGCGCTCAACTAATTTGTAACCAGTAAAAGTCACCAGATCTTATTGAAATTGACATCAAGGCTCAATAGGAAGTCCTAGAATAATTCTACAGTTAAATCAGAACCGGCTTTTTGTAAAATCAATCAAGTCAACTTGAGAGTATTAATTGGGAACGGTAAATTGCTTCAAAATCACTAGGATAATAACTACAACTTTATCATCTCTATATAAATAAGAAAAACTATACTTCTTGATTCTATCAATTAATTTAAATATACTATATTTTAGTAAATTCTCATTCAAAATTAATAATATAACAATCAATTCATTCTTATAACAAATACTCAACACTCACAGGATTGTCTATCATTTTGAACACCTCCAGAGACATCCTAAGGCTGCTCCTTACGAATCTATATAATTTCCTAGTCACCCGATGCGTAGTTGTTGAAAAGTGTGGAAGATTTAAATGGAGTGCCCTCCTACCTTTGTGAAAAGATTTATTTAGTTGATGAATACTGTTGATTAGGAGCAAGCAATCCCAAGTCTAAATTATAGTATAAAATAATACTTATGGCAATTTGATCGAACACCTAATTCATTTTGTCTTTGAATTCAGGATCCTTGTGATGTGTTGTTATATAGTAGGATATTTCGTATTTATCTTACAAATTTTAAACAGATTCATTAAAATCAACCTTTTGCAAGTCTGTCTTATTCTAGATAAAATCACTCAAATACTCCTATTAAAATCATTATTATCTTAGTTCCAACTTAAAATATTAATTCCTCAATCCATTTGTCAATATGCAATAGTGTTTCCTCTCTTGAGCTATCGTAAATTATTAAAGCGGCTTTTGCTCTCTTATAATGACTACATTTTGATATTATAAAGCATAAACCTTGAGACAACTGATCTATATTTTTCTTATCCAGCCGTGTCCCAAATTGAAAATTTGATGTTGTTTCTAGAAAAGGAATGATGCTAAACTCCAATTGTGGTTTCAGGTTGTGAACTCATATCTAGGAAGCTTGAGTCATTCAGTAAACTTACTTGTGCAGAATTGTTGTTTTGCCTACTCCACAGTCGCCAAGTAAGATAACTATCTAAGTGATTGAACTTACTTTTATTTTAAGACATTGTTAGAAATAAATTATCAAATATTAATAATCAAATTCTTGTGTTTACCCTAATATTTCAATCTATTAAGTTATCAAATGTATAAAGCGATCCCACAACCCTTATAAAATAATATTAAAACATCAAGGGCAATGCTTTATTTATTAACATTATTTAATTGCTTAAAAAGAGTGATAATCAAAAAATTACTGATTATGTCTATTTAGTCTAACTGATATCAATTGATTTTTGAAACATAATCATAACAAAATAATGAAAGAAAGCAAATAAAAACATATAAAAACATATATTATATTGAAAATAATTAATAAATAGAATTATTGTTTTTTTGTATTGAAATATAATCATCATAATCTAATAGTTATTTTATCAATTAATCATGCTAATATTGTTTTGATACCACTTAAATTATAAGAGATTTAACAATCAACAATATATTGCAATTGAAAAATAATGCATACTTTTTATGATAAAATCAATAAAAATAATATCTCTATATGGAGATTTCATAATTGAACTAAATCTAGATATAAGTCAAGACTGAGTATTATTATTGAACATAATTTTGGAATTAATTGAATATAATTTATTATTAATAATGATAAAAGAAAATGATGAACAAATTAAAATTATGACAGATTTTCTTCAGAGCAAGATCTTCATAGAAAAAATGAAGGGTGATATGCAAAAGAATCTAAAAAAAAGATCTATGCTAAATGCTTAAATCAAATACTTCTAATCATTTGATAAAGATGAAGAAGTATTATTAGAATCAAATCATAGTTAGTGAGAATTTGCAACAATTCAGATTGCTGTGTGAATTAGGCTTTGAAATGCGTCTTAAGAGAGAAGATTTAAACTCAATCATTGAAACCATACTGGAGAGTCTTGTCAAATATAAATTATAATCTTAATAACAATTCATGCTAATATAGGAACTTATAGAATATTCAGCATTTTCCATCTCAGTTTTAAGAAATAATTAAAAGAGATATTTTACGGACTACTTAGGATGAAGAGAATCGAGCAAAATTGAGCAATATACTAAACGCATATAGTATCCGTAATGCATAAATTGGATATTGTTAAGGGTTTAATTATATAGCGTATTATTTCCTTCAGCATTTCAGCGAAGAGGTATAATTTTGATCATCTCTCTAGGAAACATTCTGGTTCTTATGTTTTCTATTTGAGACACTCTTACCACCAAATTATTATAATCATTTGTATGGAGTTTAATGTGATGATTTCATAATCAAAGATCTCCTATAATTTTTAAGACCTCAATTGATTAGTCATATGTAAAGATTGCAGATAGATACAAGTTTAATTATAATTTAATGGTTGGTTTGCTGTTTTACTCTACACAATCGATTGAGCGAAACTATTATCGATTTATTATTGTTAGATGGATCTAAAGCGTTGATAAAATGTGTTCTCACTTATCTGAGTTTATCAGAGGCCATATTATTATAATGCTAAGACATAGGCACATTTATTATGTCAATAGAGAACTTCATTTAGAGCTATTAAGATAGGGAATAATATGTCAAGGAATACAACAGAATCTATATCAATAATAAAATATTATAATTTGTGAGATAGGAGTATTCGAAAAAGGTGGTTCTTATGGTTTAATAGAGAAGTAATCAAAGTGCTTAATAATTGGATGCATATTTATTAGATCTGAAATAAAAAAAATGTAATCCTGAATCACCTGTGTGTCAATACATTCTGGAGGCTTGGAATAGAAATAAAAGACATCTTGATTTTATTATTATTCAAGAACAAAATATAAAAGTCATCTAAGATTATGATCAAACCCAAAACAGATAATCGATTTTAGAAAATTATGATTAAATGATATTAAGATAAAATCATATATGTCAATCAGACGATATCATATTGATTAGAGAAATCTAATACTCTGATATCTAAGATGTTGAATTAGTAAACATGAAATAAACTCAGAAAACTAATTAGGTTAGTAAGAGAACAAGAAGTCCCATAAAAGATTTTCTTCTTTTTCCATTGAAAGTATTCAATTAGAAGGAGTAAGAATAAAAATTAAAAATGAACCCATAAAAATATAAAATAGAAACAGACTCATATTAAAGAATGGTCAAAAGTGTCCAAATTCAGCAATCTCCAAACACTTCATAACAAAATAGAGGCAGATCTCCATAATAAACAAAATCTTAATAAACTGATGATACGAGTCAATGTTAGATTCCAGCTTATATAGAGAGGACTTAGAATTAGAAGGAAGAACTGCCAAAAATTCGAGAATCAATTACAATATAATTCTTGACAGAGTTATAGAAAAATACTGGATTAATTAATATAGATTTGAATATTAAAGATGTTTTTGAGTAAAAAACTTGATTTATTATAAAATCATACTTATTGATTTAAACTATACTAAAAATATTGTTATTTATACTTATTCGATGTTTGCATAATCTAAAGGATACTGTGTTTATGGGATATTTGAATATCTATAAGGAGAATTTTGTTGACTGTTTGAAATTGAGTATGTGGCAGGAGCTTTAAAATAGGAACGAATCTTACAATAATTGTTGTTCTACACATCTGTGATGGCCAATTAGGGTGTATTTTTGTAGAAATATTAGTTCTAATCATAAAAATAATCTTGAAATTTATAAAGGGACAAAATACATGGCTATTATTTCTAGGTGTAAAACTGGTATTGATTATAGGGGAACACTTGAGGGTAGGGTGTCGATGCTCCGCTTTCTGAGCAGGGTAAGGTCTTGTATATGTTTGGTTCATCTTAACAAATTTTAATTGCTTCTTTAAAATTAGTTACTGTTTTTAAAGATTAATATATACATATATTTGGGAGATTGGTTAGTACATTTGTGAGCATGAGGGTCACATAATCATATTTTTTGTTAAATTCTAATTGGGTTTAATGAATTTTCTATATATATATATGTACTTTCATACTTGCAGAGTGATAAAATTTTATTTATTCAAAGAGGTTGACTAATCTAAGGATTTTGCCAAGTTCTTTTGTATTTCTTTATGGCCTGTTTGAAGATCTTGAATCAATATTTTAATATTTTCATGTTCCTGTTTATAAAAATCAAGTTCTTGATTTTGTTCTCTCGTGTCTATTTTTTAATCTGATTCCTCTTAATTTCTGCGTCGGATATATTGTATCATGTTCCTAGAAATAGGGATTTAGTTTTTTTTACTATTAGCCCTTCCTAAACCACTTGTGTCTAAATTCACTAAATCCATATTGATTTCTTGTCTTTTTAAAATTGTACATGTTTAGTTGTCTATATTTATAATGATACTTACCTTAGAAAGCTAGGATAATTTTTATGCTTGAAATAATTGGCTAGGACTTGGGATGACAATTCGTTTGGATTATAGACAATAAAAGCAGTCCCTTCACTATTCCAGGATATGAGATGCGATAATGAATCATTCTTAATGATGAATTATAGTCAAAATACTTCCAATATTTCGTAAGTTTTTATTAAAAATGAAGGCACGCTCACTTTTAGGTGGGGATAGATATTGGGATATAGATTTGACATATTATTTATTTTTTTAAGGAATATTCAAGATTTATTTCCAATTAAATATCACAAAAATAGAACAAAAAGATTGCTTTAAAAAAACAAATTTAAACTTTATATTATATTGGCACAGATAAATGAAATTAGTGAATATCTTCTTTCATAAAATTAACACTGCTTTGTTTTTCAAAATTTGTGAGAATTTCAATTGCTATCTAATTGAGTTGAGTCTTAAGAAGGAATTTGATTAAAATTGATGAAGATGAAATTATGACAACAGGAACAAATTTAAGCGAATTATCAGTTTGGAATGTGAAGAAATGAGCGAGTTTAAATTTGAATGTCTTTAGTGATCAAAACATTGGAGAATTATATTTAGAATTAATTTTAATATATATAATATATTTTAAATTGACATAAAATGCATAATAATAATCATATTAACATTGCAAATACAGATATAATAATTACAATGTCATTAATTTCTCTTTATGCACTGCATATACCATCAGTGTTTGTATCAAAACTAGCACCAACTATGATTTATAATTGAATTAATACGTGCAACTGTAAATTTTGAATCATTATTTTATTAGATGATGCAGCTCACACAATACTTGAATGGTTTGTCGAGTTTGCTCAAATTCCTATTTGTGTAGTCTAAGAGTTGATTACTCCAACTAATAACCTTCTCTTTTGAATAAATTAGAGTGGCTGGAGGATTCTCCCCTTCTTTCAATTGGAATACAGCATTAATCCCATCATCAATTGCCTTAGCTACTTCTTCTCCAATATATTCTCCTTTCTTACAGTATAGAGAAGTATTTTTACATCTGCACCACCATCGTCTGCCATTTTAATTACTTATTGATATTATATTATTAAAAGTGTAAAAATGCTAGTATTTGTAATATAAAAAACTCTTATATATAAATGAATTTATTAATATTTTTATTTGATTATTAGGAATGGATAATGAATAAGAAGTGGCTATTAAACTTGGAATTGTTGGAAACCAAGGAGCAGGTAAGACATCCTTAATTTTGAGAGTGGCTGAGAAAAAATTTTGTGGAAATTAGAATTGTGGAGTCGCTGTGGATTTTAGATCAATAAGAGATTACAAGCTAAATGGAAAACGTGTTAATCTCAATATTTTCGATATTGCTGGTCTGGCTAGAAATTCTGATTTAGCACTTTCATTCATAAAAGATGCTTCCGCATTGGTTCTGGCATTTAGCTTACCAGAGTAGGAATATTATGAGAATTAAGAAGGTTAATTAAGTGAATAACTTGAAGTACAAATTCAAAATTGGACTGATAAAATTTATGATAATTCTTCTGAAAATACTCCTGTGTTTATTGTGGGATGCAAGCTTGATTTAGTTAAGGATTAAAAAAGATTAATTCCAGCCCTTGATGAGAATTTATAAGAAATTCTAAAAAAATGTAAAAAAGTCAACATCATCAACAACTCAGATAAAAACATGATCTTCTTTCCAACTTCGGCACTTTCAGGTAATGGAGTTGATAAGTTATTCTAAAAATGGTCTTCTGAAGCTTCTAAAATCAAAAAAAGTCATGGATCGACTCTCAAAACGAAATCTCATTTGAAGAAGGAAAATTAGAAAGAATAATGTTGTTGAATTTATATATTATAAATTATAATCAAATCCACTTAATGAAATAAACTCGTATTTTGCTTATAGGAGATCAAAATGCTGGAAAGACTTCATTAATCAACGCACTTTGCAACGAATCAATCACAACCTTTCCTACTATTTATTAAGAATTTAGAAAAGTTTAAATAGACAAACTAAAAATACTAATATATGATTGTCCAGGTAATCCATCAAATGAATATAATATTCAGTAAACTGCTCCTGTTGCTGCAATTGCCATCAACTTAGAACATCAAAACCCATTATTGTATTTAGAATATCATCATAATCTCGTTAAGGACAAACCTCTAATAATCTTTATAGGATGTAAATGTGATAAAACCCTCCATTCATATAATTCCATCAAGCAATAAATTTCCAAAATACTCAATATCTAAAATGTTATTTTACTTTTTACAAGTGCCCTAAATTAGAAAGAAATTGCTAAGTTTAAAGAAGACTTATCCTAGCTGCTTTATTTGAGTGGTTAAATATTCGATGATGATTTATAATCTCAACACCGTAATGCGTCTTATATAGAAGAACAAGATTAGTAATTTTTGAACAAATGGTCTCAGTTTTTAAACTGCTGTTGTATGTGTTTAAAGAAAGAAGAATGAAACAACGATTTTATTCTATTCATTTCTGATTATTATCAATTCATTTTTTTCCTTCAACCATTCAACTCTTAATATGAACTATTCATTATATTTATTTTGGACTTTTTCAATTTAAGTTCAAGCTTAAATATTTTCGATTTTCAGCAATGTTAATATTTAATGAATATATTCTCCATTTAAATAATTAATTTAGAAAAAATCAGTGTACCATTATTGATTTGCTAAATTCTTTTGAATTTAGGATTCTTGTAACTAAAATATATGTTGTTTATATATAGTATTTATGTTAATTAAATTCTTCTGTAATTTTTTTTTACATTTTTGATATATTTTAATCAATCATAATCTTCGATATCCTTTTCTGCAAATATACAAATAGCCTTTTTATTGATTTCATATTATTAGCAACTTGTGGTTTGAAGTTGTGTTTTATAAATAAAACCCTAGAATTAATGCCATTAGGAATCCAACTGCTAACAAAAACATATAAATTTAATTAATCTATTGAAAAAATCTTAAAATTTTGATAAAGCTACTATAACTAATTTATTCATATTTAATTTTACACATAATTTAAAAATTGTATTTTATATAATAATGGAACAATAGATAAATGAAAGATAGTAATTTCAAAGTCAAATATGAGAGTATCAACCATACAAGATTAACTTCTATTGAAATGTTGTGTAATAAAATTATTTCCAAAAATAAACAATCTTAAAGCGAAGATGTTTGAGGAAATTCAAAAGTCATTAATTTCATTAAGGTTTGAATTTTAAATCTATTTCACCTCAAGTAAAAAAATTCTATTCTGAATCTAATTTAAAATTTCGGCTATTATTTATCGTTTTTCCTTAGCTTCAACTATTAATTAAATCTATTGAATTATAATGACCATAAAAAATTATAATTCTGATTCGAAATATAGTTTAATATCAATAAATTTAGAATAAATTATTAATCAGCAAACCAAAGCCCTTCAAAAACAAATAATTAGAGTATTTAACATATAAGGTTTTTAATTCTGCTATTGGAGTCATTAAAATAATATTAAGTAAATTATAAAATATGTAAAATCACTTAAGTAACAATTCCTTTATATCTAATTATCAATTTCAGTTGATTCACTCTTATTGAAGTAGGATATTTTAGTAAATTTCTAAATAAATCTTTTTTAATTGAGATCTAAAATTAATTTATAAATAACTTTAGAATTATTAGTTATGACACCATTCAATAGAAATTAATAGCTCTCTTTGAAAAACTTTATAAATAACTTCTATTAGTTGCCTAAACGCTTTCAACAATAATTAAACCTCAAAATTATTTTCTAATTAATCTAATAATTTGGAGATATTGAATTCAAGCAATCTCATATACTATATTTGGATACCAATAAATATCGTATATCTGTATACTTTTATTTAATTTATATTTTTTTCTTATTCTAAAGTTTCCTTATTACTAAGGGGTATAATTTCTTAATTTTGTTAAAATATTAGTTCATGTTCTCATTCAGCTCAATTCCGTAATTTCTATAAGTAATTATGCATTTTGTTCCAATTAATCATATTATTTAATATTATTTCGAATATAATTTATTTAAAATAAAATAAATGAAAAATAGTTTTGATGTTTTTTTCGAAATATAATTAATTATATTTCATAATTTAATATTTATAATTAGATTCTAGAGTGGCAAAACTTTTATTTTCTCTACATAGAAACTGGACAATATTTTTAGATTACCATATTAAAAGAATTAATTTGATTAACATCTTCGTTAATTAGGAATATGTACTTCTTTAATAAAATAAAAATAATTCATGGTTGTAAACTCTAAAATTGTTTTAAGGGTTAAATATAAAGATTGCTATCGAACAAACTAATCATACTTAAAGCTAATTTAACAATTGAATAATTAGTCTCAAAATATATTATTCTGTTTGTTTATCAATATATTATTATATTTATTTATTTAAAAATTAGCAAATTTTCTTTTCTGTTTATTTGCTTAACTCTTCATTAAAAAGTGAATGTCTAATATATAATTTAATTCATATGATTTTCATTAATGAAGCCAATAAACTGATTAAAATAATTTTAGAAGATAATTTAATAAATAAAATTATTATGGGAATCTGTCATGGAAGCACTAAAAGCAATAAAGGATAGTTGAAACAAGTTATGGCGAAGGCAAAAAAATCTCAAGATATAGAAGTTATTTTAAAAGAGACAACTGAAGTCTATACTACATTCAATCCGTATAATAATCCCATACTTAATCGCCGTTTAAGAGAGTAAAACACCAAAACCCAAACGAATGTACAACAATGATTGAATAATCATTTTTTGGTTAATTATTGTTTTACTAGAATTGATTAATAACGATAACCATTTAGTATTTCAAAAATAAAGTCTAAAATAATTTGTTCTTAATTAAAATATCTTTTTCCAAAATTGCTTATGATTATTAATAAAATTAGCACGTTTCTTCTTTAAAATAATTTCAAAATCATCAAAATGTTCTATAACCACATATGAATTAATATTTTATATTGAAGATTCATAATTCAAATAATTCAAATAAGTTTTCATAAATTTTATCCCAATAATTCTGGATAAAAGAATAATAAACTAAAAGTTAGTATGGTTTATGTTTATCTTAAATAATAATATATGATGAAGTTTTAATTAAATTTAAACTGATCCATTAACGAGGATGTAGAATTCATCGTGATCTATTAATAGATGATTAATTTATCAATATTAATGCTGAAAGGCAAAACTTTCATTAATTTTATGTTTGAATGAATAATTATATTATTCAAGAATGTAAATAAATAATTTATTTTTCAATTTTTATAATATATCATTTTTCATCTTCCTCATCAATTTTATCTGTGTTTCCAAATTTACTATTTTTTTTTTCATTAGGACTTCCACTGAGATCCACATGTTCAAATTCAGTAGTATTAAATTTTTACATTACTTTACCATGTTGAGGTTCTTTGAATCCTTTGAATGCACTATCTTAAGTGACAAAAGATCCTTTTTCAATTTACTTGTTATTTTGTAAGGAAGGCGAATCACTTTAAAATTCTTAAGTTTAGAAATTCTTTCCTCCGGAAGAAAAAAATTATTTTTTTTGAGAAGATGTTTGTTGAAGTTTGGTTTCTTAATTTTGACTTTTTTCAAAAAATGGTTCCTACAAACATGCATTGGCTGATATTCTTTTTGTAGGATCTTTCTCAAGCATTCTTTGAACTAAATTAATGATAGTAGGATCTATTTTCTTCATTAACAATGGAGTTAAATCAATTTTGCATTATTTATTTAATTTTAATACTAAATTAAATCCTACTCCTGGAAAGAGATCTTTGCCAGTCAATCTATAAGCTCATATTATAATGAAGTACAATTTAAAGAAAATAACTCCAGCACTGAAGACATCGCATACTTTGTCATACTTTTCTGATTTATCAATTAAATTTGCAATCTCTGGAGCAACATAGCCAGGAGTACCACATTTTGGAAATAAATATCTTGCATTAGATAACTGATAGATTACTTGTCAATATTGCAATAGGTTGCCAAACCAAAATCTACTATTTTTAAAGAATTCAAATCGGATTTTCTTTGTAACATAATATTCTCTGGTTTAAGATCACGATGCATTATGTTTTTCTTATGCATATATTCAATTCCAGTCAGAATTTACTAAAATTAAATTTTACATTAATGCTACCCACATCACATTACGCACTATCTCTTCAGGAAATCCATTTTTATGGCTATTTAATTCATCATGCAAACTCTTTCCCTCCAACAAATCCATTACCATATAGAATGTGTTGTCGCCTTCATAGACTGCATGCAATTTGATGAATGAGGGATGATCCAACTCATTATTAATGGAAATCTCCTGAAACATCGATTCCTTTAATTAATAAATGCTAATTACAATTCCATTTTCTGTTTCGTTTACATATGACTTATCAACACATTTTGCAGCATAATAGAGTTCTGAATTTTTGTGTCTAACCAATAATACTCTTGAAGAAGCTCCTTTTCCTAATGTTTAGAGGGGTGTGTAAAAATCTTAAATTCTTTGGAAGATTATTTTATTTCTCAGATGTTCTTTTAATTTAGTAAGTGTGACATCATCTCCGTAAAAACAAGTAACCTTAGCAATTTAAGAGTCTCTTATTTGTTTAATCTTATAATAATTGCCACAATTTACTTATTAAAACTTGAATGACACAATTTTGTAATGCTTCTTCCCATTAACACTTTCTTCCTCAACCTCCCATTTGATGTGAGTTTACAATTAAATAGGTAACATATATTTCGGAGCCTTGGCGTTCTCCTTAGATCAATTAATTAACGTAATACTTTGTAGAGATCTAGCAAATTGTTATTTATTATCCCTTTATAATGTTTTGTACCCTTTTATCCCTTTTTGTAACAACCAAATTCAAAAACTTATGGAGCTTCCAATTGCATAATATTTTTAATTAATTTTATAAAATTTAATTAACATACTATATCAGATCATGAATTAATTAATCTCTTCTTAATCATTACTCTTCATTCAACTGTTTCTTTATATGATCTCACATTTCAATTATTAATAATTATGTATATAATCTAATAATTAAATATATAGCCTAACAATTAAACTAAAATCATTACATTATTTAGTATTTTTAGCAATGTGTTTCGATTAAGAATTTTAATTCATATATATATCTTAAAATGGCAGAACAGCAATAAGCAGACTATTTGAATCTCAAAGTTAAGTCCCAAGACGGTGAAGAAGTGTTTTTTAAAATTAAAAAGTAAACCCAATTTAAGAAATTGATGGATGCATATTGTTCAAGACAAAATGTAAGACATTAAAATATAATTAGTTACAAATCTAAAATGTTAGATTCTTATTTGATGGGGAAAGAATATTAGAGACCTAAACTCCAGCAGATGTAAGAATATCAAAATGAAAATGTTTTTTAGATTGGAATGGAAACAGGAGATGAAATTGATGTTGTCATAGAACAAGTGGGAGGGTAAATATGATGAGTTAAAATAAAATAATAAAGTTATATTCAGCTATGTTTGTTTAGTCTCATTTCAAATCAATCAATTTTCTTTAATCCATCGAAGATATACTTGTAAGGATTAACAAGTATTAAAAAGATCCAACGGAATAAGTGATTGTATTTCTCTGGCCCTTCTAGTGTCATGATAAAATCTAATCTGCAATGGAATCCAACTCACAAAATATACTAGAATTGATATCACACAAAATATCATGAAAAGCAGAGAAAATTATAGTTCCAAATTTGAATAATGCTAACTCAAATAGCTTTCTAATTCATTTGATAGTTACATGTGGCATATCCGGATAAATACCTTTTGCATTTTTCTATTTGCATTCCCAATTCTTGTATTAAAAATATTAAGAGTGTAATTTCTTCTATGATTTGTGCTGATATTAAAGGTTAAATTATTATATACAGCATTTTTATCATAATAAGAATATTATTACAATATGTTTTCAGCATTTTCAAAAAAATTTGTTATCGCAATTGACAATCCTTCTTACAAAATGTTTTTATTAAAAGTCAAACATGCAGATTAATTTACTGATGAATCATAAGCCAATATGATATTGCATGGGTTTTGAATGTAAATTTCATTGAATATCTATTTATATTGATCTGATAGAATCTATTCATTTTCTTAATTCAACGCATGAAGTTGAGCATCCAAATTTTTGACCCCTTCTAATTCAGTTTGTAATTTCTCTATTGAATTAAGCTCATCAAATAAGACTGCATTTTCGTCATAAAGCAACTCTTTAATACTATTGTCTATCAACCTATATTGTATTGGCAGATAGGATGTTAAGTTAACCAACGGTACTAATGAGTTTGTTTAATCAGTAATTATCTAATTTATAGATCAAAGATTTTACAGTCGCTGAAAAGTAAAAGTAAGAAAAAAAAGAATACAGTAGAATCAAAAATGACAAAGAGATAAATTGTACTCTTTTATAATTATTAATTTCGAAAACGGATTTCTTTTTTTTATTTCTATTTGATTAACCTAAATAGAACTCTTACTCATCTTAAGCTACAGGCTCTTCTTCAATTGATTCAATCTTTTAATTAAAAAATAAATACTTCATCATTTTCATTCATTTATAGCAATTATATAAAGGTTGAAAATTTATTTACAATCTTTTTAACTTAATCTTCCCTGATCATTAAATACAAAGAAATAATCTCTTTAAGCTCTTTTTGATGAAAATAAAGGTATAATTAAAAAAACAGTAATATCAATGTTAAAAAACTCATCTAAATAGAAAAAAAGGAGATTTCTTCAAAATAAAGATTATCAATTAAACTTAGAATATTCGAATAGTAATATGCTTGTGAAACTAATTGAGACTTTGGCAATGAGTTCAGAGTATTGTGCAGATAATAATGAAAATCTTCATTCTCATCTACAAAACTTGACAAACTTGAGCCATTTAATGTGATAGCCTTAGCTATCATTTACTAAATAGCCTAAGGGTAAGTAAAATTATGATATTAATTGTCAATTGTAACCATTTACACAAAGGCAGATTAAAAAATATCTAAAATGGATTAATATTTGTCATTTATCAAAATATTGGCTGATGTTAAAATCTTATCATTTTCTAATAAAATATTTAATTCATTGCTAAGCTCAACAAAATTTATTTCAGCAAACTTACCGTTAGTGGCTTTCATAGTATATTGTTCAAGATTAAAATAGGAGCCTCTTAAATCCTATAGATTTGATTAAATCTTTAGTATAGATGCAAATCTTTAATTAGAGGCTGTTAAAAGAGTGATTGCAGATTAAAATTCACTTTGAGTCTGATTTAATATCGAGTACATAACGATAGCAATAACAAACATTACAATCATTAAACTATTTAGAATAAAAATGAGTTTCTTAAGAATTGGAGAGTAAGGGATATTCAAGAGGCGAATCATTAGCTCTTGCTGATTAGATATTTTGATTTATTGAGACTGTTCTTTTTAATCTTAGATTTCTAATTTTTAAGTTTATTCTCTTATTTATTCATCATCTTCTTCATCTTAATCTAGATCAATTATCTCCTTAATTTCTCCCCGAAACAATCTCAAAGTCCTGATATCATGACCTAATCCTTATTATGTTACAATAGTCACAGAAGGCTATTTCCTATTTTGAAAACTTTACTGAGTGAATACACAAACCTTTGGGTCATCTTAGACTTCACTATCATTTTTGATAGATTCATAATTGGAATTTTGTTAACCTAAATGTTCAACTATGATAATAATGATAAGATAAGATACAGATATATGAGTTTTATTCAATTGAATATTTAAATTAATGAGTAAGAATATTCTTTTTGATAAGATAATTTTCCTTGGGTGCTAATTGCTCATTTATTTACACTTTTAAATAATATCCATAGATCTATTATCTTAAATCCTATTACGTAAACTAGTAATTTTTAGCAGATATTTCGTATAATTATCCATAATATATCGAAGGAGTAATCTAATCATTTTATTTTTCATCAAAATCGGAACTTTTGGTCAGAGAAGTTATAGAATTTTCAAAAACAATCACATTCATCTTGTTAAGATAATCATCCATATTATCCATAAGATTTGGGAATAGTTTTTATATTGTAAGTTATCTAATTTGCAACTAACGTAAATCTAAATTAAGAATAGAGATGCAAGTTGCTGAAATGCTCTCTATTTTTCCATCAAGATTAAAAATTAAGTATGCCCAATTACTAAAACACTAATCCTATCTCAATCTGCAGAACTGAAAAATACCTTTATCAGACAAATATATTGAGTTAGTGCTGAAAGTCTAAATAATATAATTAGTTCTAGCTACCAAAAATTAAGATCTTTCTGACGTTTCATAAACTTGATCTGATCTTAATGAAGAAAAATAATCTTCAACAAAGACACTGTGCAATTTACAGTACCTAAGTTATTATAATTAATTACTTATCTTGCAGAATTTGTGATATAGGTTTGCCAATTAGATCAGTCTTAGAATACCCTAATAAAGAATGGAAGGCCTAATTGATATTTCTTATTATAGTAGGTTGATTGGCTTTACCAAATAATTCCAAAATTATTACTGGTTAAGAATATTAGCTTAATTCATCTTGATTTTTCAAAAATTAGCGTTCAGATTATTGTTAAACTAATATCTTCTTATTTGCTTTTTGTACACTTTTGAAGGCATCTAATTAGTGAACATATTTGTTAAATTTTTCTAATAATTTAAAAATTTATGCATCTTAAAGATTACCTCTTAGAAGTTTAAATAATTATTTATTTAATAAATGAATCGATTAAAGTATTTGATTACCAAAAATTTGTAGTAATGATAAATTTGGATTTTCATCTAACAATGTATTCCAAAACTAAATTTTACGATAAGTGCATTCTTCAGTTAACTATTTAATTTATTGATATTAATATTTGATGCCTCTATCTATTGTTTTAATGTAGTAAACTTCTTTTGCTGCGATTGAAGATTTTTGATATGTTTACTCAATAGTTTTCTTTATCTTGAATATCAAATATTACTATCCAAAAGAAGGATAACAAGCTTCTGCTTTATTCAACTCAATTAATGCCTTCTAGCCTTATTCCAAAGTGTCTAATAGGTAAGAAGCATAATGTAGTCTGATATCAATACTTTGAGGGTAAATTTGAAGGGCTAGTTAGTAGGTTTAATCAATAATATCTTTTAGAATCATTCTTGTATCTGAATATTTACTATTATCCTTAAACTTTTTAGACAGTTCAAATGATGTCTTAATTGCACATTGAGGATTTAAACAAGTTTGTTTATGGACTTCCAAAAATCCTAATATTAGAATTTCCTTATTTTGATCCTTTTCAAAATCTTCACATAAATCAATCAAAAAGTCTGAAAGCCAAATTATTTCTTAACTGGAGAGCTATTAAATCAAATTAGCTTATAGCAAATTGATATTTTATCTTTGTTCTTGCAGGAGAATAACCAAGAGCATTGGCAAAGTCACCAACCAACCCTTTATGGTGCCTATTAAGATTAAATGCTCAAATGTAAATGCAGCTAATAGCATAAAATTCGTATAAAAAACTAAACCACTAATTGCAGACCATAGCTTTTAAACAAGTCTGTTGTAGAAAGGTCTTTTTAAACGAATTTTGTAAAAGAATAAGAAACTTGTTAGAACTTAAATTAGAATTACAACTACTGAGTATTTTGGTTGTTCTAACAAACAATACAGTAACATTGAGAGTGATGCATGCACAAACATAAATGTGTACGTAGATCCTTCTCTTTATGAAAAGGCATTCTTTTTATTATTTCTAATCTCAATAAAGAGTTTTGATTCAATTACTACAATCAGGAACATTATTGCTATTGAAAATATTACTACGCAGACATGAATTATGTAACCACTCGTCCAACATTCTTAATCTGTTGTGTACAACATTTTTAATTAACCATTGCTATCTCGTTTACAAACTAAAAACTAAAATTAATAAATATATATGAATATACTCCTAAATGTAATCTCAAAATTTCAACAAATCCAGCCGTCATGAACAATTTCAAGGCTATGCTTAGTACCACTCTCAAAAATTGGTTATTGAGTAGTTATTTGAAAATAGTGGCCATAATTACAATAACTGCAATTAATAGCACAACACTAATCGCAATGTACAATCCAACCAAATATGTTGAGGTTTTTTGCTGGTTTAACATCCTTATTATAGTAAAATACTGCAAAAACTGTTGAATTTCCCCTGATAAAGCCACATTATGCCAAGCCGATTAAAGTTAGATTTAAAAGGGTAAATATATAAGCTGAATAAATTAAATGAGAGATAATAAAATTGTGGTTTACAAAGATTGGGTGTTTTGGCCTACAATTTAATAAGCGACACTAAGCTTACATGATATGATTTTACTTAAATATTGATAATTTGAATTAATCCCAAAGAGTTTATGAAAATTCTTGTTTATGACTCATATAAATTTGTATTTACTTATTAATTATAATGATAAAGAAAATTATTTTTAGAATTGCAGAAACTTAAAAAAATATATTTAGATAAATTTTTATCAAAAAGAATGTTCAATCGTTCTTCTTCTGATGTAAATATTTCATAAATTATCAGATTAATCAATGAAATAAAGTAAAGCATATACAAGTAAATGGATAAACATATATATATCTAGAGTAATTTATTTAATGATGAAATGGGAAGAAGAATCCCTGTATGTAGCCATCCTTTTTTCAATAATGCAATTGCTATAGATCACTTATTTGGCTTTCGGCCCTAAGATTTTGTATGTTTGGAACAATGAAAAAGCAGCAATGAATCTAAGGAGTATTTTCTCGTAAGAATATTTAACAATAATAAGCTATTTCATAATAAGTTCTCACTTGATAGGACAAGAATTTAAGCTTTACTTAACCATATTCTACCTCTTCTTCGGGTTAGTGCTTTTAGCAATAGTGCTATTTGTCGTCTTCGCATTCGCTTTTAAGGTCCCTGTACTGCCCTTGTTACTATTAAAATTCTTGTTGAAGCTATTTCTAACTATAGGGTTTCTTCCAATTATGCTATTGTTTTTTGGAGTACGTAATATATATGCTACATTTCTAGCTTCTGTCTTGTAAAGTGAATAGTGAAGGAGCGAATATTTGGTTCTATAATACAGACATAGAATGCTGGGGAAATGAACACTACATCCATGGTATTTTTGCAATCGTCGCCATCCTTATCTTTCAGATTCTGACCAGTTCTACCTGCTTGATTTACTTTGAGAGTAAGTATGCTTACGGGAATGCATATGCATAAAGATCTGGAAGACCGTATTCTTATTACCACATCAATGTTTTCATCATCATAATGTCATACCAATTACTTGAATTACCGAGATTTAGTTCGTTATTCCTGACTATCTACATTCTATCAAGCTTTTTTCTATTTTATTAAATCCATACAGAAAAGCCATTCTACAATAAGGTAATTCAAAAATTATGGTCAATAATTACTGCTTTGAATTTTTGGACCTCTATTATGCTATTATTTGCTTATCTTTTGGAAGGCCAATACTTTAGAGATGTCATTTGGGGATGGGTAGGTGGTGTACCACTAATTACGTTGATTATAATCAATGAACAAATTTTTGAAGTTGATCTATTGGGTTCAAATATCAATAGAGCAATATCTGGATAGTAGATAATTATTCTCTGCGAATATTTGCTATCCTTATTGGATAAGAATGATCAGCATTCGTTATTAATGTTAGATGGGTTTATTGAAATCCACAAGCAAACATGTTATAGGAATGATTGTGTGTTGAAATCTAAAAAGATTCTAAATGACAAGAATAAGCATGTTTCTCTTTAGGATATGGAAAGATATACTGTATTTATAGAATTAATTAGTTAAATGTACTATGATGGCATTAAACAGTTCCCATAGGATGTATTTTTAAGATTAAATTATTCATATTTTTTAATTGATAGACTAAAATTAAAATAATAGGCCTTGACTGAATTACAATAGGCGGAATAAAGTGGTGCAAGTTTTGATCATGAATTCATCATCTATCGATATAAGCGAATTCTGGAGGATGATTTGCAAGAACAGCAACAGGAGAATTTGAATTAAGTTGATTTAGTCACTGAGATTGCATTTCAAAATCAGAGCAAATAATTGATTCAACAAATAGAGAAGACATCTCTTGTATATGTTGACTTCTGGGCTCAATTACAAGAAGAAATCCCTGATATTGGCAGAATCAAAGTTTTGGGATTTAAAATACTGGATTCAGTAAATTAAGTTGAAGAATAATGGAACAGATTAAAGAGATTGAATCAGAAGGCTTCAAAGTTGAATCGTTTGATGGGGAAATACTATTCCCAAGTATTAAATGATGAAGAAATTGGGATTAAGTTGATTCAATTAAGTAGGATGAATTAGAACGATAAGTTTAAGGCTATTGATTTGGAAGAAATCCAAAATGAGTGTCTAGCCACAATCACTATTTTGACTGATGTTGATAAAATGGGAACGATTAGCAATCTTAATAAGGCAGCATGTAGTTTAATTGGATATGCTAAGACTGATTTAGTTAATAGGAAATTGAATTTGATTTAACCTGATCTGTAATAATACATCCCTATTCAATAGATTCTCAAAGTACCATGATCATTTTCTTGAGAATTTTCTAGATAAATATTAGGACAGCTATTCTAATTAATAGGTTAAAGAAAAATCAATTTATGTAAAAAATAAGCAAGGGTACATAATACCTTGTTAGTTGCATATAAGAATGATATAAACCATTAATGCAGGTGTTTTTATGTGTGGGACAATCAAATAGGATATCTACCATAAACCCATGAGTATATTTTTATGCTAAACCAACGGAATTATAGAAAATATCAACTCTACTTGCATTAGGATGTTTGGATTGGAATTGAAATCGATCACAATCAAGCCAATCAACATATTGGATATCTTTCCAGATATATTGGAACGCAAGGATGAATTGCTATAAAAGGCAGGAGGGATTGTAAGTTATACATTTAGAACACGATCTTCAAAGAATGATGTATCTCATAATTCCTTATAAGATTTGGATATAGAGCATTCAGAAGTATTTGAAAACTAAAGTAAATAATAAATATAGTATTAATGCTTTTTACAAGAAATTAAATTTCAATGCATAGAAGATGAAATCATTTAAAACAAATTATAAGGGTATATTATCAAGTTTGAGAAACTGAAATCACAAGAGAAAATCTAATTGTATGCTCAAAATAAGCCAATTTAAAATTAGACTTAATTCAAATTCAATTGCCAATCTTTAACCTATGTGCTAGACTGCGCAAGTGGAGTAGATTCTTAGGATGTTACAGTGAAAGTGGATTAAAGCATATTTTGGGAGGATCAAACAAAAATATCTTAATAAATAACAAATGATCCTTAGGTTTAAGGTAGTGATAGTTAAAAGAATTATGCAGAAGGAATCAAGATTGTAAGATTAATTGGAGATCGTATCGTTGAAATAGAAGAATCAAAGTCAGAGGAATATGAAGATGAGAATATGCAGAGTCTGATTGAGTAGAATGAAAACCACGATCAAGATTAGAAGAATGAGAAAGAAACAGTAAATTTATACAGATCAAAAGGTCAGTTAGATCAACTGTTATCTCAATCGAAACTGCCTAGAACTGCAATCAATTTAATAATATTCACAAATATAATGAATACAGTTTTATTGTTGCTAGCCTTCTTGGAATATTTCATAAACCTTGATTAATACTAAAATCTAATAGACTCTATACCTTTGGTCTCATACAACAACCAGAGATCAAGTACTTTAATGAGCATTTAATCAATCGTTTAGGATCTGAAAGCTATAAATTATGACTAATACCCTTTGTTGAAAGACCCACAGTCTGGGTATCTTAATGTTGAAAAGCAATTTAGAGGATGGTTTGATAAAGAATTATAATAGTTGATGATGGTATAGAAGGAATTGACTTTGGTTTCAGCTGAGATCAATGAAAATTATTTAGAGTTTGATGATCAATACTATATGTAGAATATTAAAATGGCATCTTTAGAAGGAGGGACTTAAAATTACACTTTTAATGAAGCAGTCTAATCTGTAATAGCTAAGGCTATGTAAATCAATAGTAGTTCTCTTGAAGAGATCAGTGATCAGAATAGTGATGTTTATTATATAGAGTACAATGTTTTCAATTCTTTAACTTAAAATTTAATTATTCCGGCTCAATATTATAGATACAACATAATATCAAGAGGTGAAATCTTAGATACGTCAGCGACTGCCCTATTAACAGCAGCATGCATCGTTTTATTTATATTGTAACGTTTACCAATTATATAAGGATATGTTCAAATTTGATGTTCATAATCAAGATCGAAGTAGTCAATTAAGCTGCCTTGCAACTATTTTTGGATTTAGATTAGAAAAAGATCAAATCCATTTATATTAAATGCGAGAATTTCATCACAAGTCTTCAAGTAGGAGACGAAGATGATGATGATGTAAATTAAATCATTACATTTTATAGTTCTTCTCGGACAATGATGAGAATGAAGAGGAAAATGAAAATAAAGAAAAAGATGATGGGGCTCACTTACTAAATGGAAGGAAAAAGAAGAAGAAGTTTAGAAACTCCAATCAATATTATAAGCATCTAATTTTAGCTTTGCTTATTAACATATTAATTATGAGCGCTTATTTTACTTACTAATTTGTTTCAGTTCAGGTACATTGTGCTTAATTATTTTTAAGTCTGAAACTTCCAGCATCATAGATTTGATACCAGTTTTTAATTAGACTTCCTTTGCTGAATGCTATTACAGATTCTCAGATAATGCCCTCAGAAAATCATTCGAAGTAGAGTAATATACTTTTGTTGGCAACTCTTCAATGCATGTTCTGAACTGGTTGATTTCTGAATTGTATAATTTGGATGCAGCCATCCATTAAATTCATTCCACCAATTCAGACATTCTGGATTCGGAATACTTAGATGTAAAGTTCAATTAAAATCATATAGGTGTTTAATAATATTTTTATCTTAACTCCTTGTGATTACATTGTTCAAATTGATCATGAAATAGATTACGAAACTTGTTAAAATTTTAATGACGGGGTCTTGCAACAAGGTCTGTCTATTGGAATGGCAAAGTTTTTTGAAAATTTTAGACAACTCTTGAATTCCTATAGTTCCTTTAATTAATCCAATGATTATGATCTAACTTTTTAGATTTCTGAAAATAAGAGACTCAATTACATGATGAATTTAGCCAATACTGATTAGGCTCATAATATGAGATTGATGCAGTTAAGGTACATTAAGGCTGCTTACGAGTATATAAATTAGGCATTAATTTAATCTGTGTAAAAAAATGCCAACAACAGTAAAAACTTGAAAGTGGCACTATTTATTAGTTTCAATATATTTCTCTTCTTTATATACTTTTTTATTTGGATTCCACTTATATTTCGTATATTAAGTGACATGCTTAAAAGTCGATAAACCCTAACAATAATACCATTACAAGTAATTCATCGAACTGCTTCAATAAGACAATACATAAGGAAAATTATTAATCATTGAAAATTATTAGTATATATTTAATTAACTATCAAAAATTAAAAAATCTGAAGACTACGCGAATTGAACGCGCGACCCCTGGACCTGGAATCCAACGCTCTACCCCTGAGCTAAGCCTTCAATGATAACAGATTATATGATAGTTTAATAATATACTCATTTGTTTTAGTGTTCTTCCATAAGAATTTATACAATCCAAATTTTCTTGATCTAAGTAACTCAGTCTGGTACTCATGATTTTATTTATTAAATAGTTTATGCATTAAGAGTATAAAGAATCCTGACTTAATAATTATTAGATACCAATTTCATTTACATTATTCAATATTAACAAGAATTCTCATTTAATTTATAAGTCCATTTTCAGTGCTCAATTCTTCAATTCATCCAAAAATACTATTGTTATCAAAGAATCCGCCCAGCAATCAATCCTCCCTTCAATTAAAGGTTGATAATCTAAAATATTTCTGATTGCAATAGCACAACCTTCAATGAATTTAAAGCAAATTTACTAGAGATATATGCATACGCTGCTCTTGCCCTAACATGATATAGAATAGTTCTCTATGAGAATAAGCAATAATGAAATATAACTTAAAAAAGCTGCAGAACAGATTATTTTTTTAAGACTTCAAGTGTTTCAATTACAATATACAAATTGAATATTTGCAAATACTAGGAACTTAAATCTATATAATTAGGATAAACTCCTTTTGTATAATATGAACAATTATCATGATATTAATATTCTCTTAAACTATCCAATCCTCTCAAAATATGATTATGAATGATCCATTGAATAGATATAATCTGGTAAATATCTCTTAGCAAATTAAGTCTAGCTCGGAATGATCTTGTTCCCCCATTCATAAATGTATTAGCAACTAATAATCTTTCATTCGACATTTCTAACATTTAAATAAAAATTAAATTTCCACATTACTTAGATACCCTCCTTGCCCAATGTGGTAATACTTATCATTGATGTGTAATAATAATTTAATTAGAATTGTATTAATAGAACTTGAGATTTGATAAATCAATGAGAAAACATGTTTTAGAAAATAGAGTTCAATTAATTGATTTGTTACATATATTAAAATACAAATTAAAATATGCTTTAATAATTATGAGTTTACGCATTATTTTAATTTTATTTCAAAATTTCGTCATTAAATTATATATGATGATATATTTAGAATAAACAATGACGATATTACGTATTATTTTATGAAATATCATAATACTCAATACTTGTAATCAGCCACGAATAATGATTCATTTGAAGCTCCTCCTTGCCCTCCTTGGTATTTACCTAAAAATAGTAAATATGAATCTCCTACCTAATTAAGCTTCACTGTTGGCCTTAGCTCTAGTTAAGAGAGCTTGTTAGGCAGCTTCCCAATTCTCTTATTTACCAGCCCAAGTCTTAACGGCTGTGTTTTGAAGAGCTCTTCCATAAGAAAAGGTTAACGCCCATGGTTTTCTCACAGTAGTCAATTAATTCATGGCGTTCAAATTCAAAGATGCTTCTTCTTCTGATTATCCACCTGAAAGGAACTATTTATAGATTATAGATTGATACTGTGACTCCGACGAGTGCTCCTGGAACTGTTCTGCTTAAGGCTAAAGCTGTTCTATATCCAATTTCTTGAGGAGTGACCTTACTTCTATCTGAGTTAGTTGATCCTGGAGTGACCATATTTGGTTTAAGAAGACATCCTTCCAAGAAAACATTGTTTTCATTCAAAGCTTTGAAAACAGCAGCCAAAACCTTTTCGGTGACCTTTTAGCACACATCAATAGAATGATCACCATCAGCAAGGATTTCTGGTTCGACTATTGGAACAAGTCCATTTTCTTAGCATATGGCAGCATATCTAGCTAATCCCCATGCATTTTCCTTGATGGCTTATTAGGATGGTAATCCATTTCCAATTTTCAAAACAGCTCTCCATTTGGCAAATCTGCAGCCTAGTTTGTAGTGTTCAGCTGCCATGTTGGCCAATGAATCCAATCCAAGAGTAGCTGATTCATCTTGAGTTCCTGGAATTACTCCCAAACCCTTGTCCACTTTGATACCAGCAATTATTCCTTTTTCCTTCAATAACTCAACAAAGTTCTTGCCTTCCTTTGTAGCATGTTTGACCTAAAAATGTATCTATTTTTAAAATACTGTCTCTGAGAATAGAATGACTCCACTAATATAGTTTTCAATTCCTGGAGATGTGAACAACAATTCTCTGTAGGCTCTTCTGTTCTCTTCATTGTTCTCCACATTGATTGTAACAAACTTCTTACCAATAGTTCCTTAAGACTAACAATTAGATCAGAATTTACTTCGTCAGCTGCCAAAATTCCCTTTCCTGGAGTGCAGATCTTTTATGCTGTTTCTGCCAATTCCCTTCTGTAGTCTGCTTTTTATTACATATGAAGATATATACAATGAATTAATTTATTAAAATTTTATGTTCATTAATACGTTATCAATATTCAAAATTTAGGCTTCTAGAATCTACTTAATTAAAATGATTTATATTTTTGAACTCCAGTGTTGAACATCTCTTCAAGAATCTCTCCCATCACAATGCAAAACTTAAATCCATCTATCATTTATAATATTATTGATACGTCCAGAACATGCACTTAAAATTATTGTATTTTTGGATCTGGGATCGAAATCTATTGTAAAATTGTGATCTCTTGTGCTCGTATAAACACATGTTTCCACTCTTGACACTGCAGCATCTTTCAATTCTGGCATATACTTAACCAAAAACTATCTAATCTAATTAACAGTTCCTTCCTCACTCTTTGTTTGATCATATAAGTCAGGATGTTCTAATGATGGACCAAAATGATGCAATCCAACTTTTACTTCCCCATTCACTCTTGGAAATCCATACACTTCTTATGAGTTATTCTCACTCATGAATACTGGTAACTTATCAAAGTTCTTATTATCAGTCTTGAAGAAGACTACTTATTATTTGTAAATTGCAACATCCAATTAATATGTATTTTACAGTCTCTTAATTCCCATTCCAAGAGATAAAATCAGTTTTTTAGACCTAAACACTCCTAAATCGGTGTAAACATGAATCTCATCATCCTTATAAATATGATTGATATAACGACAGTTATTAATAACCTTTCCTCCTTTTTATATACCCTGATTTATAAAGATAGATATAGCTATTTCTGGCCTTACAAAACCTGCAGATTTATCGAAGTAAAATTATTACTCTTTGGATGTCTTTATTGGAAATCTAGATTCCACCTCTTGATGTTTTAATTATTAAAGGTTTGGATTATTGAATTATGTGTAATCTCTAAATTGGCTATCAGTAGCGTGTCCGAATAATATTCCCCCTGAGTTCACATAAATTTGCTCACTTGTGGAGTCTTATAATTTCTACCACAATTCAAGCGATCTTCTAGCAATATCAACATATTCTCCAGAATAACCCATTTCCCTCACAATTCTAGTTTCACCATTATGAGACCCTTTTGTATGAGGGGAAACATATTGCTCAATACCAAGAACCTTCATTTTGCCAGAAAAGTGTGAGAAGCAATTGCTACCATGAGAGCCTAATCCCACAATTATTAGGTCAAATAATGTATCCATTTTATATTATATTTCAATTATAATACGAACATTTTGTGAAATATATTAAATCCACGTATTTTATTTCATCAATATCCCTATCATCAAAAACATAATATTTAAATCGTTCTCTTTTTCTATGCATTCTACTTTACCAATGGCCAGTTTTTCTGCGCAGTAATATATTGCTTAACATTAACAGTAATTTAGTGAATCTTGTAACCAACTCCATTAAATATTGATTCAATTTGTAAGTGAGAATTTATATTATTAATGGTAACTCTGGATTACTTATTTATAATAAAATTAACATATATTTATTGATATAAGGCAGGCAGGACTCATCGTCTTAAATTATTTTATTTATTTTTTTATAAAAATTTTCAATGAGCTCATTACAATTAGAATATCTTAATCGTAAATTGTAATTAATTTCTTCAATCCTGAACCTTTATATTTGGAATCCTAATTTTTTTCTTGTAATTAATAATATAAAGCTGATTAATATCTTTATTAATAGATTAATTTGATACTTAGCATCAAATCACTATATATTGTCTTTTAAGATCTGTCGAAATGTAATGAATCATTGTAAAGATCCTAATGGTAATATAGAAATTTTGGAGTAAAGAATTAGATTTTATTGAACTTATAGATTTATTATAATTTCAATTAAAGAAAAAAATTGTAAAATTCTCAAAGTCTTTCAGTCATCTCAATAGATCGTAATTGAGGAGTCATAGTCAAATTTGGAGTAACCATATCTCCATATAAACGACTAGCTTTATTTTCAAATATTAGGGAATCATTCTTCTTAGACTTTGCAACTTTAATCAAAGTAACTTCATCAAGTTCAGATCTACAAGCTGGGCAAATTCTATTTTTCTCCAACCAATTGTCAATACATTACACATGAAAGATATGAGTACAATAGGTTAATCTTACATAATCAGATTCCTTAATTCTATCAAGACAAATTAAACACTCATCTGAAGATGCCAATCCCGGATATAACGTAATTAAGGTTTTATAGATTTATTTAGGTAGATATCTTTAAATATCTGTTTTTGGATAAATGGTCATTATAGGAAGTACCTAGTGTTCTTCTTTCCGTTTTCTTAATAAGTAGTAATAGCAAACAATACAACAACAAAATGTTATAGATACACCAACTGTTGTTATTACAATTATCAATATAATCCTCGAATCCTGATCATTTGATTATTAAGAATTTTCGCAATCAGATTCAAAGTAAAAAATATAATATGAAAATTATTGAGGATTCTACTTTTCTTTATTTATTTTTGACAAACATTACTAGACATCATTAATCTGTATTTCTTTTTTTTCAATCAAATTTTACTATAATAAGTACCAGTCTTTCGCATAACAAGTTTGTCGATATTTACCAACTTAGGTAAATTTAATATTGAGAGAGCAAGACTGTTAGTTGCATTCTTAAATATTATAATAGTAAAATGTATTTCGATGGTATAGAGATTACATAGTGATATCGAGAGCTACGATGCTGCAATCTGCTCCAAAATATCCTTCCAAACAGTCACACATTCCATTTTTACAAATTCCATCGTTTTAACATTACCTAAATTAGTAAGATGTATTAAATACGAGGCACATTCGAATATATTCACTGTGCGTATTGTAATTGAAAAATTGGATACTTATTTTGAATAGGTTCCCAAAACTTATGGAGACTCATTAAATTATTTCATAGATAATAGCTACTCTTAATAATTTTCTAAATCCAAACCAGAAACTAGCTGTATAACTTAAGTATTCCTTTTCAAATCAAAAGAGTTAATATCGTATATACAATTCTCTTTTAATAAGTTGATTTCTGAATCACAGATCAAGAGTTATGTAGAATCAAAATTTTCTTATTCAAATTTGACTATAATTTTGGAGTTTGGTTCTGAGGTTGCTTAGAGTGTTTTTAAAATATGAATCCCTGTATCTAAATTGAAAAAGGTTTAGGTTTATCCTAGACATTCGAGGAAGAGATGCAATAAAATAAACATAAATCAATTTTAATGAATAATTAAGTTGAAATCATGAGCAAGAATAAATGAATTAATTTTATTTATTTTAATAAAATCTATTGTTGACATTCAGAACTAGTTTATTTTATATTATAAAGAAAGTTTAGAAAATTTAGAAAGTATTTTGCAGTAATTATCATTTCTTCTCTTTTGAAACAAATTTTTGGCAAAATCATATATTTTATATCCATTCTATTCGAAGATATAATAGCCATTTCTATTATATTTAGATACATCCTTTAACAATCTATTGATTTCTCAGTTAACTATAGAATCCTTATCAATTTTTCAAAAAGTAAGGCCATGATCATCTTCGTATTCTGAAATATGGATATTTTTGAAAATTATTTTGAATTGTTATTTTCGATACGTTAAATTTAATGAGTTCAAATATATTTACTCAATGTATCTTTGAACAATAAATATGTTTACGCTTCATCGCTTATTCAATATAATTTAACATTAAAATTTTGATGACCACACAACCAATTTTAAATATGATCTATTTTTCCTATAGAAATGCAATATCCTCTCCTTTTAATTAAAGATTAATTTATTTAAAGAAAATGGGCTGCCAAATTAACAAACCACATGCTTATTTTGATGGTCATCTTTCTTAAACCTTATAAAGACCCTAAGCAAAGGCAGAGTTCATTGAAGTAAAAGTAAGCGATCCAGGGGCACCCATAAACTCTTTTTTGGTGGAATGTGATGACTATTTATTTGATGATCATATACTAAGCAGTTTTGATTAGAACAGAACCAAAAATGATTCTTCAAATTTTGAAGATAAAAGGAGGACTCAAAGTTCAAATAATTTTCTCATCAAACCACTCAAAGGTATTTTAAAAACCCCAACCAAACCGTCTCGTTCTTCTTCGAGATATTTTAATGAGGAAGCTAAATTTGTGAAGTTTCAACATAACCATGATAACTTATCATAACCAAAGCTTAAAGTTGTTGGAAAAAATAGAAAAACCAGACAAACCAGAACCGCTACTCGAATCTGAAATATCTGTTTATATATGTTATTATATATAATTATCAAATAAAAAGCAAGTTTTTCTATCTAATGTTTGACCTCAAATTTTCGCTTAATTCATTTCAAAATATTAGAACTCTCTTTAAATTTCCAGATGAACAGTTACATGTAAGTGACATCAAATATTCTGTCAAAATAGCACGTAATCAAGAATTGTTCATTCAATTATTTTTAACTAAAAGTTATATATATCGTCATATTAATTTATAATTGTCATTAATAATAATTATTTACATATTCATTTATAGCAAATTTATATAATTTGTCATTTATTAAATATTAAAAAATGATAAGTTATAGGAATACTGTCAAAAGTTTTTAATTTAATATCGGAATCGTAGAAATTGATACAATGTGAATTGGTCTAGATATAAAAGAATTATAATAATTTTAAAAGTTATAAGTGTCATTACATCAATGAATACATTCTTTTCCTATTCTATCCTGTTTTGTAGGTTCCCATTTTAATTTGAACCTTCTTCTTTACCTCTTCATCAATCGTTATTTGAACTGGTATTCTTTATCTCCCTTGTGAGGTTTGGACTCTGTTGATAACATCTCTTAAAGGTAAGATTTCTGGTTCGAATGGTTATTAATAGTCGCAGTTTCCTATATGACTCATAATCTATTAGTACCCGATTTAAAATCAGTCATACGCTTATATCTTGCTAGTCGATGATTGAATTTTTCAGCGGCAATCTTTAGGAAGTCATTTAGATCTATCAATCTTTTGTAGTCATCGATTTTAATAATTTAGGCAGTTTAAGATTTACAAAGAATCTAGAACTGTTAAATCAAGCCACTGGTACATTCGTAATCATTAATTATTTCGCCTTTACTAACTTGTCCAATGTCAATATAGCTCTTATTCCATTTCTTCCTTATTAGAAATTCGCTTCTTATAATAAATAAAATACCCATCATAAATAACAAATAGTGATTTGGAGTATTCCTGTTCATTCAGACAACTTTACCCTAACTTATAATCTTCGATGAGAAAGTTTAGTTTGACATTTTTTGCATCTTTAAAGCAAGGCAAGTTGTGAAGAAAATCAAGAATTTTTTTTTGATAGTTGATTTTGGCTTTGCTCAGCATTTCAAACTATTATTCATCAATAATTCTAAATGCACAATCACTCAGACATTTGATGGTGTTTTGTACAAGACCTATTGGAATGTATGATGTATTTTAGGATATTGATCCATTTTGGAGAACCATGAAGAACTTGTTCTCATCTCCATATTTAAATATGACTTGGTCCTTTGTATACAACTAGACTTTGGAAATGAAATCATAGGATTGCACAATTTGGGGATCTACAAAAATATTTTTGAGTCTAATTTCATATTCGTTAAGCATTTCTAATTATTATTGTTAAAACTTATTAATAATAAATAATCAGAGTCAATTTTCATATATTATTTACAAGTATTTTGTGAGTTATAGCAGTACTTCATTGGATGTGCTGTGTGTTCTTCAACAAGATTATACCTATTAGATTTTTAATTTCTCTGTTATTTATATTTATATATATAAATGAAAGCATATGAATTTGAGGTTGATAATAAAAGAAATATTCAAAGGGAAGAGCTATTTATTTTGACAATTGTTGAAAGAGTATTAGCAGGACACTTGCAATCGATATCCTTTGTAGATTAAGCTTAATTTTGTGAACTATTAACAAAAAGACAAAAGGAAAAAAAAGCTATTCAACCACTGCATATCTAGATTTTAGGAACAGTGAAACGAAATCTGATTAAAAATCAAACACCTCTACTTGAAAAAAAAGTACCTTATGAAATACGGACGGTTACTTCATCATAAATAGAAATGAGGAAGAATCATATTCATACATTTAGCAATAGAAACCTCAATAACAAAGAATAACAGACTACAGACTAAGATGCTTAAATGCCTGGACAACTATAACCTTAATCAAACAGAAATAGTAACTTGAAAATTGATAAAAAATTCAATAGTGCTAAGTATCATACCAATAGGAATAAAAATCAGGGTGATTCATCTGCTCGTTGCATAAATCCCTTCTAATTGAATAGTCCCAATAGTACACAAGCAGAAAATATTCTGAAAGAATTTCCATCCCTAAAATAGTCTACAATTAATGAGATCGGACCTATTCCAAAGAATGAGAAGGCGATAATCAATATTGTAAGTTAGGATGGAGAAATAGAATAACAAGAAGACTTTATTATAAAAAATAATAAAAATAGTATAGAAGAACTGAGGAGAGTTGATAATAAAGAAGATCTGGATGTTTAGTAATTAGAATCATAAGCAAACCAAAACCACTAGCAACTATTAAGAGTTGATAAGTAGGATTCCAATGCGCAATAATCAAAATAATAGTAGAATCACTCCAGGAAATAATCATAAAACTTACCCATGGGCAGTGATTCTAGCAAAATGGATCTGAAAGAGAAGCTATAAAAATACTATAGCAATGAAGAAGAGTTCAGTTCTCAAAGAAAACCAATGACTTAAAGTGATAGATTAAAAAATGCCAGTTATGGTACTGATCCAAATACGAAAGATATCAGAGTAGATAACAAGTCCTAAATAATTTAAAGTGCCAAGTACTTAGAAAATGATAAGAAATCAGATAAGGCCTAATCAAAATAATAACTAGTCAAATTTTCATTCATTCCTGGAGGAACCTAAGAAATTGCATAGTATACAGAAAACTCTTCTAAAGAACAATATATTAGTCCTAAGAAAAGCTTTGAAGAAGCGCATCAAACTGGAAATTTCCTTTCTCCTCCATAGTCTGTCAGATCACTCATTTCTGCTAAGTCTACAAAAACAAAACTTAAAACTCTGTAATCAAATGATTTAAAAATATATGATCATTAAAACTAATAACAATTTGAGAATTCACTCTCAAAAGAAGAGTCCCAAATCTCATTGTTAGAATAATCATTGCATGCTCATCATGAGTAAAACCACCTTTTACATTCAAGTACATTACGACCAGCAACTACCCATATTGAAAGCAATAAACAACAAGATTACCCAATGTTTTAAACTCACGACAACTTGGACTTAATGAAAAAATCTGCTTAGAAACTATTGTAATAGTAAAGCAGTATCACATCCATCATGCATGATGAAGAGAACTTTTAAAGTAATTAAACATTAACGTAGTAAATTAATATTTAAGTAAATCAATGCGAACCAACTCAACCTACAAATAATATCATCATTGAAGAATCCATTGAAGGTTCTCCCAACTGCAAGATTAAAAATTATCAACATTCTGCTGCATCTTTCTCTCTTCTAAAATTGGAGGATCAGCATTAATTGCCAACTTAAACTATTATTCAATAAAAGTAACCATTATCTCCAAGGAATGGATAAGTACCTTCCAACACATATATTCCCACATCCAACATGATCCCAGGGACTTAATCATAATCTAAGATGCTCATTCCAATAAATAATACGTAGAGCAGTATTAAAAATAATAGAGCAACCAACAAATCTAGATCCTAAATCAAAGATTAAATATAACAATAATAATAACAATAAAGATCTGAAGATAGTTAGCCCGAAAGTAAATTGACCATTGAGTCTTCCCAAGGAGATAAATCAAATAGATCTAGAATCGTGAAAAATACAAAGTAATTAAAATTGCCAGCTGCTGCAGTTGCCTTAAATTTCGCGAGGAGAAAATCATCTAACTAGATATCGCCTATGGATGTAAGAATATTTATTAAGTAATTTTTTAGCCCAAGAAGCTGGAACAATAAGAAAAAGAGAAATAAAGATAGATTGAATACTAAAAGCAAATTGAAAAAATGAAATATGAAAGGGAGTTGATGGAATAATTCAAAATTCCAGATGAAATGCCCTTATTATAAAAAAGAGCAATCATAGAATCATTAATGAAGGAGTTAGAGACCAATCCTGATTAAGATGCTAAATATTAAATTATGTTATGTAATATTTCATGATATTTATTAGATAAGTAAAGATAAGAGCAAATTTAAAATGCCTCTAAAATTGAGTTAGTTTTTAATAACAATCTTACAAATTGTTATGAGGAATTATCGCATATTTCTGAATTGAAATTAAAATTATTGGGAAAAGATTCAGATCCATAAAAAATCTAATTTTTTAAATTTGAAGACCAAGTTTAAACTAATTTTCATGGATAATCGAAATCTTTTACCTAGGAGCTTGGATCACCAATCAAAAAGAACCTTAAGTTTTTTAGTAAATTGGATCCTGTTGAAATTGAGAATTAAATGAATAGAATCAAAGATTTTAGATAAGAAACTGAAATTTTAAAATTATTTTCTTCTTTCAATAATCAATATGAAAAAGAAGTATCATACATTTATATATTGAAAAGGTGAATTAATGTGATTTAGATTATCCTACTGAAAAAGATAGATACGGTTCAATGGATTTTCAAAGAGGATTCTTGCCAAAGGCAATTCACAGACGCAAAAAGGCTAAACATAAAAGCACGAAAATAGTTATTAATACTTATAGAATGGACCCAAAAAAAATAGACTAAGTTTTAGCCTAAACTGAAAGAATAAAGCAAGTTGGATAATTTTTATTTTGATTATATGATTTCTCCAAATATTAGATTCTACCTAACTCAGTATTATTTAGTTAAAAAATCAATTAGTAGTTTTAGAATAATGCTTAATATTGTTGATTCAATCTAATAAGTCCAACTATAATTAATTAAATTTTAATCTAAAAGATTAGATTGTTTATTGAAACAGTTCAAAGTTAGCGTTAAGAAATAATCACTACTTGCTTATGAGTTCAATTTTTTCGTTTACCCACTGATGTCAGTATTAATCGATCCAAATTATATCTGTAATATTCAACATTTTACGATTAAGATATAAATCTTATAACTTAATCTTACAGTTTGGATTAATTTTCTATTCTCTCAAAGGTTATTCCGTGTGAATAACGTAGGAATATATTGAAAATTGAGAACTACCTTCCCGATCTTATATACAGAAAATAAACCATTTGTAAGCAATGAATAAATAAAATATGATTATAATGACAATAAGGTCTCAAAAGTTTAAAAATAATATTTTTCAATTTGTTAAAGATAAGTTAATTTTTTTATTTTTGATTGGATCCAAAAAGTTTTTGAGCCCATTCAAAGTAAAAAAATTAATTTCCCAGAAAGTTATAAATTGAGAAATGATATTTCCAATTAGTGTTCTAAAATTTCAATTTGATTTTTATCATATAATATTAATGAGAAATTCACCATTATCTAGACTATCAGAGTAGCGATAATAAGGGAAGAATTCCTCGAATTTTTCTGATTTGACAGTTTAAGAATCAAGCAATTATCGTTTAAGATTCACACCTTTAGGCTCACCGTCGGCTAGGCACAAAGGAACAATTGTAATGAAAAGTCACGAAACAATTATACTGAATATGTTGTCGTCGACTCATAGACAAATAGATCAGCCATTTAAGGCTTGTTAAGAATGCACTCAGGATTTTGGTATGGTTCACCAATATTGTCAGTGCAAGGGAATCACATATCACGAAAAGTGCATTTAGGATACAGCCAGGAAGAATGCCAAGAAATAGAAGGAGTAAGCATTTATTTGCAAAAATGAATGCTCCTATCCATTCCAAATCAATGGATACTACATGTATGAAATGGTGTAGAATTAGGAGAAACATTAATACAATTGGGAAGTGGCTCATTCTTACAATAGTGATCGCCTTCCTTGTGTTACTGTTTTTGGTGATTGGTATTGTCTTGTTTCGAGATGTATTCAACAGTGTTGATATCATCTTAATTTCGATTGCAATTATCGCGCTTTTAATTCTGATTACTGTTTTGCTGAATAAACTCAAGCTCAATTATTATATATTATACTGGAATCTAAAACCATCTCCCATTAGTTAAGGCCAAGTGGAAACTTATAATAAAATTAAACTGCAGGATCTCTTGCCATTTGTTTTGTCTGACAGAGACTCAATTATTTATTCACCATAACCAAAAGAAGAAGACTAAATAATTGAATAATGATTAAAGGAAATTCTTCAGGCAACACATGATCAAGTAATTATTATATATTTTTTGTCATTATTTAATGAAGTTAAGAGTTTTTAATTAAAAACTTTAAAATTTTTGAAATTCCCTTTGAGGTAATTCTAATCGCAGTTTTTAACTATAATTGGTGATATTCGTGGAAGAACAACCTAATATTTATAATTATCTAGATTATTAGTATAAGTACTACAAAATTATAATATTTAATTTTATTCCAAGTTGTTTTTTTCTATCCCTTCAGAGACCACCATAGAGATAAGATTATATAAGTTTATTGATATATACTAATTATTTATTTATTAAATACATAAATGGATGTAATATATCAAACAAAAATATTGAACAATGAAAATGAAAAGTAGATCTCGTCAAGGAGTGGGTATTAATTATCAAGTATAATCAAGACATATGAACATGTCTCCTCCTTTTTTAGAGGCTGTTCGCTCAAAACCACTTATCAAAATTGAAAGGAAAGAGAGATCACCTATTGTCTAGGATATAAATGATCTTGATTTTGGATACATGGAAGAGCTTGAAAAAAGAAAAATGTTCATGATGATACGTCTGGGACACATAAGAGACTCATCTAGATTGACTCCTGTACACAATTATAATAAAATCCCTGTTCTACCATTGAAAAAATAACGAAAAACCATAACACCTTCTCCAAAATAAACTTAAAATAAAACTCAACTGATAACTGGAATTCCTTTACCTACCTTCAGTATGAAGATCGTTGAAGATCCATATCAAATATAAAGGCAACATAAACCAAATACACAGAAACTTGTCCAAAAACAAAAGAGATTGAATATTATTAATAAAAGAATACTAGATAAATTCCGTGATTACTGAATTATATTTAATGAAATCTTGATCTCAACTCCTCTGTCATCAATTTTTGGAAATTATTTCATATAATAATCCGATTAATATATAATATTACTAAAATCATACTTTTAAGTGTTCAAATCAAATTTTCATTAGAAACAATACTGTTTGTAATCCCCTTTACCCTTGTAAAATGCAAAGCGTAATATTTTCTAAATTTTGAAATAGAAGTAATTAATCAGAATACTTATTATTAAAAATTAGAAACTTATTATTTCATACCATCAAATTATAAACTCAAATTAGCCTAAATTTAGAGAATAATTAATTACTAATTTATACTATTAAGAGTCTCTGGTAAACATATTTTTGAAGTGATTAATTTAATAAAAATATATATAATGTCAGGCATCTAAGGAAGTATTTACACTCATGATATGTCATGGGGGTCACTGCGAAGTGAAAAGTCATCATTAATTAATTCTTTTATTCTTTCTATTTAATTTAACATATTATATAATTAAATAAATATGGGATTGTCTGGAAGTTATTTTTAATCATGTATTTTTGGGGGTCTTCATTAGATTTAAATCTCTAAAAATAGTGTACTCCTTTTCAATTTTCTTATGTTATTTTGTAGCTTATTTACAATAAAGTAAAAATCATTTGGAATTATCTAAAACATAATTACATCGTATTTAAGCTGATATTTGTAAGAGCTTAGGCCAATTGATTTTACAACATGTCGAGAAGACTAAGAACCATCGATTTTTTAAACGAAGTTTTTTCCTAAAATAAAATTTATTATTTTTTAATAATTTTCTTAAAATGAGGTACTGATTAATTTAGCAAGTATTTACATATAGTAACAAATAATATATGTAAGGCTTTGAGAAAATTTTAATTTGAAATTTGATAATAACAATATAATTGATTGATGTACACTTATATTTCAATGAACATTCAAATTTGATCTTGGGGGTTATTATGGCTAGGCTTATTACTAGGGAGCCTATTGGTATTAAGGATATGATGGATATTATGGGTATGATGGAATAACTCTTGATGAGACGATTGGGGCAGCATATTATGGTGCATATGTCACTGGGACAGTTTAGACTGGTTAAACAACACTGAGAGGTTATTAAACAACTTATTAAACGACTGGTTGAGGAACGACTTATTAGACAACTGGTTGTTAGACTACTTATTGAACAACTGGTTGTTAAACAACTTATTGCTAAATTTATTATGTAAAATTTTTACATGAACAACTTATCTTTCAACTGGGTAGTATTCAACTCTTTCTTAATATCTGTCAACTGGAACGTACTCTAAATACTTAGTTATAGTTAATACCTGTGTATTTTTCTTAGAAGACTTATGGGATATATTCGGTCTAGTATTCAACTGCATAATAATCTGTGATTTTCTTTTCTCTTGGAACGTATTAAACGACTTCTTATTCTTCGTATTCCATAACAGCCTTTTGATAAGGAATATATTCGATTCTTGATTCTCCTTTAATTGTTGCCTTAAATCTAGATTTGAATATGCTTACATGGACTGATTATTAAACGACTGGTTGAGCAATAACTGATTATTACAAAACAGGAGCTTGAACAACTGGTTGAGCAACAACTGGTTGAGGAGCAACAGGTCTGGCAACACTGTATGTTAGTGGTGCGATAGGAGCAGGAGCATATTGCTATGGAAGATATGTTGGTAAAGGAGCATATTATGGAACATATTATGGAGCATATTAAGGAGCATATTAAGGAGCAGATGGATATTATTATGGTTGAGGAGCTTAATCTAAGAATATGGATGTTAATATTACTTTATGGGACAGGTGGTCTTTGGGACATTGAAAATAAAAGGTTTTTGTTAATTTTATTTATATATCCTTGACATAAATTTTATTGCTTAAATATCATTAATAAATAATTGCATAATTGTATTTACAAACTATCTTGAATAAAATAATTTTCGAAAACATTAAATTTAATCAATAAGAATTCCAAACAATACTTAAGCACCAAAAATATAAAAGCTTTGATATCTTTACGCATCTAATGACAATAAAAGAACCACTCTAGAGATTAAGATTGGATATGAGTAAAATATAGATAATATTTTTTATTAAATATATATGATTGTTTATATAATTAAATACTAATGAAATAAATCTTATAAACAATATTTAGACTCAAATTTTGGTAAAATTTTAATAATATTATTTTAGATATATATTTTGAAATCCTCAAACAAGAAATAAATAGATTGCATAATAATCATTAGTAATAGTCTTAACTTTGTTGTTGACGCTTAAAAAGATTTTAAGTTGAAAATCTTTTTTTAAAGCGTACTTAAATTGTTTGTGTAAAATTATATTATATTCTCTTGTAAAAAAATAACAAAAAGTAGGCGGTAAAGGAAGCAAATTATAAGATAAATTATAAATCACTGAACCGTAAAATTTCTGGATTTAACAGAAATTACAAAAATCTTTTCAAATACAACCTCAATTTTATTCAAATAGTATTCTTATGTTCATTCCAGCATCAGTTGTAAATTCTCCTTTGGATATCAAAGTTCTTTTAGCTGAAAATATAGGATATCTAGTTATATGAAGAATTGTAACTGGAATAGCTAAAATAATAGTGAAATTATACTGTATTTGTCAATCAAAGATAGTGATGTATATTTTGATGGGTAAGGTAGATTTTGCTAAATGCTTCTTATAAGTTTTATCTGAATCTGTAATATGTTGTTTTGTTTTAACATCCCATAAACGGATAGAGTGATCACCACTACCAGATGCTAATGTAGTACCATCAGAGGAGAAACAGACTGAATTAACACAATGTTCATGGCCTTCTAATTTGAACATTTATTATCCACTATTAACATCCCATAAACGGATAGAGTTATCATAACTACCAGATGCTAATGTAGTACCATCAGGAGAGAAACAGACTGAATTTACATAACGTTCATGGCCTTCTAATTTGAACATTTATTATCCTGTCTTAACATCCCATAAACGAATAGAGCTATCAAAGCCACCAGATGCTAATGTAGTACCATCAGGAGAGAAACAAACTGAATTAACACCATTTTCATGGCCTTCTAATTTGAACATTTATTATCCTGTCTTAACATCCCATAAACGGATAGAGTTATCATAACTACCAGATGCTAATGTAGTACCAACAGGAGAGAAATTGACTGATATAACTGCTTCTGAATGACCATCTAATTTGACTTTTTATTACCCTGTCTTAACATCCCATAAACGGATAGAGTTATCATAACTACCAGATGCTAATGTAGTACCATCAGGAGAGAAACAGACTGAATTTACATAACGTTCATGGCCTTCTAATTTGAACATCTATTATCCTGTCTTAACATCCCATATACAGATGTAGTTTTCTTTAGAATCATATGTAGATTCACCACCAGATGCTAATGTAATACCATCAGGAGAGAAACAGACTGAATTAACACATTGTCCATGGCCTTCTAATTTGAACATTTATTATCCTGTCTTAACATCCCACAAATGGATAGAGTTATCTGAACTACCAGATGCTAATGTAGTACCATCAGGAGAGAAACAAACTTATTTAACATTACCCTTATGACCAACTGAATTAACCTCTTATTTTAATGACTTAAAATCCCAAAAACGAATCATAGAGTCTCTATTACTTATAAAATCATCATATTAACCACTACCAGACACTAACATTCTACCATCAGAAGAGAAACAGATTAAATTAATTTCTTTATGATAACATTGTAAAAAGTATTCTTCTTCACCAGTCTCAACATTCCATACAATAATATTATTAATAACACTAGCTGCTAAAGTAGTACCATCAGGAGAGAAGCAGACAGAAGTAAACCTACATTTCATATAACATAATTCATTTTTTAATTGTCCTGTCTTAAGATCCCATAAATAGACCCTGGAACATGAACCAGTTTTAATATCTCCACCTCCAGATGCTAATGTAGTACCATCAGGAGAAAAACAAATTGATAAAATTTCGGTGTAATGTCTCTTAAATATTGCCTTTTCTTCTCCTGTCTCAACATCTAATAAATAGATATTGTAGTTCAAACCAGCAAATGCTATCATAGCAGCATCAGGAGAGAAACAAACTGGATAACAATCATCATATTAGATTATTTGCTTTCCTTTTATAACATCCCATATATAGAGGGTATTATCCACATCAACAGATGCTAATTTAAGACCATCAGAAGAAAAACTGACTGCCTTCACATAACTATTATGGCCAGTTAATTTTTATTTTTATTTACCTGTATAAAGATTCCATAAATAAATAAATTTCCCACTGCAAGCACCTAATATTTAACAATTAGGTGAATAACAGAGTGACATTACCTCCCTCTCTCCTTCGATAACATATCTTATGTTTCCCCTTCTAAGATTCCACAAAATAATCGATTTATTACTACTTGAAGCGAAATAATGACCATTGGGAGAATAGCAAAATGAATTTACATAATCACCTCGACTATTAAGCTAGATTACATCCATCCTTAAATTGATCCATTTACAATTAAATAATTTCGAACCATTTAAATTCATCCCTTTAATAAGGACATTGTCAAATTCAGATCCACTTAAGTCGCATTTGGCAAAATTACCTCCTTAAAGTGAAGTATTTCTAATTTTAATATTTTCAAAAGAATGTGTTTTCAAATCAATTTTCATTTCAACTAACAAATGAAGAGAATTTGATCCACTTTGGATAAATTTATTATCAACTGAAGTGAGATGCACTAAATATTTTAAGAATTCAATTATATTTTCATCTCTCCCAATTTTCTCAATTAGAGATTATTTTTTTTCTACAATATCTTAAGTAGAGTAATTTCTGGTATTAAATTCATGATCATGAATTTATTTCATAATTTGAGCAATTTATTTGATTTCGTTTATCAGCTAGTCTAACTTCTCGCATTTTTCTTGTGCGGAAGAATTGTGATCTTGTAAATGGTTTACCCAAAAGTTTTGGTTTTTTTTAGCTTGTTATAAAAAATTTAGAGAATCTGAAATCTACAATTTTTTTAGTATTTCTATGATTATTTGGAATATTTTCACATCTATAGATTTTGAGGAGGCCAAAACCTCGTACAAATCTTACTTCCTTGATTCTTGATCAAACGAGCCTATTCTTCTCAAATTCATAAAGCAAAATAAAATATATTTTAATTTCTATAATTACAGAAAAAATACTATATAAAAAGCAACAAATTTTTATAATTAAGGTACTACATTTTATGCCACACAAAGGAGGTTTGAATTCTATTAGAGGGCTCAAGAGAAAAACATAAAGGTACACAATGTATGGATTCATATTCTCAGATTTCTTCCAAAATGATAGAAAACAAACAAGAGAAAACAGAAATCTACAATTATATTATCTCTTTATAAAAATTCTAAAGTTATTCAAGAACTTTAACACCTTTATTTAATAACATAGATCAAAAATAAGAGAACTTAGATTATGAATTTTATTAATTGTAATTAAGGATATATAGTTAATCATCAAAATGAACTAAGATTTATGAAAAAGAAAATAATGTTATGACTACTTTATCAATTATGTTTTTAAAAAAATTTAGTAGAGTTCTTAATTTAAAGTTGTCTTTCTAATTGCAAATGTAAAATATTTGATGTTTAAGAAGTAAATAAACAGATTATGTTATTATCTTGTTAATTTTTATAATCATCAATCATAAATATATAAATTATTATTTTTTAAGTATAGATTGGAATTATCATGAATTAATTAAAAGTCTTGATATCTTTGTGAGTATTTTCTTTATGATCCACAATATTTTAGATGTTTCAGGGGGTAAAGTGCATAAAAAATAACATTAAGGATACACAGAATAGTTAATCATGTTTGGTTTAATGTTGAAATTTGATAATTTATTAGGATGTAATAAAATGATAATTAGTAAATATCTGAATAGATTAAAGGAGAACGTTACATCATTTTATATTATTCAAAAAGAAGATTATACAAACTCAAAATAAATAAAAAGTCTGAATTTTGAGATATATTGGCTAGTAATTCTTATGATTAGCCATCCTCACCTACTCATCTCTTTGTAAACCATTATTAATATGAAATTATCATAAAATTTTTCTTTCTAAATATTTATCAAAATTCTAGAGTATATGGAGATTTTCATTTATGATCTGCTTAACGAATCCCATCAAGATGTCATATCTAATAAATACTTGTTTACGATGTGGATTGGGCAAGTAAGATCTCCTAGCTTGAGTTGTTTTTCGAAGTGTAATCCTAAACGGTTTATACCCATCAGAGATTTCTGATTCATCTTAAAAAAGAGACTTTTTCTTTCTAAATGAATTCTCCTGTCTAGAAGGCTCTTCAAAATTCTAATTAGTATTGTTAAGCACTTTCTCTTTAGCAACTCGAGTAAATACTTGAATTTAATCAGTTTCAATGAACCCCACATCTGGTTCCAAGTAACGTTCATTGCCAATTCCCCCAAATACTGCAATCTTGGAACTAAGCATCACAGAGGAATGTGCACATCGGGGAATCCTTTACCCCTCTGCAATTACTTCTTGCCAAAGACTTAGATGAGGGTAGAAGATATAATATTGATCAGATTCCAAGGTTCCATTTTAAATAAAATCTCTAAGCCCTCCAATGACTGCTATACCCTAGACCTTCCTTAGGTACTCTACAGTATGATTGTGCATGGGAGGAGGAGCTTTTCCTGTGCATTCGACCAAATCCCAAGAAAGTGGAATGTTGGTGAATGAGCAGTAAGTCAACTTTCTTATTGCGTTGACAGAATTACCTTCGGCATCCTTACCTCCAAAAGAGAATATTAGTTCTTAAGGCATTAAATCATTTGGAATCATCTCCTAAAATTTTCCTTAAGACGATATGTTAACTATGCCATGACAACATATTGGAGGTGATTTGGCTTTGTAGTTCTTCCAATATTGTTTTTCGATATTGAATATACTAGTGTCAGATAATACTTCCTCATTTGAATTAATGCCACCATGGATCAACATCCATTTGGATCCTATCAAACAGGCTCTGTGTTATCTTCTTGGTTCCACATAATCCCCTTGAGGATGTAATTTCTCCCAAGATTAATTACTTACTGTAAACTCAAAAACCTAATTTGAGCATTCTCTGATCTTCAATTTGGGATTGAATTATCCACAGCCTCCAAAATATATAAATTTATTCTTGTATTACACAACAGATAAACCTGCTCTTCCTTATTTCAAATTTTCTCCATTTCCATGTACAACTTACCAAATTTGGAATTCTAAAATAAATATTCAGATACTTATGTCATATTTGAGCATTTGGTTTCTGACCCCATCTCCTCCTATCCCTCCGTACAAATATAGTTAATCATTGAACAATGTAAATGCAGCCTATTCTGTAAACGAGGGCTTAAAAGTCTTGATGTCACGTATGAGACGTTGAGATTCGAAATAGAAGCTCAATTGTGCAGGACCGTCAACACTATTCTCCAATGGTGTGTCTAATTAAGGCAACTGGAAAACTGTTTAAATTGACTCAATCTATACCTTTCTATTATGGTTTTAATTCCACTGCTTTCTTATTATTTTGATCTCTTCTTTTTAACTTCTAATAATTCCTGTTTCGACTTTTTTGAGTCAAAGTAAGGGCTTCAGACATGGCTATTTCAAGTCTTTCCCGACTTTGGTTTATGATGGTTTCTCTTTGTTTTTTGTTATGAGAAAGTGAAGCCTATAACCGTTCCTTGGGGGAAGGAATCCTTGCCACTTAATGAGTAATTGCTGCTCTTTTTTTAGATAGCTAATTTACTTCTATTACATTTCTGAGAAAGTCTTGAAAAAAGTACTTTAATTGAGAGAAACACTCTTTTCAAAATGTATTAGTTCAATATTTACGGTACCCATTGACTGTGATCGCCTTATTTATTATAATTGAGGCTAAATTTTCAATTTTTACATTGAGTGAAATAATTTTTATTGTTAATTAATGTTCAGCAACTCACCAATCATTCAAAAATCTTATTAAAGCAGCTCTTTTTCCTACTAACAATAAATGGATGATATGAGTTGCATTGTAGACAACGGAGTATCTGGATCAATTTACTTGGGGAATATTGAATCTGCTTGTATGGTTTAGATTGATGTATAATTTTAGCTAGTTTGGAGAACCTGAGGAGACACAGAATCAATGGTGTATTGTCGATTTGTATGAATAAGATACCATTTGATGTATAGACCCAACTCCAAAATTATCAACATATATACTTGGAGGATTGTGAATCTGAAAATATTAGTAGACATTTTGAAAATAGCAATCAATTCATTGAAAAAGCCAGATAGAGTGGAAATGTGTTGATTCACTGCATGGCTGGTATTTCTCGATCAGCCACCCTCGTTGCAGCATACTTGATGAAGAAAAATAAAATGAGCGCTTAAGATGCCTTAAAATTGCTAGAAAGAAAAAGATGGTAAGTCTATCCTAATGATGGATTCTTAAGGCAATTACAACAATACGAACGAGCATTGCAATTATAAGCACATAAAAGTGATAAAACAGAGGTATCACCCTAGAAAGAATCTTTGTTAAAAAAGTAAAATCTAAATTGAATAATAGCAAACAATTCTAAACTCCAACCAAAGAAATCTCATTCATGAATAAATATGAAGAAAAATAATAATACTCTGGAATTAAAACAAGACCTCTGAAGGATATTAATTATGAGAGTTACAAAAGGAAATCTATTGAACCCTAAATCTATTGTCGTCCAGAATCATCCATTCAGTTTTCACTTACCAATCATAGACCTAATTAAGCTATTAATACTTCTCCTGATTTGATTCGAAAGTAGAACTACTTATAGGATGCAAGTATGTATCTTCAAATTTTATTTTATAGTTCACGGGAAAAAAAAGGATGGGTTAGCCTCTCTGGCATTAGAATTGAATTCCTTGGATTGGTAAAACAGAAAATAAGACTATGAAAATAAGTTTGTAAAATAACAGATTCAAACTACAAGCAAGACTTTTATATCTTAGAATAAACCATTCTAATACAATTAACAATAAAGTAAACTTGATGAATTATTAAATGCCTTTAATAGAAAACCAATACTTTGAGTATTATGATTTTAGTATTTTATCATTGTTCATAATGTTCTGATTAATGTTTTATAATTCTATTTAAAAGTACAATTTTGCTGAATTTATCAGCCTCACACAATCTAAACTAAGCATCTTTCTATTGTTGAATGATCCTTTCCAACCTTCTACTCTGAATCATTTGAACAGTCTTGTTTTGGTCCTTCAAATCGTCCCCCCTTGTAATTTCATGTTATGAATGGACTGAGAAGATCTTCTGGAATTGAGGCTTCATCTTCACTTCGTTATCCTCACGTATTTGCTGCAATGCTTGAGCAGCTGTGGGTCTGAACTCAGGCGATTTATTTAGTAGTTTAAAAATCAGAGTCTACAATCTCTTTGAGTACTTGCAATTGATTGGCTTTGGAGATTTGTTTACTATATTGTATCCCAAAGATATTAGATTGCTTCCTCCGAACGGAGCATCTCCTTGGCAAATAAAATAAAGTACACAACCCAATGCCCAAATATCAATCTTACTATCATAGGGTCGATTTCGAATTAGTTCAGGTGCCAAATAAAGAGGAGTTCCAACTTTTGTTGTTTAAAGCTATTAAGTAGAGATCAAACTTTTAGATACTCCCAAATCACTAATCTTTAATACATTGCTCTTGATCAAAATATTATTGGGTTTGATATCTCGGTGCATTATTTTTTATGAATGCAAGTATTCCAATCCTTCTAACAATTGCATGGTCCACTACCAAACTTAGTTTTCAGCTGGAGACGGATTCCGACTTATGTAATTGAACAGGTCGTTTTCACAATGTTCCATAAAGATATTCAACTTATCCTTCCTTAATTGAGAATTATAGTATGACACTATATTTGGGTGATTTAATGTATGCATAATTTGAGCTTCCCTATAAGCTTCGTGCTACTATTTAAGAGAAAGATTCTTAAGCGAGATTTCTTTTAACACCTATATCTGAGATGCTATTTTCACCTTATAAATCACTCCGTAACTACCTTTTCCTATTTAATCAATGATTTCGTAATCCATTTTATATATATTTAAATTAAACTCTTTATAAAACTTAATTCATCTACAGGCGCAAGTGTGCTCATTTATTCAATATGATTTTAAGGCTGAGCAGCACTTTTATATTAACGAAGTGATTCTCTTAACCTAAAGAATTTTCAAATATACAAATATATTACAAGTTCTATACAAAATTAATTAACTAAAAATAAAGTTTGATGAAATTTCTGAAAATCAAGGAATTTTAGTTAATCAATGAAGAATATCGGAATCAGTAATTCTAATGCAATACTTTGATCCAAATTCGTTTAAAATTTGAGATGAATTATGATTAATTATAAATAATATCGTTTTATTACCATAACTAAATAACTGTAGAGACATAGAGATGGAATGATAAACAAGTATGATCCAAAAAATATCAAGTGATAGACCTCTTTAGTTGTAAAACTGAATTTCAAATGTATTAGGGATTAAATGTCTGATATTAATAACATATTTGCTTATGATATTAGAACATATCGAAAAATAATAGATATTATTTTCTGATTAAATTATTTTTATGATCAAGTATAATTTGTGAATTAACAGAAATTGCAATTTTAAATTCCATATATTGTATGCTATGGAATTTCAAGAAATCAAATAGTTTTTGCAACAATAAATAATAATCTATTAAATGAATATTTCATCAATTGTGATCAAATCCTGGATCTTCACTGAAGTAGATAATTTTGGCATTTGATATAATCCGAGAAGGCTTGTGGAGGGGATAGAGAAGTTGGAGAATTTTAGAAGAAAAAAATATAAAATTGACTTGTTAAATTTGAAAAAAATTCATAGAATGTAAGGAAAAACTCATTCAATGAATTAAAATTAATGTGTATATTAATAATTAAAAAATGGATCGTTTAATCATCTTACTAGCTATTCTTTTGATGGTAGGAAACAACTATGCCTTTGATATTCCTCAAGCTCTTGAGGTTCCAATAGAAGAGGAGTTTCAATTGACTTAAACTTAGTTCAATTTGCTATACAGCGTGTTTGCAATTCCAAACATAGGTTTGAGTATCGGAGGAGGCATAATGATAGACAATATGGGAGGCCGTTGGGGAGTAAGTACATATTGTATAGTTTAGGTGTTTACTTTTAGTCTTTTGCTGGGCCTATCATAATTGTTTATATTTTTTGGAGGATGCTATCATAATTACTGTATGATGCTTTGTGGTAGAGCTATATTTGGTATTGCAAGCGATATTTTACACATTGCTGTGTTTAAAATGGTAGCCTAGCGAATGCCCAAGGATATGGGTACTGCAATGGGATTGATACTCACAGTCCCAGAATTGGCAGCTGCTCTTAATTCGTTTTTATCACCTTATTTATTTGAGAAGACTAATTCACTAAAAATACCATTGTTGTTTGGATTATTCTTATGTTTTTTGGTACAATTAAAAATAATTTGAATAGTCCTTCTTATCAGGGTTAATGATGATTTACGTAGATATGAAATACGAAAAAGTAGAAAGTGTGAAATAAACTGAATAGATATCAGTGTTTAATTGTATTGATAGTAATCTAATAGTTTAGTTAAGCTTACGAAACCCTTTGTAATAATGAGCATAATAACTACTTTGATGTTAGCTTCCTATGTGCCATTCCTTGATAATGCTAATAAGTTTTACCATGAACGCTTTGGATTTAGCATAATGGATGCTGGTCAAATAGTAACTGTGGGATATGTGGTAGCAGGTAGAGTATAATTTGTTATATGACTTTTATAGCGATTACATCTCCGGTTGTGGGAAGGATTTCAGACAAGTTTACGAATTATAGACCATTTTTTATTGTAGTGTCAACAATCATGTTTTTTATATCCCATTTGCAATTTTATTATATGCCTTTGACGACATCTCCAAATTATTATTCAGTTTTTGCGTAAAATGTTAATAAAATAGTAGTTTGATTACATTGGGGTTATCATATTCATGTTTTTCGAGTGTTTTAATGCCTGCTCTACAATCCACAGTTCCTGAAGATATGCTTGGTACTTTATGAATACGATTGAAATTAGCAACTGCTTTGGGTTTATTGGGGATAATAGAGAATTTCTGTATGGCTGTTGTTCCAATGATTTCTGGTTTTGTATATGCAATTGGTGGTGGCATAGATCCAATGAAAAATGTGGATATCATATATTTGTTCTTGGCAGGAATTGGAGTGGTTCTTTCAATTCATTTATTGATGGAGAACATTCTGAAGCCAGCCAAGGCACATTCAAAATTGCCAAATGCCCTGGATATTTGAAAAAAAAATAAAATTAAAAAATGATGATTTTAATTTATTAGTACTTTTTTTTCTAAATTTTGAATAATTCTCTTTTTCTTTTTTAAGCATTTATTGTCACCATTAATTCATATATAATCATTATTATTTCTTCTGATACTTCTTGGCTTTCTCCTCCTCTTTTTTTCTTTCTTCCTCATCCCTCTTTTTCTGCTTCTCTCTTCTCACACGTTCCTTGTAGGTGTATTCCTCATTATTCTTCCTCTACCAATCTTCAGAATGCCAAACAGGTTTGGTATAGAATGATTTCGGTTTGTATGGTTTGGCTGGTTTGACCTTTACAATCTTGCCAAACAATTCTCCCTCATCGTAATTATCAATAGCAGCTTCAGCATCCTCAATATCCTCATATTCTATAAATGCAAATCCCCTATTCTTTACTTCAATATTCATAATTCATACAGGTTTCACTATCTATTGGCAAATCTACAGATTTAATTTCACCAAATGTAATAAACAAGTGTTTGATTTATTCCACAGTCACATCTTCAGGAATTCCCCCGAGATAGACAGTATTGGCTAATTCTTCTGACATTATTAATATTTGAATATATAAGTTTATTAATGATGAGTGCATTCTCAAAAAAGATAAATATATACAAAGAAATCACAAACAACTCCTTACTCTAGCTATTGATTTTAAAAACACATCTTCATCATTTATGTAATCAAGTTGATTTAGACTCGTTACTAAGTTGAAATGTTTCTCGAAAGCGATTAGGTCGTCTTGATTCAACTCAGATGCTACATTAGATCATATGGAAATACTGATCTTTTGCAATAATTCCTTAATTATTTCGATGCAACATTCTCTAGTCTTTATAGAATTATCCTTATGACATTGTTCAAGCACTTCGATTATTTAGAGAATTAAAACTTAATTCATTATTTTAATTAGTTATTATACTCAAAGACAAAACAAAATGGATATAATAGGTTAGATTTTGCAATAGATTTTTGTTATATATATACTTAATTATATTAAAAATGGAAAACAATAATGATATTCCATCTATCCTAAAATCTAATTTGCACTCCAATCGAAGATCTCTCAAAATTTCAGTAGTACATCCAACTGATGAATCCCTTACTAATGTATAAGATGAGGAAAGATTTTTGTACGAGAAACGCTAATGGGAAATCAGCTCTCAATAAGTTTCCTTGGAGAACATCTAAAAAGAATAAATGGAAAAGTATAAAGGGGAATGGAACTGGGGTGTCTTTGTTGAGTTTTTCTTATACCATTAGGTAATCATCTAATTTTGGAATTTAGATTTTCTTCACGATATTGGGACCATTTATGGTTATATTGTTTAGCTTATGGCCAGGCTTGACGCTGATGAAGAACATGAAATTTTACGGAAATTCCATGCCTTTTTATTTGCAAACACTATTATGGTTCGGATCAGTAGTAGGAGGCCTAGGCTATTTTTTTTGGGATGAAAGTTTAATAACACTAACAGAAATATTATTCCTTTGGTATGCTTTAACAATTCGAAGTGTAGTAATAGCAGCTAAATATGCCACTTTTAGCAGGAGCGTAATAAACCTATACAAGAGTACCTTACTGCCTGATGAAGTGTTTTAATTTGATTTGATGATGGGAGAATGGAGAGAGTAATCTCCCAAGATCCTATTTTTGGAGCCTTATCGTTCACTTCAACGTTACTAATTCGAGATATCTCTATTCAAGATGGATTTCATAGTGTAGCCTCATTAAGAAACAAAAGTAGCCATTGCCAAAGTGGACATCAATTTTTTCAGAGACACAGGAATATCTTTGGATGATGATGAATACTCTGGCTTTAAATTATTCGGCTACTTAGTAAATCATTATCAATCCAAAAACTCAGCCAATGCCCACATGTACATCTGTGTACTAGAAGCATTTATCCTTTCTACAACTCCAATGTGGTTGAGAATAGTAGATTTGATAGATTCAGTCGAAGCCTTAGATATGTTCCGAATGGGTATAGATATATTAAATATATTAAAGTGTTGAACATAGTCTCTTCATTTATAGGATTCTGGGGCAGCAATATCTTCTTTCATTAGGCATTCTATGATTTCAAACGGAAGTTCTTTTTGCTCGAATAGTTATTACTGATAATCAAGGTCAGACCAGATCAGATCGAATAACTTAAATTACTACCAACTCTTAACTTCAATAATATTACTACATGGCAAGCCTGGTCAATGATGAGAGCAATTTCATTTGATTATGGTCAAACATACAATCTCAGAACACAAGGCTTCTATTCTCTGTGCTTTTTAGGATTTATAGTGTTGATCTTCCTATCATTATTGCTCATCCTAGACTTTGTCCATCTTGATCTATTTCAACTCATCTTACTAGGAGAGTTGGCTATCATGATTCTAGGCTTTACTGCCTATTATCTCGCCTTAGGAGCTAAATTGAATACCTATTTAGATCAATGTGAGGTGGCTCTGTAGGATGTTAAATCCATCTATTAAGATCTTTTGAGGATGAAGGATGTCTACTTTGAGGAGAACAAAGAGCCTTAAAATTACATCCACAAGAAATTCAAATAACTGTTACAAAACGAAAGCCAAGTTGAGGAAGTCATTAAATCTATAATTCAAGAATTGGATGACAATATTAGGATCATTCAATATGATTCTAGAAACAACCCATTTAAACTTTATGGGATCAAAATTACTTTTAACTTACTCAAAAGTGCTGCAGTCGGACTCAGCACTATCTATAGTTATTCACTTTAGTAAAGATTTATGAACATTAAATGATTTTCAAAAATCAAATTTTTATACATCTAAATAGATTAAATTTTAAAAATAAGTTAAATAAATATATATACATTCACAAAGAGGTTCCTAAGACAGGACCAACTATAACTAAAATCAAAACCAGTCCAATCATTATGATACAGCACATTCTCTATTATCTATTAAAATATTTTACTCTTCTGGCAGCTTTATGATTCTTCTTGGCCTTCCTCTATTCATCCTCTCCCTTTATAACGTAATCCCTTGCTTTTACCATGTTCTATTCAATATTATCAATCAATTCTCCTTGATTCTTAACCAACACTGCCATATCTGCAAATAGTTAATACATCTATTGCACACTCTTTAATACTAAATTTTTATTTTTACTTTCTCTAGCTTAACGATGTCTTTATATTTTTCTTGAATATCTTATACTGCATTCTAAGTTTTAATCGACGCTTATCCGTAGATTTTCTGTTGTAATAGTTCTTACATTTTCTACATCAAAATAAAATCATACTTTTGGATCTTCGCATAATTCATCTATTTAATTCTCATTAAGACTAAAATCCAACTAGGTTGCTTGTCTTTTTATCTTGTTCCTCATATCCTTTTTGAAATCTAATTGAGCATCTTGAAACTCTGTCAACACAGTCTTCACTTTCAGAGATACTGCTGCCCAGATATCCATTTTCATTCTCGTTTCAGGTTCATCAGGCTACTCTTCTTTTGCTTTCTCAACATCCAAAGCTACTTATCCTATTAATTTTTTCAATCTCTCCTATAGTTGATTATTTTATTGTATTATACTATCCAACTTCGTACTTAATTCTGTATATTATTTAATTCATAAATACCAACCTTACTCAGCCTCAGATCTAGTTGCACTGATATATTGCTTTTTGAGTTCTACAATTTTGACAATATTAGATCTGATAGTCTCTAAAATTTTCTGAACTCCATCAACATTCACCTTAAAAAGTGGCATCAAATCATCGATATCATTAATCAAAATATTTTAATGATCACTTTTTTCATCATACTCTCTTTAGTTTTTTATAGATTGTGATGAACTTATTTTTACAATATTGTATACCCAATTCCCTTTATCTCAGATAAGCAATCCTCCATTTAATAAAGATAACTTTTTTTTCATTATTATTCGAAATTACATACACAGATAATCCCGAAGAATACTGTATTTTTATATTCAAAAATTAGTATTTATTATTGAAAGAAGAACTATTAATCTGTAAATAAAGACATTCTAACAATATATTAAAGTTTATATAAAATTAGTTAATTTGAAATATGAACGAGATTTTGCTCAATACTTAGTCATCCAATTTTTTAAGTGAGGAAGTCATCAACAAAGCAGCAAAAGATCCTGAAACAAGAAACAATATCATTAAATTCGAATAGTAATGAAAATTTGTATCAATAGTAAACTGCTATCAGTATATGCACATAAATTTTCTATCATTCTATTGCCAAAAACCGAATAAATTACAGGTAATTAATAGATTAATAAAATAGAATGGCATGGGATGATTAGCATATCATATGGACTGTATGCCAAGGGAAAATTTAAATTTGTATTGAACTTCCCTAAAACTTTTCCAGAATCTATTCCTAAAATAAGGTTTCTTTGTCCCCTCCTCCATCCTTTAATTGATGAATACAATAACGTGGATGTTGACACACTCATTCCGAAATGGAAATATGGGTAGGATTGCATGGTATATAATTTATTAAACAAACTCTATGAAATGTTTATTGATGTAAGTTATTATGATTGTGTGACTTCCTTTAACCCCAGAGCTGCTCAATTATTTTCAAATGATATAAACTCATATGCTGAGGAAGTCAAAAAACAAGTCGCCTAATCTGAATAGTAGCTCTACGATAATCGAGATGATTTCGTTCTTAAAGTAAATCCTTATATTCATTCCATAGTTAAAAGAACCAACCTATAACACCCAAACAATTCTCTAGAAATTACAAGACATCAACTCTTCAAAAAACTTAACATTTGAACAAAAGAAGAAGGATCTACTAAATTTCATACTGTAATAGAGTAAGGAAAACAAAATATAATAATGAACAATACACCTTGTTTTCGGATTATATATAAATATCATTCTTCTATCTCATATTCAATTAGATTATGAAAATAATGTTTTTGCAATTTAAATATTCAGTCTAAAATAAACACTTCATTTTTTAGTATCTTAAGCTGACAACTCTAAGAATAATTAGGGAGAAGATATATTTGATTGTAACAAATATACAGAATTCAAAAAATTGAAAAGATATTAAATATCGTATTGCTCTTACATGAATTCACAAATTCATTAAGTATTTATAGATTTAAAAATAAATATGGGAACGTAATTACATCCAAGTACTTATATAACATAATCCATTGCAACAACATACCCAATTCTCTCTTTGATTATTGTGCGATAGCTTAGACTTCTTTTTAAAGGATGATCTTTATTCTCTCAATCCGCAACTTTCGATATAAAAATTTATTATTTATATATGTAATTTCAATTGACTGCCGCATTCAAGGAATTGCTAAAGGGAGATAATAAAATTCCGAAAAGCAACTTGATACGTTAAGCGAAAAATTTGGCACACAAACCATCTTTGGAACCAAAAATAAATTAGACTCATCGCAGTGTAGAAGAACCTGCATAAAATAAATAGAGAAGTGGATAAGCCTTCCCAATTCTAATATAAAAAAAGCAGCAATTTACACTAGATTGTGATAAGACGAAGGATATTCTTAAGAACTTTAATATTAAACTTATTCGCTAAAGAGTATGTTAAAATGAAAAAATCCACAGAAAACTATCTTAGCATAATATCCAAAATACTCAATAACTAAATCTTACTTTTGGACAGAACTTTCGCATAAAAACAAGACCACTTCTCTCAAGGTAAGATAACAGTGCAGATCTCAGAGACTCTCATTCAGCTAGTAGAGTAATGTCTCACTCGTAACAAAGATTAGTCAATAAACTATTTTAATGAATTATTATGAATTTTATCATATCTATCTTGGTCAAACTATATACTTCAAGTTTTAATATTAATTAAGCTTTTAATTCTTAGATTAATCGATTTCATATTTAAAATCAATCACTTAAAATTATTAAATATGCTTTGTTATAACGAATGATATATATAAATATGGAAAGTCTTTTTTTCATAATATTATATTATTACATCTTAGTTTTTTGTTTTGAGTTCCCCTTTTTTGATTGTCAATTTTTCAACTTAAAAAAAACCTAAATTAAGTTACTATTCAAATAATCGAATAAATATGATTTAAGTTAAAGGAACAAATTATATATAGGTTTCCAAATAGCCATATATATAATGAATATTCTAACAAGACCTTAAAGTTAATTTTATATTCAAGATTTAATTAGACTGTATTCAATATATCTATCTCACAGTCAAAAAGAAACCATTCTTTATACTATTGTATATAAAAAATTGGTCAAATTTATGTTATTTGTTTTTATTGATTTATATCTCTATTTGTTATAATCTGTTCACATAAATATCAATCAAGTTATATTTCTTTTCCAATAAGTACTAGTCTTTTATTTTTGTATTTCTGTTTGGCAATTGCTAAGTATTCTTCATATTTTTGGTCAATTTTATCAAAATCAAATTGTTGATCTGGTATTTATCCAATTTGCAATTAAGGATTATAGATTTAAATATCTTAAATGGTGCATAAAGGAGCAATTGGATATTAAGTACCTTTTTTAATAATTTTATTTTACCATCTTGCTTGTAAATGTTTTAAAAAGGAAGAAACCAAAAATAGGAGTAATTAAAAAACCACGCTATGTTAGATAGTATTCCTCTATTGAACAAATTAATGCTCTTTGGAGGCCTGTCATTTTGTAAACAACAACCATTTCCACTTTAGCTGTTTTCCATTTATTCTAATGTAGTCTAATTATTAATAATTAGGGATGTATGATAAACTAATAAGAAACATAACATAGCACAAACTGGGTATAAAACCAAACTTGTTAAAAACCAATAAATATAAAAGAAGGTAGATTGATGAGAAAAGAACCCATTGCTACTTCGAAACAAATATCTAAAATAAACCCAAGATGCATAGCTATATTACAATGCACCTATCTATTTATATATGAGATTTAATACAGTCATATACATAGTAAAGAGATAAAAGCATCTATGATTCCTTAAACCTACGCAATTGTGAATCCAAGGGCAATGGTGATCCATTTTTAGATTGCATTTGCCACAAAGGGAACAATGATGAGTTCGTATAGGTTTCCATTTGTTGCATTAAAGACAGGAATTAGTGTTTTTATACAAAGGATCAATTCTTCGATTATCTTAATTTGGAGTGGCCTTATCTATTGTGTAATTTTTTATTGTAATTGACTAGTAATATGACCACATAGCCATGGCATAAGAAAGATAAACTAAAAATCCGTTTATTAATTCAGATGCAGAATCCTTTTTCAAATCGAAAAACTAATCTTTTCATAATTGATACAAACTATTCTAAAATCACGCAATTGGTCGGCATTAGGACAGTAAAAAATATGATGAAAGGTCCGGCTTAATGCTTAAATTACGAAAGCTTTTTTCGTCTATGATTACGATCGCTAGAATGAATCATTTATCTAAAAAATAAATATTAATTTTAAATAACAAACAATAAAATGTCTCAGAATTCTAGTAAGAATATCGCTAAGGATTCCATGCCTGATGAAAATTATTGTGAAGATATAAATGAATGTTTCATTCGAAATCTCGATATTCTCCTTATCTTGATATTATGTTATATTGGAATTTTAGTTTTGATTTTCATATATAGTTTGTACACAGGTTGGAAAGTCAAAAGATTGAAAAAAAATATAGTATTCCAAAGCTTTGAATTTAATCATAAAAGAAAGAAATATGAGATTAATTGAATTTATATTACTTTATATTACTCTCTATCAATTTAGGCTTTATCTTGGCAATTTGAAATTAATTTTAATCTAAAATATAAGTTTATAAAATGAAGATGAAGCAATCATATATTTTCTCATGAATTTGTTTTAAAATAAAAATTTTATTCTATTTTTTTTTCATACAATACTTATTGTAAATATATCAGAAATCAGATTAATTCATAAATAATCAATATTTTTGTTTTCTTAATAAAAGATGACTAGCAATTTTATAGACACTTAATTGAGTTAGTAAATAGAATAGACTATCAATTCAATAATCTAAAGATAATACAAATAACATCATTTAGTTTCTAATATCATCTAATTTCTAAACTTTCCCTTATTCTAGTTTAATTCAATTTTTATTACCTAATAAGAGGATAATTTTTATATAATAATAAAGAAGATTTAAATATTATTTTAACAAATGAATATAAAAATAATTTAATTTTTGCATAATAAAAAACAGAAATTTACATAAAGTAGATTTTTATAAAGTTAAGCCTAAAGTAAAAATTCAAGTTTAGAGCCTCATTTAAAATTAATATCGAAAATTGATATATCAATAAGTTTTTAATGGATTTGATTTCAAATTGAATCAAAAGGAAATCTTAATTTATGTTCAAGAGTGAATTAATCATAAAAAAAGTATTAATGAAACTATATTATCCAACCCTGATACCACTTGAAGTTGTATGTTATGGAGTTAATTAATTTTCATTTGATAATAATGAAGTTAAGAAATTTGTAAAAATGCTTGTTGTTTCATTTTGCTGAATAATTAAAAACAAAAATATATATAATGGATTTAAAGTTAATTTTATATAAATAGTAATTATAATTGGAGTAAGATATATCATCTATTGTTTTCTTATATATTTTCAATAAGTAGAAAATTCATCGCACTCAGAATCTAAGGAAAAGGATTCTACGGACACATTTTGTATGATTACTGTGAATATATTTTCTAAAATTATTTAATTATTAACTTGAAGAGGCAGTGGATGAGATTGTCTTCATAGATTGATTAACACTTAGTTGATTGTCTTCATCACTCTCTAAATGGGTGAGATTGACCACCATTGATTTTAAATCAGGTAATAAAACATAGTCTGATTTTAAGGAACATTCGACTTGAGGGTCCTCTTCTTTATCTTATAGTATTTATCCAATATTTTTTTGAAAGTACATCTTCATATTTGTAACTATGTGGAACTCTGTCTAGGCTTTACTATTTGAATTATTCATTTTCCAAAATCTTTAAAATCTTTGTTATAATTATTAAATCCTAAACTCCCAAATGATGCTTACAACCTGATTAAACTGAAATTTATTTGGAATTAAAAATACCCTTAAGATAATTACGTTAAAAATAGATGTATATATTCCTATTTTTAGATTTTGAATTATCGAAGAAATTCACATTATAATTTAATAAAAAAAGTTAAATCATTCAAAAACAGAATGATGATTATATTCATTACTTCTATATAAAGATTATTTCTATCTGTGTTCCTCTTTAATGAAGAATATAACATATATTTTATCTTTTAAAACATTATGAGAAATGAAAATTTAAAGAGATAATTTCAATTATTTTAGAAATTAAAATTGACTAGCGTTTAGGCTTCTCTTTTAAATTCAGAAAGGTGACTAAGTTGCCTTTATATTTTTTTTCTTTTTTGATTTTTTCATCTTATTTTCCATAAATTATAATATATTAAAAGTAAATCAAAAAATTAATTTTATTTTCTAAATTATTTTTAATCAACTAATAGGAAATATTAACATTATGTTATTGTTAAATCTACTTCAAAACTGTAAGAGACAAAGCAAAATTTTCTAACAATTCATTTATGGCTCCGCAAAACCTATATAATAATGATTTGATTTCTTCGAAAAATAAAAAAATAATTCAATTTCTAAAAACTAAGTTTGATAGTTGAATTAATAATTATCTTATATTTTGATAATAGAACTAATAGATAATAATCCATTTATATGTTAAATCTCTTGCATATATTGCATAAATAAAATAGCTTGAAATTCTAATTTTAACTATACAATCTTTACACTTTATTTAGAAGTTATTACAAATACAATTTTGAATGCATATTTACATATTCAAAATTTATGCTATTGTACCAACCAAAATTCAATTAAACATTTGAAATGAATAATTATGTATATATACCTACATATAACTGCAAATTTGTAAAGTCCTTTCTATATTAAATAAAATATATAATCCATTATTTTATATTATTTTTTTTCGTTAAATAAATATATTTTAAAATGGCTACTCAAAAGCAAGAAAACAGATTATTCAATCTAACTCCTAATAAGTCATAACAGATTCAGCAATCTACATTTTTTTAGAAAGGTTTTGTTAGTTCTAATAATCTTCCATAAAAAATTGCTCCTAATTATTAATTTACTTATGAAAGCATGCCTAAAGTGAATTGTCATTATCACGTTGATCAATACATTACGATGTTTTGCAGATGTCAAACTTGCTAAATGCCCTTATGTCCATAAGTATAGAATAATGTAAAAAAATTAGTGCGTTAAAATCCATTCTCAAGAACATTAGGCCTATAATACATATGGAGATTTCGACACTCTTGAGAATTGTTTGACAGAAGTATATCAATCTGTGGCTGCCAATTGTAATAGATTTGTAGATGAAATGGGACAATTGAATAAAGTAACAGCATTAAATGAAGGAGTCAACTATTATATGGATAAAGTTAAATAAGCAAGATAATAATGTTATTAAGTCATTGATAACTTCTTCAATACTTTGGAAGCAGAACTAGCCTAAGAAATAGAGGGAAATAGAGGATTTATGACTAATCAATCTCAAAACTTTAGTAAATACTTGCAATAAAGGTGGAAGACATTGATGAGTCTTTTGGAAAAGCTGAATACAGATAGAAGTGTGAAGACTCTTGTAAAATATTACTCATCCAATCTCCCTCAGGAAAATGAAGAATATTATCATGAATCTAATTAGTTTATGAAACAGTTCAATAAATGTGTTCCTGAAATCTTATTAGATTAAAGCGCATTGTACGAGTTAAATATTGATTTGGCAAAGTTTGTCTCATTGAAAAAAGTGCCTGTTATGAAGTAGGTATCAAGAGGTTATCCTTAATATTCTCCAAATGAACAGATGTAGCCTATGTATAATTAATATATGCAACCCCAACAAAATCAAACTCTCATGCCTTTGACAAATACTGAACCACCCATAGAGCCTCCAAAGTAATATCCAGTGAAACAAGGTTAATTTAGATAAGAACAAAGTCGTCCTGTCTAATAGGACAACACCCAAATTCATCCGTATTTATTAACTCCTCCGAAAACGAGTAATTTTTATTAATGATTGGAATATTTAATTTATTGCATATATTTAATAAATATAATGTTTTTACACATATTTATTTAAGTGGATTTACAAAGTAATATTTAATAAGTGATATAAAATTGACTCTACTTCCGAAAACATGGATTTGTTTAGTTTTTTTCATGATTTCAAGACTATATATCTATACGATATAGTTAAATGAAAAAATGCTTGAAATTCTATAAGTTGCTTTCTTGTCAACCAGATAAGGTCTCAAAAAAATACTAAATATATAGTCTACTTAAAATATGTCTCAAAACATTTAGTAATAACTCATCATGTTGATAAGAAATCAAAGGCTTACAATTATAAATCGAATAATTTAGTAATTTGGTTTTTATTTACTTAACAATTATGATTAATTTAATACCTTAGTTTTAGATCTCCTTCTCTCTCTAGCTCCATCAATACAAAATATTCAGCAAGTACAGACTTAACATCGAAGTTAAAATTTACAATATTGAAATCATGATAATTTAGATAAGATTTTATTAAGATGTACCTGTTTTAATATGAAGGTTTATTTGAATAAATGAAATATATGGTAATTGTTAACAAATTCATAATCATAATAAATTAAATTTTAATAATCCTTGGTAAGACTTTTGCCTTAAAATTTCAATTTTGGGAGCAAGTATATTATTCTAACTTAAATAAATATCTATTACATAATTATTCTCAACCAATTATTCCAATGTTTCAAATGAAATATAAATTGGCAATATCAATATGCAAATACCTAAGGTTTCATTTAGAGCCTCTATTTTATGGTTACTTATTTATTTTACATAATGATATGAATGCTAGAATTGGGAACACAGTATGCTTCAAAATATTGATGAGCAAAAAATGTATTAGCCATCTACTCATTTTCGGTTTATCATTCGATGCATAAGCTATAGCAGCCATTGCGATTGGAATCAAGTAAGCTAATGCTAGATATAGAGTATAAAGTAGAAATTCAAATGCCTCGAATATCATTTTTATATATTATTATTTTATTAATAAAAAATGGAAATGCAAAAGAAGAAAAGAGAGTTGACTCAAGGAGAAGTTTAGAAAATAAAAGATGGATTCTAAATTTAAAAAGTAATTATGAAAGACTCAGAAACTTAATAAGTTTATTGGGATTCTACTTCTGAAAATGTAACAAAATATTAATTATTTAAAGATCACTCAAGATATTATGGATATTACTTTGGATCCTAAAATAATTACTTCAAAAGCTGCTACTCGATCAATCTAATTTTCTACAAAGGAAAAATTATAAGACTTAATATTAATTTAAGATGTATAAATCATTTTTAATGATTTTATAGGCATATTTGCATGATCAGAAAATTGAGCATTTTGTATTTAAATTTGGTTTTGTTATGCCTGAAACCGTGAACACTTGGGATTCTACAATTGTTAACAGACCACCTGAACAAATGTTGCCCAAAGAAATCTAATCTGGCAATTTAATTGTTGATATCTAAATGTTTGAATAAGATCACCTTATCTTTAATGTGAAAGTGAGAATATTTTATTCATGAAAAAAAGTTAAAAATATTCTACATTATGAAATTATATCAATCATCATCCTCATCCCTATCCTTTCTTCCTCCTCTCAATAATTAAATTTTTTTCCTTTAAAAATCTTCAACCAATTGAAAAAGTTTAATTTTTAATTTCTTATTTACTAATAAAAATCACAATTGTTAAAATTTACATAGTCGAAATTAATCTATCTTAATTTAATCCTGCGCCTCAATCTCCAATTATTAAAGTACATCACATTTTGTCTTACACCAGTAAAAACTAAGATGTAATTCTGAGCAATCCTTCTGCTGGCACCCAGAATATCCTTAATTAATTTGGAATAACTTGTTGAGTATGAAAGTATTAGACTATTTCTCTAAAAAATTAGAGTAACAATTCCCATCATTTTCTTAATATAATGAAACTTCACCTCTGAGACAAAATTATAAAGAATTTTCTCTTCTAATGTTTTAGAAAATCAACGAGATATATGATATATACATCTAATCGATTAAGTATTATTGTATTTCATATCTCTACTGAAATTTTGAGTGCCCTAAAAATTGCTTTACAAACTGTTAGCCAGTTCCGAAATCTCTTGCCTTTCCTAATTGAATTGACTTTAATAGCATTAAGTAACTATGATTTTATCTTGTTTAACTCCTAATCATAACCCCTCTTTTTACTTTGACTTCATTCATTAATATATCACCTGTAAAGACTTACTTATTTCTTCACAATATCACTCGCGTTGAAAGAGATGAGGCATGAGCATCTTTTTCTGTCCTTGCGCCTCTTCTTCATCCAGATTTCATTGAATCATCATATTCCATAAATCAATTCTATTTATCAATTTTGACATAATTGAATCCTTAGGTGCTTAAAATACTTTTCTTCCACATTCTCAAATTGTCCTCGTTTCAGATTTATAATTCATCATAATTTGCTTCTTTTATCGAATTATCATTTGCTATAAATAATATAATTAACAAAATAATCTTTAAGCTGTTAATCAAATTATTGAATAGTATATGCAATCTCCTCAAAATTATATCCTTTTAAATAAAATAATTAAATCTAATAAATATATCAAGAAAATAATCAAGACATCTCTTGCACTATTTATAAATTAAGTATTGTATTTTATAAATAATTATTTATAACTGATATTAACATGAGAAGTGCTTATGAGTATATTCATATTAAATATTTTTAGTTAATCATAATGTTAATAAGTTCTTTAGGTTTGCAATAACCCTTAGGGGATGCTAAATTAACACAATTGTTTCCTTGAGTATGATATCCCCATTTTTAATAAGATTCCTAATACAAAAAAATTTCAAACTAAACCTAAGGAGAATATTTTTGAACATAAAATTGGCAAGGATATTGTTTCAATTAATGATTCGAATCAAACTCCTCTATATTGCATAAATTGGTTGAAGCGTAAATATGGGAGAGATGTATAAATTAACATTTGATTTAGGACTTTTATCAATTAAAAAAACAATATGAAAAGTTATTATAAATACAGCCTGAATTAAATATAGATTATCAAATCGAAAAAGATTTAAAAAGGACGTTGCTTGCAGAAAATAAAGTCAATGAAATAAGAAATATCTTGTTAGCTTATTCTGTCTTTGATCCCTCAATTGGATATATCTAAGGAATGAATTATATAGTTTCTGTGTTATATAGCCACGCAAAATAGGAATGGATCGGATTTTGGCTATTTGTTTTACTGATTTAATAAATGGGAATAAGGGACGTGTTTTAAATGTCTCAAAATTCATTAAATAAATATTCCAAAATATTAGATTTCTATATTTTTAGATATCAATATCAATTATATTTAAACCTTAGAGAGAAAAAAGTACAAACTCAATTATACCTCTAACAATGGATTTTAAGTTTATTATTGCAATAAATACCATTTGAATATTCATAGATGTATCTAGATGGATTATTCAATAATGGGTTATCATATTTTTATACGGTTGCGGTATCATTAATAAAGATGTTTGAATAAGCCATCATTGAAGGTGAATAAATAGAAATATTGATGATCCTTACATAAAAATAGAATGTAATAAATTATAAAATGTAGGCTTTATTAAATTGGGCATTTATCCTATCTATTGATTGGGATATTTAGAAACAAGATATTAAAGCGATAGATGAGAGTTTTGAGATCGAAAAAAACATTTTTTAGATATCAAGATTGCAACCTTATTAATCAGCACAACTTCCTCACTTTATTTAATTTATCAAATAATGATGAAAATATGAAAAAGTTTAGTTATTTATAAACAATCATTTACATCATTATGGATCATTTTTTTATATCAACAAATCTTGCTATTAGATAATGTTTTCCAATTTTTGAAGACTTTTATCTTTATTATTTTAAGGTTATTTAAAGTTTTAGTATCTTTTATACCAACCTAATTTATCTTCTTTAGGAACATCAGCTCTTTTATTTTTTAATTCTATGACAACTTCTAAATGCTCTTCATAAGTTTTGGCAGATCCAAGTTTGGATCTCAAATCTAAAATATAAAATGAAAAGAGAGTACCAGTAAATATCTATAAGCCTGTATACAGAAGTTTAAATAGATGTGCTTTAATTTCAGCTAATCTGGCATTATACTGTTTGGCAAATTGCATATATTCAAGAGCCAAATCATTTAAATCTTTTATTTCACCCGAAAAAAGAGCAGGATTTTCTAAGAGAGCTTCAGATGACATGACTGCATCAACTTTAGTTTCTTGGAGACATCTTTCAACATCAGACCAAGTGTAGATGCCTCCATTAGCAAATACAGGTATTTGAAGTATTTATTTTATTTCTGCTATAATAGTCCAATCGCATTGACCAACAAAATCTTTATTTTACTCTTTAGTTCTACCATGAACAGTCAGAATAGAGCATCCAGCTTCCTATATATCTTTCGTTAAATCTAGGGTTCTTTTTCTATCTTTGAACATTCTGATTTTGCAAGTAACTGGAACATTTATATTTTATTTTAATTCTTTCACAATGGTTCTATAGTTTAAATAAGTGAATTTACAGAACTTGTTCCCTCTTTTCCAAAAGATAAGCTCCATAAAGACCTTTCCTTGCGATTCCTTAAGGACAACCAAGATTTATGTCAATTGCATCGCATTGATCCTAGATCATTAATGCTGCTTTAATTAAGACTTGGGGGTCATGTCCACATAATTAAGCAAACAAAGGTCTGTCTTCTGGACAAGTAGTAAAGAATTCATCTTTGTATGATTTGGACTCAGTCATAATACGACTATGTAACATGGGAGTGTAAGCTAATGTGGTTCCATATTTTCGAGTTAGCATTCTAAATGCGAGTTCACTTTAATCAACCATTGGAGCACCTATGTTAAATTGAGGGAGATACAAATGAATTTAGGAGATCCCAAGCTTTTGTAGAATTGCCATGCTTATTAAATATGATCATCCATTAATATTATAAATAATATGGCCACTGAATTACTATAGGGGGATTATGAATTCAATGCTCCGCCAAGAGTAGTTTAGAAGATGAAATATAGAGAGGACAGGGATGCCTTGTAACATCATGTGGGATAAGAGAGTCATTAGAGGGAATACTTATTCAAGTGTTTTGAATAAATCAGAGCCAACTATGTAGACAACTATAAAGAGGATTCAAAACACTAAAGTAGTGACTGAGAAGAAGGAAGATGAAACTATCCATAATGAAGAAACACAAACAGACCCCAATGTTGAAGAGTTAACTGACAAACCACCCCGACATCTAAAAGAAACTTAAACAGAATTCATAATCGAGAAAGTTGTACCTAGATTGTACATGAAAGAGAAGACAGGAATAGACGAAGAAACTCAAGTGTGGGATGATGGAGAATTGTTTAATTTTGAATATGAAGCTGAGCCAATTCTTTAGGTATTAGTAAGAAAGACTTTGGATTTAAGTCGAATGGAAGTATTATAAGAAGAGGAGCTGAGAGAGATGAAGGAGAAGTAAGAGCATTATTAAAAATTAAAGCAAATGGAAATGGCTGAATAGGATAGGTTGGAGAAGAAAGAATAACAGTTATACAATGAGAATATTAAACTAAAATAACAATTTCATAATTAAAAGTAGAGGGATATCAAGACACATGAAAAATTAGTCAGTCGAGCATCAGCTAAGAAATATTTATCTAAATGTGTTAATTTGGCATTATAACAATTGGAACTTAGCGGATATTTTAGAGATCCTGTTGAAATATAATTAATATCTGAATACTTACCTTGGATTTATTAAGATGTGACAACTGAATTATTGAGTTCGAATCATATCTTTGTTGAATACAACTCAATGTTGGATAACATTGATGATGACATGTTTAAATTACATACTAAAACATTATCTTAAGAAAGAAGTCGAAGATAATAGATACTAGATGAAAGAGAAAGGCAAAGAATTGCTAAAGAAGAGGCAGATAAATAAAGAAGAGAGAGAAGAAAAATTAGATTGGAAAAGGAAAGAAGGTAGAAATTGAAAGAGACTGTTTAAGAATAATTGGTTACCAAGGGAGAGGAAAAGGAATGGTTTAATCTTATATCTGATGTCGATGGCTATTATCAAGGAACTAATACTATAGGTTATCTGGGAGGTATTATTGGCTAATTTGTTATCATTATTAATGCCTTACAACAAGTCGGAGAATCTATTGAAGATATATCTGAATTGATTACCAATTCTATAGCTGCATTACCAGAAGGAACCATCATTGAAGTTGGATTAAGAGACTAAATAGATTAGATGTTAGCTGATATTGAACGTACCATATTATAATTTACATTTTTAGCTGAATTGACTCTAGGCAACTTACCTGAATAATTAACTTAAGGCATAGAAAATGCTATCAAATCTAATATTGTCTATAGTTTATAATAGCATTGGACTTCTTTCGAATTTCTTCAAAATATTAATCAAATTGTTGATTTGGTTATTAAAAACCTATTTGAAAATAGAGCCAAGGTCAAATGGTCAAAAATTAAAGGTTAAGTAGACTTTTAAAAGATTCCATGTCTTGTCAAATTGTAACCTGGAATGGAAAGTCTTCGATTTCATCCAAAATCAGGAAAAACCAGAGTTGAAAAATCAGTAGAAGAAGAAGCCACTGAGGAAGAAATAATTAATCCATAAAACCTTGGTGAAGCAGTTGTTGATACTAAGGCTACTGCATTTATACCTTAAGTACTTATCATTTAAATTGCTTCTAGAATGAAGAAATTTAAACTGCTGTCATTCATAATGTTGCAGAATTCCATCTTAGAAATTTAATTATACAATAGATTGGTGAATAAGACATTCCATGGCTTGTAAATTTCACTGAAAAGTGCTAAAATTTAGAAACATAAATTATCGAAACCCTAAATCCTCAATTACCTTAATTGGAAGTTTATTAATATTGATTAAGAACATATTAAATTAATCATATATTTATTTATAATTATATCATTTGTTGTTATTTTTAGCATAAGTGAAAATATTAAATATATGAAATGCAACTCATATTAATTAGGCCACTTTTAATTCCCAATAATAAATTCTTTTTATGAAGATTTAAACTATAAATATTGGGTCTCTGAATTTTCAAAGAAATCTTTCAAAAGGAAATAACCTATATTTTTATATCTAAGGATATGACTATTATTTTCAAAAATTTGATGAACATAAAAAGATCTACCAATTTTATTAATTAAAGGAGAATGAGCTAACTAATTAATTAATATGAATATTTTACTTTACTAAGTTAAGAAATAAAGTGAGTACATAAAACTCAAGGGTTGATATTTAATTTTATTAGTATCAGTGATGTCCAATTCAGATCCAATTAAGTTTTTAATTACTTTATATAGGATAAATAAAGAAATTGAGAATTTATGCTTAAATAAGGAGTTTTTGATTACTTGGGAGACATTTAGAGAAATTATAATTTCCAAGATTCCCTTTAGGGTTAGGATTTAAGGAAAGGAAAAAGTAAGCATAATCAAGGAGCTATTCTTCGAGTAACAATGAAAAAGTAAAATACTTCCTTATTTTTAAGCAAAGTTACATATTAAAATATATATAATTATGAAAAAAAAATTATGCAATTTCTGAATTTTCTATTTTATTAGTTTATGAAAAACCAAAGCTTTTAATAAAGTTGTAGTAAAATTATGTATTAATTTAATATATAGTGATCTTAATTAAATAAATTTTTTTTTATATGGTAACACTCGATATAACAAATAATATTTAATCTTTAATCATTATTAAATTGTATTTGATAGACATTGCAACAAATATTGAGTTTGAGGAAACTAGAAATAGGGATAGAGTATTTAAAATTGTGGAAACAAATTCACTGTACTTATTGGTGGCATGTTGCACATACTAATTGGCATTACATATGGCTATGTTTGACTGAAACTCATCTATGGAGAGTATTCTTATGATTAAGCTGAAACAATTGAATTGATTTTTTGTTCAGCTTTTGATAAATTCAATTGTTCTTTTTTTGGAACAATATAATAAGGGTTCTTGATTTTGAGATATTTATTTCGAAGGTATGAATAGAACCTATTCTTGATGCTATTTTCTGATCTACCTTACAGGTTTTTTTAGATGACGCTCCATTTACCTCCTACGTCGTTATAGATTTCTATAATTTTTTCATCCTCTTCTTTGCTCCAAGGTTCGCTGTTCAATCCTGGATGCAATTAATTAAGATAGTGTTCTCGAATTTATTTGCCCGAGCGATTCGGTAGTAATTTGCTGATTTTGCTCCAATGATATCCATATTCTTTTACTAAATTCTTGAGTTTGTCATCTTCCTCCTAAGTCCATTATCTTCTCAATTTGTATCCCTTGATTCTCTTCCATCTCTAAGCGCACTAAGAAGGGTTTCTCCCTCCTATTCTTCTGGCCACTTCAATCCAATCGAGACATTTGCTATATCTCAATTCTTGAAGCATTTGATCCTCTTCAATGCTCCAAGCTTTCCTTTGAGTTTGTATCAATTCGGAATGAGACATTTCTAGATAAAATTAATTTTTTTATGCTTAATCAATAGATATTTCTCTATAAACTTAAAAGAATTCAGTTATTTCAAAACTTTTATTTAATTCTTCTTATAATGTGGCTACGTTAGCAATATTTCAGTACTGAATCTTGCTTAACGAATATATAAACATTAGCTTCTAACTTTGAGCAATTAATATCTTAAAAGGTTCTCATAATTTCCATTAAAGTTATTTACTTAGATTTGTAAATGAGAAATAATAAATTTCAATTACAATCAAAGAATAAAATCGCTCTTACAAACCATCTCTGCATCTCTATAAGCGAGTGATTGTTATGTTAGTGAAGAGCGATACTAAAAAACCATACCTATAACTTTATATAATAATGAATTATATTATTTAATAATAGATTCCTAAAATCATTTCCTCTTATTTATGAATCACTGCAATTGATAAAAACTATTTTCTCTTTGGCCTAATTTAAAAATATATTTCTTTTATAATCTCAATCTGGGGGCGCTTAGTTTTTTTCTAAATTTATTAACCTTCCTTACATATCATTCGGAGTTATAAGCTAAATGAGTACTAAATAGGATCTTTGCTTTAGTAATATGTTGCAGATATTTGACAGTTGTCAGATTTTCCCTCAAATTATAACTCGAGTACACAGGAGGCCAATTATAATAGGGGTATAAATTAAACTATACAAAACTATAATATCATATTCCAAAAATTATAATAAAACTCTTACTTAAATTTTATTCCAACGAAATTTCCTTCCCGAATACTGAGATTTTTTAACCCGATTAAAATATATTTTTCAAAATCACCAGGTCTTTTTCAGATACAACCCTATAATTAGTTTACATCAAAAACAATTTATTTACTAAGTAAAGTGCTTATACAAACAAAATTTTCATCAACTGTTGCTTCAAGAAAGTCTAAAATTTGGTGCTCAAAAAATAGATTTCCGCTCCATCAATAAATCCGTTTGAGGAAAATCCATCATTTTCTCAAAATAGTTCTAACTAAATTAAGAAAGATTTCAGATGTTTTTTAAGCAAAAGAGTGAGGTGTTTTTTTAAGCAAAAAGAGTAAGAGGTTTTTTCTTTATTAATACTTAAAATCCTTAATGTTCATTGATCTATAAACTTTATTCTCAATCTCTGAAATTATAACAATCAGATCATAATTCATTTTAGTAACATCTATTTAATACAAGAAAATAATTTGTATGTATTCGTCTAATACCTAACGGTTTAATTAAATATATTTTCGAATATCAAACCTAGGTTGTGATTTGTCAACTTGAGAAATTTCCTTTTATAATAGAGGATCCTTAATTGGTGATTATCATAATATCATGGACAAGCAATAGTTGCTTAAGAAGCTCTTTGTAATCAGTTGAGTAAAGATAAATAGCTACTTCAGCCTTTTAATCTTTCAAAAATAATTGTTAAAGTAGTCATAACATTATCTTCTTTTTCATAAATCTTAGTTCATTTTGATGATTAACTATATATCCTTAATTACAATTAATAAAATTCATAATCTAAGTTCTCTTATTTTTGATCTATGTTATTAAATAAAGGTGTTAAAGTTCTTGAATAACTTTAGAATTTTTATAAAGAGATAATAAATTTGTAGATTTCTGTTTTCTCTTGTTTGTTTTCTATCATTTTGGAAGAAATCTGAGAATATGAATCCATACATTGTGTACCTTTATGTTTTTCTCTTGAGCCCTCTAATAGAATTCAAACCTCCTTTGTGTGGCATAAAATGTAGTACCTTAATTATAAAAATTTGTTGCTTTTTATATTAGTATTTTTTCTGTAATTATAGAAATTAAAATATATTTTATTTTGCTTTATGAATTTGAGAAGAATAGGCTCGTTTGATCAAGAATCAAGGAAGTAAGATTTGTACGAGGTTTTGGCCTCCTCAAAATCTATAGATGTGAAAATATTCCAAATAATCATAGAAATACTAAAAAAATTGTAGATTTCAGATTCTCTAAATTTTTTATAACAAGCTAAAAAAAACCAAAACTTTTGGGTAAACCATTTACAAGATCACAATTCTTCCGCACAAGAAAAATGCGAGAAGTTAGACTAGCTGATAAACGAAATCAAATAAATTGCTCAAATTATGAAATAAATTCATGATCATGAATTTAATACCAGAAATTACTCTACTTAAGATATTGTAGAAAAAAAATAATCTCTAATTGAGAAAATTGGGAGAGATGAAAATATAATTGAGTTCTTAAAATATTTAGTGCATCTCACTTCAGTTGATAATAAATTTATCCAAAGTGGATCAAATTCTCTTCATTTGTTAGTTGAAATGAAAATTGATTTGAAAACACATTCTTTTGAAAATATTAAAATTAGAAATACTTCACTTTAAGGAGGTAATTTTGCCAAATGCGACTTAAGTGGATCTGAATTTGACAATGTCCTTATTAAAGGGATGAATTTAAATGGTTCGAAATTATTTAATTGTAAATGGATCAATTTAAGGATGGATGTAATCGAGCTTAATAGTCGAGGTGATTATGTAAATTCATTTTGCTATTCTCCCAATGGTCATTATTTCGCTTCAAGTAGTAATAAATCGATTATTTTGTGGAATCTTAGAAGGGGAAACATAAGATATGTTATCGAAGGAGAGAGGGAGGTAATGTCACTCTGTTATTCACCTAATTGTTAAATATTAGGTGCTTGCAGTGGGAAATTTATTTATTTATGGAATCTTTATACAGGTAAATAAAAATAAAAATTAACTGGCCATAATAGTTATGTGAAGGCAGTCAGTTTTTCTTCTGATGGTCTTAAATTAGCATCTGTTGATGTGGATAATACCCTCTATATATGGGATGTTATAAAAGGAAAGCAAATAATCTAATATGATGATTGTTATCCAGTTTGTTTCTCTCCTGATGCTGCTATGATAGCATTTGCTGGTTTGAACTACAATATCTATTTATTAGATGTTGAGACAGGAGAAGAAAAGGCAATATTTAAGAGACATTACACCGAAATTTTATCAATTTGTTTTTCTCCTGATGGTACTACATTAGCATCTGGAGGTGGAGATCGTAGAACTGGTTCATGTTCCAGGGTCTATTTATGGGATCTTAAGACAGGACAATTAAAAAATGAATTATGTTATATGAAATGTAGGTTTACTTCTGTCTGCTTCTCTCCTGATGGTACTACTTTAGCAGCTAGTGTTATTAATAATATTATTGTATGGAATGTTGAGACTGGTGAAGAAGAATACTTTTTACAATGTTATCATAAAGAAATTAATTTAATCTGTTTCTCTTCTGATGGTAGAATGTTAGTGTCTGGTAGTGGTTAATATGATGATTTTATAAGTAATAGAGACTCTATGATTCGTTTTTGGGATTTTAAGTCATTAAAATAAGAGGTTAATTCAGTTGGTCATAAGGGTAATGTTAAATAAGTTTGTTTCTCTCCTGATGGTACTACATTAGCATCTGGTAGTAGAGATATGTCTATCCATTTGTGGGATGTTAAAACAGGATAATAAATGTTCAAATTAGAAGGCCATGAACATTGTGTTAATTCAGTCTGTTTCTCTCCTGATGGTATTACATTAGCATCTGGTAGTGAATCTATATATGATGCTAAAGAAAGCTACATCTGTATATGGGATGTTAAGACAGGATAATAGATGTTCAAATTAGAAGGCCATGAAAAATGTGTTGATTCAGTCTGTTTCTCTCCTGATGGTACTACATTAGCATCTGGTAGTTATGATAACTCTATCCGTTTATGGGATGTTAAGACAGGATAATAAAAAGCCAAATTAGATGGTCATTCAGAAGCAGTTATATCAGTCTATTTCTCTCCTGTTGGTACTACATTAGCATCTGGTAGTAGAGATATGTCTATACGTTTATGGGATGTTAAGACAGGATAATAAATGTTCAAATTAGAAGGCCATGAAATGTTATGTTAATTCAGTTCTATTTCTTCTCCTGGTTGGTACTACATTAGGCATCTGGTAGGTAGTGATATGTCTATACGTTTATGGGATGTTAAGACAGGATAATAAATGTTCAAATTAGAAGGCCATGAACGTTATGTAAATTCAGTCTGTTTCTCTCCTGATGGTACTACATTAGCATCTGGTAGTGCTGATCACTCTATCCGTTTATGGGATGTTAATAGTGGATAATAAATGTTCAAATTAGAAGGCCATGAAAAATGTGTTAATTCAGTCTGTTTCTCTTCTGATGGAACTACATTAGCATCTGGTAGTGATGATCACTCTATCCGTTTATGGGATGTTAAAACAAAACAACATATTACAGATTCAGATAAAACTTATAAGAAGCATTTAGCAAAATCTACCTTACCCATCTAATATACATCACTATCTTTGATTGACAAATACAGTATATTTTCACTATTATTTTAGCTATTCCAATTACAATACTTCATATAACTAGAGATCCTATATTTTAAGCTAAAAGAACTTTGATATCGAAAGGAGAATTTACAACTGATGCTGGAATTAACATAAGAATACTATTTGAATAAAATTGAGGTTGTATTTGAAAAAGATTTTTTGCATTATCATTTTTGTAATTTCTGTTAAATCCAAACACTTTACAGCTCTATGATTTAGATTTTTTCTTATACTTTGCTTTCTTTAAAAACTTCCTTTTTGTTATTTTTTACATGAAAATTTAGGTTGAATAAAGTAAAATCTATCGAAACTGTGTAACAACCCTTTTTTTCTTATTAATGTTCCTTTTGCGATTGCTCTTTGAATATACGATTTATTTTTATATTTATGTTTGTATAATTTGCTGAAATTATTATTTTATTTATTGTAAATTTGAAATGAAAATATTTACAAATAAAATTAATTTATATAACCTTAAATTTTTGGGGAAAGTTCTAAATAATTTCTGTTGGTTTTACTTTATATTAAAAAACCTTGAAAATTAGATCGTTGTTAAAACCTGAATAATAATATTTTATTCATCTATAATTTTTTGAAGTAAACAAGAGCAAATTACTCAAGATATTCGGATTAAATATAAAATATTTAAATTTATAAAAGTAATAAGCAGCTCAAATTCATCTTGGCAAATGATTATCTAACAAGATAGTTTAGATAATACCATTTCTACTATGAGGAGGCAATAACATCAGACAACTCAAGAATTGTTAGTGAGGTTTAATATATGTATTCTATGATGAGGAATTAGTTCAATACATATACCATTCTTTTTTAAATTATTATGTAAATTGGAACCATTATCTACATGAATTAGGGAATATAGGAGTTTAATATGTTTAGCTTATCAAAGGATTTCAATTGTTATAGGAATAAAGTTTGCTAATTAACAAATTAGGCATCTGCCTTTAGGTGGTTAAACTCATTATAGATGAGAATTATTAACATAAGTGGATAATAATCAATAAAATCAGTCATTCAGATCTTATGGATTGAGAAGGTTAAATTAAAATTTATTCACTAGATTCACATTGAATTCGATACGAAATTTTTCCAATTCTTGTAGAAACTAATATATGAAATTTTTATAGCAAGAGTTGAATCCCTAATATTAAATAAGAAATCAATAAGTATTTGAATTTTTATAGTGATTAAATGTATTATAAAACATCCCTAGTTTAGAAGTATTGAGATATAAAATTTATTAAACAAAAGGTTTATAAAATTTCTTTCTCTATCATATACAGTTTTTGTCTGAATAAATATATCCCTTATTTAATAATCAATATTGGAACTTTATACATGATTATGTATCAACCTTCTAAAATTTATTAGTTATAATACTCGGTTATTTTATTATAATAAAAATAATTAATAATTCCTAATGTCAAATCAATATGTGATCGTGCCTCAAAATTATCGAAGCGATAGCATGGTCAGCATCTCACCAGCTGACAAAAGATACTTTGAACAGGCCTAAGCTAAGCAAAAGTCACCTCCACAGCAAATGATATTTGGAGGGTACTCACCATCGCCAAGTCTTCAAAAAAGTTTGAGCACACAGTTATCCGAACAAAGCATGGATGATGTATATATATTTTTGACATTTATTAGTTTGGTAGAATGCAAAAGGATTCAGATACCGAGCTAGTTGTCCAGTATATACTATAATTAAGAGATACGGACAAAAGAGAATAAGCATTATCAGAATTATCAAAAAAGAGAGAAAGTTTTCCACATTTGGCACCCCTCTTATGGCATTCTGTTGGTACCATTGCTATATTGTAATAATTGTAATTATTTCAGTCTTCAAGAAATTGCAGTTGTTTATCAGCACTTGCAACCAGCCTAACTTACACCAACTCAGTCATCTAGGATCTGTAGCGTATTGGGACTCCTATAATGCTTAGCTTTACATGTACAAACCAGATCCTGTTTCTTAAGAGGTATTTAAAATTCCAATATAGCTCATATTCCATTGTTTTTGTATCCATTTCTAAATACTAGCAACAAGAGCAAAGCTTTTGAAAACCTAAGAGTTACTAGTTTGGGTGTCATAGGTGCTTTGGTGAAGGTTTAAATATTTTTAATTTTTTCATAGGGAGATGATCCAGAGGCAATTAATTTTTTAATGCAAACTGAAATCATTCCACTTTGTCTGAGAATCATGAAAAAAGGACAAGAGCTTTCAAGAACAGTTGCTACTTTCATAGTTTAGAAGATCCTTCTCGACGACAATGGTCTTAATTATATCTGTTAGACTCCTGAAAGATTTTTTGCAGTTAGCCAAGTCTTACAAACTATGATTGATGATCTGCATCAATCCTAAAAAGATGATTAGAGATTATTGAGACATATAATTAGATGTTATTTAAGACTTTCTGAAAACCAAAAGTAATTTAACAATATTAATTTTAGAGCTGGAGAAGTCCTTAAAAAATACTTGCCACAAGTATTAAAAGACCCAACACAATCTTTTATTAAAGATGAAGTTGTAAAAAAGTGGCATAATAATTTGCTTCAAAATCTTTCGATCAAATGATCATAAATATATGCATCTAAATAAATTAAAATCTTTGCTTATTATTGCATATTTAGTAACTAAGGAATTAGGTATAACAGAATATCTATAATCAAGTATGAAAATAATGTAATTCTATTAAAAATAATCATTCTGGTTTTATGGACTTCAATTTTTGAACCTTTCTACTAAATATGAACTCCATTCAAACTATTATTCGCCATACTCCTTTTTCTCTATCTTACATTTCAAAATCTAAAGTGCCTCTAATTAAGCCTCAAGTATTCTTTATTTTTCAATTTGATAAATTAAGGCGAAATAATCATGATAATTTAATTTTGAATCTGTAAGTTTTTCTTTTTAACTTTTTAGGGTTTCTTTATAATGATCTGAATGATATGTTTCAATTAAATTGTAAGCTTAATTGATAATTACACTATCATAAATATCATCAAATAGATATGAAATGCCTTAGTCATATTACCAGTTTAGCATTTTAAAATACATTAATAAATCATCGTTGATTCTAGTATACTTAATTTTGAATTTCATGTACTTGGACAATTGGAAGTACTAAATGAATATTTTATTATATTGATACTTCTGCAATATCACTTGCATATGGTATGTATTAAATATATTATGATTTCACTTCCACATAATCGTATATATTGTATTCTAGAGTAAACCCGTATCGTAATAACAACGATCTATTAGAGATTGTTCCATACGAAAAGTATGCTTAAGCATCTTTTTCAAATTCATCTTTGCTTGAACATTTTATTACAAAATTATCAAATTAATCCTCTTTCCAATCCACTTTAGCTTCAAAAGGCTTGACATTTTCAGGAATACCCACTTCTAACATCTCATCAACAGTTTCTATTGCTGATGGTTATTCTGGAATTTCAAATTACTTGAGTTAATAATTTTTTTCTTTGAGTTTTTAATAAGCATATTCTTTTACTTTTTCTAAATACAGTTCTGAATTCTATGTTACATTTTAGATGATAGCTGACACCTATTCATAAGACAAAGCATCGACTTCATATAATTTAATTTAGTCCTGGATATACTCTAAAGTCTTAGAAACAAATATGATTGTAAAATTGTCTCTTAAATTTAAGTTTTCCTAAAACCATCTTTTATTCTTCAAATATAAAATTTATAATTCTATTCTATTATTGCATTTTTCTTGATAAAGTCTCAATTTTGTTATTGCATCAGGATCTTAATAGTCCACTTAATTTTAATACACGGTTAACTCTTACTCAATTAGTTTATAGGTTGGGGTCTTCTATTTGTAAATTTTGATTTGCTCTTAAATTTCAAATGGGTATTAGTAATCTTCTTACTCATATGAATCGCTATCACCATCTGACTCATCTGATTCATTAGTATCTGATTCCTTATCATCTTTGGGTTTATTGATGTTACTTTCTAAATATAAACCTTTGTATCTCACATCAGTATTCTCATGATTAAACATTTCACAAAATGGAACAAAAGCTACTTGTTCTAAAGTGGATCCAAAACATCTACTTACCAAATGTATGAATATCCACTTGATATTTTCAAAACTATAAGTTTCTTTTTAAAAATGTTAAGGAAACTGATCCAAAATATGCGTTAATGTTTTTTAGATCAATAAGAAATCTTGCAAATCTCTCTTGGCTTTCAAAATAAGTTTTTCATCATTCAATAATTTTAGTTCCTACTCAGACCAAAATATCAAGTAGTCTATATCTTTTGGTAAGTTAGAAATTAAATGATACCATTATGATTATCTTAAAAATTTATTTGAAAATTATTACCTCCCTAATTAAGATTGGTATAATATATATGTGAGTAGGATTCTATCCTGCCATCCTCCTGCACAATGCTAACAAAAAAATTAAGGATAAGCATCAAAGATTTCTTGAATATCAGAAAAATATGCAATTTTAGTGGTCAACATCAATTCTCTTGGCACGGATACAAGAATTGAATCAGTTTCAATTTTCTGAATAGCTAATCAAATTTGTATTTGAAATTTACTTTGTAATCCTAAATAAGGTAGATTGTTTCTTGTTCTAAATTAAGCCAATCGCAAATTATTAATTCTCATCCCTCTTTCTAATAAATAATCGACATATTCTTAGAATTCTTTCTATCCCTCCACTTATGTTGCTGAAGAATCTTTCTTGTAGATTCCCTTTATCTGTATTAATATATGGATGTCATTTATACATTATGAAATAAAGTAGCAATCCTTTTACTAATTGATGTTGTTTATTGCATTAAAATATTATTGTGATATTGATAAATAATAAATCATGAAAACTAAATATCTATAATCTATTTTATATCATGCAAGATCAATTCTTAAGTAGTTTCCATAGTCCTTTAAGAAAACGAGATAAATTATTATTTAATATATATTTATTATTTACTTAGTTAGTTAGAGAAGATGTAGAATAATAAAAAAGCTAAAAGAACCAAATTGACCAAAGAATAAATAGATGTGTTGTAATAAGCATTTACATTGTTTGATACAGATAAATCAGGATCAATTGATGAATCAGAATTGAGAAATGCTATGAAAGTAATTCATGATGTTAAATATTAGGCTCTTGGATTCAATGCTTCTAAAGAAGAAGTTCAAAAGATGGTTGAGTAAATAGACAGAGATGGATCCGGTACAATTGAATTTTAGGAATTCGTTGAAATGATGAAAAAGAAAATGTTGGAAGATAAGAATGTTGAAGTCGAAATAGAAAAAGCATTCAACTATTTTGATGATGATAATGAAGTAACTAACTTTAAATAATTTAGGGTGCCATTGATCTGGAAAAATTAAGAAGAGTTGCAGCTGATTTAGGAGAAGAATGCGATGAGCAAACTTTAAAAGACATGATTTATGCTGCTGATCTTGATTAAGATGGCAAGGTTAGCAAAGATGAATTCATGATGGTTATGAGGAAAATGAAATTAATATGATATATGCTGTAAAATTTCATCAAATACGATCTCCAGCAGCCATTTTTTAAGCCAGAGTTTCCTTAAGGTCTCTCATATTCACATTTAGCAATCCAACTACCTCAGAAACTATGTTACGATCAACTGCTCTTGACATTCTTCTTTAAGTATAGTCATAAGCTGCTTATTAACATTCATTTCTCCTATCTTCCTTTGTATATTCTTTAGATTCAAGTCTGAGAGTTAAATCATCTATCTTCCTCTGGTTATCTGCCAATCTATCTTTAAGAGATTAAATCAAAGCCTCTAATTCATTTATTTCCTTATCATAAATTTTGAAATCTGTGTTATTAAACTTTTAATATTCTGTATACCATCTGACTCTCTCCTCCTCTGCTTTTCTCTCTACTTACCAGATTTCATCAATTTACCTAATTAAAGATTCACTCAAATCTATAATATTCCTCAAAACACCTATATTATTTCCATTTTAACTCATCTGAATCATAAAGTCTATTATATCTTAAAACGGTTTTCCTAATGATTTGAGTTTACCAAAACTAACCAGTTGCTTTGTTACCTCTGCAAATACCTCTGGTTTCACTGTTGTTTTCTCTGTCTATAACTCTAAAAAGTTTGTTCTTAGCTTTTAAGCATATACTAATTTCACTTCTTCTAATGTTTTAATTATCTTTCCCACTTCTCCTCTCTTATCTTCATATACTTTAACTTAATATTCTCTTATAACATCTACTTCATTCATTCCTTTTCTCAAGTTCTTTCTCAAAGCATTTTTCTCATCTAAGATCTTTTTCTTTGATCTAATTAATATTTTTGCTTAACATACTCTATACTAGCTTTAAGTTAATCTATGGCTCCTTAAATCTTTACCTTCAATCTATTTATATCATCAATCTCATTATTAAGATTGGACAGATCTGTATCACATTTTTATTGAAACTCTCTATTTTCTAAGTCCTCCTCCTTCTAATCTTTTTAATATTTATCTTCTAATTCTTACAGAGTATCTATTATTCTCTAGTAAATAGCCACTTTACCTATCCAAAGGAGTATTTGTTTATAATGCTAATTATGCTGTTGATAGTAGCGTATGTCCCAATTGTGTTTATAATAAACTCTCTATTCTAGAGCTCAAATTTTTCTCGCATTGCACAATTAATAAGCTAAGGAATAAAGTATAAATAACTTTCATTAATAATAAAATTATAAAACGAATTTTAAATATGAAATATTCATTAATACAATTATGGTACTCTTAGTGGTTTATATTTACAGAAAAAAGGTACCGCTGTAAATTCAATTATATATCTTTTAATCCGATTCTTTTCCAATTCCTACAAAGTTCTATTATTAAATAGATAAATTGTGAAAAAAGTAGATCTTATTATCTTTAGCCAAGTTCCATAATTCTATCTAAATTCGTATAGTCTAAATTTAATAGCAAAATTTATCAATAAATTTAAAACTCTATTAACAATTTTATTTTTTTTCTTTTTATAATTTTTTATTATTATATCAAATGAATCTTAACATAACATTAAGGGAGAGTTCTCAAGATGTCAAAGAGAGACATAAATGAATAAAAATAATACTTTAATGTTAATCATAAAGATGATTACCTAAATATTTGTTGAATTGAGCTGAAAATATTTGATATTATTTATAAAATTGTTAAATCTAACTTAGGTCTCTTTATAAATATGGGATGCTTAAAAATTCATTTCTTATGTTACACGATATTTATTAGCTATATGCACTTATCTAAATGACATTAATGCCATTTTATTTCATATCTTGAGATTATAAATTTAATGATTTTTAAATTATCAAAACTAATAATGGTTATAGAATAAATTTCACTCAATACAACAAATTATTGCTAAATCCTTTGCTAAATTTAGCTTATTTTGGTTGTTGAACTTAAATCAGTGTTGGCCTTCCATGAGGACAATTCCATGGAGAAATTAAAGTTGTTAAATTTTTTACTACGTTTTCCATTTGTTTTGCTTATAAATCTGATCCAACCATTATTGAAGTTCTGCAGGCTTGTGAAGCTAATTTCTATTTTATTTAAGGGATCTCTATTTGATCTAGTTTTTTGCCTTAACTCAACTGATCTAGAATTTAGAGTAAAGTATCAGCCCCTAGTTGAATATTACTATAACTGGGGCATGTTTTCACTTTAACACAATTTTCTGTTATCTCCACTTGATATTTGTATTTATCATTAATTTATTGTTAATTATCTATCAGTAATTCTAACAGAAATCCTGATAATTTGAGAGTTATTGGTACAATTAACTAGGCTCTGTTGAATTTTAATTAATTGATTAATCTCTCATAATTGTACTTCTCATCACAAGCATGCTAATCAAGAACATATATTTTCTCTTCATGCTCACAAATAATAAATCCTTTATTAAATTAACCAATAATTTATAAATTATTGAAGTGTTCTTTGAGGAAATGATTTTATTTTGATAGTTATTCAAATTCATCAGCTTCAAATAATTATTTTTCTTCTTTTTATTAAATCACTTCATTAATTTTTAATTATATTTTCTCATTATTCGGTTAGGAAGTTGGCTATTATTATTATTATTATTATTATTATTATTATTATTATTATTATTATTATTATTATTATAAGTCTTATTGTGATTATGTGAATTATGATTCATTTTAATTAAATTCATTTGGTATATTTTTTTAAGGATTTAAATTCTTAAGCTAGGACAAGAAAGTACTATTTCTTTTTTAAATTTCTTTAGTTTATTAGGGTGGAGGATCTTTTCTTTTTTCTGTTTATGCAATAATTTGTGAAGGAGCTGGCTTTTCTGATTACTTTGCAGTTGCCATGATAAATTAATCTAAATTTCCATCTCTTCCAATATACTTTAGTTTTTCTTTATTTTTTTCTAAAGTTTCTGTCACGATTTATTCGATGTTTTCAAGAATTAATTTTTCATTTTTCAAATATACATCTCTTTTATCTACACTAACATTGAAATCTGCATCATTAATCTGCCGTAAATTTATTTCTAGGATAAAAAAAAAGTTTCCATTTGGATTATGTTATCTATAGATATCTCTCATTATTTATAATACTTGTTTAGGAGGATTTATAGGTTTTTTATTTATGTAACAATACCAAAATGTTTTTCTATTTTAACCTTTATAACTCCCACTTTCAATACTTTTACTTAAAAAGCCAATTAAGGTAAAGTCTTATGAGATCTTCTCAAAAGGGATTAAGTCGTTGGCAATAGAATCCCCTAAAACATTTGTAATCCTTTATTTCATATTTTGATTTGCCAATCCACTATCTAAGATGAGCTTTTTCTTATTTTTCTTTAATAAATTATTCAAATTATACTTCTTCCTCATTATATATTTTAAATTCAATATTTGTATTAATGATAGCGTACTCAGTCAATATATTGATAGCTTTATTATATTCGATTTTGTAATTCTTTTTAAACTCTTATGCTCTAACAGGAAGCGTATAAAATATATTTTCTACTCTAATTGATGTTCCTGTTTATCTGGCAATCTTAGTTGGCTCTTGGGGTATTTCCCATTTCCACCCTAATTCTTCATCTTTATGCTTGGAAATAATTGTTACGTTAGATAATGTTGCTATTGAATTTAAGGCTTCCCCTCTAAATCCATGAGTGACGACAAACTTAATAAGATAAATGTACTACTTCCAAATCCTCAAAATTTTCTATCTTGCTAGTACCTCCTCTAGTGGCTAGCTATTTTTAATTGATTGTTGAGATTCCAATTCCATTATCTATTACTTCAAAACCTTCTTTGCCATTATTAAAAAAATTCACAATAATTTATGTTGCCTGTGCATCTATAGAATTCTCGATTAATTCCTTCACAAAACTTGCTAAACTCTAAAGAGTTGAAGATGTTGATATATGTAAAATAGACTCTTAATTTAATTATTTGATCATTAAATTATAATAATATTTTTATATTTCTAAAATTCATATAATTATACTTGATATTTTTAATATATTCAAGATGAATTGTATTACTAAACCATTTTATAGACCATTTTTTAGACTATTTTTAATAGTTTGTAAATCATTAATTTTTTTGTTTTCTATCAATCAAAAATCAGAAATTAAATTTTTCCATTTTTCTTAAATTTTGTACAATGATTGAAGGTCATTAAGTTAAGATTTTATAAGATGTAAAATAAATTTAAAACGAATGTTCAATCAACTCTTGGAATTCAGAAATCAAAAGCTTTTAGTTTAAGCCCTCTCTAATAAAATTCACGAAACGGAATATTTTTAGAAGACTGGAAAACTTTATTAATATGGGAATAATGAAGAATTCTCCATAGACGGATAATAATTAATTGAATTCTATTTTTATGACTATATGCTACTTTAAGGGTATGTTAATTAGTGTTAAAGTAGATTTCCAAACTAATAAAGTTAATTTAAAAAGCCTAGTGATATTATTTAATTAAGATAGAGATTGATTAATGATAAATATCTATCAGAAATAGCAACTTTATTAAATTTATAAAATCTAGTCAGTGTTGGAAACTAAAAATCATTAAAGTATTACTAATTATAATTATAATAGAAATAATCCAAAAGTATTGTCTGATTGTCTTAAATCGGTCATAGGAGCCCATTACTATGACAAACAAAATGATCTTGAGGTACTGAGAGATCTTATTCACCCAATTATTGCGCAATTATTAAATAAGTATAAAAATAAAATATTTCTAGAGGCCAGGAAATAGGTCTAAAAAAATGGAAATATAACCCCAAATCATCCTTTTTAGAATTCTTAAATTAGTACAAAGGATAATTAGGCATAAACCCTAAATTAACAATAGAATGGAAAAAGGATGATACTATTTTAAATTAAAATAATTCCTATTACTAAATAACATTAGAATTAAATAGTAACTTTTAAATTTAAAAAATCGGAATTAATAAAAGAGAAACAGAATAAAATGTATACTAAGAAGCTTTGGTTTATCTGAGAAAGTTAAATATAAAGAAAAACGAAAGATAGAAAACGTTTCAAAAATAAACAGACATAAAATAAATCTAAGTTGAATCTGAACTTTCAACATCCCTCAATTCAACAATAAATAATCAAAATTTATCTTTATATAGTTTTACTGAGTACAATGACGATAAATAAAACTTGGATTTTGATTAATAAATTAACCTTATTTTGGAGAAGTTGGCATTTGAGTGAAGTATTATAATCCAAATTCTGATTGATTCGTTTTAGATCTATTATCCATTATTTAATCTTTAAATATTGTTAGTAATTCCAAATTGTAAAAATGATTTTTAATCACAGATATATTACTTCGGCTGTTTGAGAAGCCAAAATCGCTATATGTTTTTTTATATTTAATATCAAAAAATTTCAAAAATTTCCTCTTTTAATTTTAATTAAAATTTATTTCATCTTTTATTGTTCATTTGTTTAATAAATTTGTGATACTAATCTCTCCGTTTCTTAATTAACTCAATTATATGTGATAATAAGTTTCTCCTCAACTTCTTGGTATTTGAAAATTTACAAAACAAATCGTTGAGGTGAATCTTTAGTATAGAATAACCTCTCTACAATATTTTTGGTATATTTGAATTTCATTTTATTTTTTCTATTACTTGTTTATCTCTAACAATTTACTCTTAATCCTAATTATCTTCTTTGATTTAGGTCACCTCCGAAATTTATTTTCATTTTGAACTACTCTAAATAAAGTAAAATTAAACAATTGTTCATTTATCAAAATGATAAAGAAGAATTATCATTATCAAAACTAATACATCGCTCATCCAAAATTTGATGATTCTATTTAAAACATAGAAATACTAATTATAAATTTAAATAATTATAATGTTTAAAGGGTCTTCAATAAAAATCTTAATAATAGGGCCACTTTAATCAGGGAAATCAAGACTTGCAAATTATATAGCTGATAGAGAAGATATTTCATAAAATGGATATAGACCTACTGCAGGAGTGAGAATTTTAGAATTTGAAAAAGAAGCACCAAAAAATCCTAAAAGACCAGGTTCAGAAAAAGTCATTGTTGAGCTTTGGGATATGAGTGGAGATGCCAAGTTTGTAATTTTAAATAAAATAGATTTGACTCTTGTTGGCCTGCAATAATTAAAGATGCATAAGGAGTTATTTGTGTATATAATGCGGAAAATCCTAAACATGAATAAGAATTGGAATAATGGATTAATCAAATATCTAAGAAAGCTGGCATTCCTGCCGCTTTAAATGTAGTATTTGCTCATCATTTGACAGGCAAAGCAATAAAAGGATAATCAAAATTACGTATAATTTAAATCTCTAAATATTTCAGCCAAATCATTAAGTAGTTTAACAGTTCATGATACTTCCATTGAAGAAGGAAATTAAACCATCCATCCAGCATTTGAAAAATTTTTTAATTCTTTAATGTTGAGTATTTATGAAAAATAAGAAAAAGAAGAAAATAGACTAATGAATTGATTTATATGAATTTAACTATCTTGAAAAAAAATATTGTAAAATTTTTCTCAATCAAATATCTGTGTTTTTATTATTTTTGAAGAATTTCGTGTGACAATAATGTATAAATAACAACTATTAAAAATATAAATAATATAATATTATCAAAATATGGCATGATATCTTTAAGCAATATTGTTTATTGCTTGTTATTGATTTAACTAAAGCTCCTAATAGTTTTATCACCTTGAACTGTTAGTAGATATAAGAAGTTCAAAACAAGAAATGAAAGCATTCTATACTTTCAAAATATAAATATAAATGAGAGTTTTCAATTTAATTAATTCCTAATTGATTCTATGCACTTATTATGTTTTTAATTCTCTTAATAAATTAAGTAGTAATCTTAGATTTAAGTTTAAATAATAAAATTGCATCAATTAAATTAAATTATTTGATGCATTTTTACAAGTTTAATTAGAATTTTGCTTATTAGAATTAGTCTTATTAGAATTTTAACACATATCTTCGACCTAATTAATAATTCATAACAACAAGTCACTAAATATTATTTCACTTAAACGTAGAACAAGAAACATTTAGTTCTGGTTGATAAAATATTCAATCATTTTGATCAAAGAAGATTAATCAATTTGCAACTACTTGAAATTATAAAATTAAGCTCAAAATGTATATTATATCAAAAAAAATTTACACTTAGAAGTAACATCTAATACATTACTAAGAAAATTATCTAATTATAAAAATGAAATGGAAACAAATAGAATAAAGAATGAATGAATTTAATAAAATCCAAATTAAATTCAATTAAAAAATTGATTTACTAACACTTATTAAATTTGATATTATTTTATTACACAAATAGATTTGACTTAATGTCTTTGTTCTTTCTCCATAATTCACTCGAATTTCCCCTAAAAATATCCAAGATTATAATTTGAACATCAATGATACAAAATCAAATTTGATAATATCTTGTTGAAAATAGAAAAACTAAGCCTTAAAATACACTTGGAACTCCTAATTCTTGATTGTGTCAAGGGTTTTTATTATTTGTTTAATTATAATAATTAAATGGATTGAAAGAATAGGAGGGAGTGATTAAAATAAAAATGTTGAGCAAAAGGAATACACTTCTGATTATATTTCGAATGAAACAATAATTATCATTAAATAAATGGAAACATTGATTAAATTAAATTATAAAGCTTTAAAATACATAAATATATAAATGCTTAATATAGAATAAGATTTATATAATGGTTTCAAAATTAAAATCTCACAGTTCTTTTGTAATACATAGATTTAGCTTTTCCTTTTTTTTATTTTAAGATTCCATGATTTGATTGTTATTAATTCAAAGGTTTCATAGATCTTACAGATTTAATTTCATCTCTAATAGAGTCATATGTATGATTCTATTATTTTAGAGAAAACTACAGTGGAGACTGGCTGTTATCCATACTTTTATTTGATGAAAATGTGCCACATCTTTTTGGATCTCTTGTAGTTTAAACTAAACGAGTACTATATTCCAAAGCTCTGCTCTCACGATCAGATCGTACTAATTTTTATTTTTTGGGATTAAATATTTATGAAACATCTGCACCAAGTGATTTCAACTAACTTTTGATCAATTACTTTTATTATTTAACACCTAAAGAGAAATTGGATTTAGAATTATAAACACTTTTCACTTTTTATTTTTAAGGCTTCCTGGTTTCTAAATCTAAATCATAAACTTCATCATTTGTTTCTTCTCTCCCTTGTATATAACAAATTTCATATATAGGTCTTTTAATTTAATTACTTTGACATATTGGTTATATAATGTTTAATTAGCATTCTAATTCTCTTTCATTTTCTATTTTCTATTTTTTTATACAACTCTAACCCATAAATATTATAATTAAAAATAGAAAATACATTCTTTTTTCTTTTAATTTTGAAATAACTTTATATTCAGTAGATATTTCAAAGGCATCTAGATAAATATAATATTTTATAGGGAATCATTTATAATGCAGCTCATATTTTTAGATTGAAAATAATAAGTTAAAGAATAGGGGTCAATATATGTTCATTCAATCAGTTCTTAGAATTAAATTTTAAAACAATCTAGCTTGTATGAAATATTTTAGTTAAATTTTGTTTTTTAAAAGATCCTCTTTTAAAAGGGGGAAATTCAGCAATTGAAATGTTAAAACTCAAATTTAAAGGTTCTGAATAGATTGATCTTCTCTTATTTTTGTATTTAAGATAAAAATAATCATTACTCTTGACTATAAAAAAGTTTTGACTATGTAAATTCTTAACTTCTCAGTAAAAATTTATCAATAATAAGTAAATATAATTTTTTCTGCTGTTTATCAATACTCTACTAGGTTTTATATCGAACACGCTGATGTAGCTCAGTCGGCAGAGCGGTTGGCTGTTAACCAACAGGTCGAAGGTTCAAACCCTTCCATTAGCGCTTTTTTCTTTTTTCTGTAAAATATAATTTAAATTAAAATTAAAAATGAATATATGTGTCGTTTTTTAAAAGAGACCCATTTATTTATTCATAGAATTTCAACATTCATAATTAGAATATTTAATATGTAGAATTTGAGGTTATTTAGCTCAGAAATTATTTAAATTTTAAATGATGAGAATTTGGGACATCCTAACTATATACTATTAATTCAACTTATTTGAAATTGATTTTGTTATCTTTATAGGAGGCCCATAAATAAAATTGCAGTTTTAACAATAAAAATAAATTTGCAAATTAAAGTAGTTTTTGAATTCCTAAAATTCAGATAGTATTTTTAATTAATAACTAATAGAAAAAACCCATTTAAATATTGAATTGTTTTTATTACTAAATTCATTTGATAAAGTAATTGTTAGAGCTAACACAAGGTTGATATTATTTTATCTGATTGCCAAGAATTATAGGATAAGGATATTTGATGAATGTTACATAAAATCAAAAAAAAGAAAATATTGCCATAATAAACTGATATTTAAAGGCTCTTTTTAATTGAATCAAGTTGATTGTAAACTATTTGCAATCCATATGACATCAGATTTAAGGTTTGAAATGAATAGAGCTTGTATGTTTTAATATCACATCCAAATTCTCAATTAAATAAAAAATCCTTGATTGTTAGGCAAGCAACCATCTACCAATTATTAGTATTTGGTTATCTACTTTGGATTTGATAAATTATTGTTTTTATTTACTTATAATTTTTTATAATTTATGAACCTTAAAATTTCTCCTAATCATATACTTCATACTGATACTAATTGCAATATATCTCCACCTCAATAAGATTTCACGAAAAAATAAGATCTATAACTTTAGCAAATAACACCTTCATATTTATTTGCTAATCATTCATTTTAACCAACTCTTAAAATATTAGTTCCTCAAAAAGAATCAATTTTTGGTCAGAGAAAAGAAACCTTTATAAATTCAAGTTATCGTGATTATTCTCAAAGAGAATTATATGGAAGCTTATAAAAATATAAAATAGAAAAACCAGATGATGGTCTAGCTCATTTTCGTGGAAGAATGAAATCAATAAAGCAGCATTAATCGCCTTACAAATTAAATTAATAATCACCTACATCCATTTAAAATATTGAAAGCAAAAAGAAAATCCTTGATCACGTAATTGATGATGTTAGGTTGAATAATATCAAATTGAAAAAGCTCGAGAAATCTCCTTAAGGATAAAACTGTCCTGTGCACAATTTCTACTACCTCAAAAATATGAAATAACTCTAACCTTTCTAAATTGAAAAATCTGTAAAAGATTTAATGAGGCCATTCCATTAATAAAGAGAGAATTTGCTTTCTCCAATTTAAACAGAAAGAAGTTTGATATATCCTTAAAGACCTTAAATATAAAGACCAAAAGAGTTTTTGAACAAATTGAAAAACAGATTGTTGAAAAGAAAAAAAACAATCTTTTTGCAGCAATCTCAGAATTATGAAGATCCAATTCAAAGAAAACTTAAGCATTTTTAAAAAAGCTTATTTGAAAATCAATGTCTGCATACTATATACATTCGTCCTTCAGCAATAAGAATATAAAAGTATAGGATTGAAGACCCTAACAATGAAAGTATTTTGAAAAGATGTTTGAGTTTTAGATGGTGGTGGTAAGAAGCAGAAGAAACTGATGAGGAAGTGCAGTTTTTATGGACTAAGGAAGTCTCGATTTCTTTTTTAAATAAATAAAGATAAAGGCACATAAGTGATAAAATTGAATTTTAGCCTTTTGAATAGATTCTAAAGACATGTGAAGGCGTTGAAGATTAAATGAAATTTGCAATAGAATAAAAACTTTGTTTATTATCTCCAAACATAAAGATACACAATCATATAGATGCAAATAATCCGTTATGGACAAAAAAGAATTTGATTTCTAGATATTAAAAGTACTGTACTTTAACAAATCAATATTACGGTGATTTCCTTCCATTTTCAATAATTGTGAATAATTTGGGGGAAGAATCATTTTATGATTTTGTTAGAAACTATAAAACTTCTACAGATATTTGGATAGTTTTGAAATGTCAGAATGAAGGAGAGTAGATTTAGTTATGTGAAAATACAAAAAGTGTATTTAACTGTATTTTAAAAGAGTACTAGACTCCAAGTAGAAATCAACAAAGCTTTATTGTCTAATAATATATAAGATCGTTTGTATATCAATAAATAAAATTAGATTTATGCTATTATTTACTGATAACTTAAATAAATGGGATTGTGAGAGCATATCTATTTGAATAATTTTATGGTGAAGAATCATAAATAAATTTCTCTCCATTTGAAAAAGTTTAGTAGTCTAAATCTATCACTCGATTAAATCCAGATTATTGTTCAAATAAGATTTCAATGAAAACCATTTTAGAATATTTTGATGATTGTAGAGTGGATTACGATTATAAAATACTCCCTGATATAAAAACAAATTTATGTGAATATATAAGATCAGTTTTTATTCAAATGCCAGTCAAGGATCATAATTTTGAAGTAATCATTAAATAAGACTTAGTTACTTTAAGTTAAAATAGTGATTGATAATCAATATAAACCATGGTTAATCGACATCAAACCTACAACATAATTTGATTAAAGTTAAGATTTCATGAAAGAATTTGCTTAGTAGCTATATGATAATGCAATACAGCTTTCAGTAGATATTCTATTTCCTTCTCCATCCATTTGGCCAAAAGAAAAAAGAAGATTAATTGATATATACTCTGAATAAAACGATTTTGCTATTGTATTTGACTCTAGAATGGATGGATAAGGTTTAAAATCATTATTTGAAGATAAATAGCCTGAAAGCCATAATGATAATGATAATGATGATGAATTTTGATTTTTACAATTTTCTTATATTGAGATATATAAACTAAAAGTAATTTAATCATTTTGCAAACATCATTAGTTATATAAGATTATCATTGGGTAGATTAAATCTAACGCTTTTTCCTGAATGTACACTTACACTTCTTTTTTGCCTCTTATTCAACTCAACATGTGAACTTTGATTTTTTAGAATTCCTTTCATAACAAAGCTGCTGGTTTCTTTTCTTAAAGTAGTTTGAGAAGATTATGTTTCTCCAGAATTTAATTTAGTTTGAGTGCATTCTTTGATTTTAATTTATTTTTCAGGAATTGATCTCAACTAAGAGTCAATCTTAAGTTCTTATGGAAGGTGGTCAATTGTTCTTGATCTTTAATTTCTTTCTTCTTCTAGAACCAATGATTTATTATTGGTTTTGCTAGCTGCCAGTATTGATTGAGTATGAATAGAAGATTTTTCTAGCTTTTAATAAAACACATTATCTAAGTAATTCTTGGTTTTTATTAAAATTTCATAATTTATAAGTCTTGATTGAATAGGAGGTGTTTCTAATTAATTTAAATCTTTTTCAAAACAGTTTAAAAGCCTAAGTGAGTTTTTCATTAATTTTTATATAAATTTAACATATTATAATGAAAATAAATTTGTCAACTAATAAATTATCCAAATTTAGCAGGTAAACTACTATTATTCTTTTTAAAAATTTTGCAATTCTTCATCATTAATTATTATTTTTTACCTATATACACCTAAATTTATATCATTGGTTGTTTAGTTATCTTTATTCGCTTAATACTAAATTAAATCCTACTTACAATCAAATAAATATTGCATATTATTTCATTTTTCATCTGATTATTAAGTGTTTTTTCTAATAATTATTAATATTTAGCGTTTATATCAAGCTGATTATCAACAAAAATAGGAACTTATATTTTTCAAAAATGATTTTTAAAGACTGTAGTCATTTTCTTAAAATTGAAATCTATTTTTTCTGATTAATTAATTTTTTCCTACCTATTTACATAAGCAAAATATTCTCATTTGTAAATAGTTAGATTAAAATCAGTAATTGAAAATGCCTTAGAATCTTGGTATAAGGATTTATAAATAATACCAAAAAAAAAGCTACTACGATCTAATTTTAAAAATACCAATCGATTAGAAGGATTTAGTAAATAGTATTTGAATTTAATTTATGGATTATAAACTTAATAATTTATATACTAGTTATATATAGGAATTTTATTCTTGAAATTAAATAAATTGTTTAGCCTTAAATATGATATAGATTTTATTCAAAGTTGTAAGTTATTGGGTTTACTCTAATTATACCTTGTACTTATTTGATTTTTTAAGAACCCTTCGATAATCATATTTAGAATGTATAAAAATTAATAATACATATCATATAACATTAATTAGACTCTATAAATAACTTTATTTATTTGAAAAATTTTCTAATTTATTCCATTCATCATATTCAATATCAATTATGTGGTAGTTTCCCGATTTCAGATGCCTATTAATGTGTTTCATTAATACCTTAAAACCGTTTGATGGTTTGGGCTATGTCCGATATGTTACAATTAAGGATTCATGATAAAATGCAAAGGACCATTGCAATTTATTATTGTATTATTTGGCAAAAAAAAATCTACATCATAAATAAGAATTCTTTCTTGAGAATTAAATTAGATATTTAATGTTTTGAGGACATTAAGTACATTATTTTCCAATTTTGTTAATATGTCTTAATTTTTCTCGATTGGTATGTTCAAGAAATTGACATTTTAGTATTCATAATAATCTGCTTTTTTATATCCAGTTCTTTTATCAATAACTCTTCTAGCAATTTTATAAATCCTTTCTAATTTTTGAAAATGCGGATAAAATTAATTTTATTCCGAAGGTTTTGCATCTTAATAGTTTTAACCAATTATTTCAGGAAATATATTGAACATTAATTAACAATAGTGAGAATTGAATGAGGCAAAGTAATTTTGGATTACCTCATTTTTTTGATCCATAAATTTTTTTAAAAGATCTTCAATTATTTACGATGAAACAATATTGTCATGATAAAGCCTAGTTTGTATTAGTAGATGGATGATTTAATCATAATGATCCATAAATTCAAATTGATTATTGAGTTGATCTGAAATTAGTGCGAATATTGGATGATTTTCCATTCTCAATTTTTAAAGACTATGTAAAATTATTAATCTTTCTCTTAAGTTTATAGATGCCAGATTTGATTGAATCACTTTGCAGATTGATTCTAAAAGTGTTTCATCATAAATGAGTAAATTGCTTAATCCAGCTAATAAGGCGATCTATTATTCTATATTCATGGAATTTAGGAAATTGTTTTTTTGATTGAGTAATTCTATTACTCTAAACTTAGCAGAATCTCCAAAGGCTTTTCTTTAATGGCTTAGAGATAAGAAATAAATGTAATGAATCATGTCAGTTTTATTGCAAATAGGAAATTTGAATTTTTTACCCAAATAGAAGTAAAGTTATTGTTCTGTAGGGATTGAAAACTTTTTCATCAAATAAGCCTTGCTAGCAAGAAATTATGAATTCATTTTAAATATAATATTGATAAAATTCTTATTATTGAGAATCTCTCCTTTATAATCTCCTAGTGATTTTCTAAAATGAATTGCTCTAATCTATCTTATTTAATGATATCAACGACATCATAAAAAACCAGACTATGAGATGCTTTATGACAGTAAATTATTCTCTCTTGGAGGCAAATAACTAATCAATATATTGATGATAACGATACCTATTATCTATATCCTTCAATTCCTTCAACATTCTCTTAGATACGACTTTAGATATTTCCTTTGATGATATATCTTCCGGACATAAAAATTTATTGTTGAATGTATATCAAACTTTTTGAACTATGTCTTTGATCTCAATATAAATTCTAATCTCTTATCCATTTATGCTAATACTCTTGTTTAAGATTCAAAAAATCTGAATTAAATATTCTATCAAATAAGACAAAATAGTAACCAAATAAAATTTATGTATATCATTTGCATTTGCCATCTCCTAATAAATTAGCATATGAAAAGCAAAGAACCCAATCCCTTTTCATAATATGAGAACCGACTTCATCATCACAGAACCTTTTTAAAACTATGTATATGTTTTAGCAAGTCATGCCTTTTTCATACAATATTTCATCTTCTAATAGTATTTTATTCACCTCTCTCAAAGTGAGTCCTTAAAGTATGACCTGAAGTAAGCCAGTATGCCACATAGCAACTCTTCCAGTTCTCTTCATCTCTTAAAAGGGAGTCTTGATGGATAGCAATTTTCCCTTCAGAATTAGTCTAATTAATGTGAGGAGATCCACTATATCTTCCGCTCCCATTAATAATAGATACTAATTAGGTTAATTAAAAAATAATTATATGAATGTACGAATCATTTGATTTTTAACAGTTTTCTGATTTCTTCAGCTGACAAAGTCTCCTTCTTGACTAATTCGGTTGCCAAATCTTTGAGTTTGCCTTCATTTGTTTTCAATAGAGTCTTGACTCGGTTATAAGATTCCTTTTCTATACTAATAAAATACTTCCAAAATCTTCTTGACTTCCATATCCACCATGTAATCGAATTGATCACTCGTTTTAACTCTGTCACTCTGGATAGAAATCAAGGAAATCTTATCATCCATTCCTAATTACTTCACAAACATATAAGCCAAATCTGTTGCTTTGGCCAAATCGTTGCTACATCCACTGGTAATGTCATCCTTTCCAAGAAAGAGATCTTCTGCAGCTCTCCCTCCCATAGCCACATCAATCGATGCAATTATTCCTCTCCTTGTATAATTCAACTAATCCTTCTCTGGCAACATGGCTGTCTATTAGCAAAGTCAAACAAAATATATACAAATCCTAAGGCTCCTCCTCTTGGCAATATCGTTACTTTGTGTAATGGCATGGCTCCATCTGTTAATAAACTAGTGAGTGCATGTCCTCCCTCATGATACGCTGTCATTAACTTCTCCTTATCACTCACATGCATATTCTTTCTTCCTATTCCCATAGATATTCTATCAATAGCAAACTCAAAGTCTTCAGTTGTGGCTATTTGTCTGTCATATTTTATAGCATTCAAAATAGCAACATTGACCATATTCTGAATATCAGCACCACTGAACCCACTTGTTTGTCTGGCCAAATTGTTAGCCAAGACTTTCTTTTCATCGAACTTTATCTTCTATAAATAGTAAGAAAAGATTTATTCTCTTCCTTTTACATCAGGCAATGGCACATGAATCATCTTATCAAATCTCCCTGGTCGTTTTAAGGCTGGATCCAAGACCTATCACTATAAGAATCCTGATTACTTATTCAAAGTTTGTGGCTCCAATCACAATAACACTCTCTGTCTATTTGAATCCATCCATCTCTGTAAGAATTTAGTTAATGGTATCTCTAGAATACCCTGGATCTTAGGCTCTTCTTCTTCCTCCTATACTGTCTATCTCATCTATAAAGATAATTGAAGGAGCCTTTGCTCTGGCAGCTTTAAAGATGTCTCTCACTCTTGAGGCACCAACACCGACAAACATTTCATCGAATTCAGATCCTGATTTGTAAAAAAATGCACATCCAGCTTCACCAGCCAATGCTCTTGCCAATAGAGTTTTCCCTGTTCCAGGAGGGCCTACCAATAGAATTCCTTTTGGTAGTTTTGCTCCTGAATCAGTGTACTTTTTGGGATTCTTCAAGAATTCCACTATTTCTTCCAACTCTTCTTTGAATTCATCAATTCCCAACACATCATTAAAACGAGTAGGAATGTTTCTCTCCTCTTAAACGCTTTGATTATTTCTCAATATGTTATAAAATCTATCCATTCTACCCACTCCCTATTCAGGAGTGTCCTTTTATGTATTTTCATTCTTGGGTTTGGATTGATTAGGTTAAAAATAGTAAAATAATTGATATATTATTGCAGCTGTGATAAGCAATTGGATTACCCCTGGCAATATCATTGATTTGCGTTTATCAGAATACAAATTGGATTTCAGATTGGTAATGGCAATGCCATATTACTCTTATAATTGTTAATGCTGTTTAGGGGTTGCACTTTCCCTGAAGTCATCTAGAGGTCAATCGATATATGATACCTGTTTACTTGAATATTTGAAGTGCTTCCTCATACATTTACATGCGGTTTAATTATCTCACATATTTGTAAGCTTTTTCAGGATTCTAAGGATCTGAGGAAAAATCCTTTTATAGTAATCGCAAGGTCTATATATTTTGCTGATTGACTAGGAAGGTGGAGTCTGCATGGATAAAAGGGGAGAAGTCGAATTTATGATCTGGGATGTTCACAGACTTCTTGATGAGATCATCTTTATTCAATTGAAATGGGCTTTGCAGAAACTTCATCGTAGGCTCTTAAGTTATTTGCAAAATGATTACTTCTAAATCTAAAAAGTGATTTATACACAAATCCCCAAAGAATCTACTTTCAGAATGAATATATTTACCGGTCCTTTCATTTAATATAAAGCACAAATAAAATATAATTAATGAATCTCGACAGTGCAGCTGACTTTTGTCCACAATGCCATTTCATGCTAGAACTCCCAGAAGTCATGGATATCATGGAGTGCAATCGTTGTGGATATAAGGTATCCAATCCACCCTATCAACCAAGTGCTCTATCACTGATTATCAACCAAAATACATCATCTCAACCATCAAAATGGAACCAAAGTCCTGGCTATCCAATCAACAAGACTCTAAACTATCTGATCAATCGCACAGAGCTGTTATTCAACAAGCCTGTCCTAAATGTAGCAAGAAGCTTACTTTTCAACTGCGCAATTGAGATCAGCAGATGAAGGATCCACTGTATTCTATGAATGCGTTAAATGCCAGTTCCGCTATCAATTAAATAATTGAATTCAAAGTGTTTATTATATGTATATATACAATTCACATAAGAAACTTAAACAATAATATGTCCAGAATAATTAACACACCCTCTATTCTCTTCTAAATCCTAATAATATCAATGAAGTTGTTTTGAGGTCTGGGATTTCTTTAATTTCTGTCATTTCTGTGAACCAGGTTATCAATTCTCGATCAAAATGATCATCTGAGATTTTGGTTATTGTGGCTATTAAAATGATATCACTTCTTATATCTTATTGGAGATATGTAGATTGAGTAGTATTGCTTCAAATTCAAAATTTAGCTTCCATTTGTGAAAATCAATAATTCAAAAAGAATCGGCAATATTTTAATTATCTTTGTAATTGAGAAGTTATAGCATATTAATATAACAAATCTAATTTTGGAATCATATTTAAAATATCTAAATTCAAAGAGGTGCCTGCTAATAAATATGCAAAATAATTGAAATTATAAAATGGGCATTTTCTGACTAGGGTTCATGAATTGATTTCTACCTCTCCGTTAATAATCAATTTGAATGAAACCTTATTTGGATGCAATCTGAAATATGAATGTGAATAAATAACAAAATTAAAATTAATATTAACAAATACTTGTTAATTAAATTGCTTTGATGTTTTATAATAATATAAAATTAGAACTATTTCATTCTTATTATTCAGGGGGTTATGGAATTTTAACCATCTCTTTGTTCTTTAAACAATACATGGCGATGAATTCAAGAGGATCTTTAGGTCTCTCAATGTCTACTAATTATAAGGCAGGCATCAACAATGGCAGGATTGTCTTACGTAGATAATCAGCATCAGAGCATTCTTCCAACAATTCCCAATCACTCTTCTTGGGTATCTCAGCTTATTCTTCAGGGATTCCTTTTTCTATTCTTTCAATTTCATCATTTCTGTTTCTTTCACATATTTCAATTTGTTTTATGAAGTAATCAGGATCTTTGATAACATCCAAAATGTCCACATGTACTAAGTACTTATTCAAACACTTCTTTCTGCTTAGATCTTCCAATGTCACACAGTCTGTAACTTAAACTAAGTTATTTTCATTTCTATGTTTTATTAAATAAGAATTACTCTTGAATTCCATCATCAAAAAATATGTGAAGTGTATCAGGATCTTATTAATCAACATACAATTATTTAGCATTCTATTCACTTGGTTATGCTTAATAAAACTGATAATCATCAACATAACACAAAGCACAACTCTCCTTCAATGATTCTGTAATCTTTAAGAGCATTTGAGTTTCATTGTATATTTAGACTTATTCTTCTTCCAATTCCTTTTCATATCCATCTTCCAATTGTTATTTATCTGTTCTTCTCAAAGTTCCTGTCACTAATTATTTCTATAGTCTATAAACTAAGGCACATTGTTTATCCAATATAATATAATTCTTAGTTCCTTTTGATCCATCAAATTTAACTATGGGAGTATTGTTTCTACCACTGAAGCATGGATGTTCTCCTAAACAAAATTTATTAAATTCTCTCAAAATGTTTTTTGGATCTGTTCCAAATGGTCGAAATACTATTGCAAATTCTCTCTTTTATTTCTTCAAATTGATTATTGTCTTATAAAATGTAGGCAACAATTGATATTTATTATCTGAAAATAAATTATTGAGCATATCCTTGTCCGATAACAATTAAGTTAGATTTCGTTACTTGACCTCATCCTCATTCAGGAATCCAAATTCTTCAGCTTATTACTTTAACTCTTCAATCACAGCCTTTGGCAAAGTCTAATACATGTTAATAATGCAAACTGTACAATCAATTTGACAATCCTGTCATATTCCGGTTTCAACTTCATACATGGTTATCCTAATTTAACAAACTGAAAATATAATTGCTTGCGTTATTCTCTAGTATAAATTATTAATCTATCTTACATGGCACTGTTATTATATTCTGTAATATCATCTGGATCTCCTTCAGTTTTGAGTGGAAATTATTAACATATGTATTCCTTATAAGAGATCATATCTTCACTGGGTCTGATTGGAGTGAAGTTGTTTGTTAATAATTTCCATAGGACTGGGGATTTCTCATCCCTCTATTCTAATTTACCCCATGCATATCCAACCAGGATTTCTTACAACTAAAACTAAAGATGTCTTTTCATACACATTCTTCTTTGGTTTGAGTTGTATATTTGGAATCCGCCAACAGTATAGTTTTATTCAAATCGAAATGAAGCACTAACTTTTTTTGCTGTTTCATAATTTATTATATATTATTTAATTATATTTCATTTGAGTTGTTTGAAACACAGACATTTTTTATTATTTCTTCTTAAAAGAAAATTAATCGAGCACGCTTTTCTTCTTCGTGTTAACCAAGCCTTTGGTTGAATTCATTTTGTTCTACTCTTCTTCATATTGAGCAATCAATCCCAAATAATATTGAGTACTATTTTGTAGTTCCTACATAGATGTTGATGAATACTTCTTTTGGATCTGATCCAGAGTTTCGTTTTCTCTGCAATTCAATCATGTAGAGACAAGTTTTATATTTGGATTTCCTTTTATCATAAATTATTTTAACTTCCGAAGCCACAGTGGGGAATTCCTTAAGGAGATTCCTAAAAATATCGTAAGAACAGAAGAATCTATAGATTATTGATAATACAAATTACAAATTGGTTGGTTCTTTGGCAATGGCAAAATATTCTCTGTTGATGTCTTCAAATGCTTCGATTTCCCCAAAGAATGATGCTTCCAAAAGGGTAATCAATGTGTATTTGTCATGAGTAACAAAATTGACTTTCCCCTTTTCAATAAAGTATATGTCTGTTGGAGGGTCGTCCTGTCTATATATGATCTCTCCAGGATGGACTTCTAAGAAATTGAGATGAGGTAGTATGGTGGCTGTGAAATTCTTATCTATCTTGAGTAAGGAGACACTGTCAATCAAATACTTATAGCAAATCATCAACAATTCATTACGAATTTAAGATGGGAGTTCCTAAATCAATTTTTTAGGATCGAGAGAAGAGTACACATTTTTCAAGTAGTTATTTCTATAATACTTGTGTACTTTGCATTTCAAAGCATATGGCAATTTCACTCTCACTGAGAAATCATTAAACAAATGCATTCTTCTCTCAAAATCTACCCACTTTTTGTCCACGTTCTCCAAAATAGATGACAATTTTCCCAAAGTATATGAAAAGAACCCAGTTCCAAAGATCATCCAAATTATAGCAAATACTCGTTCTTCAATAGTAGTAGCCTTGATATCGCCATAACCCACAGTAGTGAGAGTCTGCAAACTCCATTCAAAGGCAGCAATGTATTTGTTATATAGAGTTGCATCTTCAAGGTTCGCTTAGGCAACCCAAGTGTCAGGATCGAATTCATTGAATTTTGCTATGAAATACCAAAAGCAGGCAATGAGATGATTGATCAATATAGATTTTGCCCAAGAGAATAAGTCCCTTGATGATGCCTTCATTGATTCCCAGATAAGATAGGATTCTGGCAGCCTATGTTTTGTTTTTGATGTTCAAGTTAGCTTTGGAGATCTTGAGTAAACGAACCAATCTATAGAGTCGAGGCAATCGAATCAGTCTCAGCAATTTATTGTATCTAAGGGCTGCGGTATCAGTATTGTCATCTAGAAAATAGGTAATTGGCAAGACTGCAATGACATCGACTGAAAACCATCCATACAAATATTATTTGGCTATCAATCTATAATTGTCGACAATTTTCTGTTCCTCATCATAGAATGCACTCAAAAAGTTGATGATTATATCGGCAAAGAACAAAACATCAAATATAACATCCACCCAAAACCAAAAACCTTCGTTTCCAGAATCAATCTATTAATAGTTATGTAAATTCATACGAAACAAACTTTAAATGGAGTTATGACTGCAGTGGCCAATAATAAAAATATCAACAACATATTCCAAACAGTTTTAAATTGTTCATCTGGGTAAAATACGTATACCTTCTTTTCTTCTTAGTTTGATTTAAAAACTTCGTCCTCTATCAAATCCATGTGATCATCTTATCTGATTGCTCCATAAATCTTCACTCTATTTTAAAAAGATCTCATTATTCCTATAAAATAAGAAGCCAGAAACACTCTTCTCCAAATTGAAACTAATCTTTGTCTCTTCTCTGGATTGAGCTTCCTATAAAATGAGAAATTCTAAAGAAAATCTAATTTCCGAAAGAACACATTAAATACTGTGATCTAAGGATTAATCATAATTATTCGATTAAAATATAACCACCACTATTCTAACTAAAATCGATAATATGTCAATATATATAATCAATTCTAATATGAACTCTATCTGACTCTCTATGCCATCTCTGGAGGTAACTTATTTGGTGGCCCTTGTTTTGATCCGAATTCTTTCTAATGAGTTTAGTAATCATTTCTACAATATCCTAATTAAAAGTGATGAGTTCTCAAATCCTATGTATGAACAATAAACTTACTTTTTTCATTTCTGCATCCATCTTACTTGGCTATCCATGAGGATTCTTGAATTATGCCTTTGCCACTGATTCTGTAGTGTCTTCATCAGTTCCAAATTTAAAGTGATGTTTCCTCAACTCAGCCTAGACTTCTTCCTACAATTTTCCTGGTTTCGAATGGAAATCTCTGAACCTTGCTTAAGCCTCACTCTAATAACTCAATTTATCATTTCCGATCATGATATTCTTAGAATTATCCACTATTGGATTAACTTTCTCAGCCTTTTATCCATCAAATTATTGATTATATGTGCTTTTATAATGTTCTTAAACTGTAGGTCTCACAACTTCATCTTTAAGATCAAAATGATTTGATTGTAATTAAGGATTCCTAACCTATTCTTATTGTCCTTTTCTATCTGAGAACTAGGATCTATAAGCTGATTGATAGTTGACAGCTTATTCATTTCCTACTTAAAAATGAGTTGCTCTTAAATCCTTTAATTGTGCCTCATTTAATATGGATCTATCTCCTTAATTGCCTACATGAGATGCCTTAGCCTAACTTGTGTATTCGACTCTGTCTGTGCCCATAGTTATATGCGTGTTTCTAACTAGTTGTTAGGTTTTGTCTTGGAAATTGTTGACTTGCACTTATGGTTTCCCATATATAGCTTAATTCTGGGTTGTGTAACCATTGTCATCTCTTCCCATAACCAGATGAGTTTTCCTTAATTGCACATTCATTTCTGCCATTCTTTCTTTTGAGTATCCCTAGCCTAATAAAGCCTTGTCATATTGTTTGTTGTGCACTGTATCATACATCGACGAGTAGTAATTATTTGTATCCCCAAAGTCGTGATGATGTTTAACGTAAATCTGCATTATCAGCCTTCTTAAAATTGTTTTTGCCTTAATTCCCAAAATTCTATTCATATTCAGTTGGCTTATTGGTATCATGGTAACCTAATTAGAAATGATGAGATCGTAAATCCTTCTTGGTTTCATCACTTAATTTCGCAATAGCTGCACTCTAAGGTCTTTAAAAGTCAGATTTTTAAATGGACTCTAATTTCGGTTTGTCATCTCCCAAATGAAAATGATTTTGTTGCAATTTCGGAGCCTATATTGGCTACTGGGGCTACTGTTGTTCCAACTTTTAATCCTTCTCCACAACAGATGTCATAGGTCTCACTTTAGCTGTCTTCTACATTGGCATAGGTTGCTTTGCCACAGATTGATGATTTGTGTCTTCATCAAATCCAAAGTGAAAGTGAGCCTTCCTCAACTCTTAAACATGCTTTAATCTCTCAGCAGTTGCATTTGAACTCATGTTATTTTTTTATTTAATCTGTTATTCAAACTATATTAAATTATATTAACTCTAATCTAATATTACACCATTAGGTTCAGAATGTATTATTCATTAGAATTACATTCAATTAACCATAACAATATAACTATTTTATATATATATAATAATCTTAGTTAATATAAGACATCTCAAAAAAAGACAGATAAGAAGGGATCAACACTTGGAACTATCGCTTCTGATGAATGAGACTAAATACATGACAAATTGATTTTAGACATTGTTCTCAAAATAATTGATACTTGCATTCTTTTCATCGATCAACCACTCAATTTTACAACTTTTCTTGAGGTAAAAAGTGTATGATTTTAAAGAAATATCCACGTTGAATAAAAAACTGTATAAATAAATGATTCTGATTCTTTTTTTGAGTGTCTTTAATTTAGCGATTTCTATTTCCTTACCATTTTATACAAATTTAAATATAAACTATAACCAACTTAGATTTGGTTAATGATAATAAATGATATTTATTTAATGTAATTAAGTTAATATAAAATAATTATATATTGTTCAATGATAATATTAATCAATAAATTAAATAAAAATTTAAGTTTGAAAGAACTACTTCCAAATTACTTTATCTGCATTGATTGTACCCATATTTTATAATGTTTTTGCTGCGATTTTCTCATAATCTAGAATTGATTTATTAGGTTTCTTAGATGATGAGTTTGTATGTTGTCTAATTGGTTCTATTGGGATATTTCTTATAACTCTGGCGTGAAACAACTAATTAAAAATTTACAGACATTAACTGTAATTGCTATGATTTGACTGTACTATTTAAAAGTAGGAATCCAATCTTCCCAATAGATATGTCATTAATTCTGCTGATAATAGAGGAATGGCATCTGTGTTTCCAAATTATATTTATAGCTTGCTATCCAAGTTAATAAAAATAGTATTCTAAAACTTATCTATTAGTCCTTGACTCTAAAGAGTTGAAAAATTCTAGGTTTATCAATCATAATTACACATTCTAAACCTGCGATTATTGGCACTGGACTTCCTAAGTACACTATGTTTTCCAAGGGCAAGTTACTTATGATAGGATGGATCCAAGCAAATGGTTTAAGCAAATACTTTTAGCACAATAAACAAGCGGCAGTGGACAATTAGGGTGATTTACTAACAAATACAATTGATTTTTCGATTAAACAACTTACAAATATTTTGATCAGACTTTATGAATTCAATTTCTTAAATAATTGTGGAATTCCCTAATATTTCAAATATTAATACCCATAGGATATTATCATTTTCACATATTTTTAGTTCTTGATTATTAATGGTAATGAAATTGGGAGGGTTCTTCTAAGTAAGCTAAGACAAGATCCTAAAACTTATTTAAGCAATGTTCTTATCAAAGAAATTGGTGTCTGCTTAGGTAATGTTTTTTGTTCTTAAATACAAGTTAGTCCTCATGCATTTCAACTAAGACAATATTACAATTAGTATTTGTTAATAGAAGTCAATTAGATATCTGCTAGTTGAAAAACAGATGGCTCTTTTGCTGAATCTGACTGATTCTGGGTTTATAATGGTAAAGTCAGTGTAACGATAACAAATATGGTACTTCAACTGTTGTTGCTCCGTTTACTTAGTGAGAATAACAAAGCAATTAGAAGAATCAATTGAATAGTTTTGGTTCATCATTAGATTGATATCTTCTAGGCTGAAGGACAATGGTATGACTTTGGGCTTGCATCCATCTGGGAATATGAATTTTGATATTTGGAGTATGTATTATTGGTTTTCTAGTTTGATGATGAATAATTACTAACTTAATTGTATGAGTAAATCACTTATGGGTCATTGGACAATTCTAGTCCCAATCCGAGAATGAACAAATCATCGAATAATTAATCATTGTTTCTTAGGAGCTTTAAATTGTCAGTGGTGACATTTTAGATATCAAATGAGTCCAAGACTTTCTGTTTTAAGTATTGAGTGGATTGTCTAAATTAGGACACATTAAAATTATTGCTTTCCTAGAGAGGAGCCTTTAATTTAATCTTCTTGCCTGAACTTTAAAACTATTCCACTCGACTATCACTAATCGCAGGTTCTGAATTCTCGTCCAGATTGCAATCTTCATCAGAGGAAAGATTTTGAATAATTATTGATTATTTTTGGCTTTTGAGTATTGAGACCTCTTGTCTACTAAATTCCAATTGCTATTCAAGTGCTTATATATAACAATCCTTTTCATACAGTAATTGTAGTAATTGTCTTTGAGATAAGTGATCCATAATAAAAAAACAAATATTTATTAAAATTACTCAAATTTAAATTGAAATACCATTAGTCGTTGGTTAATTATTTTCAAACTAGCCTTATAATATTATATAATTCTTACCTATAAAAAAATTCTTATTCTTTTTGAGATGACCCAGACCACTTCTGACTCCATCCTTAAAACCACCTCTATAAACTTCATTCTTGGTGATTTCAATACCATAGCCTTGTTTTTTGTCATTAGAGAAATACCCAATAAATTTGTATTCGCCTTTTTTTAAGCACAACCCAAGGCCTTGTTTGCCGTTGTTTGAGTACTGCCCATAATAGAGCGAGTCCTGGATTTGAACGGGTTGGAGCTGCATAATGGTAAATAATAGAAGTACATTAAGTAAATCAGAATAAGAGAGCGTAGGATCTTTGGTAAGATTGGGAGATATGTCTGTTCCGAGGAATTTATCGTCGAACCATTCTCCAATTAGGGGTTGCTAATTCAATTAAATGAAAATTCCCATGTGGTGTTTTCGACCAAGCAGCCAGAATCCTTCATAATAGTCTTTATTTTTGTAATACATACGGCCAAAACCGCATTATTTCCCAGCAAACCATTATCCCTAATATGTTCCGTCTTCCACTTCAATTGGTCTCTCAATCCGACATTTATTATAAATGATATAGAGCGTTTTGGAGAGGGGATGTGAGTTTAAATTATTTTAGGTAGTCTAAATTGGTAAATCTGCATCAAAATCTTTCTTGGACTAACTGACGGTAACCTAATTTTCCTGCCGAGTAAATTCATCAGTAAATTCTTATTATAAATTGGGAAGAGGTATTGATTAAAATTCTTCAGAGCATATACGTGTATCTTGAGATTCGCAATTACCCATGATAGATTTTAGAAAAATAGTAAATATTAAATAAAATATATTTTTTATCATTATCTTTGATCATGTTTGAGTAACTTACGTAAATAGCTTTAATTATATAAAATGGAAAATTGTTGGGCTTGATGAAGGTATTTCATTGGATCCTTTTAAATTTCAGAAAACAATCTTATTGAATATAAATATTCTAATACAAAGGATATGTAGAAGGTGATGGAGACACTTTCTGAGAAATAACTTAAGGCTGTGATTTTTCAATGTTAGTTCTTTTGGTGACAAATTGATTGATTGGTTTATTTGATAAAATGTCATTTAATAAATATTGCTAAGATTTTCTGACATTCTGAGGAAATTTGGTAAGCACAGTTTTCTTTTGCAGCATCAAAGAATGTTTTGGAGAAGGAATCTTCGGAGGAGAATACAGCAATTATGAATTGTTCTTTGAAAACAACTTATTCTTAGTATCCACTTTCTCATTTTACCTAATCGCAGAATACGATCTTATTAATCTCCTATTGGTCTTAATGCATATTTTCCCATCATTCTCCATCTGGAATTATAAAATCGAGTAAGATTTCTGTTTAACTAGATGCTGATTCGCCTCTCTTTGCTTCTGAATTCTCGAAATTCTCTACTGGGCTTTTATTAAACTCTGATTAGAATTCGATCTCTTCTAATACAATAAATTCATTTTAAATATTATTGATTTAATAATAAATTCATGTCTGAAACTAAATTTGTTGACGAAAATTCATTACTTGGAATTGCAGCTTCATTTTGGCAATAATATTCAACTAAGACTCCATAAAAATTGAAAATCATGGATGCTTTTTCTTTGTATTGCTTCATATTAGTGATAATTCAATTGTTTTATTGTGCATTGGTAGGTGACTTTCCAAGAAACTCATTTCTATCTGGAATATTTGCAGCAGCTGGAGCCATGATAATAAATAGTATGCATTTCAATATTCATCATTAGTATGTTTGAGGAAATAATTGAATCCCGAAACCAAATACATGGAAATTTCGAATGAGAGAGCCTTTTGGGAATATTTGGCAGCAATGGTTGTGCTTTTTTTGACTGTGATTAATTTCTTGGGTTGAATGATATTACATATATAATAGATATATATCACAAATCTATATGGCTTTTATTTGGAATTAGATAATTAGGAACATTAGCAAAATAAGGTGGAATGTTATATGTTCCAGGTCCTGGTCCAACATCATTTCTATCAGTTACTCTCGATTCTGATCCGAATCTAAACAAAATAATTATTTCTAGATATACGGGAATTTCGGTCCTGGATTTGCTTAATTGAATTGATAATGATTTGGAGCAGGATTGTCATTCATTTTGCTCTTCTCCCTCGCCTCAGTTCCAACTCTGCATGACAAAGGTCTCGATTTTGTCTATGAAACATTAGGATGATAATCCAAAGGGCCTGGCGTACCATCTGGCAATCTATCTGTGTATTTGGGTCTCAGAGTATAACCTTTGCTTCCCCCATCTCTACTAATATCGTATGTTCCAGGACCTGGCACTTCCTACTAATTTACAAGTCTCCTTTATTCTGAACCTATCTTATAACTGGGAGGTCTTCTCTTAGTAGCACTCTGAGATTAATAATGTCCAGGTCCTGGAGTGTAATGTGCATCAAAGACCTATCTCTACTTTGCAGTTCCAACCCTACCCCCAGGAACAGTTCGCTTTGTAAAATCAGTGGAAGGATCATAATGTCCAGGACCTGGAGCTGAATCAGTTGCTGTAGGTATTCGCTTGGAACTGATGGTTGTTGCTTTGAGATTCAAGTGCGATTGATGCATATATTGGCCAGGTCCTGGAGTCTATACTCTTTCAGTAAAGGTTGAATCTCTTAAGGCATTTCCAAATCTATGATAGGGTCCCGACGTTGAAGGACGCACATTATACTTACCAACTCCAGGAATAAAGGGTTTGGTATCATAGAAGCCTCCTCTATTTTGATTCCCAATTCTGGATGCAGGTCTGCTTAGGACAGTCGAATAATTAGTCTCATATGCAGCAGGGCCAGGCCCATTCTTTAGCTCTCTTAAATTGTCATCAATTCCTCCCAATTATGGCTTATTTCTCATGCTATAACTGGAAGCGCACTTTTGCAGAGGTTTAAAGTCTGGATTGTATGCACCAGGTCCAGCTAAATCTTAATTACTATTTTACGGGTGATTCCCTTGCCCACTTCTGTGTGGTTTTAAAATTTAGCTCCCATTGAGAATTCAGGCTTTTTCCTTTTCTACTAATAAGATATATAATTTTACTATGGCTTTTTGCAGTTGCTCATATTAGCCTGGCCCAGGTTGAAAAGCTATCTGCAATCCAATTCTATTGGCAGTTCCAATTCTAAGTTTAACTGATTATTGTTTACTTCCAAGAAGGAGGTCTTTAATGAGGATATCGATCAGGGTTGTAGTTCTAATGATAACACTATTCATACCCCTACTCCTGGAGCTTATTCAACCTTAGGAGGTGGTCGTTGATTAGATGTTCCAAAAGAATAAGCAGCCATAATAAATAATAAAATTAAATTATAAGGATTATTTCCTTTACCAAGAATAGTATCCAAAGAGGATTACTCATAAGTAAATATAAGAGAGATGTGATACCTTAAGGACTTCCATTCGCCATACAGCATATATAATAGATTAAGAAAAATAAATTACTATTTCAAAAGGATTCATTTTGTTTACTTCCAAAATCATTATGATTTTTGATATTTAAAAATAGTATGAATAGTATTAATTAGAAGAAAGTCTATTTTTATAATATATCAAATTATCTTACACATAAAAGTATTCTTATTTAACATTAAATTCAACCTTTATTATTCCTTAAGCATGGTATCATTATCTTTAATTAAGTTATAAATTATATATTTATGTTATTGTCACTAATAAGAATACAAAAAAAACATATTTTTAAGGAGAATTCTTTATCAAAATCTTAACAATGTCTCTTTGACTTGTAAAACCTAATTGAAATCAAGATATTTATATATTAACTAATTTTCCATAAAATTATCTAGAGATAATATGGCTATGAATGTTTCTATTATCATTTCTATATTCTCTCTATTTTTTAATACAAAAAAGTGAACAACATAAAAATAATATGGATTAATAATACTTCAGTACTAAGAGTTACCTTAATTGTAAACTCAAATATGTGAGATAAGCATTTATCCTTTTTATTTATAAAACTTTTGAGCAATCAAAAATTAATATATTAAATAGATAATAAATTCATCAAAATTTGATCATTATGTATAAGCAACCTTAATAACCTACGCCTAGAAATGTTATTAAATAAACTCCGCTTAATACTTAAGAAATTCTGTAAAGGCTTATGAAAAAGTCTTCTAAATCAAAACTCTAATTGGTGGATATAGCTGATGATAGTAAGATTGTTAAAAACGAGAAATTTGTTTCTAAATCTCCTTGTTCAGGATGGCAGAGCTTTAGAAATTAAAGTTCTGAGAGAGGGATTCATAAAATAAGACATTAATCGAATGAGGATTTATAAAAAACTCTAAAAAAACCATGTCATTTAAATCATGTAAGTTCGATGATTGGATTTCAATAAAAGGATTTTATTTAGAATGCGAATGCCTTTTTAAGAGAAAAAAATCTTGAAAACAAATTAGATACTTTGACTCAATAGATCTCTAAATTAAGGGAAAAATCGGAATAATTGGAATTACAGAACAAATTATTATTTGATAACTTACAGAAGTATAAATGTGAAGGCAATCAAGTAATTTTTGGGTTATCATGAAGGAAAGAAGTGCTTTGCTTGAGAGGTTGGATCACATGATTGAAATGCAGTAGAAACAAGAGGAGAATCTATAGCATATTAAGACGTTGTTTGGTGACAATTCCAGGAGAATAAAGACCCAATAATCCTAACCGAAGCAGAGGAGTTTTGGAAAATCTGCTTATATGGGATTCAATGTGTGAAAATGTTTATATTTAAATTATCTGTTAATAATTCATGAAACAATCGCAAATGCAACACAAGAGTTGGTTATAATTGTAGAGATTTGAAGAGTATGAGATAAATAAAAAAAAGTACCTGGAGAAGGAACAAGAATTGAAATTCAAGAGTTAAGATTAATATGCTCAATAAAAGCAAATTAATTGGATTGGAGACATACATGAAAGATAGACCTAATTGCAGAAGGCCAAATGGAAGTGGATAGAGGAATAGAAGAAGCGGTTAGATTAGAAGAGAGAGATGGATCAATTGGAAGGAGCTACATTCCATCCGTAAATATTAAATAAGGATCAAAAAATACGTACTCCCGACCAATTCTATAAGGATAATCTGGACTATAAAAATAAAACTGTATAATTCATACATATAAAATGTAGGAAAAACAAGTATAGCAATTAATCAAGTAAAAAGAAGACTAAATTAATAACAGAAGTTGTTCTCCTAAGATAAACAAGAAATCTATATAGATGGTAGTGCAACCTTTTTATGACAGATTGAAGGATAAATAGTTAGAGAAGGAATAGAATTTACTAAAAATAAAAAAAAGCATAACACCTTCCTTCAGTCCATAGATATATTCTCGCAATTTTCAGAGTCGTCAAACCTATCAAACTGTATAACAATTTGTGAATTTGAATTCAACCAAAAATAAAACATTTGAAATTGATTTGGAAAATGTCAAAAATGATTATAAAACATTCACATTCTTTGAAGACATCAGAAGATCTTAGCACTCACCTTCTGAAAACAATCAATAAAATGAAATTAATATCACCAAAAATTTGCTATTGCTAACTGAAAACAGCTAGATCTTGAATGCCCAATCGAGTCCACAATAATGCACAGCCAAAAAGTAATAGAGATCTGTGAGTCCTTTAAAATCCATCATGTCCAAGACTACCTAAAAGAATTACTTTAAAAAATGATTTGTATATTCTAATTATTCATACTAACGATTTTATCTCTTCTCTCTCTCCATAAGATTAGGGATATTCTATTCAAAAAATTGCATTATATATTCTACTAGTCTTTAATTAATTAGATTTATAAATAAATTTAATCCATAAAGTTTAAAACGAAAATTGAAAATGGGAGCTTGTCACACCAAAAGGTCAAGAAGATAGAGCAAAGAATGGAGGTTCTGTGAAAGACTCACCTCGTAAAGATTAGATTTCATTTTTTAACGGTTGTCCCTATATTTGGAACTCGTTGGAGATACTCATTCATTGGGAGGATACTTGTAGGAAAAAATAAATGAGTTGTTTTAAATAAAATAAAAACTTACTCTAGTTAAAGATCACATACAGAAAATAGAATTACTCTATCAAGCATCTGATGTGATCGAATACTTGTACGATGATAAACACTTCAGCTAAGCTTTCCCTATTTTGAGGGAAAGTTTATATGAAATCACACAACTGACATTAGTCACATAGTGATTTATACTAAGCGTTTTTCAAATGATAATTTTTGTCATTCAATATTTTTATTCATAAATACAATACATAAAGCATTTTAGTCTTCTGGATGTAGAAAATAGTATTATTTGTCTGAAAGATGGAGTTACGGATTTTTGAGTTATTTATTTTCAATATTATTCTATAAAATTAAAGAACCAAAAGTGTTGAGAGTTATTAGGTATAAAAGAACAAAAACCAAATGCTTTTAGCATATGCTCTAAGTTTCTAATTGAATAATGTTGATGTTCCTGAAATTTGGAACACGTTTTATAATCCAATTAAGAAATGTATTTCAAATAAATTGATTAATTAGTATTTTATTGAATTATAATGTCTCAACCCGAAAATAAGTAACCGAAACCATTGAAGGAAGTCTTGGGATTAAAATATGTCTTCGGTTTTAGAGGTGACATCAAAAACTCAATTCTCTAAGGGACATAGACAAATGTGTAGGAGAAATCAACTAAAACTAAATTCATATACCCTGCAGCAAATAATATAGTGATTTTTGATCCCATAGCTGATAAGAATAAGTCTTAGGAAATTATTCAAACAGTACTAGGGAGCAAGGGTGTTACATGTTTAACTATTTCATAATCCAGGAGGTAGATTCAAAATGTAATTTAGGTATATTGCATGGTCAGAGGAAAGTGATGCAGGAATAATAGTAATATTGGACTTAAACACTCGAAAAACTAAAATATTGAGTACAACAGATTGCAAATCTCGTTATTATGTGAGTCTTGATTTTTCAAGGACAGAAGAATCAAAATATTTAGTAGCATTGAGTGCCCCTCCAGAATAAATGCTGATACATTGGGCATGGGACAAATCAAAGTGTCTAGGAAGCACAATAATAAATGCAAAAGGGGATTCCATCAAATTCCATTAAGTGTTTTATCATCCAAAAGAAGATGATTTTGTATGTGTAATGGGTAATGGAGCTATCAAACCTTACAAATTGATACCAGACAATCCTCCAAAACCAAAAGATTCTCCTTTTCAAAAGAAGAAGGAAGTAAGCATTTTACATTATTTTATTAGGAAACCCATTCTACTAACTTCCTTTCTTATTGTATCTTAGGTGATTCTAAGACAATGGTAGTAGGAACAGATAGAGGAGAGGTGTTGTATTTTAATGAGAATTGCGAATTCAAATTAGTACTTTCACCACTTTAAAATTCGAATTAACAATCAATTGAGGGATTTCCAATAGAATGCATAGTCAAATATTCAAATGGGTTTATTGTTGGAGGAAGTGATTGCATGATCTACATTTATAGAAAACACGAAGGTGATCTTAAAAATCCATATGTTCGAATTGATAAAAGAATATAAAACAAACAAATAATAGCCAAAATCACAAGTTTATGTCTGACAAATCAAGAAGATAATCTAATCTTTGGAGTTGAATCTGGTTAAGTGTTCAGCATTCCTTTTAGTGCAGATAGAGAAGTAGCAAATGAAGATGAAATAAAATTTGATCATTTAATAGCACCTTTCCACAGTGGACCAATTACAGGCTTGGATGTTTGTACTAGAAAGTCATTGGTAGTTACTGTCTCAGATGATCGAAGCATTAGAATATGGAATTTCAATGAATTGATATTGGAGGTCATGAAGGAATGCGAGGATACACCTTTGGCTGTGGCTATTCATCCTTCTGGATTTCATTTGATTGTTTCCTTTTCTGATAAAATCGTACTTTACAATCTATTTGAAAAAGATTTAAATTCATTTAAAGAAATTCATATCAAGAATTGCTAATAAATTAAATTTGCCCATGGAGGTCATTTATTTGCAGTCGCCAATCAGAACTTAGTTTAAATCTATCAATTCTACACAGGTGAGAATCCATAGAATTACATATTCAAATAATCCACAGGAAACATCTCCACTATTGAATGGGATATTGATGATTTAGGATTCTATACTGGAAGTGACAATGGTTTTGTACTCTACTGGAGATTGGAGGATAATTAAAATAAACTATAATTGGCTATGATTCAATCTCAACCTATTGAATGCATTTGTACTCCTAAAACATATGCCAATATTGAACTTTAAAAAGTGTATATAGCAGGTCCATATGATGGATAATACTGTATCTACGAATCTCAACATCATACCAAGATCCACAAGGAAGCAACTGAAGGTACAAAGAAGGAAATTCCTCTCTATCCTATTCAAACTGGATGTAGAGTAAGCAAAATGGCAATTTTTAATAGTGAAAAGATCATGTTGTTCGCTACTTGTTAATTGGCTAACTCATCTGAATTCACTCAAAAGTAGAACATTAAAAACATGAAATTTGAACCAGGGGGTCTCAGATTTGCCAAATATCCTCTTGCACCGGAGGAAATCATAGAAATATAACCACATATTAAAGGAATTACATAGATGAAAGTATCATATGATGATTCCTATGTCTTTACTGCTTCTTATGATAATTCCTTGATTATTTATGATGTTAAAGATTAGAGTTCCAAAATAGAGTTCAAAGATGGAGGATAGGCTTATGGTGTTTAGGCTTACGCTGATGAATTCTTGATGCAAAGGGATTAGTATAAAAAGAAGATTGCTAAGATAGAGGACTTAAAATAAAAAATTAAAGAACATGATATCAATTAAAAGATTAAGTAGAATATGTACACAAAAGAGAAGGATGAATTGATTAGAAAATTGGAAGAATAAATTGATTAATTGGAAAAAAGAGAAAAAGCCAAAATACAAGAATTAGAGAATGATATCAATAAATTAGATAGTGATTTCAAAGAAGAAAAGAAATAATTATATGAAAATCATGAAAAGAATAAAAAAACTACTGAAAATGATTTCAAATAGAAAATGGCATTGGAATCACAAAGATTGGAGGAATTAACTAAAGAGAAACAACTGAAACTTTAGGAATTCCAAAGGTATATTAAGGAATAAAAGGATAAGAGCACAGAAACTAAAAATGAGAAGAAAAGAGAATATGAAAAATAATTAAAAAAAGAACAAGAATTGTATGAATAATTATAAAAGGATAAGGAGGAAAATCAAAGAAGATTCATAGAAGAGAGAAATAAGTTAGAAGATGATGCAGAGAAGGAAATAGATAAAAAGAAAGAGATTAATGAGGCTGAAATGAAGAAACTATCAGATGAATTGGATAAGGCTGAATTGGAAAAGAGAACTAAGAAAACTGAATTTGATAATGTGCAATCTACTTTAGAATAGGCTAATTCCAAAGTCAAGGAAATTATGGAAGATATTGCATAAAATCAAGAATTAAATAGGTAATATCAAAAGGAGAAGGAGAGTCATGACAAGGAAATAAAAGAAAGAGATAAAACAATATAGGATAAATAGAAGCGTATTTATGAATTAAAGAAAAAAACATAAGAACTTGAAAAGTTTAAATTTGTGTTGGATTACAAAATTAAAGAATTAAAAAGAGACATTGGACCAAGAGAGGAGGAGATTACAAAAATGAAAGAATAAATCACCAATATGAATACGGAAATATTGCATTTCAAAAAAGTTAATGCAAATCTTGGATTGATTGTAACTGACTTAAACTTGAGATAAGCAGGTATGAAACAAGAAATAGAAAATCAATAGCAAGTAATAGAAAGCAATTCTTAATATATCAAGGCATTTGAATATGATATTTCAGAAACTCATCCACATTTAAATGTAATATTATTATTAATCATTTAGGATTTTAAGAGACTAAAGTCCGATATGCTTAAGTTGTTTAATAAATATGTCTAAAGTGTTGTTTCAAAGAAGAAATTCGAGAATGTAGATGTCTAAAAGGAGTTCATTAAAGAGAGAGCTCATTTAGAAACTACCAATAAAGGATTGAAGGAGAAGTTTTCCAAGAAATTGAGAGTTCATAAATAAGATAACAATAGAATTATGAGTTAAAATGTAGATCTCATTAGTGAGATTAATGATTTGAGGAGGGAGATTAAATTGTTGCAAGACGAAGAGGATTTGAAAAGTCGTTAAATTGAATAAATGAATGACCAACCCGAAGAGAGGGAACTTGATTAAATGATTGAGGAATAAGAAATTGAAATAAATCAATATAGAGAGAAATTACAATTCCTTAAAGAGGCAGTTCAATAGAGAAGATTATAGTAGAATATTAACTCTGATAGTGATCATTAAGAAAATGAATAAGAGTGAAGAATTATATTTAGATATAAAATTGTAATTAATTACAAGCTAATAAGAATTTTACATAAATTAATATTATGATTATTTTCAAAGGTCTGAATTTCTTACGTTTTTCAAAAGAAGCATTTAAATAAATACATGATAGAAAGTATATCTATGGCTTTTGGTATTTGAAATCAAAGTATTTCAACTATATCATTATTTTCCAGAAACACTCAGCCTATTAATAATATAGAAATATAAATAAAAAACTGATTTTATGAGTAACTTTATATAAAAGAAACACTTGATTATTATTATGAAGTGTCTAAGGGTAGAATGGATAGAAGAATTCATGATTTCCATATGGTGATTGATAAGTATGAATATATAGAATGATTTGCATATTTTGATTCAGGCAATGATTATTAGATAATTGAAAGATATTTAAAAGGAGGTTAAATAGAGGTAGCGTTAGATTTAAAAATTATATTTTGAAACAATATCAGGAACTTTGAATTTAACATGTGTTAAGGATTTCTGATGATCATAAAATTGATAGCGTTCGGAGTTGATTTGAGAATCCTAACTCTTGTTTTCAAGAAAGGATAATGCGATAAATTTAGTTCATCATCATGAGGAACATGGATTACATATGGTAACGAGTAAAAAACTCCAATGATTATGAAGTATTAAAACAAGAAGGGTAAAAGTTTATAGACTTCTATTGAAATACTTTTAGAAATAGACTTATTTCATAAGCATTTGGTGTTATACTTCACAAAGGAATACGGAGCAACTACTTTGGGTGCAACTATAAATATGAGACTTGATCTTTATCCTGTAATCTATATTCTGTGCAGGTACTGAAAATTTGAGAACTCCTTTATGTAAGGTATTGAATTACTCAAAAAGCTGATATAGTGTTATGTCTAAAAAGGTTGAAACTATTGGAGAACATCTTTTATTATTGATACATATTATGGTTGGCATATAGGAGAGGCTGGAGTAATTATCTTTATCCTATAAAGGCTTAATTAATAAATGAGGAGCGAGAAGATGTATGACATTTCTGGATTATTATGTTGGCATTGTTATTAGGGAGGGAAATACGATGTAGAGTCTTACTTAAGATATCGATGAGAAGAACAGGATTTAGAAATAATGAAAAAAATTTTTTTTATTTCTTTTAACTTAAATTAAATGAAAGTTTCATTGTAAGATTTTGGTTTTCATCAACCAAATGCTCCAGAAATCAATACACCACGGTCTCTTGAGGCTTGTAGAAGAGAAGGAATATAACCAAGCGAAATAGTTAAGATTCCGTTTGAGGAATTTCAAAAGAGATACAAAATGAAAAATCTAGATCACAAGGGAATAGAACAATTTTACAAGCATTATGAGGAGAGAAGAGAAAAGAAATTCGAAGAACTCATTAAATAGAGACATATTGTTCTTGAAGATGAAAAAACTGGTAAATCATATTATTCTTACCTCAAGGGACATGGAGTTCTGAAGGATTATCTAAAAGTAAAGTGATATCAAAATATGGTTAATAAGAAACATCCTCTTTGGTTGAGAAGGAAAAGCAATAATTGGAGAAAATGAAAAAGAAGCAGCAAAAAGAAATAGAAGGTATGCTTGAATATGAATTGAAAATGCAAGAAATAAGATTAGAAAATGAAAAGAAGTAGGCTGAAGAAATAGCCAAATAATAGCAAAGAGATCTTGAATTGCAACGGAAAAGAGCTGAACAAGAGGAATAAAGAAAATAAAAGGAATTGGAGAAATAATAAAAGAGAGAGTAGGAAGAAGAGTTACAAAGGTAAAAATTAAAGGAAATGGAATTGAAAGAAAAGGAACGACTTAAATTAGAAGAGCTGAAATAAAAAGAAAGAGAAGAGGAAGCAAAGAAAAAAGATGAAGAACGAAAAGCTATTTAAGAAAAATTAAGGAAATAAAATGAGGAAAATTAACGAATTTAATCAGAATTATTAGAAAAGAGAAAATAGGAAATGGAACTCAAAGCAGAATAAAGAAGAAAAGCATTAGAAGAATAAAAATTAAAAAAGAAACAAGAAGCAGAATTAGCAAGATTATAAAATGAAGAAAGAATTTAATAAGCAAAATAAAGGAATGAAGCTGAACTTTAAAAATTAAAAGAAGTATATTTAATATCTAGATATAGGATTTTGAAAGAAAGATAAAATTAAGCGAAGTGAAATAAAAATAATATGAAGAAGAAAAAAGAAGGAAATTTGAACAGTAAAGAAAGGAGGCTGAAAAGCATTCTGAATTATTTTAAAAGGTTATTGAGTAAAATAATCAATTGGAATAAGAAAAGAAGAATTTATATTTGAAGAAAATATAAGAAGTAGAAGAAAGAAGAAAATATATTGAAGAAGAATTAGAAAAAGAAAAAGAATTAAAAAAATAACTTGAAAAAGAAAAAGAGTAATAAAGAAAATAAGTGTTATTATTAAATGAAGAAAACAATAAATAGAAAATAGAAGAATTGGTTAAGAAGATAAATGAAAAAGAAGAAATATTGTAAAAAATACAAGAAGAAAGGAATGAGTAACTTTAAGACAGAAAAACTATGGATATGTTGAAGCGTTTTGATAAAAGGGAGAATGTAGAAAGAATTATGAGAAAATAAGAGTATGATAAATAAAAATTATAAGAAAAAATTGTAGAAAAAATGCAAAGAGCAGATAAGTTATCAGAGGATCTTGATCAACTACTATCTTAAAGACATAATCTTAGAAGAGAAATTGAAAAATAGAAAAGAGAAATCATGATCAAATTTGAAAAGGTTAGAGAAGGCAAACTACCACCTTCTGAAATTTAGAAACAATTAGGTATGACTGAGCCAGATGCCAAATTTTCTAATTAAACTAATCCTTATCGTACTTTCTCATCCACTAGACCTAAAACAAATTAAGCAAAAGAAAGGCCTGATAAGGTACAATCTGTTAGACCAAATAAGATTTAATCTGCTAAGCCTGAATAAAGTAAAGTTTAAGAGAAATTAGATATTAAACAAACTTTACCTATTTTTGAGTAGTAAGGTATTTTAATCTATCAAATTTAGCTCATAAGACTACTCCTAAATTCCATAAAAAAATTGATGCTAAGAAGAAATCGGAACCTGTTAGAGCAGAACCTCCTAGTCCTTAAATTCTTATTTAATTAAATAAAATGGTTTAAAAGCATAATTAAGATATGATGAGATTATTAATGGAAGAACATGCAAATGAAAATTTAAGAGATGAAAAACTAAATTAAGCCAAAGGAGAAGAAAAAGCTAAACTTGAAAAAGATTATGCTTTAGAAAGAGTAAAAGCATAACTTAAAATCGAAAAACTGAAATCAAATTAGGAAGAAGAATAAAAAAAATATAAATATACTCATAACATTTTTGAAAATGATATTATTAAGTGAATTAACTTGTTTTATATTCTAAATTTATATCTTTATGCTATTTTATTTAACTTACATTAGTTGGTACTTATAAGAAGGAAAGTTCATAGTAAAAGTAATATTTGATTATAGCATAATTATATCTGCTTTGTCATTTCTGATTGTTACAAATACATCCATTTTTAGTCACAAGCAAAGAAAACTCTAGTTAGGGTATGATGATGAATATTTACATTTAAATGTCTTTTTGAACTCACTTATTTGAGTGAAATAATATATTCTAAAAGAATAATTAATAAACTTTATTAAAATTTTTAAGACGGAAAATGCCTCAGGTAAGATTATTTTTTTGGATTTTAATATATAAATATGCAATTTTAAATTATAATATTAAAAATTATATAAATAAAATTAATATAAATGAATAAATTGTAAATAATGAATTTTGATTTTAGTTTTGTAAATATTCTCTAGAATGAACTTTAAATTTGGCAATTTTACAATACAAAAAAGATATGAATTGAAAACGATTCTAATAGAATTAATTTATATATAAGTTTACTTAAAACAAATAATATCAAATCATATTTGGTTGTTCAAAGATTAAAAACTTAAAGTCATCAATATCTTATGATTTTTTTTATTCATTAGCTATGACTTTCCTTATCATTTTCTTTTTCTTTTGATGTAGCAAGTTAATTTTCTCTTCAATTGTATTTGCACACAGAAATCTAATCACGTTGACTTACTTCTTTTATCCAATTCGATCAGCCCTTCCGATAGCTTGATCTTCAATGGCCGGCTAATAATAATATTAAATGAAATACATTCCACCATGGATCCACTAAGAACACATGATTAGCCATAGTTAAATTCAACCCTGTTGATGTAGCCCTCAAAGATAATATTAAAGCAGTGATGGAAGGATGTTGTTCAAATGATTGAATAACTTTGTTTCTTTGTTCTACAGACATAGCACCTGTAACTACTTAACACCATATCTGTTCTTCTTGGAATTTTTCTTCAAGTAATCTAATCATTTATATCCATTAGGTGAAGATTAGACACTTTTCTCTTTTAAGTTGTACTTTTTTAGTTTCATTAACAACTGCAAGTATTTTACTACTAGGCCCCCACTTTGTTTCCTTGATTTCTTAAACTTCTATAGAGTTGCTCTGGACACTCATAATGTCTTTCAAGCTTAATCTTTTAGAACAAGTTGGACATTCTCCAATGGTTTCTATAACTTCTTTGAAACAACTAAAAATTAATAGGTTATAATACTTATGACAATAGACATGGCCACAAATAGAGATATCAAAAGTAGTAATTCCATCTTCAGAACAGAGAGTACAATCATTTAAGTTACCTCTTTATATTAGATCGATCAATTATTATCTCTGCTTCTCTGATATCTCTTGGTCTCCTGACTTTTACTTAGCAAAAAAGTTTTCTATACAATATTTAATTTCATCTATGGAATTGGTATCTAAATTAATTCCCTTTAGAGCAATAGAAGGATGATCACAGGTCATTCTTAATTTATTAATGATCTGAAAGATGTGAACAAACTATCTGCTCTTTTCAGAATTCAAATAGACTTTGAATAATTATTAAGTTCCCTCAAAGAATTTATCATAAAGGGCTCTTTCCTTATGCTCTAATTTAACCCAACAGATTGATTCATTTATTAGTAATTAACTTTGATTACTCAATTACTATTTGGTTCTTCTGAGAATGATTGGTTTGATTATCTCTCCCAGAATGCATTGCTATTCTTCCTCATTTTCCTCCTTGTTGATATATGCATTCCACCAATAACTATGTTTATAAATAAATATTATACTATTCACCAAAGGTTTCGACTCTTAAAAATGATAATAAACTGAATAAATCGTCATGTTTGTTCTAGATTGGAGTACCAGTCAGACACCATCGGCATTCACTCTTTAATGCCATAGCACTTCTAGTTTATAGTGTACTTTTGGTTTTGATATTATGAGCTTCATCTAAAATAACTCTATAATAAGTATAGTCAAATAGATTAGTGACTTTTCCTACATTATTTTTCTTTGGTTTAGTTCCGCATTCATAATCATTTTAACTTATTTCGATTGGTTCTCCAAAGTATTAGGACTTTTCAGTTTTATTTGATTTTAAGTCAAAGATTGATTTGAATTCTTCACTTTGATCATTATTTTAACAGAAATCTTAGGAATCTAATTCAATTTCAAAACTATCATTTAAGATTTATGTATCATTACTAATTTTAGATTCTTTAGACTCTTTATATTCTTTATATTCCTTAGATTCATTATCAGGTTTATTCCTTACTCTCTATTGTATTTCATTGTCTTCTAATCCATTCTCTTTAAGCCAATTAGAATAATTCTAAGCCAATACTGTGTATGTTGTCAAAATAACATCATAATTAGAAAAAACGACTTTCTTATTTCTATTTGAGATCTTATAGAATATCAAAACTTGAAGACTATTAGGTAAAGAATGCTTTTTAATTTCAGCCTCCCATTATAATAAAACTGATTTTGGAACAATGATTAATGTAACTCTTCCTTTTTTTTAAGTTTACAAAATCAAAGCCAAGGTCATAATAGTTTTTCCTAATCCCATTTCATCTGCAAGGATTCCTCCTTTTGTAGTATTATAAGATTGAAATTCATCTGTTATTTTACCAGTAAATGTATTCATATACAATTTTTTGCCATTCTCTAACAGAACTTCCTCCCATAACGGAGACAATTGCCATTAACCTTTTTCTTTAGTTTCTTAATTTTTTGGATTGGGTATTATGCCTTCTCTCCATAACATCCAAGTCAATGCTTATTTCTAATGTTATTTTAATTCACAAGCCATAGTTTTAGGTTTAGGATGTTCATATAATTCTTAATCTTTACTATTTAAGAATGAATTAATTTCATTCTCATTGATTTCTTCAGACAATTTTAATTTACCTGTACAAAAATCTATCATCATTTAAACTTGTTCTCTTCTGTTGATGTCTAACTATTTTAATTTTTGCTAATATTTTAAACAATCACATAAATTCCCTGAAGAAATCTATAATTCAAAGTATTCTTTGTCTTTCTTATGGGTTATCCCTCCCACAATAACCTAGATGAATGGATTTTAAACCTCTTTATATAAGGATGAATTCTCAGCATTTAGTGATAGAAATGTCTTTACACTCAATTATTCAATATTATCAACCTTATATCTCAACTCATTAAGCTTATCAATACTCGGTTGATGAGTATGAAATCCCTAACATAATGATTGATAAGTGCAACTCAGTTTGAGGAACAACAACTCAAAACAATACTTCTAATAGTTCTGCTATTTGTGTTCAGGTACATGTTTGGTAGATGTGGATATAAACTTCTATATTTCAAGCAATAGAGTATTCATGTACTTTTTAAAGTAAACATTTTAGTAAATCAGTACTTCCTATTGGATCGGAGTGAATTAGGATTCTTCATTAGTGTAATATTTATTTTTTGATAAAAACAAGCAGGAACTCTTAAAATCCTTTAGAGAATATAATTTATTGGAAAATGCTGAATTTTACAATGAATTCCTATAGTACTCATTATTTGTAATGATTACTCTTGCAAAATCTTTAAAAGTTAGATCAAGTCTGAGAGGTTATCCCATTTGAAGGGAATGAAATTTCTCCAATTGAGTAAAAAATATCTTAACGTACTTGTCTGATTTGATCATTGCTGGTATTGTTCTTTAGAGATTTAGCAAATCGAATAGGAGTAGAAGGGATAAGCGAGCGAAGTATTGCAAGTCTACATTGAGATCCTCCTCTGATTCTGCATATGAAAATCTTTCTCTACTCACAAAGCCGTCTTAGAATGCTTTTTGATTGAATTTAGATAGATCAAATTAATCGTTTAGAGCATTCTACTTCAAATAGACATCCAATCTAATTTATCTTAAATTGTCTGGATATTTGAAATTCACTTATCTTGCAATTACCTTAACATAATCTACTGTCAATAAAAACCACCAGATTTCATCATAACAATGAGAAATTCTTCCGTGAATTTATAATGGTTTGTAGTGAACCTGTTTACCAATCTTCTTTTATTTCAGAACCAAATTTGATTGTTTGAAATACTTGGTTTTAGTTACAATGTATGTTGATATATTTTCATTTTTTAATGAGCCAATAGGAGTACTGAAATCAATCAATTGAGGACAAAGAAATGCTTTGTCATTAGGATCTAATTCAATAAAGGAATTAGGTTCATAAAAGTATGGTGCTAGTAAACTTCCTAAATAATACTTGGATTCTTTCTTCATCTATTAATAAAATTTAAGGAGGGTAACGTGAATTGTTTAGTATAAACATCATAATCCTGTTATTTTTTTTCTGTTTTACACTAAAATAAAATATCAACTATAATCGTAAGCTCTAAATTAAGTAATTTAAATTAAAATAATATTAATATTAATCATTCTGGTTCTTCTTCTTCAGATTCTTCTTCAATTAATCCAATATCGTCTAAGCTTGTTATAAATGATTGATACAATTAGGTTGGGATTGAGTAATGAGTGGTCCATCTGTCATTTCATCAAAAACCAATTCAAATTTGTTGTCAAGATAATTTTCACAAATAATCTTTTTGGGATTATAGAAGTTTGGAGGTGGAAAGATTGGATCCAATGCAATTCTTTAATTATGTATGATAAATACTTGAAGGCATTGTCCAGCATCTATGGTATCAATTTAGATAGTAAAGGACAGCAAATTTCAATTGAAGGATTTGTATTAGCCTCGATCATTTTAACGTTGAAAGTATCATCAATCATAAAATCTAATCCAAATATTTCAAAAGTATTCTCCCTCTTATTCTAATCTATTTTACCATAAACTGCCTTAAATTATTCAGTTGCCATTTACTAGATAAGTTATAAGTGAGATATAAATACCTTCATTTTTGCATAGATCTTATTAAAATCACCTCCGAGATTCTCAACATAAACCGAAAATTCTTCAAAACTAACTTTATTACCTTTCTCATATTTCCCATAATCTTCTCCTTTTTTCTATACTGCATCATTGGTTAAATGAACCATTTTATTAGTAAGATTTTTCATTGTGAATTCTTTACTGGAAGTTCTGACATATCCCTCAGTGTACCAGTAACCTTTTTAATTTCCATTGATTGATACATACATACTATAGCATCTTATATCGAATTTGCGTTTATTATAAAGCAAGGGTCTATCAATATATAGTTGCACAATAAATGTTTTATAGCTTCCATTCTTATGCATTTCTCTTGAGTTTAAAATAGATTGAATTTCGTTGATGTCTTCAGATACCTTGATCCCATTTCCTCTGTTTGTGATTTCCCCAGGCTTTATAATCCAAATATTTCTGCGTTTGTTCTTTTCATCAGTTTCCTAATTAATCATTTATTATCTTTCTTTATAAGCCTCCATAAATTGATGATATTCTGGACCATCCAGACTTTTGATATGATAAGTGACAGGTAGATTTTCAAACACATTCAAATTTTATGATTCATAATATGCCTTCATATTATAAAATAAAGCTTTCTTATTTCCTAAATGAAAATTGTTCTCTAAGTGATTATGTGCTTTAACAGGTTCATTATATACAGAGAGTTTAGGTTTTACTGCTTGAGCCTACTCCAAAGTTAATAATTTTGATTATCGACCTTATCCATTAAGAATTGTACTAAATTATCTTAATTCTGCATTTACAAGGAACTTACTCCATTAACTATTAATTTTTTGTATTGCATCAACTTTTATCAATTCACTTTCACTCTGTTCATCCTACTTCGAGAAGCCCAAACTAACAGAACCTATTGTTGTTAGAGATGATGAGGCACTTTGACAACTCATCGATTCATTTGGATTTCGATTTAAAGCCTTCATATTTTCATGTATTGAGTTCACTTTCAATTGAGTCCAAACAAAATGAGAAGACTCTTGCTCATCCTAAATACTCCACCACCATCTAGTTTTTAAAATCTATCTTACTAACATTCCATTATTACCTTTTCCAACATATGCTTTGTAAATATTTTAATTTGGTTAAACGAAAAGACAATTAGATAAATTCATTACATTGAAATAGTGTCTCATAGAGGCATATCTTTCTTAAAATATCAAATCCTACGGGTATTTTGGATCAAAATAATAGATTCCATCAAATTTCTTTAATTTTTTCTTTTTAATACTTGGTAATTAAGTTGTTGTTGAATTTGCATTCGCCACTTACATTACATTTGGTACATTTCCCATGGGCTCAATTTTTATATTCCTTGAAGTTTTCATGAATTATGAATTTTTTCTAACTTACTTTGCTGTTCTGACTGTTTCAGTTTCAATTTGAGTAGAGTGCTTTTCCATTTGCAATCTAATTTTTTAAACTATTTCTTTTTCTAATTTGTTATCCATTGAGTTATTCAAAAAGGAATCCTAAAATTTATTTCTTTCTACCATAAATAATTGATAGTACAGATAATGTGAATTGGCTTAGATGAAATGTTCAAAGTGGATATGCCATCTGTCTATGGGAATATTTACATGAACCTCCCTTATTAATATTTTAAATGATTGGATTTCTTTGATTTTGGAGAGTTTACTTAGTTTTTTGCTATAAGTTTTAATTACAAATCCTTACGTTTCTTCTTCTTCAGATGCTATATTTATTTAAGAACATGAATATTATTATTGATTTTCTCTATTTTAGGTAAAATTTATTAAGCTGGGCTTTCAGATCTCTCCAATTGATCATATTTATATTATGTAAAAAGTTTTGGACTAAAATCCTTCTTTTTTATAACTGCTTTTATAGAATCCTTTATTAGTTCCTACACTCCTGGCGATTTCAATAGTTGTTCCATTGAACGATGCTTTGATGGAGTCAAGAATTCAGTTGTCGACGACTACTATTATTTAAGTGTCGCCTAATTGATCATTTGACATATGCTGAAGTTCAAATTAGGCATAGAGAATTGCTCTGTTTTATCTTAGATTAACAAATTCATAATAATTATTATTATGTAAATAAAATCTAAAATGTGCTTTCCCCATACTTCATTCTCAAACTGAATTTTGCACTTCTAGTTATATTTCTATAATGTAAACTTAAATATTTTAATCTACAGGTAAATGAGAATTGTAACTTTTATGACTTTATATTATTTGATATTTTTAATATGAGATATAAATAATATAAAATTAGTTTATATTAAATTTCTAACTCATTTTTAATACAATAAGACTATCAATTTATTGATTGAATAAAATATGAATTAAACAAGTAATTTAATAATATGAAAATAAAAGCTTTATTAGTTTGTAATTTATAAGAATAATAATCTGAAAGAAGAAATCAACAACTTTTGCATATTAAATTTAGATTTCTTAAATCTAAACTATATTCTTGGATCATTTTTATTTAAGTAGCGAACTATATGATTGATTATAAAAAGAATATACCTTATTTAACTAAAGAATGAATTTGAATTACTATTTATAAAAGGTTCTTTTCATTTAATGACCCAAAAGGTAATTAAAATTTCTAGTTTTCTAGAAAACATACTATGCTACTAAACGTATATCCAGCCATTAGAAGTTTAAGTTAACTAAACATACATTCATGTCAAATAATATTGTATTTTGAAATTTATGCAATTTATCATACAACATAGTGACATTATCATTAAGGACTAATAATTAAACAGATCCATGTTATGTCAACTCTTCAGTTGATGATATAATGATTTATTATAAATAATGAAAATTAATTTATGAAACAATTATTGAAACCTTCGATAAATTTTGATTTCAACGACGCCATATTTGAAAATATTCCTCCATAAGCTTAGAAAACAGGTGCATAATCAAAGAATTCTTAGCTAAATCATTAATAGGGAAAAGATGATGATAAGAAAAATTAGAAAAGCATTGTCAGACCATGGAGTTCTTAGAGATAGATGACGGATTAAGGTCAAAGGGAATAGAGTTAGTAGCTTATTGGATTGAATTCTAAACAATATACACAGAAACAACTCCTTCCTTAAAATACTTCTGCTAAATCTGTGAAATTTGATAAAAATCAAGGATTTGCAACAGCAGCTCCGAGCATTCAATCGAATTGCTATTTTCCTTAATAACAGCAAACCATTCTTAAAAAATCTGGAAACCATTCATAATAATAAATTACAAAATAACAGATGGATATTCCAAATAACAATAATTTAAAGTAATAAAACCAGGACTTTATTAAAAATGCAGGTATTTTTGATTGGGATGAAGCTGATTTAGATAATTAGTTCATTATTAATAATAAAAAATATGAATCTATTGAAAAATAGAATTTAGAAAGGTTTCTATCAAGGTAATAAAAGTCTGATGTCATTTAAACTTCCATCAAGTAAAACCAAATTATATTAAAACAACAACAGAAGGAGATCTAATAAAAACTCGATAATATTGAATAATTAAGGATGAATGAAATTCTATAAAACAATTTAGTTATATCATAATCCTTTTTGAATAAGATTGAATAATAAGAGGAGGATCCCAAAAAAGAAGTGTAAATTTAATAGAAGATCAAAAATAATGAAAAAGATAATAATTATGAATTGGAATATGAACAAGAAAATTTTGAAATGGATGAAGACAATAAAGTAGAAGATAAATAAAATGAAATTCCTAAAGTCTAGAAACAACTATAAGAGAATTAATCGAAATAATCTGAAATTAAATTAGATAAAGTTTAAGAGAGTAGTAAAAAAGTTAAGTCAAATGAAAGTTTATTAAAGGCATCCAAAACTAAAAAATAAGTAGTTTATAAAGCTAAAAATGCAAAGGAACGAAAGTAAGAATTAAATAACATGAGAAATGATCTAGAGAAGTATTTGCTGTAAAATAACCAAACCATTTCTAAAATGTTTCAAGATTTACAAGATACTAAAGAGAAGGAGAAAATTATGATTGAGGTCAATACTAAAAGATAAGAAGAATTGTCTTAGGCAAAACTCACATTAAAGTAACTGTAAGAAAAATTTAGTCGATAATAACAGATTATTGAGGTAATAATAAAATCAATATATTTAAGGATTTAAATAATAAAGAGCAGCATGCAAACTAAATAATTCAAAAGTTGACTGAGAACAAGCAAAAGTATAACAATTAGTGGGAGCTTTAAGTGGAGAAATATATGGCTTGTAAAGTTATTGCTAGATTTTTGAAAGGAAGAAAAGATAGAAAATTATTTAAAGAATTTAGAAGACAAAGCTTTATTAATAGATTAAAATAATGATTATAAATTTAATTAAAAATGTCATAATTTATCGAATACTTTTTCAAGTAATGTTTATTAATCTATTTACAAATGACATCTGCTTTCAGATGTTTTAATGACCAAATTGAGTATTTCAAATTTATTTGATATGGCAGATCATCAAAAAATCGAATAATTAAAGCAAAATTATAGGCTCGTACTGTTAATAAGGTTCTTATTAGAAAATTTATTAATCTTTAAACAGCCCCTCTTAATTTAAACGTTCATAACTCACCTAGTTAATTACAATAATTTAATACCAATCTATTCATCATATTGAGATAGTATGCATTAGAAAAAAACTAAAAGTTTGCTTGAACAAACTATTTTGATCAAAATCTATTATATTTTGATGATCTATAAGATAACTAATCTATATATATAGTATATAAAGAGTAATAAAATAAAAGTATAATAATTAAATCATATTTAATGAATAACAATTTAGAATAGTCTAAAAACCATTATTAATTTTAATAAAAATATTAATGATAAATAGGTTGTAAGTTGGATACTTATTAATTGGATTTACAGCAGGATTTTATTTTGCAATAAACTTAGATCAAGCATATTACTTCTCGTTGCATCATAAGCTGTTCTTGCCTTTAAGAGATGAATATTATAAAACTGATAGAACAATTTCAACATTATTTAATACTTTCAAACAGGGGATCAAGAATGCTTATGATGATATTTGAGTTAATATAAATATTAATGAATTTAAATTATATTGAAAACTATTGTTAAGCTTTAGAAGTCCCATCATAATAATAAAAGCCATAGAGTATACATCATTCAAATAGAGAATACACTTTTGCTTCATCTGGTTAAAATTAAGTAGTTAACATGAACAAAAAGTAATCGCAACAAGATTCAAATTTTATTAATAAATATCACAATAGTGGCCTGCCTCCCAATAATTACACTAAGAAGAAATCCCCCAGTCAACCTACTTCATATTGGAATAAATTGAAGTAATAATATGTTCCATTACAATCAACTCAATCGACGCATCATAGTAATCATAATCAATCAGTAGAAAGTGATCACTAGAGTTATGAATAATTGGTGATTTACAATAACTTATTGAAGTTGGAGTTGGAAAAACATTTGTTTAATTGTGGAGTTTTTGTTATCAAATAAAATAATGGAAACTGCGTTGACTTTTACATGGAATTAAAAAAACAGAAAGAACAATATGAAAAATAGATCTAAGATTTGTAGGGAATTATTTAGAGCTATAATGCCAATCTTAATGAATAAATTGACTTTTCTGAATATTAACGATAGAATCAAGAATTAAGTGCAACAATACAACAAGCAATTTCAAAACTCACACTAGCCAACTAAAGTATCAATTAGTTAGAGCAAGAAAAAGAATCATTGTTAGATTATGTTGACAAGTAGAAAGATATTGCTGAACAATTAAAGTAATAAAATGACCACTAAGATGCTAAATAAAAAGAGATGAAAGTAATGATATTACAATTGTAAAAATAAATTGAATAATACAACCTTGAAGTGATGGAGAAAGAGGACTTCATCAAAGAAATAAGTGAGATGTAAAATAAGAGCAAAAGTCTATTGTAGGATGAAATTATGACATATCAATAATAGATTACTACACTTTAACGATAATTATAAGATTATGAATAATAAAATAAGGATTTGAGTAGAAAATTTAATGATAGTGCATCTTAAATACAAATGGTAATTAGACAGTCTGATGATAAGCAAAGTTAACTTCAATTTACACAGATTTAAGATAATCATAGTGTTTGTGAGTTTGATAGCAATTTAAAATCATCAAGAAATACCAACCTCATTCAGAAGTAATAATAGGGTTTAGATTAGATGATTCGAATCAATAAATAAACTCTCTAAGATTTTTAGTAGTAATTGATGTTGCATCAGAAATTAGGGGAGTATCAAGAGAAATAAAGTAATTAATTATAGCAGATTGAATCATATAGTAAATAACTAATAACAATCACATAATAGAACTAAGCACTACTCTAATAAAACTCCTGTCTTATAGAGAAGGAAGTTCATCTGAATCAGCAAGTTTAAGAATTAAGTTAAAATCTTGATAAACTTTAATAGGAAAGACAAGAATATACTGAATAAATGGAATTATTGCAGTAGTAAATCATTGATTAAAATGAAATCAACTAAGATTTAAATGATTAATATTTGAGATAAACAAATCAGTTGCAAAATATAATTCAAATTGAATAAAAATATAACACATTATAACTTAGGGTTTAAGTAGATGTGGAATACTATGAGAAGTAAATCATCTTCTTTATTTAGCATAATATCTGATTTTAATTCCTAATTAATTAAAATTTTGAAGAAGATTGAAGACATAGTAGTGAAATTATCAGTTTCTAATTTAAGTAAGATTTAAGTGAATGAGATCTCGACCAATACAATATTGATATCTCTTGATCATCTAGAAAATTTGGTCATTAGAAATCTGAGTTGTATTAAAACTCAAGTCAACAATTCGAATCAAATCAACAATAATACTTAGTTAAATTTCTCAACCATCCAAACTCCCACTAATAATATGGTGCAGCATAGTAAATACTTTTCAAATGAAGGTTTTGACAGCTATCAAAAAAACAGTGTGTTGAGCAACAGTCATAATAAACCATATTTAGTGAAGAGGAATTACTATTTGTGAATTTATTTATTTATATGCTGAAATCAAATAAACTAACTTCTGAGTCAGCTTTAACTACTAACAGACCCACTAGTCGCATAGATTCGTCTTATTTAAACAGAGGAACTTCTCAGCACACTTAAAGACAAAGTACAAATAAAAAATATTGGATTCAAATCAATAAAGCTCATGAGGAAATTATTGACACTTAACCCTACATTGCGATTGAAAAGTTTAGAAAAACAAATTCATGTCACATCAGAGTTAGTTTAACATTAATTTTACTTAGCCATCCCTAAATAGGAAGACAAGTTCCGACATAAAAAATTAATTAGATTTAAATGAGATTAAACAATATATTCAAGAAGTTGATAACAACTATGAGGATGAACCATTTTGTAAAAAGGATAATCCAAAATAAATACAATAATATTAAAATGAGAAGAGACTCAACCATTTAAATTTAATATTTACATAATTCAGAGAAGAAATAAAAAGTAGAAATATATCAAATGACATAGAATCTTAAAATTAATAAAGTATTTATATCATTTGATGAATACAAGAATTCAACAATAAAATTAAGATAAGAGCAAAACAGATTGCAATTATTAAGTACTTTATTCAATAATCTTAGATAAAAGTCAGACAACCAAATAGGCTTTAAACTATCCAGACTCAAACAATAGAATATATAACCATAGCTGATTTACAGCAACCACCTTAAAGTACTAAATGATTTAAATTTAATGAATCTAGTCCTTTAGAGCCTCTTCAGATTATATTTTGAATTAAATGCCACTATTACCTACTTAATAGATATCAAAATTGACTGAAAAATTAGGGAATTTAGACAATTATAAGTAAGAAAAAGTGATTATCAATCATTTATTAGTTTAGCTAGTGAAAGAGTTGGTAAGCCTAAAGAGTATTGTGGGAGACCCTAAACATCTATGAAAAGGATTCTTAGAAGGAATAAAAAGTTTCCTGATGAATAAGATAATCAGTTATTCATGGATGAATCAGTTATTAGTGAGACTGAAGGTATGTCAGTTGTTCCTATTAATCTTAGCCAAATTAAATTCATTATATGGAGAAAGCATTTCTCTTTAAAAGAATTTAATTTAAAGTCAAAAAAGCAATCCTATTAAAGCAATTTAAGCAATAAAGAAGATGGATCAAATTAAGTCCATTATCAATAATGTTAACGCAAATAAATTAATGAATAAGTTTATAATATGAATAAAAACATACACTCATTTTTTACATATTTTGCAACTATATTGTTCCATCTGATTTGCTTATTCCTATGTTAATCCCATACATGATAAGTGAAACCACTTGTTGCATTGATCGCATTAGATGTACAATAAATCCTGATTATAATAATAAAATAATTTACAGGATTTTGAGGCTATTCACAAATACAAACTTTTTTCCATTAAGAAATTGGTGGCTCTAATTGTTTAGTCAAAGTGTTGTATTTGGATCTAGTAAAATAGGCATTCTAAGTTCCAGTGTTTTCAAATTCATCAATATTCATTACAAAACATTTTGCCTAGATGCAATCTATGAATATGATAGTGGTCTGCTCAGTTAAGAACAATTCACATTCAGAAAAGGAGTCTTTATCAATTGAATCTGCAAGGTCTTAATAAGTACAATACCTAAAATCACAAAATTACATTTACCATTAAACTTCAACTAAAGGAACTATTGTCTTATCGTCTTGGTGATATCCATAAAAGTTTAGAATCAAGCCAATCTGTTCAATTTGATTAGTTGTTTTTATTAATACACTATCGCCAACTTGATATCTCTTTTTATAAATCATAATGTCTTAATGTTTAGTGCACTTAAGTAAGAATTATTCTTTTTTTGACAGTTAATGCTCAGCAGCATTTCCATTTCGACACTCTTATTATGTAGTAGAAAAATCGGCACTGTTTTCTTTGGCACTTATTTCCTATTGTTAATTCATTAAATTAATTATTAGGATCATAGAAAGAGTTTGAATTCAACTCTCCTTTACTTTTAGAAATACCCTTTAATTTTTTAGGCAAGAGATATTTGCGAATAATTAATATAATCGATTAAAATCATCATTCATCAAAATTTTATGCAAGTCCTTATATCATTTATATCAAAATTTGACCTAAATCCATAACTAACTCTATACATAATATTAATGCCAAATATTTAATTTAATTCTTTAGATATTATATATTAAATAGACTCCTATAATCTTTAGCGTTTAAACTAGATAATACAAGAATAAATATAATAAAAAATCCCTGAAATATTTATGATTATCTTAATCGTATACATTAAACTTATTTTAATACAATAAGCTTGATATTTCTAATCTTAAGAAAAGAAAATTAAGTTATATTAAAATCATTTGTTTTCAAATTAGTCAAAATTAATTTATATTCTACACTTAACATTTTTATATTTGTTTAATAAATATCTATAATTTTATATCATTAGGTCCCTATTAAATTACAATTGTTAATCTATTGATGCATGTGTTTAATTTTTGAGTTTAAATTTTATAATAATAATAATTGAAAAAAAGTAAAGGTATTAGACTAGTAACTATTATAATGATTATCAATGAAATTAAGATAAGGATATAATTGCAATTTTATATTTAATAGTGGTTATATATTATTTAATTCAGTCCATGCTTATGATAGTCTCACAACTGTCTTCATCTTATGATTAATTGAACTCTTATTGAAATTGTTTTTAAAGGATTTATTAATTTTTTTCTTATTGAATTAGCATTGAATTAATAGTCGATATTCTATTTTTAACACTTTAAGCCAAATCATATATTCGATTGAATTTTTTATGTTCAATTTGGATATATTAATTCTAATATAATTCTTTAATGGCTTTATCATAAGTATCAACCATAGGTCTATGAGTTTTGGCATAATCATAAGGTAGTTTATTTGTATTTTTGGGTTATTCTCCCTAGCTTTATGCTAGTCTAAAGGGAGATGTTTATGAAACGCTTCCTTAACTGCCTGATCTCATTAATTGGCTTTTGATTACACTTTAGGTTGATTATAGCATATTAAAAAATTATTAAGGACTTCCACATAATTCGGGTGATTCTCTAAGATCAACAGACTTTTTATCATGACTTTTGTTATGTAGAATGGTATTCTAAGAATGATTACTTTTATCATTTACTTTGATTCTGATGTCAATATCTAAATTGAAAATAAAATACATACTTGAATCTCCACGTTAGGTTTTACTTCCGTTATTGCTTCTTTGGGCCAAATAGCTTTTATAAATTTCATTGTGTGTTTTGTTCAACTTTTCAATAATTTCAATATGTTGCGTGGGTCTCTTTTTTAATGCTTTGTTTAGTTATTAATTGACACTGGAAGAATGTGAACTGAGAGGTAAGTCTCTAGCTTTATCTCTCTAAGTAATTGATTTCTGATGCAAAAGGTCTTTGACATTAATTTGCAATTGTATTTTCTTTTAATCACTAAAGTAATTATTGATTTCAATTTTCTTTTCATTGTGCTCAATTTTATTCTACCATTTTGGTTATTGATAATCACCAATGTCATTACCTATCTTTTTATATTATTAAACTTACTTTTTTCTTGATTTTCTAACTCAATAGACGAAAACTTTGTTAATTTTACTTTTCATTATCTTTCGAATACTACTCTAAGATCTTATTGATTCTATCTGACTTAAGATGTGACCTACTGGAATATAGATTTCCTTTATTATTCTTGGATACATTTTCAGCTTCTAAATTTTGAATTTTTGATTTGGTCAAAATGTAATAAGGGGATTTGGTGTTTGTTTGTAAAATGTCAAGCACTTTTTTCCAAGCTTAGAGAGCATTGCTAGATTATCCTAATTCATAAAATGTCAATCCACTATAAAAGAGTAAGATGGCTTCCAATGATTGCAAGGTCATAATGGAGGAATGATCTCCCAAGAATAACCTAATTTTGGGGTTGAGTTATTGATCTTGCAATTAATTCAATTCAGTAAAGCTTTATTCAATGTATCTGCTAGCTTCTTAATATTTTTCATTTTTGATAAAGAGAATAACTAAGTTAATTAAAGTGATAAGCAAGGTTTCATCTGGAATGGATAATTGTAAGTATTCGATCGATTATTTGAGATATTTCTCAGCTGCTTGAAATTTGTCAACCCTGTTACTAAAATGAATGAAATTTACATATAATAAAAACAACCAATGTTGTTGGTTACCACAGAGAGAAGATGATTAATTTATGATAATGGAATAGTAGGAGCTTCCTTTTCTTGTTTCAAAGTAGTTTCAATTCTCCTCAATATTTAATACCCTTAATTGTACTTTTCTATTTTTTATTTTATTCTTGTTTACCTTCTTGTAGCAATTAAGTAGCTGAAATGTTGGCATCCATGATACTTTGATACGCTTTTTGAGACATTTTACGAAGAGTAAATTTTGAAAATTAAACAATTAATTATGTATAATTTAGATATCTAATGTAATTATTAGTATTTACACATAAATTAATGTATCGAATTGATTTCTATAATAATCATCATTTATTTTCATATAGTCATCTGAATTCATAAATATATATATATTTATCATGAAATAAAGAAATATTAAATTTCATACAACCATCTTTTTTAATGATTTATAAAATAATCAATAAATTTAGTGTCTATATTGATCCATCCAAATTTCCTAATGGAGACTTGTTAAGTATCTACAAATCAACTGAAGGAAGAAACATCAAACTTTTCAATGCATTTTACTTAGGACTGATTGGATATAATGCATATTCTTATATGCAAGACAAAGAAAATTCATAATATGCATTAAATGGTATTTCTACTTTTAATGTATATATAAGATTTGACTGCTGCTTCCTATAGGTCTGGAATGGAAAATTCGATAATCATGATGGCAGTTCTTGGCATAGGAATGGTATTTTTTTATTGGAAAACAAATAAAACTCTTTTTAATTTGTGGTTGTCACCGAATGGAAAATCAATCGTGATGGATTCATATTCACTCTTTGGATTGAATAGTAGAACATTCTCCATTGATATTGAACATTTTAGAGGCTTTGCCTATTTCATTCATCCTTCATTGAGAATACCGATGTTCAAGTACAAATTAGGTAGTACCACCAAAACCATGTTTTTCAAACATCAATATGTCTTGGATGAATAAATTATGAAAAGTGTTTTATAGGGGCAAGATATTCTAGTAAGGCCGAAAGGAATGGAGAAGGAATTATCAAGCAATTAAAAAAAAAAATACAATCTATGATATTACATAAAAATTATTGTATTACATAATTAATGATTCCTAAAGTTATATTGCTCACTTAAAGGCTTTTTGAGAATGTTGATCAATAATAACAACAATCCAAAACTCCTCCATGTGATTATCAACATGATATCGATGTATCATCTACTAATTCATGTTTAGTTAATTGTCGATCAAATAAAATATGAAATTGGAAATGTCGATCCCAAAATCATTAGAAACTACTCCTACAAAATTATGGAAGTATTCAATTACAATATCTTTAAGTTACAATCGATTAGTAATGCTCTGTAGGACCTTAAGCTTTAATTGGACATCTTTTTCCAAATTCCTTCAAATCTAAAAAAAAAGTAAGCCCCCTTAATTTATCAAGAAAGCAAGCAGTAACTATTTCTTACGATTTTAGTAATATTAAGCGAATCAAATAACTGATTCTATAGTAATTAAATGATTTATCAGAACTCAACGATGTTTAGGATGTTGAGAACTATACAGAAAATGAATTCGAAAAAATTTACATTTTCAGATTATCTCAGATTTTATCAAATGAGATAGAGAATCTGCAATATTAGTTTCAATAATCACAAATTAACAATAATGACCACTTTAATCAATTGAATGAGAAATTTTTAGGTATTATTAATGATTAAACATTTATTAAAATATCATGCTAAATTCATAAATACATAATCTTGTTGAACTTAATTGACGAGTATAGAGACAATTTATTTGATATCATTAAGAGTAAATCCCTCTCAACTGAAAGTATGATCTGCTAGTAGAGTAAATAAAAAGCAAAATCCCTTTAGTATGAATCAATGGCCTCCTTGGATTTGGTTGATGATTAAAATAAAATTAATAAAAGATAACATCCCTTATTCAAATAAGAGGAAATTAAAAATAACAGATACGACAACTAACCTGAGGCTTGTGTGAAATGCCAAATATTTTGATAAATCAATTTCTAAACTAAACAAAAATTAACTTGAATTGTTTAATACATATCTATAGATATTGTTAATCAATTTATTTTATCCTCTTTTAGTTACTATGATTATTAGACAATCCTATAAAATGTTTATGTTTTTAATTTGCTATCTAATTCTATCTTCTTAAATAATAAATTTCTGATATGTATTTTGGCTATAAATTTATGAAAGTTGTAAATATTACAAAACTATTTTTTATTTTAGAATAGAAATTACATGATGATATATTTGACGTCATAATCAGAGTTGCTAATACAATATCTTTCATTATTAAAACAAAACTATTTATGATATGTATGTAAAAGATCCTCAAAGATAATATCAATTTCTGATTCTATTTATAGATATTATATAACTTTTTAATTTTTAAGGTTAGATTAATTTAAAAGGGAATTATTCTTTTGATTTCATAAAAGAATTTAATTTTTCAATAAGTAAATTCAACAATTGATATAATATAGTAATATTGACATAAAAAGTTTGATATGAAGATCTTATTATTTTAGATTGTTTTTTGTAGTATCAAAATTATCAGTGAATAGCATAATTAATTTTAATATAAAATTATACTTCTTAGATCAGATATGGACCTAAAAAACAAGGATCAAGGCTAAAAAATAATATTAAAAAAAAAGGCTGGACTTAAATTAAAAAAGACTCATCAATTGCCTGGTATGATGATTTTTGCTTATTTTAGACAGAATATTGACAGATGCCCTAGTTACACCATCAACAAATGTTAGGGAATCTCGAGAAAATAATCTCTTATAAGGTTTGATATCGCCGTGTGAAGATGAAACAAAAAATCGATTCAACTTCTTCAACAGCAGTTCACAAAAATAATTAGTTACTATTAAAAAAGTAGATCCGATTGAATAGATCAAGAGGATAATCTCTGAGAATGAAAGACTTCGATTAACAATAAATTAGAAACAGAAAATAATTGATACGAGGATGAGACAAAGAAAAGAGATACCTGAGCTGATTTTATCTCAAAGAAATTCACGTAGTTTATTGCAGACTCATGAGAAATAGAATACTGCAGATGATTACGGATACTTTTTAGATAAACAATCAATCTCTCAAAATTACAAACGTTCTATGCTGCCTCAAATTGAATCTAAGCAAAGTTCACCAAGTACTCGAGATGAGTGTGCATTCACATTTGCGAATAACTTCTTTATAAAGGAACAAAAAGTTTCGCCTAAAAAAATTAACATGATGCAAGCCTTTCCTTAATTGCATTTGTAGAGAAAATTTTTTACTTGATTTAAGTATAAAAATCAATATTACTATCATTTTTTTGGCTTTAAGAACTCAAGTGCTTCTTAATACAAAGCTTTTCGCAAGGCTTGCTCCTTAAGTTCAATATCATCGAAGGACCAATCGAAGGATTCGTGACAAACTTGAGGTGGATGGTCGATATAATGTTGCTTGAAATAGGGATGCTCGATGCACTATTAGATTGTATATCTCTTATTCGGATTGTAGACCTGAATTAAGGTTAATAGAATTTAATTACTAACATATGTTCGAGCAAATCCAGAGCTAAAGGAGAGGCGAAGGGAAAAAAGTCAGCCCATTTGATGGCTTCTCTTTCTGGTAATTGCTACAGAAATTCAGTAGATTATTCGTCAATTTCATATGGCAAATCTTCCTACTTGGGTTTCCCTAGGACAGCAACGATTTTTTCAATTTGTTCTTAGTGATGCATGCCTTTGAACAAAATGGTTCTTCCTAAAAGCTCTCCCAAAATGCAGCCCAGAGACCAGATGTCTATGGCTTTGGTGTACTCGCTGGAAGAGAGCAAAACCTCTGGTGCTCTGTACCATCTTTGAACAACATAATCGGTTTGAATGGAGGCGTTTTCTACTTCCTATTTTCTTGCTAAATTCAAATCGCCAATTTTTATATGGCAATTCGCATTTATAAATATATTATTTGGTTTGAGATCTCTGTGGATGATGTTGGCTGAATGCATATAATATAAGCCACTGATGATTTGATACATGCACCAATTGATCTTCTTGTCTGTCAGAGGTTGAGGAGATTGGATGACTTTCTCTAAATCCAGATGCATGAGTTGAAACACCAAATACAAATCCTTGTAGGTGTCCTAATCGTCGGGAACAATGATGTCCAATAATTTAACTATATTGGGATTATCGAAGAACCCTAAGTTTAAAGGTTACAAATACTCAATAGTTTGATTTCTCGGAGCACCTTTTTGGCATCCAGCAAATCTCTGAAAACCATTGCAATCTACACGTAATTGAGAGTGATACCTTCTTAATGGCCACGTCTATGTTGTTCAATTTGTCCTTCCCTGAACAAACAAAGCCAAAGGCTCCATTTCCAATATTACGCTATAACTCATAATGAGTGTAAATTTCAAATGTGCCTCCACCACATTGGACTTTGTGTTTCAAAGGGATGGGCAGTCTAATCTAAGGGGGCAACTTTTATATGGTGGTTTCCTCATTCTCAGCAATTTTCTTGAGAATAATGTCCTTCTTTTAATCCATTATTATTTTATTAATGAATAATTAACAAACAATTTCAAATAACTCCAAGTAAGAACAATAGCCAGAAGAGGAATCTTACGATGAAGAAGATGATGAAGACTTATAAGAGTACACTCAATCGACTAATCTAAAATAATTGTTCAATAACTAAGGTAATTTCAAAATGATCCAAATCCTAGATTCCTTCATGCAGCAAATTAATCTTCTGAATGAATAGGCCACTGCTAAAATTAAGCAATAAAAACACAAGGAGGCATTGAAATTACTGCAACAATCCGAACAGATGCTTGAAGTATCACCAATTTACATACTTTTAGTTTGCAGCCAGCTGTGGTAGAGTAATCGATAGGAACTTAATCATTATTATCTTGTACAACCAAGCATGTGCATATTAGTGGTATCCTTCGCTTTCTCATTATTAGTCAATGGATCCTTGATAAATGTTCTAAGTACCTGGATGGAGTGATCTACAATATGGAAATTGGCATCAAAGAAGATGAGCAGGACTTGCAAACTCTCGCCAATGTGCAGGAGAAACAAGCCCAACTCATCAAGAGATAGGCCTTTTTGGTTAAAGCCTATTTACAATATACTGCAATACTGAGTCAATTAGGAAAGTAATTTAGAATTTATACATAGACATAAGTAAGCTTTGATTAATTCTCAAAAAGCAGCTCAAACTATGAGAGAGCTATTTAAGATAGCCAATTCTTTTTATCAATAGTGGCTGTAGGTCAATGGTTCCCAAGAAACTGCTACAACCTCATAATCTATAGTTTCAATGAGAAGTATGCCACATATCTCTATTTTCTTAGATGACTCATCTCACAATCTGGATAAAAAGAAGAAGGGCTAAACTTATCAACTCAAAGATGAAATTGAATTTGGTAGACTTGTCATTGACAGCGCCTCAGATGTTCTGAAGGATATGATTAAGCAAGAAGACTTATCCTCTATTCGAATCGATTAGAAATAATTACTCAGAGAAACAAAACGATAACTGTACAATTGGAGAAACAACCCAGAAAATAATGAAAAATCAGTCAGAAAAGAATTAAAGTTAGTCACTTAGAATGAAGAATATCGATCTTTGTTGGGTATTCAAAACTTGGCTGATTGGATTAAGAACTTTAATATTGGGTCTATTATGCACATGGCTCCTTAAATTTACGAGGATTTCACTTCATTTGGGGAAATGATATTTGAATTGGCTAAAAGATAACTATTGGAAAAGGTCATCTATCTATCAATCTCGTATTTCACTATTGCAACTGAATTGAGGTTTGTTGAATTAGAAAAGGCTAAGCAACATGGACTTAAGGATGATAAAATAGACACTGAAGAATTCAAACTCAGTGAACTATACCATCTTAAATCAATTGAAATTGCATGTAGACACATCGCTTTTCAATCACCATACATCTCTCATTTAATTACAAGCTATCATAAACATTACAATATTAATCTAGATGTTATCAGAGAAGAATCATTGTAATCAAATGCCTCTGAAAAAATAATAGAAGAGTAAGAGCAATCGAAAGTTAAAGGCAAGATGTTGCAAATTTAAATTAATAGAGAACTTCCAAATTCGAAATTTGAAAAACAAGATCAATCTCCAAAACTCACTGGCAATTTCATTAAGTCCTTTCTTAATTCTAGATCCCCTCCCAAATAGTCACAACAATAATCAGTCAAAAATCTTATTAGTGATACAGTCAAAATTCAGACCAATCTCTTAGAATAAATGATTAATAAAAAAAGAGGTTCCGACTCCTCTCCCACCAATTAGAGAAACCCAGCAAAATAGTAGAACTAAGCTGATTTTGATTTCAGTGTCTATTTAAAAAAACAATCTAACCCTTGCAACACCAGTAATCTAAATACTGATGCTACCTCAGACATCATCAACAGTGTCATGACTTTTCAATTATAGCCATACAAGAACAACACTATCAAATGCAATCTAACTAATATGCTTAAACAACAAAGCCCAACCAATAATAACAACACATAATTGAAGTCCTTACTTTCAGATGCCTGCAGAACTGAGAGATAAGTAATGACTGAATAATAGAACTCTTACACTCCCATTAGTTATAGAGTTAATAATAGATCTCCTGATTCATCCTATCTCAATGCCTAAAAGTAGCGATAGTAGCAATTGCATCAAAACAAAACACCACAAAATAGACCAAGAACGAACACTGAACAACAATATCCATAGCCATGTAATTATTTATATAAGTAATATAGCTTTTCCATTAAAATTAGAAACCATTCAGTAGTTATTAAAAAGCAAAGCAATTAATAATCAGAAAATCAAATGAAGATAATTTTTTTTTTCTTAATTTTATAATTGTGCATCATACTTCTCAAATATTAAATATATTAAATAATCAACTTTTTTTAAACTAATTGAAGAAATTATGTGAAGATTTTGATCCAGCTTATTAATTCAAGAATTTTTGTCTGATACTCTAATCAACCTAATATGTTGGATCAAAATTGGTTGTATCTTCTTGAGTCAAATGTGTGTATTTAGAGTTTCCTTTCTTTCCAAATTCTCCTCTTCTCTTCTGTAAGATCTATGGTAGATTATCCTTTCTCTAGAAATAATAGAAATATCATTATACCCATAAATCTTCGCCCACAGGTAAATTGTAATCTCTCTGGAATATGGGATCATCCATGTCCTTATAAAAAGCTCCTGTATTATAATATTTCTACATGAAAACATACTTTGTTTTATCCTCCATTTTGGTTTTGTCAGAACCTAATTTGAAATCTTCTTGAATTCTCTGCATATCTGTTAAGTTTCTTCTTCTATCTATTTCAGCCTTCTCTATCTCATATTTATTTTTCTCATCATTAAATTACTTGATTCGTTTTAGTTCTCGTATTTTCCATAATGCATATTCAGTTTCATCCAAAGTATCCTCATCATTTAATTTTTATTTTCCATCATCACTCTCCTCATTGACTGCCTTTGCAGCATCAGCTTTGACAGAGTTTAAAATTAAAATTTTGTTTTCTAATCTCATTCTCTCAAGGTTCTTAGCTTTTTCCTCCTTTAATCTAATCTCCTCCTCCTCTATCTTGTCTAATTAGTCTCTTTACACTCTGGAAACGAATACTGGCTTCAGCAATTCAACCTCCTTTTATTATTCTTAAAAGTCTTCTTCTTCCTATTGATCATCTTAATCATTCTTGTAAATGATGTCATCCTTTTTCTTCTTGTGCTTTTTCTCTTTTTTTCTCTCCTTTTGCTTTTTCTCCTTCTTCTATTCTTGATTTTATTATTACTCTTATTACAACAATTATTATTCTTCTGCTAATCTTGATTAAATTACTCTTCTTCTTCTCATCATAGCTGCTTCTTCATCAACAACTTCTATTTAATAATTGTCATTTTCAACTTTTTGAAATGTTTAAACAATTTCTTCAGGATTCCTTTAAACCTCTGACTCAGCCTCTTTAATCTCGACCTTCTCTTACTTTTTAGCTAAATCAAATATGTCATCATCCGAATTATCTTATTATTAAGGCACAGGCTTCCCAGCCCAAAGTCTCTGCTTTCTTTATTTTACTTAATCTTCATAACATCCATCAAATTCATTTTTTGGTTTTTAATACACTTAAAAATTATTACTTAGCATCTAAATTTAATATACTTTAATTATTAGATTATTTACTAATCAATGTTAATTCGTATGAATTATATAATTTAAGATCTTGTACATGTTATTTGCTCTTAGAATCTAATAAATTCAGAAGAAAGAAATAATTCTACTCTTAAGAATTGTTTAAAACTAATTAGAATAAAAAGGATTGGATGTTGCTTAATAGTGATTTTAATAGAGTTGAAAATTAATATTATTTACTTTGAAATTTTTATTAATAAATGAGAAAAAATAATAAAGTTTAGCCTGCCAATTAAGTTCAGGTGGTTACTTCAAGCCCAGAGATTTCATAGAAGGCTTTCACAACAATACCAGATCAATAAGAGAATTAGAAATAAATAGATCCTAGACTTATTGCTGGACCTTTGGCAGATAGAGGCTGTACTGATATACTTTGTTTACTACTTTTTATAGCTGGGATGGCTATTTTGATGTGATATGATATATTGAAAGTAGATTCATCTCTAAAGAAGCTTATTCAAAAGGAGAACCAAAAAGACTTCTTGCAATGTATGATCCAAATGGTAACGAATGTGAAATATTTAATGAAAGGTGTTGCCTGTGGATTTGACACAAATGTGGATTACCCTTACTTGTATTTCGCAATACCTTTTGGAGATTACTTCAATAGAACAGTGTGTGTGAAAGATTGTCCTTTGTACGCAGATGAAACTAGCAAACCAACTTCTCTGGATTGTCAACCAAACTCATTGGTTAAGAATTGCAATTAGAAATGCGATGCTGCTACTGCCCTGAAGAGTTATGTATCATCCAATGGCACTGCCATCTTCAAAGACTTCTTGTGTATCTTCAATTCATCAATCCGTAAAATATAATTATAAATTTCAAGTGTTTGATCGTGTTTGTTATCCAGACGCCTTGTTGGCCATTTTCGACAATTACTAGGATTATGGATCTTAATTTGCCATGGATGTCCTTACTGGTTACATAGAGGATTTGACATAAACAAAGGAGGCTATTTACTGTTCATTTGCAGTGGCATTCTTGATGGGGTATACATGTTAAACTATAGAATAGAATCATATATTTGTTCTTCACGAGATTGCTGGCTGGAGTATTGGTTTGGACATCCATATTTCTCTTTTTGGTAGGATTGGGATTTGGAACCTATTGGTGTCATCAACAAGATCTCTATTACTAAGGTATCATGAATGACACAACTGGTAAGTACACAGTTGAATAGACCAATAAGGCCTCAGATAATTAATTAACATTCCAATATTTAACATATGCTATGTATGGTATCTGTGCTTTTGCTGTTATGGGATTGATCTGCATTTTCAACAAGATAAGACTGGCTATAGCTGTTATCAAGACTGCAGCCATGTGCGTGAAGGATCATTTCTTATTGATTTTTGTTCCTTAAGTTACTAGCTCATAGCTCTTGGCAGGCCTCTGGTTTTGGTGGGTCTACACTGCTGCATACGTATATGCAGTGGGTGATATCAAAGGAACAGGCAGCAGTCCATTTGCTGAAGTCACACATACTGAATTACAAGTCTAATATATTTGGTATTTCATATTTGGTGGATTATGGATAAATGCATTCATTTAGGCCATTAATAATTTTGTGATAGCCTCTACTTGTTGTTTTTGGTACTTTGCACAACAAGGTGCTGGAGGTGATGAAAGAGCCATTTCATAATCTCTTTATAGAGCTTTCAGATATCATGCAGGTTCCTTAGCATTTGGTTCTTTGATCTTGGCTATTGTATAACTCATCAGAATCATGTTGGAATATATTAGATATCAAACTGAGAAAGTGGCTGGCTCTGAAAATAAAGCAGTCAAATGTTTATTAAGATGTTTGAGTTGCTGTATGGCATGTTTTGAAAGGTTCATTAGATTTTTGAATAATAATGCTTACATTATGATTGCACTAACTGGCAAAAACTTTTGTTCTGCTGCTAAGGCTGCCTTTGAAACTATATGGGCAAATAGTATGAGATTTTCTTTAGTTAATGGTATTGGAGGGGCATTCATTTTTGTTGGTAAATTTTGCATCTCAATTGTCACTTTAATGATCTTTTATTATGTAATTACAACTATGGATTACTTTAAAGAAAAGATATTCTCGCCAGTTTTCCCTTGCATTGTAATATTATTTATTAACTTGCTTAGGTTGTTTTCATCATAGCGTATGCATTGGCTGTGCTTTTCATGTCAATTTATGGTATGGCATGTGACACTGTGCTTTTATGTTTTATTTTTGATGAGGATTTAAATAAATAAAATGGAGGTTTAAGTGCTTCCAGGTGTCCTGAAACTTTAAAGGAATTTCTTGAACAACCAGAGATGGCAAATCTTAAATAAGCATGATTTAATATAATAAATAATGATTTAAAATTCTACAACAAGTCCTCCAAACGAGGATTCTCTATGCAAACCTATTATTCAGCTCATGTCAACTATGAATTAGCAATAAATGAGAGTGCGCAAGCCTTCTGAAGAGAGTCGAAATAAAAAACAATCTGAAACTCAACAAGCGAAAAATACTCATCCAAAATCACCCACGTTAACACAAGTGAGTGTATAGATAGCATCAGATAGAGCATCACCTCATAATCAATAAGATTTGCTTCTCATTAATGAGGAACCCAGTAACAAGGAAGATTCCCAATAATTAAGCATGATTAAAAAAAGAAACGATTCAGATCAATTATTTAAAAAGTCTGTCTTTAATAAGAATAGAAGTTCCCATTCCTCCTTTTCCTTACTTTACAAAGAAAAAGCCACACTTATATAGAATATAATTATTACAAAAAAGCAATTTAAGTTGATTAATGATTTGTCAGCCCAATACTTTGTCCCATTAAAAGATAAATTAGAAAAAGTCTTTCATCATGAATGGACCCCGAAACTTTTCATCCTATGTGTTTACATCATTTTTCTGTTATTTTATCTCACCATATTACTAATCGAGATTGGGTGCAATCATTTGGAAATATCGAATTTGGCTATATTCTAATACATCATGCTGATTACTTAAATAATTGAGTTAACATAATAAATAATATACTACAAGGGAGACATTATGAATATCATTATTGATAATTTAGGACTTATATCATTTATTTCGTATTAGATTCACAATTTGCAATCTCAGAAGTTAATGTATTTATTATATTTGATCAGAATTAAGAGAATTAATAATTGTATTTAGAATTTAAACTTTTACTCCAATCAATAAGATTACATCTTTGTAATTCAAGTGACCATTTAATTACATTTTTCCACCTGTCTTGCCTAAACCATCATATTCATGTTCTCTCTGAGTGAATAGGACTACATCGTTTACATCCAAAACATATTCACCTTAATATTTGTTACTCCACAAATAATTGCCCAATATTACTTTGTAATCTACTTGATTAAAATACTATTGATAATATTTTACTTTTATAAGTTCAAGCAAATACTCAATTACCAGTCCCTTAATCTTGATTAATAATTCAATTACGAGCCAAATACATAAAAGTTGATATATGAATACAGTCATCAAAAACAAAGATAAATCTTTGACATCAATTTGATGCCGAACTTTTTGTAAAAGAAAATGAAGAGAGAAAAGTATTTTAAGATTTTGTCCAGCATCCCCATCTTGAATTCATCATTCTCAACTTAGACACTCCTCAATATTTGTGATCTCATACATGAACAAATATTGAGGCCAAACGAAATTATTTTACAAAAACCAGCTTTATATATTCACTTACAAGGAGTCATTTAATTATTTTAAAAAGGGGATTCATCCTTATAAGAGTTTAAAATAACTAAAATTAAAAATCCATTTCAAATCTTTAATAATGGAGCCTTCTTTAAAAATCAGATGTAAGGGATTTAATTTGAGAGCTTAGGATACTCAAAAGTGGCTTGCTTGAATTCTCATTAATTCCATTAATTAATAAAACAGTGTCCAAGAGAATTCTAAAAGTATAGAATGCTCATCGACACCATTTTACTTCATAATGATCCTTATCTAACTAGTATTTCTTGTTTTGGGTGTCACTAAGCGCATGAAATAACCTAATGTCCATTTGTAAATTACAAACCCAATAAATATTTGATAATTAATGGTTATAAATTGAACAATCAATAGAGTAGAGTATCTGATTTTAGAAGAGTAATAATCATTAATATTTAATTAGGAAGTTCGTAGAAAAAGAAAAATCATAATAAAATAGGAAAATAATTAAGAAGATTCAGAGTCCTTCGAATCTGAGGAGAAGGATAAAGTGGCATCCTTTAATAAGATTCTCCCCTCCTCCAACTCTTCTTTGAGTTCTAACCCAATCAACCAATTAGAATTGAGTTCTGTTCCTTATGTCAGTTATTCTCACAGTGGATAGACTTTGTATTCTAAAAAAATGGATTCAGAAAACTTCTTCTCAGCTCAAGGATTCAGCAGTAGCAATAGCAGTAAAAAAATAATTTAGAATGAATTCAAAGAAGTAGGGCAATCTAAGTTCTAAAAATATGGCCAGTAGGAAGAATAGCAAGGGTCATCCTTTTAATGCAATCCTTTATAGAAGGTGTAGGATAGTCTATTTCACAATAAGATTAAAATAAAAAAAAGTAGAGTGGAGAAGCAAACACAATTTTAGAAGTATCAGACAGACATTCAATAGAAGTAGTCATAAAGGAATTCAAGGAAAAACTAAACTATGATGAGTAATTACTCTAATGTTGAAAATCAGAAAAAAAGAAGAACTTCAATTGAAGGTAATTTTATGCAATCATTTGAAAAAATTAGTCAATTTGATGACTATTTTCCACATTACAATGTAGATTAATAAATAAATAATTATTAAAGAATTTAATCCATTAATAAAGATAGTAATTAATGAAGGCAAAAGTATATGTTCATGTTTATTCACTCTATTTATTTAACATTAATTTAATGGTTTTAAGATTATCAATTTATGTTTAAAGCACAACTTATTCATCTTAAATTTTATGTAATCCTCTATAAATTACAATAATATCTACTTATTTTGTTCAATAAACTTCCTTTTCCACGAGTTGATTTCCTCAAGTAGGAGTTTCTGCTTATCATCCATCCTTAAGGTTTATTCTTCTAATTAACTATGCAACTCTTAAATGTAATGGTTTTGATCTTCCAACTCTTTATCTTTAGCAATTAACTGTTTGTCATAACCGCCAATTATATTTTATTTTATGTTTAATTTTTCTTATAAATTTTAAATTTCTTCTTGCAATATTTTTATAGTATTCACAAACTGTTAAACTTAACTATAAACCTGAGATAATTCACTCTCATCAGAATCACTTTCCTAATTTTTTTATTATTATTTTAATTATTAAATTTTCTTCTCTAATTCAAATACTTTCTATTTCCATGGTTCTTCTATGTGATTCAAATCCACTAATTTGCATTTCTTATTTGAAGCATCATTAAACAGATTTCTATTCACATTTCCCAAATTATTTTATTATATCGGTTGTCTTTATTAAGAGACAGATTGCTATTATAATAGGGGTGATTAGTATGGTGAGTGATAAGGTGATTATTGGTATAGTTTTATATTGGGAGACGATTAGATTTGTAAAGAGTGTCTTAATCCAAATTAGGTTGTAGGTGCAGAAATTTATTATTATCTCATTATTTTATATATCCAAAAACAATTATTTATCATTACTAAAGATCGAGTAGGAATTAATAATTTCAATCAAATATTTAATTGTAATAAGTTCAAAATAATCTTTGATTGCCAGCCATTCTCTTTATGTAGTACACTTACCAAATTGTAATCAAGACCACTCCCACACTCTCTATAATACTAAACATTAATAATTCTTCATTTGATTTCTGTATTTGGCTTAAATTGCCTTCAAATATTTATCCAGTTATTTTATCAAAATAATAATTATCCTTTTTGCATAATATTATTAAATACTCTCATCGCCATTGATATTCTTTCTATTCTTTACTCTAAGGGGTCTAAGTCTTCAATTTTCATAATTTCCTATTCTGAATCATGTACATCAAGAGTGAATATAATTGTTTGAGTGCCTTTGGTCTATGTTTATAGCGATTTCTCATACTCTTTTATTCTAGAAGATAAATTTGTATTCTCCCTTTTCCAAAATATCAATATTAAATATTCCTTCAATAACCTTTTCCTTCGAATAGATCAAAGTATTATTTGAGGATTTGATATAGAAATCAATCCTTTCCTCTAATGGTAATTAGGAGATAAAGAAAGCCCCTTTGATTTTTGTAGGCTTCAAAATGTCCTCACAAAATACCTAAAGCATATACAAAAAGAGTTGTATACCTCTATAGTACCAGGAGGTAAATCAAATGTTAGTGTTACTTCTGGTTCGAAGTTTCCCAATTGCTCATCCCATATAAAGAGCAATTACTCATTTTCCATGCCTATTGGTGTCCCTTTAGTCATTTAATTTGATTGTCCTTAGTCCTTGGTAATATTTCGGTTCATTACTTATCCATTTTAATCGCGATTTTAATCTGATTTTCTTAACTATCAAAGCTAAGTACAAATTTCATTACACCAAACAAGGGCTTAAGCTAATTTAAATTTTTTAATTATGATTCCTTATAAGTATTTCTTTATTTTGCTTATTCTTCACTTTAATTTTAAGGTGATCTAGCATCATTTTAGATAGGTTCATTGATTTGACTCTTTTTTGTCACTTAATTGTTTATCTCCTTGAAGTCTTGTAACTTATTTTATGGAGTAGCTTTTGCACAAACAAAAATAATGAGTATAAGGTTTAGATAAAATATTAATAATCTCATTATTTTATAAAATATTGTTCATTTCTTAAACAGATTTTTAGTTGATCCAACCAATATGCTATGAATACAATCATTAAAGTAATAAATCTAATTTGAACTTGTAAGAATAATCGAAACAATGGAAGTTTTCATAAATATATTAAGACATTTCAAAATTGAGTAAAAAAGATCTGCATTGCAATTTTTATTTTTAATAAAAGTGGAAAAATCTAATATATTTTAAATTAATTTATGGAAATTAAAAATAAAATGAATTGAAGCATTAATAAATTTGAGACTGCATCAGGAATCATAGAATTAGATTGAATAAAATAAATAAAATTCTTGATTTTTGATGAAAACATTAAATAGTTTTGATTTAATTATATACATTAGTTATTAAATTAAATAATAATATGCAAGCTCAAGCCAATGTTTATTAGTTTGAAGCTGAGCCTCAAGTATCACATCCAAAGTACAGAGATCAAGACCTTTATGAGGAATTGACTGATCTTCCTGATGATGAATCAAGAATCAAACCAGATTATTATATAGATCGACCTGTAATTTTAGCTTAATACTCAAGGCAACTCCTGAATACAAGCCTTTGCCAAAGGGGATTGACAGACAAACATAAATAGAAGCATATGAGCCAGATTTATTTGATTACAAATTGGAAGTGGAGCCTGTGTTATAGGTTTTGGTTGGGAAATCTGTTGAATAGGCTAGAATGGAATTGATTGAGGAGTCAGAAAGAGAGGAATTGCAAATATAAAAGGCTGCTTTTGAAAAAAAACGAAATGCTGAATTAATGGTAACATAGAGGATGGAAGCAGCTTATGTGAGGAGAAAAGAAGAACGAGTACTTAAAATAGACTATTATATTTTAGGAAAGAAGGTTATTGCAGCACAAATTATACCAAGATTAGATGAAACTGTCATAATAGAAATTTATAGCCAGAGCGCTCTCCAAAGGTGTCCTTAAAGGAGTGAATTCAAGAATCCTAAACGATCTCCAGAATTTGGGATTATTAAGGAATGATCATATACTTGAACTCAAAGTAAACACTCTCCCTTGGCTTGTGGAAAGAATCAAATAGAATTGCAATAACATTCAGACTTCATAAAATGGTTTCCAATCATTTTTAGAGGAGATCTAAACTCCCATTCTTCAAGAACATTCATTTTATTATCAAAAAGAATAATAAAAGAGATAGGAACATCTTGATAGGCTAGAGAAGAGGAGAATTGAAATTGAGGAGTAAAAGAAGAGGAAGGCAGAAATTAAAAGAAGAAGAGCATTAAAAGAAAAAAGAGAAGTCTAAAGAAGTGCATTGTATAATCTAACACTTTCTAAGGCTGAAACATCCAATTCCATATTTTAAGTTAATATTTAAGAAGGAACTGCTGAAGTTGGACAGAAAGGAGTTGTATTGCATTTGGATCTCTTTTTACTTTTAGCTGAGGGCATAGATCTAATTACAGGTGATCAACTTGATTAAATTGATGAATCAATCATATAGACAATTTGGTTGGATATATTGATGAATAAATGCAATTAGTTTAATATCACTATCAATTCAGCTATGCAACCTCTCATCTAAGAAGCATTGAATAAAATCGATGAAGACTTGTATGTATTCGAAAAAAATGCAAAACAATTAACTATTGAATTCCTAAGGAGTCAGTCCCCGTTTTGGTCATCTTATGTATCATAACAATTTGTAACTAATATTAGAAAAACCATTTTAAATAAATTGCTTGATGGTTTCTTTGATATTTACTTTAAATCAATAAATTACAAAGAACCCATATAAAAATCTGAAGTTTAAATTAAATAAGATGACCTTGACCCATAATAAAATCCAGAATAATAATCCTAATAGGCAGAAGACTAGTAATAATTACAATAATAGGACTAATAATAAGCTCAAAACTAACAGAAGGAAGAACCTTACTAAAAGCCAGAAATCACTCAACATGATTTAGACATGGTAGAGGCGAAGAAAAAGATTAATATCATCTTTAAATAGCCTTAAAACTAGCTTGAAAATGTCACTGCAATAGTTAATTTGTTGGTTCCTTATTTTGAAGAAGAATAGCCCTAAGATTAAAATCAAGAGTAATAACAATAAACTGGAGAGGTTCAGCAAGAGGAAACTAATTAAATAGCTGAACCTGCTAAACCTGTTGGCAAATGGGATTTTGATCCAAAAACAATTGATATATACGACGGTGAATAACCATTGATCCAAGAAGGTGTTAGATCAACTGTAGATTCCATTTATTAATACTAATTTTAAGAAGTAGTGATTGTAAATGATGAGAGAGCTATTGAATTTGCTAGAATGCAGATTTACAATTTTCTAAAAGAGAAGTAATTTAATTTTTCAATATTAATAGATTGGAATCTTTTATGAATGTTCCAGAATTTTCCAGTTTGTAATTTCACAAAATTAAATAGACTCAAGCAAATGTCCCAATCTTTGATTTTGAATTATGAATGTGTTTAAATATTATTTTTTTTATAAAATTATTGTTAAGTTGATTTTTGATTTATATCTTAGTTGTCTTTTGCATTTAATTAAAAAGAAGATTCAAAATATTTTTATTAATAATTAAATACAAATTAATATTTTTATTAAGAGCAATTTTTACTTTCAGAGAATTGCAATAAATTCAAAGTAACACTAAATTAAATATTAACACAAAGAATGATAAAAAGAAATATTATTTAAATAGTATGAAATTTAAGATAATAGTATATCATTCATATTTATTATGATTTTTTTCTGTAAGGAGCATTTGACATATTAGAATGATATGAATTTTCTCTTTCTCTCTATCTTTATTGCTATTATTATTATTATTGTTATTATTATTTCAGTTGATCATCAGCAAAAGAATACTACATATTTTTGTTTTAAGTATTTCCTCCTCCCTTAACTGAACCATCATCTGATTCCTAAATGTTTCTTCTTGATAGAGCCGGTGAATGTTATGAATGATGAGGAGAAGATGGCTTAATTTATACATATAAATTCATACTTAGATTAATTACTATGGTGCGAGATACACTTGATTCTGTTTTGTTTGTTAAAAGTCTTGAGAAGGTTGTCCTTGTCTCACTCTACTACCAGCTTCACTTGGCTATTTAGGAGGCAGAGGCAATGTGTTCATATTTGGTTATTGATCCTTTAGCTTCTGTAGTTCATTTGCCTTTTCATTAAGCTCTTTTCTAAGTTATTAATTTTCTTCAATGATTTATTTGTCAGCTCTTAATTTCTATTGTTTTTATACAGTAGCATAATTATTAATTTAACCTTGCAATTTTGAAATCTCCTATTTCAATCTTTCATTTTCTTATTCAAATAATTCTTTTTATTCCCTAAAAGTAAAGTTCAATTACTCTAGATGTTCGTTATTCTTTTGATGTTGTTATAGAATCGCACATTTTTCATAATACATTTAAAAATCCCTCTCTAATTCAGCAATGCGATCGTCCTTCTGATTGATGATTTTTTGAATTTGTTTATCCCTTTCTTCGATGTCTGCCTAGACTCCACCTTTGTGTGATACGAATTCTTGTAACAAAGCCTTGTTTTCTTCCAATTAGAGTTTTAATTGTCTATTTTGCAACTAAAGCTATTCAATAATTCTCTTTTATTGTTGATAATCACTAATTTCTTTTTTGCACTATTCATAATCTATCTTAAGTATTTCATGTTCATTCTTGACTGCATTCCATTCCTTTAGGATTGTAGTGTTCTTCTCTTCAAGTTCTTAGATCTCCAATTGTTTATCTTTAAGATCATTCAAGTAATCTTATTTTAACTTCTACATACTTTCATTGAATTTCAACTTCTAAGTTTCCAAATCCCTTTGAGCAGTATCAATCAATTCGCCAATTTGTTCTGATTGCTAATTCAATTCATTGAAATATTCAGCATTTTACAAACTCAACTTTCCGATATGTTCTTAGAGTCTAGCTTCGTTGTCAGATAGTTTCCTCGATTTCTCAATTTCCATTTATAATTTGTTCATAATGTCATCGTTTTGGTCAGCGATTTGATCACAAAGGAATTACTTATCTTTAAGTTCTTCGTGATATTAATCGATTTCTTTAGTTAATTGATTATTGATAATCTGATATTTCGATATTTCATTACTCTAATCATCTAATTTTTGATTCAATTCATAGATCTTAAGATTGCTTTGAGAATGCAAATCATTTTTGTCTGATTGCAATTTCTCAAAATCTGATTAGAATTACAACAATTGTTTATTCAATTTTTCAACTGTGAAGGTCAGTGATGTAATGATACTGTCCTTTTTCTGATTTTCGAATTGATAAGAATTCTTAAGTTCTATTTCCGTTCTGCAGTTCTCCTTGATGATTTGCATTTACTCAGTTTGTGAAATTTCAGATAACTTATATTTTTCAACCTATTATTCAAGTTAGAGACAATATTTTTTTGAATTTTAGAACTGCTTTTCTAATTCATAACCATCTTGTATCTTATCATCTAATTATTATCTTTATTCTTAGACATGCTTTAAGAGGACACAATTTTCATCCTCCAATAATCTTAATTAGTGTCTGAGGTCTTGGATTTCCTCAGCTTCGTTAATCGTCATGGTTTCAACAATGGAATGCATCTCTTAATCCTTTTGTTCGAGTAATAACGAAAGACTTCGATTTTCATCAATCAATGTATTAACCATCTGAGACAAAGCAACAATATCATGCGCTTATTGTCTTAACTCAAAATTGATCTCTTGATTTTGCTTTTACAGACTCTCTATGTAGAGTCTTGTCTTTTCTGGATTAAAGGCTTGTGCTTGATGGGGTTTTATGGCATTCAATGGAGTCAATTCTGGATAAAGTCTATAGAAGGTTTAAGCGTTAAAGTTTTCCTATTGACTGGAGGGGAGGAGTGGAATTTTGAATTCAGCTTAATATTCCTATTGGTTATGGAAAAGAAATACCTAAAATTTTCGATTAGTCTCATCGAACCTGGCTCTGTTCATTTCAGTTAATTAATTTTATTTTTTATTGCAAATATCGATTAATTGATATTTAACAAATTTATGTGATTAATGTTATAAGGGTTTGAAGAGTAATGTAATGACGATGTTAAACTTCGAATGTATTTTTGAATTAAAATGAAAAACTCAAATTTTGTTTCATTAATTTTAGTATTAATTATTATATTCCAAATGGATAATCAGAAGTACAAGGTTACACTCAACATGTATGATTTGTCTTAAGGAATGGCCAGACAATTTTCACCTATGTTTTTAGGGAAATAAATTGAGGCTATATGGCACACTGGAATTGTAGTGTATGGAAAGGAATATTATTTCGGTGGAGGCATTTGTGCTTAGAATCCTAAAACGACTATATACGGATACCCAATAGAGGTTCATTGTTTTATACTAAGAGTTAGGAAAGAGAATTGGGAGAAACAGAAATCCCACAGAGTACATTTGAAGAATTCTTGAGAAACATAAGTTCAAATTATACAATGGAGAAATATGACCTATTTAAAAACAATTGCAATAATTTTACGAATGAATGTGCCGAATTTTTAGTTGGAAAGGGTATTCCTGAAAACATTACAGGTAAATTATAATCTTATTATTCACATTAGGATTGCCATAAGAATTTTTAAATACTTAATTAGGATAAATGATGAAACCCATAATAGAGCAAATCACCAATAAACAGGCTTCGGATTAGACTGAGCATTTTAATTAAGTCTACAATTAAGACTTAGACGTACTTCAAAATTTCCAAAATATAAATCCCTAAATAATAAACTAGCCATAGCCTTAGCCACAGATTGTTCCCTAGAACTAAACAGTTTAGGCAGCCTAATAACAACCACAATAACATTCTTCAACAGATACTAATGTTATACCAATCGAGGATTTAGAGTCCTTTTTTTGTTTGATAGAGAGCAGTCCTCAATGTGTTATAGACTTTTATACAGATTGGTGTGGACCATGCAAGACTATAAAACCAGTGTTTCATAAGTTATCTTTAGACTACCCGCATATCAATTTCTACAATGTGAATATTGAGAAGGTAAACACACAATTTCTTATAAATTAAGGCCAGAGAATTAGCAGATTCATTACAAGTGACTAGCATCCCAACCTTCATTATTTATCAGAATGGACAATAGAAATTTAGATGGACAGGAGGAAACCAAAATACATTAAAAGAATACATAGATAAAATAAAATGAATTAATAATAATTATATTTGCAAATTTACATTCATCATTATTCAAAACATATCATTTAATACATCCTAGTTGATACCACTGCTTTAGATTGAAGAGACTCTCTTAACCAAATAAGCACTTCCATTTTTATCTTCTTCATTCATCTTGATCTTCTTCACAATGCAATCCGAATCATCATACATTCTTGGAGACAATTTTCCCCTTAATTGATCAATATCAGTCACATTGGCAACATAAATCTTCATATTGAATTCCTCCTCATTTTTAAAACTCTATAGTTTTCTCTGATTTAATTCTATTGCAAACTAAGTAATAGGAATCCTTAAGAAGAGAGGCCATGCATCTGGTTTTAATTTCTTGATCCCCAAGAAATATGTGAGAGATTTGGCATAATCTCTTTCAAGATTCTCTTCTCCATCAGGTGTTATTCTCAACTCAAAACTAGTATTATCATAAATTGCTTCATTGTGTCCAATCAACTTTAATAGTTTAGGTAATTGTGCTTCACAAAACCCAGTCCACTTATGAAAGTTCTCAGAGCTCTTAGAAACTATAGATATGGCAACAAAGTATTAAAAACAATCAAAAAAATCTAATGGTCTCAATACTTCATTCCAATCTCCTAATTTCTAAGCTCCGATCTGGAATTCTTGGAAGATGGTTTGAAAAGTGATCTTATTGACTTTGAATGTTGTGTTGAAGAATGGATATGCCGGAGTTATGATCTGCATTATCTTATCATTCCTTTTATCTTCATCTCTCTTCCAACAGAGAGTCTTAAAAGTCTCTATCTCTGGACTAGAAAACAATAACAAATAAAATCTTACTCAGATTCATCAATCACAACTGGTATTTTCCAATTCCATTGAGAGTAAATTTAGAAAAATAGACTAACAGTTTAACACACATCCACTCTTGGAAATAGTTAACAAATCTTTGCCATCAAGATTGCCCAACTTATACCTCCCAAATAACCGATTATGTTGCTTGACACCTTTCTTTTCTTTGCCCATTACTTTATGATTCTCAAAGCCTAAACGAATTGGGAATGGTCAGGCATTGATTTACTAATTAAAATACCATTCTTTCGACCATTCAAAGCATACAATGATTTATCTTCACTTTACAATAGGTTTCTTCGTAATTCATCTAAATTATCGTCTATATTTTCAGGGACTCTATCTGAATTTAACTGAGCAAAGTTAATATCTATATGAAATCCTTTGTAAATCATCTTTATAATGGGATTTGAGGTGCTTTCAATTTTATTTATCTATTCCATTCCTTGCTCATTTGATAACAAGTAAAATAGGCTTTAATACATTTCAATCATAAATACCCATTAAAAAATTACTCCCTTCTGTCTATAAATTCTGGAGCAATGCAAATTAAATCTATATCAGATTTGCTGTCTGCAACACCCAATAACACTGAACCGTATGGCAATAGCACAGCTGAACAATATTTTAAATGATCCTCATTGATTCTTTTTTCCTTGGCACATTATTAAGACCATTTTTTAACTATCTTCTCCTAGATATGCTTAAATCTCTTTGCTTTTCTATTGATTTTCCTCGATCGCTTGAAGAGACTCTGCCTCAATGAAACCAATTAATTAGCTTTTATTGCATTAATGTTGCATTAAGTTTGAATCATAATCAATTCTTCCATGAGCCCTCTTTAATTCATTATTAATATCTTGACTGCTCATTCTCGGAGCCCATTCCTTGATCAAGTTTATCAGCTCATTACTAAAATCCATTTTTATAATTTAATAATTAGATAATCTGTTCTAATTATCAGTTAATCATCCTAATAAATTAATATCTTATGTCTGATTGAGGCAGTTCCACAATTCTTGTCAACATTTTATTTGATAGGATTGTCTCGAATTAAACTTTATTAATAATATAATTATCATAAATTCCATGAGCTTCTAAGTAATTGTTTGAAGGTTATTTCATAGACAACAGATTCCAAGAAAGAAGAATTCAGAAAGTATTTAGAAAAGGCCGGTGTTATAGATCAATTGACTAGAGTTCTGGTGGGATTATATGAAGAACCAGAAAAGCCAAACAATGCCATTGAGTACTATATTTCCATTGATTCTCTAGTTATGTTAAAAAGTACTTAGGATCACCTGTTGATATTGATGTTGACAAACTCAAATTAGAATATGAAAAACTTAAAGATGAGAACATTAGATTGAAGAGGGAAATTGCTGATTTGAAAAAAGAAGTAAAATATTCTCCCTATAAAAGTTATAAGCCGCCCAATAAGAATAGAATTGATATTAGATAAATCAATAAATTTACATTACTAAATAAATATAAAATAATATTCAAATGGAAAGAATAATTAATTTTTTAGAATCTATAATGATAGATATTAGTCCTTTCTTACTAACTTACAGATCTTTGATTGAGTGACACTCAAACTTATTCTGGGTTTCCAAATCCACCGATGAAATATAAGCTGTCAATTACAGTTAATTAAATAATCCCTCATCCTTTTATTAATTGGTTCTTGCCAACTCATTTGACTTTTATTGATTTGTACTCAAAATGATTAGTTTTCCATCAAAATATTATAATTCCTTTATAAATTTGTTATTAAACTAAATCTTATTTGATTTGACGAAACCCTGCTATTAATAAGTGTATTGAATGATGGTATTATCTTTTAAGACTGAAATCAAATAAGATTCTTCAGATTTCTCAGAAAATCTAAGTATTGAACTAGAAAGATCAATGTTGATTTTTGTTCTAAGATGAGGCTTCAAATTAATAGCAATTTTATCTAAATTATTTTGCAATTCTCTAATTAATGAATTGACTGTTTCAAAAGATTCTTCATATTCTATTTAATGTTGTTTCTATTTAACATTGTCCACATAACTATCTTTAAAGACATTTTATAAAATCTTAGTAATGTTTTCAGTTTATTTGAACTCTATATTTTTCTATACAACTACCTTTGTGAAAAATGTCTTTGGTGCTATTCAATCAAATATATCTAATACATATTTTGCCCTAATAGAAGCATTGCAAATTTCTTAACTAAAACAAGTGATTATCCTTCAAGAAATCAAATAATTTTGATAGATCTACTTCTATTTTATTGAGGGGGGAGTTTACATTCTCACATTCTACTTCTTACTCATTTCCTGCCTTTATTGCACATAGATTTAACCAAACGAAAAAGTTTCTTAAATGTAACTTCGTCTAATGACACTCTATCTAAAATCTGCTGAATAACTTTTAAATCTTTTAGACTGTTTATTATAACTCTTCAAAAGGTGTTTTGTGTAGTCCTTAATAAAAGGGCCTAATTTAATATCCATTAAATTTGTTACATATTTTTTGACTGAATAAAGAAATTGAGAATGATTAAAATTCTTGATAAGACATTCATCAACGAATCCTAAATAATTTCCTAAATATTATTGAAACTGTTTGTGATATTCTTAATTTAAATTAAACATATATATTACATCATCCATTTTTTACAAAATTTTAGTATTGTATAGTTCTTTTTGAAAGAATTGAACAAGTTCTTGAGAACAATCCCCTTTTTAGTAAAACTTCAAAATATGGGAATTGATTGATTCCTAAGGTCCAAAAGCTACCAATGGACCTATGATGTTGAGTTGGTAACATTTGAAAATGTCCTATAATTGAGTGTTTATTAAAAGGATTGATGTTTTCAAAAAACAAAATAGTTCATTTAAGTAACTCAATTGCTAAATGTATTTCTAGATAAACTAAATGCTATACTAAAATTTATTGATGTTTCATTAGGCTGATGTCATAAATTTCAACAGTAGAATCTGAAAAACAGTGCAACTCATTTTGCAATTGGTATAATTCAATAATTCCTTTATGTTCAATTTCTCCCAAATGAAGAATCCCATTAAAATTGTAGGCGATCTACCTATTAGTTAAAGAGAATATGATATTATTTATTTGTTGTTGTTTTAAAAAGCAAAGATTCTACCAATTTTTCCTATTTATAAACAATGCAATTACAAGTTTGTTGTGGATAATGGAATTATGGCTGCTTATAATTCCAGCTCTTTAATGATTTTGACATTCACTTAAACCAAAAGCATCTATGTGATTTTATCTGAATTCTTGATTAAAGTAGATTGAATGATTTTTTGATGAGAAGCCAAATGATACAAAAACAATTTATTTCCAACATTATAAGTCAGGAACGTACCTAATTAGAGAGCTTTGAATACTTTCCACAATAATATTGCTGATGGCATCGTCTTCTTAAATCATGAACATCCTTTGCAATTATTCGCTTACTCTGCATATTTCTAATTAGTTATTCACATATAGGATTGCACAAACATCCATAGTTTTACTCCAACTAACAGATTAGATTTCTTGAGCCATAACTCTATCTAACATAGGAGAAAATGATTAGCTTTCCATTTCAAATTTAAAATTATATAATTATTTTACTATTTTAAATTCATTGAAATTCATTTTATCATTACCACTCTGAATATTTATATATTAACTATAAAATTGAAATTAGTTGATGTTGAAAATGTCAATTTATACATTTAAGTAGAGTATGATTTAAAATATAAGATAATTTTTAATTGATATTATTAATAATAATCATAATTTGAAGTATATGAATGAGTTAGTATGTCATTAGGAATTTGCATAATTAATATTTTGTATAAAACATCTTCTCAAAATGGAATCAGAAATTTTACTAATAGAATTTATTATCACCTTATATTTATCTAATTTTAAATGAAGAATAGATTTTGAAAAACTCTTATATTTTAATGTATTCAAAAAGGTCAATTATAAAAGGGATATACAAAGAAGGAAAAGAAGAAGTGATAATGTTAATATCAATCAATTGCTATATCATTAATTGATAAACTAGTAACAGCCTATTTATGTCCCTTTAAAGTTCTAAGCACAGCAGCACTATCAGTTTGCCATATTTTAGTTGTTAAGTCAGATGATGCCGTAATGATATACTCTGAGTCACAAGAGAATGCACAGTCCCATACCCATTTACCATGACCTATAAATATTGTATCGCTATTGATTACCATATAGAGTTGAAAACAATTCCCATTTTGGATATTTGTCATTCCCTAAATTTTTCTCATTCAAAGTCCATAACTTCACTGTTTTATCAGCACTGCAAGTAGCCAAATATCTTAAATCTGCAGAAATTGAAGCCTTGAGTATGTAATCTTGATGAGCCTCGAACTTATACAACAAACTCTGTTCAGTCAGGTCCATGTTATTCATCATATACGTATGACATTGTCCTTAAGAATCAGCAGCTACAATCTGACTAGCATTATAAGCAATAGATATCGATCTAATTCCAACTTCGGGACAGGGAGATAATTTCAATCTTATCTTGTTTTGCTAGAAATCATATATCTTCACATTCCCCATTTAATCTCCAACGATCAATTCAGTCTCATTCGGATGCAAACATATGGTATTCAATGGTTCCTTCTCCTAGTATTCTCTTGATAAATCTAAGTTATTATTGAATTCAATTACTATTTGATCTAAGGTCATGGATTCTAATAAATCCATCTTCAGAACAAGTATAAAAGAAATTGCTATCCTTCAAAAATCCAATTCCCGTTATATTATTCTTGTATCCATCATAAACATAAACAGGCTACTTCTTCTAAGAGATCACATCATAATAAGAAGCAAAAAAGTTGCCACCTGCAGCCAGATGCTTCTTGTCTTGAGAGATGTCAATTCTGTTTACAATCACCTTTTCCCCGTAATTGATCTCCTCTTTCAATTGTCCTGTTGTAGCATCCCAAAATATAAAAGTATGATCATAGGATGATGTTACTAATATAACATCATTTTCAGACATTTAATATATATTTAATATAAATTATAATACACTCTATAATTATGTTATTCAAACTAATATAATAATCATTATTAAAGTATCTAACTCTTCCTATTATCTTTTGATAATAATTCTTCTTTAATCTCTTCATTCTAAATTAATCATAGCTTAATATAATTTTAGATTCTAATTTCATAAAAGATGTTTACCGTACTCAAGATTAAAATATTGTCTAGAATCAAAGCTTATTCAGATTTTAATAACTTTTTAAATGGCATATTAAAATGATATTATAATATGATTTACAGTTACAAAGAACTTAATCATAATATTGCCCCTTTATCTTTGATAAAAATGGATTAATCGGCTACCTATTAGTAGATATTAAATAAAACTACAGCATAGAGTAATAATTATTTCATTTATTATCAAACTCCCTTTCAATCTTAACAAATGATCGATCTGCTATTCCAATCTAACTAACTTAAATTTCGAGGGAGTAGTGAATAATACATTAATAATTTAAATATTCCAATCTATATAATAACATATAAGGTTAACTTTTAGATAGAATAAAGCTTAAAATAATTATGTGGATTAAGATTTCTTAGTTTATTAATTAATTATAAAAGAGTGAGTGATGATAATATTAATTTGCAGAATATCATTTTAAATAAAAATAAATCATGTAGTAAAGGGTATGGTGTCCTAATATGGATGTTAATAATATCAAAATTAATTATTGTTCATCAGTTTCAAGGTAGATACTTCTATAGATAAGTAAAATGTTTTTGAATTTATTTTATTAATTAAAATATTCAAATTAAATCAGCATGAAATTCTCACTTGAATTGTAAGTATTTAAGCGTCATGTAATAGATCGGATAATACGCATAAAGTGATTGGATTTGTTTGCTCAAATGTAGTTGAGATTGTGACGTTGGCCTATTATGCTACTATCGAAACGGACCTACTGTAATTAAACATATTTATAATAGTATAGATATTGATCTTGATAAAGTTAAAATTACTGCTAGTGAGATGATTTAAATTAATGATGCTGAGAATAAAATCAAAGCTTATAAAGGCTTATCTGTAACAGGAAGTATTTTTCTGATGATCACTTGGTGTTTATAGATTTTGCTGATCTACAGATATAATTAAAAAATGTTATACGCAATTTTTGGAATTAATACCTTTTCTATTTTAATATTGTTGGTTGGAATGGGAATTCAAGAATCAGAGGTATTTTACATTAGTTATGATTTCAGATGGAATAAGTAAGCGTAAGCTTTAATGCTCCAGTGGCATTTTGGTTCATCCAATTGACTCTGTACATCATGAGTTTAGTGAATTTGCACAATTTCAGACAATAGGAAGGAAATTAAAATATGGAGGGTAAAAATCAAAAGAAAGAGGAAACTGATGATTCAAAGAAGCAAGCCTAGAACACCTCCACATAAGCAAATTAAAGTTAAGTAGTTATGATGGGTAACAATGAATCTTAATTCACTCAATAACAATAAGTTGTATGAATTTCATAATAAATTATATTATAATATCATTTTTATGGTTGAATTGTAATGAATTCACATATTCTATTATAGGGATGCAAAAAAGCAATTAGCAATTAGCAATCTAGCACTTCTCATGATAGAGATCGTTCTATTAACTGAATATTCTTATATGAATGAACATCCTCATCGAAATCAAAATTTGACTTATGTGAGATTCGCAATTTCCGGATAAGTTTTCATGATGCTAGCCTTTATGGGCTTGGTTGCAACTTACTTTTTCCCACACAAATACATAAAACTTGGAATCTTTGGAAGTCTATGGTTAGGATTTATATTAGTTTTTATCGGTATGATAGTTGGGGCAAAATACGTAATTCATTTTTATTTAAATTTAGTATAAAGATGGTTATGACACTATTGCATCAACTTGGTGGATTGAAGTAGGATTAACTATCTTAGGCTTTTTGAATTTCATCAAAGCCTTTAGTAATGAACCATAACCTAATGAAGAGTATCAGAGATAAGTGTGAAATTATTTTTATACAATCAATTCTACAAATTATACATGTTCTATATTTACTAATGCATTTTTTATAATGTGAATAAAATAAACAAAGAACTAGAACAATAAAATCGTATTATGAAAAATAAGAGAGAATACTATCAAGGATGAACCATCAATATAGATAAGAATCAAGAAATTATATGAAATCAAATATTTGGAAGAAGTATTAGTCGAGACTAAATAACAGTGATACCTTTTAGAAATGAAAGATAACAGCATTGAAAAGATTATCAAATAATCGTGGATAACCCATTATTTTCAAAATAATTATTTTTTGTAAAATTGCATCTAAGGGAGACCATAAGTTTTATTAAAATAAAATCATAAAGTCATAAAAATATGAAATATTGCAGATGATCAAAAGTTGAGTATGGAGAAAATAAATAATTAATACCTATTTAAATTAAGAAAAAAAGGATTCACCAGATTGAAAATTAAGCCAGTTTTAATAATAGTTCCAAAGCTAATTAGCTATGAATCCTTAAAAGAACTTAAATAAATAATATTTATGACAAATAGATCTTAATTATAATTATAATATTATAGTAGTTTTTAGATTTTTACCATTATAAATAAATTACAAATCAATAAATTAATCTCTCTATTATAGAATGGCTTAGTCGATTGTATTATTATTGAAGATTGTGATGTAATCCCGTTTGGATAACTGAGCTACTTAGATTTTATAAAATTATTAGTCTATTATGAATCCTTTCTTAGAATCATAAAAATTAAATCTTGTTTACGTATAGGTTGTGAATATAAGATTAATATTAGCAATATTGAACAAGCAAAAGATCAAAAAGGATTATTATTTTTTCCAAATTGGTCCACTACTTGAATTGCAACCATACTCAAAACAAATAATCAGACTAATTTTGATTTAGGATAAAAGAATATCTTTATAATCAAATATAATTTTGAATGCAATTACAAATCTGAATTTCCTAATAATCATTTCTAATATATTCTTACGATTTATTAAACCATTATCTAAGATTTGAAGCCCTGATATCAACTATATACGAAATTGAGTTTCTCCTGCCTTGATAACAGAATATTAGACCTAAACTATCCATAAAAGAAGCCATCATTATTGCATTTTATTATTTTTTAATATGTTAATTTAATATTATATTTCTGATATATTGGTACTAATATGTAGTATCTATATCATTAAAATTATGGAAATATTCCTACTACTATTTTTCATATTTATTTTCACTCCTACAAATAAGTATTTTTCCAAATTAAACATAACTCTAAGATATTTAAAATAAGATACAAAAATTTTAGATATTATCTAACCAATATGATCTAACAATAAATAAATAAATTCCATTACTATATAAGATATAAATAATTTTCTAGATGCTACTTGATCTTTTATAATAAGTTTTTATTCATTATTAAAGAAAGAAAATCATATATGGAATAATCACATTTTTATCTCTATTTTGTAATCAAAATTTATCATAAATTTTTAATGGGAAACTATTTTAAAACAAAACCTAAACAAAAACTTGATAGAGAAATGATTGAATTTCTCAAATCTCGTAAACTTCAACACATTAATGATGTATAGAGATATTTTTAAGCAGGCTATTGATATTTTAAATACTAAATTCCCAAATTCAAAGTATTTAGAGTATAGTGATTATTGTGATGTATTCAACCCAATATTAGAAATTTGGACATAACCTGTATTCTCTCTCTTGTCTTCTAAATCTACACTAGAAGGGGCTAACGATATTTATGAATCATTAGCTGTTTTGGTAATTAAATGAATTAACTTAAAGACAATATTTAGCGATGAAGAACAAGAACTTAAATTGTAGTTCATATTTCAATTATTTGATACTGATAAGTCAGGTGAAATCGAGAAGGCTGAACTAGTAGTAGCTTTAGAAACATGCATTTGTGGTTTATGTAAGTTAGTTCATTTACCTGCTCCTTCATTAAAAGATATTGATTTCTATGCAGAAAGACTATTTATAGAATTGGATAGAGATTACAGTTATACTATTTCCTTCAATGAGTTTAAATTGTGGATAATTGGAAATTTTGAATTATAAAACTTTTTGTTAAAGTATGCCCTTATCTAAACATATGAAAATGCAAGAAGGAGGTATAAAGAGAAGAGAATTCTTTATGAAAACTTTTTTATAAATGCAGTTGGAAATGGTAAATGTGAGTAATGCGAATTGGAATCAATAAAACAAATATTTTTGAATGAATTCAATAATTAATAGTTAGATATTCTGGAGTTACTTTTTAAAACTTTACAAGATTCCTCTAATGCTTACTTAGATCAAAAACAGGATGGATGGATTTGTAAATAAGCTTATTAAGATGTAATGAACGCTTGGGCAGCCTTTGACGCTTCTGACATCAATTGTGATAACGAAGTCTCTATGTCAGAATTGAAATACTTAATCTATGCATATGAAGGAGATAAGCCAGATTATTACAGATTATAAACTGAAATGGAAATTCTAGATATGGATTAATCAGGGAGAATTACAAGAGATGAATGGATTAAATATCTCTGTGTATTGGAAAAAGGTAAATATGTTTTTAGGGGCACTTTGTAGCATTAATTTAATGAATATGATAAGGATCATAATGGGATGTTATCGATTTAAGATATTAAAGACTTACTGAAAAACTCAATGAAAGATCTAAGAGTCAGTTTTAAGGTAGTTATTTTTTTTGATTTTTCAGAAATTAAAATCTGAGAAAAATTTTGAAGAAATGGTCGATGATTTGATAAATGAAATTGTTATTTCACTACAAAAGGGAAACAAAGGACATTAATCCAATTAGAATTAGATGATTTTTGTATTTTGTTTATCATTAAATTAGCTTACTTGGAATGAATTTAAGTCATTTATGGAGAAAGCAACACTAAAGTAGGATTAACTTCGTTAGTTTCTAGCCAAACTTTGATTTATTAATATATTAAAAATAATTGTAATGAATTCAATTAAAAAAATCCTAAAAAAGAAAAGATTGTTAAAACCTTCAAAAAAAAGAAAATAATCAGCAACTTAGCTTGAATCAGAAACAATTCAATAGATAAAACTCACTCATAAAGAAGTAAAACATTTTCATAAAAATTATAGTAAATTCACATTAGAGGTCAATTTTAATTTGTCGTTGTTAATGGATATTTGGAAATGGATTTGTATGAAGTAAGGAAAACTCAAATTTATGAATTCAGCAGTACAGAGTTTGTCACTGTAATTGCTCACAATGTACCTTAAAAAATTGAAGATTATTTAACAAAATTTTAATCATCATAAGTATAATCTGAAGTATATTTGGAATTCATGAATTACATTCTAAAAAATTAACCTAAGGAATTAACTTTGTTAATTTATGGTCACTATGAAATTAGTGACTTTGGTTATATTTTGACTGATTAAAAATAGGAACTTTTTGACTGCTAAGACAGAAGTGTCATGTTCATTGGTGAAAAATAAGTAGGAAAATCAACAAGTTTGTAATTATATGCAAATAAGTTATTGAATTCCAATCAAGTTTTTATTTTAGATACTGATCTGGGTTAAGCTATCATTTTACCTGGTTTTGTTACCCTTGTAAAATTAGAATTGCCTCTATTTTTATCAAAACCCCAGATTTTATTTTAAGGATTTGTTGGGGAATTCCAAGTCTTTAATTATTTTGATCTCTATTTCCATAAAGTGACCTAGGCATTGGATGTCTACAATTAATCTCAACTGTTGAAGGATTATCCATTATTGATTAACACTGCTGGTTTCATAACGAGTTATGGAATAACTATAATTTAGGAGTTAATTAATATTTTGTAGCCCTCCAAATGCATCCTGCTTTCAAGAGACAATCATAAAAAAATTATGGAGAAATCAAGTTATTTATATGAATAATTATCAAAAAAATCCTTTATTAGTAATTTTGACACATTTAAATCATAATTGCAGATAGTTCATGAAGAAATCGATTTTGAATCATATGGTTAAACTATTCAGGTAGAGACACCTTAGATTAGAAAATAGAATCGAACCTCAAAGATTGCATAAAACCTTGGTGTGGAAAATCTAAATTACTTAACTTTATGTTCCGAAACAGATTTAAAAATTATTGATACAAATCAATGTTAATTCATTGTGATAAATGAAAAGAAGAATTTCTATGATTTGGAAGAAATAGCTTCAGTGTTTATATTTAATTTGGTAGCTGTAGAGTAGGATGGGACATTTTTGGGTTTAGGATTTATTAAAGACATCGATATCATTCATAATAAAATACATGTCATCTCTCAGATTGAATTTGGTAGTGGTTAATACTAATTTATAAAATCAAAGTTCTATAACATATCATAAGATTAGTTGGGAGACATAGGTGTTGAGGATGTTTATTAAATATTGGATAAAGAGTGCATCCAAAATGGAGAGCCTTTGGAATATCTGATTGATTTGCCTTATATTACATTGAAGAGTGAGGCAATAGGGGATTTCAAGCATAAGATTACCGTAAATAAAAAAACCTATTGAGTTATAATGATTTATGTTATTAAAATTATTGTATTTTGAAAAATCAGATAGGTATGGATAAGGGAAATATCTAAAATAAATTGAGTCTATGTCGTTAAACCAATTTAGACTCAAATTCTTTAAATTTGATTAAGATACTCATTATTTCATTATTTAATTTAAATCATGTATGTTTCACAATTCAAAATTATTTTGGCTATCGATAATAGGATTTAAATAAAGAATTGAATAATTATTTTTTTAATAATAAAAATGTCAAATTTTGCTTAATTTCTGGAGGACATCAGTGATTTCAAAGATAGACCTGTTAAATTGAAATAAATCAAAAAAGTTCTGAAGATAAATGAGAAAAGCTTTCCGCCTTGCAAAAATATCCTGAATTATTATTTCTAAGAGTTTTCAAAGTAGATGTTTACAATAAAAGTAGACGTACAAATGAAGAACATCGTACAAAGTGGCACAGGAAAGATAAAATCCTATTTGTCTGGACTGTATTGAAATATTTTGAATTAACAACTAAGACTGATCTAAATCCTGTATTTTTTATTAATAGCATAGTCTGATTAAGATTGGCAATATCTATCTTCTGTTTTAGGAGTCACAGAATAATTGCTCAATTTAAAATGGATTAGTATGTTAAAGACTAATTTAAAAATGGCTCCTTGGAATGCTGAAGAAGATGAAGTTCTACAAAATTTGATTACCGATCCAAGTGAAAATAAGAATTGGACTCAAATAACTATTGATTTTAATAGGGCTAATCCAGCAAAAATAGTTAGACATGCGAAATAGATTCGAGAAAGGTGGAACAATTATTTAAATCCTGACTTAAAAAAGTATTATAAGGACAAGTAATTAGATCTGAATGGTCTTAACCAGAATAATTGCAATTATTGTTGCTCGTGTAGGAGATAGGAAAAAGATGGTCTTTAATTTCTAAACGTATTTAGGGAAGGACTGAAAATTAAGTAAAAAATTAATACAATTCTATGATGAACAATTATAGAAGACAGAATGTATAAATTAAGTCTACATTAGCAATTGGACAATGAAGACATAGCCATTCATAAATTGTTGGCCAATTTATAAGGTAAAGATTATGAAGGTCCTGTTCCATTAACTACCAAGCGTATTAGAAAATAGATCAACAACAATAACAACAATAACATCAACAATAATAACAATAGTAATAACAAGGATACCGTACTCTATAATAATGATTAGCCATATATGTAAATTGAAAATAATGTAATGAATGAGATAAAAGAGGAGCATCAATAAGAATAATCACAATAGTAGTTTTAAATCTAATAGTAATTTTTATAATAATAATAATCCTAATTACAATAGTAATAATAATAACAATAATAATAATAACCTCTTGTACTTGGATTGCCAGTATATTCGCCTATGTTACCGTTTTCACCATTACATTATTTGTTATGTAAAAATGATAGAAACTATCTTTAGAATAAAGTCCCAATAATATTTCATCCCCTTACGAAATAAGGAACAAAAATTATTCTGGACAATTGCAATTGTTTGATGAATATATGAAATCGACAAATAATTTGGATTCCAGTGCTCCCCAGTAGGATGTGCCTTGCTTATTGAGATTATTTAACTCGCCAGCCTTTAGCAACTAAGGATTTCCTTATGCTACCATGCCCTTCTAATAACCTACTTAATAGCAATCAACTTACAACATGAAAAAGATAAATAAGATTTAAAAGGAATTGCTAAAATTCGATACAGGTTTAAATAAAGAAGGCTGATATTATTTATTAATATATTTTCTTAATCACAAATGAAATCTAAAATCGATTCTCAATAAGAAGAATCAAATACGGACAATGACTTTTCCGAAATGTCTGATACTCAAATTAGAAGAAGAGGTCCAGCTCCCAAAAAAGTTGTTACTAAAAATAAACTGCCCAATTTAGAAAGAAATATCCCTATAATTATCAAGAATAATAACTTTGTAGTAAGAACGATTTGGACCATTGTTATGATTTTGGGGTTTATGGCTGTCTTATGGGCAGGCCATATTTATATCATTGGATTGGTTTTGCTAACTAATATTGGAATATTTAAGGAAATTTTGGGATTGAAAAGAAATTATGAGAAAGAGGTGAATGTCAAGTATTCGCCCATAATCAATTGGTACTTCTTTGGAATAGCCACATTTTTTTGTTATGGAAAACTCTTTTAATCTAAATTATCAGAATACGCATTTAGAATGCATATACTGTCATATATTTTGAATTATCATAATATTATAACATTTATGTTATGGGTAGCAGGATTTCTGATGTTCACACTATCACTTAAAAAAGGATATTATAGGTATCAATTTAGAATGTTTGGATGGACTCACATTACTTTAATCCTTGTAGTCGCTCAAAGTTCAGTCATGATCATGAATATATTTGAAGGTATCCATAATAATGTCTATTTCTTAGGCATTGTTTGGTTTATATTGCCATGTTCTTTGGTCATCACAAATGATATATTTGCATACATTTTTGGAGTATCATTTGGAAGGACCCCTTTAATTGAATTATCACCAAAGAAAACATGGGAAGGCTTTATCGGAGGCTGTTTTTCAACATTAGTTGCATCCTTTTGTGTAAGCTCATATTGTTAATATAGTTTGCTTACTTTTTATAAGGCAGTCAGTATTTGACATGTCCATAACACTAGCTGCCCTTTTCTCCCTTCGCCTCATTAACATGTGAAATACCAAGTGTTTTTATAACTACTTAAAGGTTTTTGCCTTTTTCAATATTTGGAATTGATTCAATTTATTATAGTGATTTCTAACTTCATGCAATGGTGTTTAGTTTATTTACAAGTTTGGTTTCACCATTTGGTGGGTTCTTTGCATCTGGTTTTAAGAGAGGTATTAAAATCAAGGACTTTGGTGATACTATCCCAGGACATGGAGGAATTACTGATAGAATGGATTGCTAAATACTAACAGGAATGTTTTCTTATTTATATTTGCATCAAATTGTGTTACCAAAGGCAGTAACGTTAGGGACAGTACTCGGTTATGTTTCCTAATTATCCTCTAATGAGTAACAAGAATTATTTGAGCAGCTCAAATAGACATTATCGATTGTTCAATGAAAAGTTGATTTAAATAATAGAATTAGTGTATTTATTATTTAATATAATAATTATATATCAAGTTGAAAAAAACATATGAAGCAATATACAACATGTAATAAACAACCTAAGTCTAGGTGATTACTTAAACAAAAGTGAAATTATTTGTTCCAAATTTTCCCCACATTAAAATCAATTCATTAGCGTGAATGAAAAAAATCTATTTTTATGGTCAGATTAAATCTATTAACCCCTTATTGTAGTTAGATCATAAATTATTTAGGCTTTAAGTAATTCTGTCTAGATTTCGTGTATTGAATTTAGCAAATAATCTAACTTAATACTAGAAGGGACTTAAGAAGGGAGGATTCTTATTCTATAGTTAGAACAATAAATCTGTAAAATTCTTGATTAATTTTGATTAGAATAAGAAACAAAAGCATTGCATAATGGAGCTATTACAAAATTAACTAATTATGATATTAATACGTTCATAAGTGGGTCTTAAGATTCAGTGATTATGATTCATGACTTGAGATAAAATATGCCAATAGCTTAAATTAAGCAACATAAGCAATAAATAAATGACATTGTTGCAGATTCGGAGAAATTTCAATTTATTTGCGGATCTCAAGATGAAACTATCAGTATTTGGGATTTTAGAAATTATTCCTAATCTTAAGGCTTAATTGATCATCAAGATTCTGTACACAACTTATTGATGATAAAAAATTCCGATACATTATATACAAGTGGAGAAAAATATACGATTTAAGAATGGGATATTATTAAATAAACTCAAGTATTTCCTTTATTTATAGAAGAATCAAATTTCAATAACTTAATAACCTATTTAAAAAATGATATTTGATTATGAAAAGGAGATCTTAATTTGTGCTTAATAAGATGTTCTGGACTTGTTCAATACTGAATTGATATAATTGAATTCAATAGAGATGGATTGGTCAAGAATACAAGACATTAAACTTGAAAATGGTGTTGTCTAAGTATTGGAGCAAAGAGGTGACATTTTAAAGTTGCATACTTTTTAACTTGATTTAAATGCTCAATAAGTAGAAGACAGTTAAGCATAAATATAAGATAGCTAAATTCCCTTCTCATAATTAATGTAATTTGACTAATGCTTTTACCCAACATAATCTGATGAAAAGTTAGACTAAAGTTATGAATAAGAAGCATAGGTTTCTGATGACATAATTACAACTTAAAATCTCTCTCTTAAATTCTCTTAAATACTTTTTTCAAAATCAATTTAAGATAAATACATCCAAGTAGAAATCATAAACGAAATCTCCTTAGACCACAGCAAAGTCAAAATGATCCTAAATGAAAGAATATCAAAGTTAAAGCCAATTATAAATTTGTACGCTCAAAATGATATGAAATAATGCATTTAACAAATTCGTCGGTAAGTTTATTTATTATATTCCAATAGTTGTAATGATAACTCTGCACTTATTGATTTGTTTGCTATGTTAAGATTTGATCCAGCATAGAGAAAACTATAGGCAGAAGATACATTCTTATTGTTGGAAAGTGCAACACTATTACTAAACTCAAAATACTCATATTAAAATATCAAAGGATTGGAATTTATTAAATTTTGTTTCGGCCAAATGAAAGATGTAATCTTGTTTTATTACAAATAGAATATTTTACAATATAAAAATACAAGAAAACAATTGTAAAATAAAGTGTAGGACAAAAATTAGAATCGACAAAAGGCATATGAAACATTGATTCTGTAATTTGATAAAATTGTGAAATTGCCTAATTTTAATAAATTGTTAAAAGCAAAGGATATTAACTTAGTCAATCTAACATCATAAATTAAAAATGAAATATCATAATTTTTGAATAAATTAGAATGATAATTCAACGAAAGAGAATTTTAATTTAATTTTAATGAAATATATCAAAAAACAAAAATAAAAAAAATACTCAAACAGATTCTTCAGCATCACTGCTAAACGAACTGTCTCCAGTGTCAGTTTGTTTTAATTGTGAAACTGGCTATGGAGCATGATTATACGTATTATTAGCAGCATGTACCTAAAATAGTTATCAATTTATACAATTCTATCACTTTTTTCTAAATTTTTATTGTCTTCTGCTGCCTTTTTACTTTATTGTTTTTTCAAATATTCTAATTTTGTGTTCACATATTTCTCCAACTATCTTGTCTTCTTTACTGGCAAAGTATCAATATCAAATTCTAATTCATCATTTTATTCTTAGATCTTGAGCCCATCTGATACTATTTCCCAAACCCCTCTAAGATGCTCTGGAGGCAAACTATTAATATTTGATACTAAAGCTCTTTTTTCTTGCATATTCATAGGCTATTCCATTAAACTTGGTTATTTTCTAATATTATTATTGTATGTTTTACATTGGTTTCTTGTTATTTTAATTATTGTGATTATTATTGCTGTTAGTTTATTAGATGGCAGGAGGCTTTTTCTATTTCTCTTATTTTGGTGGTTGCTCAACAACTTACTTTGGTTGATAAGGTTTGTCTATTTCCTTGTATAACTCGTTGAAATGTTGTTCTAACTCTTGAGTCATAGCATAAAGTTAGGTTCCTTTGTTGTTCATGGCGTAGGACATTTACCAAATTTTCTTAATATCACCCCAAAATTACGTGGCTGTAAGATATTCATCTAATTAATAATTGGAATTGTGTAGTACTGTTTTTGAGATTCTATTCAACAATTTATAAGTCAACGTATTCCAATTCTTAAGGATAATTGACGTTCTCTAATTTCCTTAAAAATGGTGCTGCTAATTAATGTTTCTTTAATTTTTAAAGTAATGTTAAGCATCTTTTCATTTCATCAGTATTTTCAGCTCTATAAGGTGCGACGTATGTCTTTTTTGTAACTTTATTCTCCTCATCTGACGAAATATCCTATTAAAATTTCTAAAATTTTATAATTTGATTAGAAAACTTTAACATCTCTTTTCGATTATCTGCTTAAATTAATGCTAAACCCAGGGGGTAATCTCTTTGCAATCACTCTTGCTTAATCCGAAGTTAAATGGACTTAAAAAACATCATCGATTTGCTAGATTTCAAAAATTATAATTTAGTAATACACAAAAGGTCGTCATGGCTGTAATAACGATTTCTAGAGTATGAGAGATTCTTTTGAAAACAAATTATTTTAATTATTATTTTTTGTTTATTTACCTTAAAAATCCAGATAAAAAAATGACCGGGGGTGCAAAAAAAATGTATGATTAAAAATTAAAATAAGTTTGAGAGGCAATTATATTGTTTGAATAGAAAAGAATAATTATATGATCTCCCTTAAAAAGTTAGAAGTTCTCTGACAACATTAACCTATATGCTCCTTCTTATTTCTTCAATCTATTTAGAAATTCATCATATTACATGTGTTATATATTAAATTCACTATATTGGATTAGTTCAAAAATAGCTTTTCAATTCAGACTTAATTAATTTACTTTCAAAAATCTACTAAGCTTAGTTTGACCATATTGTGATTTTTGAATTATATTCATTATAATGAACAATATATTTTATTTAATTTTAATATAATACTTTTTATATATATCTCAATTACTTCTTATGCATTAATTCAAGATTTCCTTATTTTATATACACATTAATATATCGATTTAATCTAATCCAAAAAATGTGTAAATTTTGATTAATGATTGAAAAAAATCAAATTCACAAACTATAAAACTAATGTTTGCTCTTCGGTAAAAATCTGATCAAAAAAAAAATATCTTGAGGATTTACCTTGTTTTTGCTCTTAATATCTTTGTTCTAAAGAAAGGCAAAATACTAATTTGCCTATCTTAAAATTTAAATAAGCTTATTTAAATCTTATTTTAGATTTCGCGATAAAAGAACACAATAATTTGAGCAATATCCCTCTTCAATTAAATATGGGTTGTTAATAATTTTATTTCCTTCCTCTATCAGCTTAAGGATTTTGGATTGCCTAGAAGATATAGTAATATATGTTTTTCTATCTAATTTTAAAAAAATATGTTCAATCTTAGGAGATGCTTGGGTTTATAACTATTTAAATAACTTTTGAGTAAGATTCTAAAAAATCGATTATTGTAAAATTATATTAAAAATATCAATACATTAAAATTGAAAATTAAATGTAAAAGTTGTCTTCTTGCAAAGGGAATTGAAGAACTATATAATAATATACAAAAGAATACATCAATATAAGTAATAATTTAATTTATTTCAATTAAAAAAATTGAGAAATAAATGATAAGATTATAAGATAATTATTTTGATCTAATTGGATAATTAAATTCTTTGGAGTCAATATAAATTGATACTTGAACTCAGTTTATAGACATTATTGTGCTTGTTGATTAGTTATTTTTATAAATTAATTTAATATTAATGAATAAAACACACCTATCACTTTTACCAAAACTATAGTAATTTATCTAGAGTATTGGGGAAGAAAATTCTTCTGCGGATATTTAAAGTCTCTAAAATACAATTGACATAAAAATACAGTAAACGAGTATTACCTTAAATGAAATAATTCATTTTTATGAATATTGTGAATCACAGTAATCAAATTTGTTATGAAATAGGGAATTTTTGAAAATGCATAGTTCAAGAAATTGGACGGATGAAGAATGGAAAGTCTTAATATGGATTATTTAACAATATTGCGTTGCTAATTAAAAAAATAGTGAAGATTTTGTATTATAATAATTTTACAATAGAAAGCTGAGGATTGGCATGAAATTTCCGAGATCATAGCAATTAAAGATGAATTCAACTGTCAATTTAAATGGTTTTCTCACTTACGCGTAGTGCCTGCAAGCAAGAATTGGACATCAGAAGAGGATCAATTGTTATATAAAATAATGACGAAAGAACCAAATATTAAATGGTTTGAAGTTCAATACGAAATGTTTATTCAATCATCAGGGCTTTATTTTAGGAAGGCTAAGCAATACAGGGAAAGATGGAATAATTATTTAAATCCATAAGTAAATAGGTAAAGATTTGTATTTAATCTTAGAGGTATCTGGACAGAACTTGATGATTTTAATTTATTGTAAATAGCTCTAGCGGAAGGACTTAGATGGTCTAATATTTCAAAGAAACTAAAGAACAGAACAGAAAATTAGGTTAAAAATCGCTTTAAAAGTCTAATTAATAAAGAAAAAAAAATTACATAAATACCTTAAGGAGTCACTGCAGAATAAAGCTAAGATCCCTCTAAAAATGGGATGGATAAAACAACGTAGTTTCTAATTCATTCGATTCTTAACAGATTGAAGCCAGTTTAAAAATTATAATAAACAAAATAAAATCAGTAAGATAATACTTACAGTTAAGAATAGCCTTATTAATAAATCAATCCATACAACTTACTTATGAATCCTTAATAATATTATTTTTAACAATTTTAGCAAGTTCCTCAAATGCCATAATTGCAACCATTATCACAAGTATAGTAAGTAACTTAATTTTCAACAATTCCCTAAATTCCTGCACAAATTAATCCACTCTAATAATAAATGCATTGTCAAACTTAATAATATCCTCCATAATAACCCAATATCAGTATATAAATACCACAGCATCAAAATTTAGTTTCGTAATAGCTATTGCAATAATAACTAATTCAACAATAATAATAATAATAATAAACTATGATTCCCAACTTCTATCAAGGCTAATACTTTCCTTAATAATTTATCTAATAATAATAATAGCAATAATAATTTAAATTTAATGTATACTCTTCATAGCAAAATACACCTACAAATTCAATTGGAACTCTTAGCTCTTAGAGATCAGAAAAAATGATATCCGATTAAATTAAAGAGGAAGAAAATAGTAATTCATCTTCAAATAAAGAACCTAAAGTCTAAAAAATTGTTTGCGTTTCTGCTCAATCCTCTATTAATGGCTCAACTAGTTCAGTAAATTCTATTGATGTCATTAAATAAAATTTTAAGAACATGAATTTGGATTCAGATTAGGTTAGTCCTGAAATTTAAAAAAGAAAACATTAAAGATCGCAATCGGGTGCTTTTGATATTAACAATTAAGCAAAGATGAAGACTAAGAGATCGAGATTTTATTATGCTTCGAATGATGGTTGAGTTATGTTAATTAATAATACATTTTAATAAACTCATATATTAATATAATTATTTATTGATCCAAATTTTATATATATATGCGATTATTTTAAAGAGTAATCATTTTAATTGAAAAAGTAAATTCAACTTTATTTCAAGAATCTGGTTCATAGATGACCAAATCTAATTATCTTCAAATTATTGAATCAGCAAAACGTTTTAAATTATAACTTTGTATAATTATCCTATTATTTTTTTTTTCCTTATGGAAAAAATGATGAAATTTGATTATACAAGCACTTTTTAATCGAATCTATTAGAATCTCTCCTAAGAATCATTAAACCATTAGCAAAATGTGAATAATATAATCACAGAAAATGCATAAAATTGCTTTTTTTTACATTAAGTACTATGATAAATGAAACCATTAATATTTATTTTAAATAGAGTTCCTAGATTTTTTAATCAAATTTGAGATTCATATTTGAAAATAGTTTCATTTTCTATCACCTAATGTTATATATCCACCAATTATGTTTAATCCAAAAAATATAAAATATATAAATTTTATTTATAAATTAGTATATAATATAAGAATTCATTAGATAAATAAAATTTCTTTTATAATTTTCATGTCTTATTTCTAAGTTAATTTAGAGGATGATAATTATTTTATTATTTCATGTTTGCTGAGCCACTAGCTTATGATTCAACAGTAAAATTAACTCTGACTCATAATATATCTACTTGCAAAATGATAGATATAAGATTTGACCTTATGCAAACTATTGGCAGCATTAAAGAATCAATTGAAAAAAGGTATGGCAGTGATCCTAAATTTATGCAATTGCAATTAAAGGATAAATAAGTACTTTACTTAAAATATTTTAGGGCAACTTCATCTCATATATGAATGATGATGTAAAATTTTTGGGAACTTATGGAGCTAAGGATGGATATGAAGTTCATATAATTGACAATAATCCAAATAGTGTTTTAAATGGTTTAGAAGATGTGAATAAAGTTTAAAAGTATACAATAAGTGATGAGGATTATGATAAACTACCTGTAAATATGAGAAAATTCAAATAATAATTTTTGTAATAATAAGCTGCTGGAGGAAATTTAGGATAAAATAAACCTGAAATAGATGATAATTATTAAGAGGCAGAAGCATTGTAAATAGCCATAGGCTCTCGTTGTTAACTTAACTAAGGGGAGAGAAGAGGAACAGTTCGTTATGGTAAAATAATAATTAAATTTTTAAGTTGGATAAGTTCCTTAGATGGGATTAGGCTATTTCGTTGGAATCGAGTTAGATGAACCGACAGGAACAAATAATGGAAACATTTAGGGCTTTCAATATTTCTAATGTCCTCAAAAATTTGGAATATTTGTAAGACCAAATGAATTAACTGTTGGTGATTATCCAGTGCTTGATTTTGATGAAATCTGAAATATTATAATTTTATATAATAATGAGTTATGTGCATTTTATGAAAAACCTTAGAATTTATTGATCAAACCCTTGTAATGATATCATTAGTTAATAATGAGAATGCATTTCATTTATTGGAATAATACTAAAATAATATTAGATAGTTTGATTCATAATCCAATTTAGCGATATTTCGATTAATTTTTAGATTAACTTTATTAAATTAAACAAATAATAATCTAATTAGATAAAAGTTAGATCAGTTTTCTTAACAATAATTAATAATATAAAGTTCTAAATCAATTAACTTTTACAGTATTGTCTGGAGCATCGTTCTTTCTATCACTTGGAGTTTCTGCAAGTTATTATTTAGATATGTCTGGTATTTGATCCTTTTGTTATTGTTCTTTTGATTATTATTCAGGTTGAGGCTTGATTTGATCATATTTTTTTCTATCATCCACCCATTTCACAAAGAAATTAGCTGATAATTGTCCCATAATAAGAGTTAACATAAATAAAACATTGATGTGAATTGTGAATTATGGGAAAAGTGCAAATGCAGGACCAGGACAGAATCCTCCTACTCCCCATCCAAATCCAAATATCGTAGCTCCACATACTAGTTTCCAATCTATAACATTATTGGTTGGAATTTCATATTTTGTATTCAAATAAGGTTTCTCTTTGGCTCTAAAAGCAAAGAAATTAATGACTACTGGAGTGACCATCACAAAGATTAGGGTAGCTAACAATATACACTATAATATTACGATCCCATCTTTCGTTTATTGCGAGGAATCCAATAATCTTGCTTCTTTTCACCATACCAGATATTGCCAAGCCTAATCCAAAAATAAATCCGACTACAGTTGCTATGGCTAAGTCAACCATTAATTCCCGTTTCTTGACGAATTAGAATCCAGCCATAATGAGGATGACTACAAAACCTAAAACCAAAGTTGTTATGGCACTAGTTTCATGATCATAATCTATTGGTTCTGGATATTCCAACGGAACTTAAAATTAGCTTAATATGATTACTAAAGTTTTCTTTAATTGAGGCTGTCAATAATCCCATTCCCATAAAACAACAGACTGCAACAATTGATCTCGGAGCCAATCTTGGTAATCCACATACTCCGTGCCCACTTGTGCATCCATTGCCCATTTTAGTACCGAATCCCACACAAAACCCAGCTACAACTGCTCCTCCCCATCCAATTTAAGTTAGAACTGATAAGTCATCATAGGCAGGAGTGCCTCCATCAATAATTGCTTTTTCTGTTCTAAAAAATATAATTTATTCGTACCCAAATGCTAAGTAAATAATACTTGAGGCGATTACCACTCCCATCATCAAGGAAACCTTCCAAAAAAATGATGGAAGATCATATGTGGCAATGCTGTATAAAATTCCACTGAATCCAGTCACTCTGCCTTTAACTAAGTAGTGGAGCGATGTAGCGATGCCTATAAGAGCACCACCTATGACTGCCAACCCGATATCTGTTCCATTCCAGAAAACCATTAATATTTTAGAGATTAATAAAAATTGTTCAAATCTTGTTTAATTAACTTATGTATTTATACTAAAATTTTAATTAAAATTTTTATACTCTTATTTAATATGTGATTATTTTTTAAAATTGTCATAATATTAAATAATAACAATTGTCTTTATAATACATAAAGGAATGTCAATCTCATTATAGTTGAAAAAAATGTGTTCATTCTTTTATAGAAAACCTTTTAGATTTATTGTTAAATTCATTCAAATCATTGATCAGATATGTTAAATCATCTGATAACTACTTGCTTTAATAACTATCTCTTGCATTAGAGTTACCAGTTCGGATTTATAATTCTTGTTTCTATTTATTATTTTTCTATATATAATTTTCATTTGTAAGTTAATTTTTTTCATTTCTTTATTAATTTTTTGAATTATTTTTTTTATTAATCATTCCATATTATTCCCACTTCTTTGGGGAATCCAATTTTTTTTGATTATATTTTTAATGGCTTTTATTCAACCTTAGGATAGGTGTGTCTTAATTAATTTTGTCTTTATTGATTGGACTGAAGAAATTCTATGAAGAATTAGACTTATTATGAGGTGACCGTTTTAGTCTGCTAATATCCAATTAAATAACATCAGTTTCACCCATTTTCTTTTTTTATGCTTAGCCTATTTAAGATTATTTTTGTTTTATTTCATATAATTACTTTTCTTTTTATTCGTACCATTATTTTTCAATACATTATTTTTGTTATTATTCTTCAGAATTCTGATGCTAAATAACTATAAGCTTCTCTTATTATTGAAGATTATTCAAAAGGGTCATCAATATTTTTTATTATTGTTTTAACGATTCTAATTCCTTTTCTGTTGACAACTATGTTTGTTTAGGTATTTCACTTGAATATTTTCTAGCTGAATCACTCATCGTATAATTCCTGTTTGATTAGCAAAGCTTTAATTAAGAATCATATTTTCTGAGAGTTTATTTAACATCTTTTTGAATATTCTTAATAAGTGTTGATGAATGTCTAGCCAGTTGTTAAGCATGAAACAAATTTTGATTCAGTTTGATATTTTGAATATCAGGTTTAATCGAACTCAATACTTTTTGAGCGTAGTCAACTTCGTGTAGTCTTTTCTTTTTGAATTATTTGTTATTCATAATTTTGTAAATGTATATATAAACTGAAACTATACAATCATATTAATTGAACTTCTCCATATTTAATTTGACTTCACGTATCTCCAATCTGTTTGAATTAATTACATTCTAATTGCCCAGTAAATGGTGTAAACAAATCCATAGGAATTGTTGTTCTTATAGAAATTATCTAGTTTAATCAGACATTCTTCAAAGATAGACACTTGTCAATTCATTAAATAACCAAATTATAGATGTGTGATTAAGTGCTTATAATTAAATCCAGATAGGAATTGCAAGTCAATATATATTTATACTAAATAAATAAATAGAAATGCTCAAATTTGATTTATATCGGAAGTTGCCATAGGATTTAATTGAGCCATCAAAATCAGGTGCATTGATCTCCTTTACATCATTGATTTTGATGTTTATATTATTTATTACAGAATTTTAGGTAATTCAAAGTCATAAGGAAAGGAATATCTGACTCAACAAGTGTAAACTGAGATGTATATCGATTAAAACAAGGACGACACACTTTTAGTGAATATGGATATCTCATTTCCCAACATGCCATGTGATTTCATAAGTATTGATCAACAAGATGTAATTGGCACTCATTAATAAAATGTTAAAGGTGAGTTATTGAAAAAGAGAATACTGAATGGAAGGGTTATTGATACATACGTATAATTAAATAGTAATAAATTTAGTTATCAAACAATGAGACATTGAATTTAGAGAGAGCCTAAAAAGCATATGATTAAAAGGAAGGTTGTGAAATGACAGGATATATCATAATTAGTAGAGTTCCTGGAAATTTCCATATATCTGCTCATTCATATGGAGGATAAGTTAATATAGTATTGCCATTTGTGGAAATGTCAACAATCGATTTGTCGCATACAATTAAACACTTGTCTTTTGGAAATTAAAATGACATATAAAAAATCAGAGAGAAGTTCTAATAAGGGTTGCTCAATCCCCTAGATGGCATAAGCAGAATAAAGACTTAGGAACTTAAGAACGTGGGAGTGACTCATCAATATTATATTTCAATTGTGCCTACAATCTATGTTGACATCGACAATAGGGAATATTTTGTCAACCAATTCACGGCGAATACGAATGAGGCTTAGACTAATTCAATGCCTGCGATATACTTTCGATATGACATCTCTCCTGTTACTGTTCAATTTACTAAATACTATGAGACCTTCAATCATTTCATCGTCCAACTTTGCGCTATTTTGGGAGGAGTATTTACAATAGCTGGGATCATAGATTCTGTATTTTATGCATGTAATATATGGGTTTATCATTTAAGTATAGAAGACGAAGGTAGTGTTGGATTAGTGAGAGTGATAGATAAAATTAAATTATATATTGGCATACATCTATGTGATTATTTTAATAATAATTTATTATATGTCATTGAAGGACTTCCAGATATTGCAAGAATTAGGTATAGTTAATATACAAACTAGGTGAGGGAGCCTATTCTCGAGTATTTAAAATAAAAAGAATCGCAGATCAATAGGAATACGCTCTCAAGAAGGTCAATTTGCAATCTCTATCGGACAAGGAGAAACAAAATGCACTAAACGAAGTAAGAATATTGGCAAGTGTGAGACATGCTAATGTAATTCAATATAAGGAGGCATTTTTGGAAGAATAATCTTAAGCATTATGGTAACTATTTAGATGCATTTATTTAAAGTATCGTAATGGAATACGCAGATGATGGTGATCTCTATTAAAAAATAGTAGAATGCCAGAAGAAGGGAGTTCTTATGTCTGAAAATGATATTTGGAACATCTTCATACAAGTATTTCTTGATCCATATCAACATTACAGATTGTCAAAGGTTTGAAAGCATTGCACGATATGAAAATATACCACAGAGATCTCAAATCAGCAAACGTCTTTATGAATACGGATGGAACTGTTAAATTGGGAGATATGAACGTCTCCAAAGTTGCTCGAAAAATACTACTCTACACACAAACCGGAACGCCTTATTACGCCTCACCAGAAGTTTGGAAAGACCAGCCTTATGATTCCAAATCCGACATTTGGTCATTAGGATGTGTTCTCTACGAAATGACTACACTGAAGCCACCCTTTCGAGCTGAAGATATGAGTGGTTTGTACAAAAAGGTAGTTAAGGGCTTTTATCCTAAAATACCCACCATTTACAGCCAAGATTTAAGCAATGTAATTAGGGCTTTGCTCTAAGTCTAACCACATTTGAGGCCCAGTTGTGATAAGATACTATAATTGTAATCGATAGTAAATAGGTTGGATGATAAAGTCTTGGTTGAGGAGGAAGGAGCCAAGTTCCTATTGTAAACAATCAGAGTTCCCAGGAATATGCACTATTTAACAGATAGATTGCCTAAACCTAATTATAATCCAGTTAGAATGACTAAAATTGATAAATAGTAGTTCATCTAGACTTTGGCTATTTAGAAGTTGAATTAAGAAAATTTAGAGGAGAATCATTCAATGCATATTGATTTCTTGCCTCGTCTTAATAAAAGGAATGAAGAGAGTCTTGATAATTCGGTTGTTTCAAGAAATAATAAAAAAGGAGGCGAGGACAATTAATTAGATAACTAAAAGAACAATCAAATCAATTAAATATATGGGGTTGGCATCCATCCTAGAAAAAAGGATTAAAGAATTTCAAATAAATCTTAGAAGCATGAACCTCTGAAATCAAACAAAAAAAATGAATTAGAAGGAGAACTCAAACCTTTGATAATAAAATCGTAAAATAATAGTCTTTCATTTTAGTTATAGTCCTAAAATCCCCAATGATGATAGACAGCCATTATTGCCACTCTTGCCCAGCATTAAAAAAGAAGCTGCAAAACAAAACGAGGATGAATAATTGAAAAGGATTAGATAAACAGAAGAATTAATTTAACAATTAAGAGAGAGACAACTTAAACACAAGAAAATCTAGAAATTATGAATAACTGATTGATAATAGAATATTATAATATATCAAACTTTTTATACATCTGTGACTTCTAAGATTTCTCCTACTTTTTGGTTTATTTTGAAAGTGTACTTTATGTCTGTTCTGCATAAGAAACATTACTTGGTAGTCTTCATAAGATTTTCAGAACATCCTGTGCAGATACCGCCGTGATTGCATGGATATAAAACAATATCTGGCTCATTTTCAAAGCAAATTAAGCAAATATCACAAGAGTCTTAATCTCTTGGGATTGATTTGATTTATTTTATCATCGTCAAACAAGGAGACTATCTAAAATTAAGAGAGTCAGGCCTTAAAACATCACTACATATTGGAATTGAACTAATATTTCTATTGTTTATTTCATTTGCTGTTTTTCGTGTTATTAATTTATAAAAAGAAGCCGAAACCCTAATAAATAAAATTGGGATTTAGAGCTTAGACCATTTAGCTTTTGGTGACTCTGGTTCAGGAGATTTGGGAGATTTTGGAGATCTAATTTCTGCATGAGTCTACCTACCTTCCAATTGTAAAACAATTCTATTTTAATTATTAAATGTGAAATACATCAATTGTTTCCTGACTTTATTAGTAAAGAATAGAAAGGAGATCATGTAAAGTATTAGGGATATCAAAATAGCTATTCCAGCTATTTTGATGTTAATTTGGATTGTATCTTTTTCATAAAATTAACAGATCTCCTTCAGAAGGAAGAATGGTATTACTGTGAGTCCAAAGATATAATATATCAGCCATAGAATGATTGATCCTTGATTTAATAATGTTGTACCATCCATTTCAGGTATGTCTTTGATGAAACAATTCTCTACTAAAGTGATAAGCAGGAGGACAATTAAAAAAGTGTTCACTCCCAAGGCAGTCCAAGCGATGATGAAGGTTTGGTAATAGGAGTATTAGAAAAAGGAGTTCCACTTCAAGGAGAGTAATAACAATTATAAGATATAGAGGATTCCATAGGAGTGAGCAATCTTAATAGAGTTATATTATACTATATAATGTTTCCTTTTGGATTGATCCTATTGCAGGACCTAATAGAGAAATAATCCGATTATCACAACCATTTACATCGCGGGAATGTAATATAAATTAATCTCCATAACTTCAAAATGAATAACTACTGTGATCATAAAAAATTGTGAAATTTACTTTAAATGAAATACTCAGCACTTTCTCCAAAAAATGAACACAGGAGACTGACTTGGATATGTTTTTGTCGAGCAATACAACAATAAAAGTGATCAAATCCATAAACCAGGCAAACATTATTATATATTTGGAATCGAATAACCAGATGAGCTTTAAACTAAAGATAAGCATGTATAATTAGCACACAAAATTGAACAAACATATTCGATTCACCTCATTGGAATACTAAGTTAAAATTGATGGTACTTAACTTCTAAGCCCGCTTATTAAGTTCGAATTTAGCCTTAGGATTGAATCATAAATATGATAGTTATTAATATAATTTAACTATTTCAATCAGATGCCATAAATAGAACACTGTAGTATTTATAAAATAAGATATTTATTCACTTACAAATTATAAAGACAAAAAATTCATTATAAAAAAGCACTCTATCTAAGTTCTTGAATCGTTGCTCTTTATAATGGATCTTACGAGAAACACATTTGAAGAAACCTCTTCAATTCTTCAGAAACTCCCTCTGGGATTCTAGGCGACTCTTGATTAAATGCAATTGCGAGAAGTGTTGATGCAACATTATCAAAATCAAGTTGTTCAAACCATGGATGTTTCCCAGTTAACATCTCCAAAATCAAACAGCCAAATGACCAAATATCAGCAGGAGTGTCAATCTGTTCTTATCTAACGACCTCAGGGGCCATCCAAGGAACACTCCCTTAAAGTATACTCTAACATAAATTTTGTTTAATGTGTCTGCTACAACCAAAGTCTGAGATTTTAATATCGCCACTTGAGTCTAATAAGATGTTGCTTGATTTTAAATCTAAATGCAATATTCCTTTGTTATGTAAGTACTCTAAGCCATTGAGGATTTAATGAGTATAGGTTTTGATTGTTGACTCTGTCATTGGACCAAATTCATTTAATAATTGAGAAATTGAACCTATGATTAATAAATTGAATCATACCCATTGGCATATATTCTTAATAAATTAATAAACTATCCTTTGTTGACATATGGGATATATATTTGATTATGTTTTGGTGTTATAGGATTTACAGAAATGACAGTTCAATCTAATTAAATTTGTGCATCTTACATCCACTTTTTACTGATTCTTGAATTTGAACAGTACTTTTTTACAAGCCACAACTTCGCCAGTATCCATGTTCATTGCTTGATATACTTGAGCATTTGATCCAGAACCAATCAATTTGCCTAGTTTGTATTGGCAATCCTTATTGGCACAATCTTTAATTTGAATGAATCTGTTTATTGGCGCAAGAGTGACGTGATGGTTGTTTTTTGCAGGAACTTTCAGGAATCTATGCTTCCCATTACTTTATTGATTAGTAAAACTAAGAATACCTTTAACTAGCTGCTCGTATTGTATTATTTACAGACCTCATAATTTTCACTATTCTAACTAAACAATTATCTAAGAAATAAATTATATATATATATTTATTTAACCACATAAATAACCCAATCCCCATATCTTTAATTACAGTTAATAAATGTTAGTCTCAGATTGCTATTTACTCCAAGTTTTTCAAAATGTATTCACAAATATAATCAATTAAAAAGAGATAAACCCATCTAATTAACTTAAACTCAAAGGTCAAAATAACAATATTCCTAAATGTTCAAGAAATTACAATCATAAGCCAAGGAACAAAACAACGAATACCATAAATGACAAATAACATACAACTAATTAGATGTAAATTATTATCATAATATTAAAGAAATTAATTTTAATTAAGAATAAGTTTTCAATTAATCGGAAAGAAAATACATCAATTTTTACTAGGAACTTTATAAATAAATATGTTGTGTTAAGAAATCTTAGATATTCTTACAGTATGCATAAATTGAAAAGCATTTTGATGTGCTACGTTTCTTAACCGTGCCAAGTTGTTAAACTAAAAGTTTGGGAAAATATTATGAATTTGTATCCCAAAAACAAAGGAAGAAAATATATCAAATAAATCTTCATTACTTAAGTGTGTTCCTTATTAAAGCATTTTATAGTGTAAAGTTACTGGTGTTCAATAGTAGGTCAAAGAAATTATTTTATACATTCAAAAGAAATCTCTTCAAAGATGTTCATAACAGATTTTATAGATTTAGTGAGGCTGCAATATAACAGCAAAGTTTGATACAGAGAAGTTTAATTTGAGAAAAGAGACGTTAAAGGTCCTTTAAATTAGTTTAGAAATTTCATCTTATATTCTTTTTATCCTGCTGATCTCACGAGTAATTATCACATAAATAGAATTTCATGCATTAACTATTAATATTTCCTATTATTCCACCTTTAATCCATTAAGAAAACTAATAGATTATTAATTAAGAGAATATTAATTAATTTTATTGGGTAACTAATTTTATTTACAGAAAATGGTACTTTGCATAGATTAGATTCAATTTAAGAAATAATCCTTTAAAAAGTATTCATTTTATAAATTCTTCTGTCTATCTTCTATGGGAATATTTTAATGATCATTATTAGTATATATATGTATAGTTATTGTTTCCTTTGCATAACTAAAATGCGATTTTTTATAATATCATACAATTAACTAATATTTTGCTAAGAATAGGTTTTCCAATTTTCTGCAATATATATATAATATTACCTTACCCTTCTTTTATATAATTATTTGCTAATGCTGCCCCAACTGGTTATGATGGATAGGCTAGCTTTGAATTTTATTAAATTAAAAAGGAGCACATAGACATAGAAGTTAATGAAAACAAATTAGATATCATAAATATATAGAAATAATAAATAGATATGTAAAACTAATTAATAAAGATTTCTTAAATATTTTATAAACATCATTTTTTATGTAATTTATTTGCCTTCTTTTTATTTTATTCCATCTTTAACTTTCTTTATTCTCTTTTAGCTTTTAATTAAGATGGAATTCTAAAGAATTAATCTTATTTCTTTTATATTCCTTTCTTAAATTATTTCATTTTTGCGACTAAAGCGAAATCATCATCCCCAACTTTGGATTTAATCTTTCTGATTTTCTTTCTGATAATTCTTCCACTTGTTCTCATTTCATTCTTTAATTCTAAGTCCTAATTTAATTGATTAGCATTACTAAATTAACTTCAACTTGTGATATTTAGACATTTTCTATTTTATTGTGCTTAAGCTTTTTCTTATCGAGTTACTGTTTTCTAATTTTCATTTGTTTGAATCTATTTTCCATGACATGAATGGGCTATTTCTATAATATTGTTAAAATGTTTTCCTCGAAAATCAAAGTCTTGGCAATGATGGCTTTATCATATGACTCTTTATTTTGAAAGGTCACGTAGCCGACTCCTTTTGATTCACCGTCATCATCCTTCAATATAGTGATGTAAGCAATATCGCCAAATATTGAAAAGGCTTATTGCAATTATTGATTGGTTGTGTGAGGAATGTTAAGTACACTAATAGTGTAGACTTCCTACTCGACTTCATTGACTAGGGTGGCATGAAATTTTTGAGTGTTCAACTGCTGTTATGCTTCTTGGGCTTCCTGAAGAAATGGAAATGATGAATACTTAAGATGTTGCATATAGTATGTATATGCCATGTGAATTTTATATTTGTTGGAGGGATTTTATATTTTTAGGTACATCGGTTGCATTGTCTATTTTAATGGTTCTGGAGTTGATGGATTTGATCTATGCCATTGATAAGGTATCAGTAACAAAGGGATTCATAAATTAATTTCTAATACTAATTAATTATTCAGAAATTAAAATTATAACAATGTGATGAGAAAATTAATAGAAGTAAAAATAATATAATCAAACCTTGTAACTTCTATTTTGACTCTTTGCGTTCCTTCCAACACCCAGCTATTCTAATAAGTGATTATCCATAGTATAATTGAGTATCTTACATTCTTAGGAACTTTCAAGTTTCTTGAATTTTGTTACGTGTTCTCTAACTTTAGATCTTAGATTTAATAATCAGAGCTTACCTTGATTTTGGAATAATTTGAAACTTTTACAAACTTCCCTCAAAATCATCTTATTCTGTTTTAATTCTCATGTTTTCGCCATTTCTTTTTCCATTCAAAAATATATTTTGTGTATTATTAAAAGAGTAACTATTAATTTAGGTAGTTCTTTTATTGAAAGTATTGCTATCACTATTTGCATATTCAATACTTATTAGTAGAATTATTGATTTTGCGTTATTGAGTAAACTTTAAGATTTGCAATATCTTCTTCGATTATTTCTTCTTTTCAGATGATATTGTGGGAGTGGCTCTGAAGTACAAGTTCTTTTACGTTTTATGAGTTACACTATCTCGATTTTGATTGCCATTCTAACTCATTGTGTTCAGATTTATCATGTAATGATCAATGAGTCTGCTTATCGATGTGCTGGATTGATTCTAACAATGAGATTTCGATTGACTATTAATAGAGGAGAATAAGAACTTTGTCTGTTTTGGATTGGCAGTATTGAATTTTTGTATAGTATTTTATTGGGTAGGATCATCGTCGATGGATTCGGCTAATTTCAATAGCTTCTCATTCAAAGCCTTCATAAAATAGGGAGATGTGGCATCAGTCAACCGCTCTATATTGTTGCAGTTAAGATTGTAAATTGTAGTATCTTTAAGAGATTAAAGAGAATTATCAGATGAGGATTCATAATCTTCCTTAGGGAAAATAAATGTGTGATTAATTTGGCAATCCTTATATCTAGTAAATGATTTTGTAAGTACTTAAATTCAATCTCTTGTTTAAAATCCTCAGGTTCCAATTCTTCATCAGGTTAAGTTTTTATTATTATTTATTGCTCAGGAACTAGGGGTTTGTTGATCTTTTATAAAATGTGATATTTCATTAAGTCTTTGTCAGTTTTGCCCTGGTTATTTGGTTGAGGGCACTTTGTTTTTGTAATTCTGTTGGACATTATTATATAAGAAAAATAAATTAATAATTAATCAAAATTATTTGATTCAGGCTAGAGCACATACATGTGTATCACTTAGAGAGATGAACTAATCTATTTCCTTTTAACCTTTACAATTTTTAATAGCAAGTTTGATTGAAAAATCATTCATTAATTGAAATTATAAAATCTTTGACAACTCTTTCATGTCTCCTAATATTTGATAAACATTCTTATTCAATCTAAATGAGTCTCAAAAATTTGATTTATAATACATCACAATATTCTCCTTTTCAGTTGATCAAGAATCAATTCAATAAACTTAAGAATACTTTTTGTAAATGAAATTTTATAAATAGATATTCTATTCATTTTATGTACAAACCAAGTTGATGTAATAGGTAAGTAAGAATTAAATTATTTTAGTTTTATTACTTATTTAAGCATTCTCTTAAACACTATCAGTTTATATCTAAACTATTTATTATCAGAAGCCATAATATTTGGTTGAAAAACACTTATTCAGTTAAATCTAAAATATAAAAAACCTCTATAAATTAGAAACATTATTTTTGATATACTCACCGATATTATTTGATTCTAATCTTATCTCTTCTTCTCTCTGTTTTAGTTGTATATCTACATTTATTGAAAAAACTTAAGAAGGATAAAGAAACATATTGAAACTTCTGAAAATTATCGAAACATATATATCTAATCCATTAAGTGAATTATTTATATCTATTAGGCTAATGGCTAATAATCTCACAAAAACAAACCATGATTTTTTACAAGATAATTAATCTATTCTATTGCTTCGCTAAACTACATCTTTATCATATAATAAATTCAACAATTTTAAATTAATATAATAGGTTTTTCTAAGAGTATTTCTGATTTCCTTTATGATCTTATACTAATCAAATAATTTGGTTAAAATATCATCTTATCTTTATAAAGCAATTCTAGTTTATTAAATTTGAAAGAGTTGATTTAAATTATGATTAAATTATCCTCTATTTGCAAATTTTGAATTCATGTAAGGTCAATTTAGAAATTCTGAAACTATTTATATCTAGATCACTCAGTTTACTCATCAATTTCTTCATAACTTTGAGTTAATTTATATTTTAGATTAAAATTAATGAATTGCAAACTGTGCAAATAGAGTTCACAACAGCTGATATTTGAGAAACTACAAATAAAGTATTTCGAAGCCTTCAACTTCTATTTTGCAAAGCCAATCAATGAAATTCTATCATAAATTGCTAATACTCCTCATGTAATCTATTATAAGGATTATGTGATATTAGATGAATAATAAGAATACATGAAAAGGTAGTAGAACTTCCTTAACATGTAGATATTATAAGAAAGAAGAAGTCAAACCAAGACTTGACATTTTGATTGACTTTTACGTAACAAATTACAAAGAGGCTCACCCTTATTTACTAGTTGTTGAGAGTCATACTTTAATGGCCAAAAGAAACAAGAAAATTGACAAGCTTTATTATTAGAGAATGCAAGAGAGTGAAAATTCCAATAAATCCTAGAATCCTGTTGTTGTAAATAATGTACTCAATTCAAAACTATCATCAAAATCTCAAATCAGTTATGAAACAGTAGAACACGACATCTATTCTTCTGAGGATCAACCATAGAAATAGAGTCGCATCGATTTCAAAGGCATAACTCTCCTCAATAATCCTGAAGAAAGTAACTTATTTCTTGAAATGCTGGACAAGTAATACCAAATTATAAATAAAATAACCAACAAAAATAAGTTACTGCCTCCAAATTTTTACATCAAATCTCCTACCCAAAGTCAATAAAACATACAAACCAATCTCATTAAGGATCTTCATGCAATGAAAAGCGCCAAGAGAAGAACCCATAACATGGACCTCAGGGAGAAAAAGGGTAATTCGATTAAATATCTATTCCATAGCAATTTTTGCTAATTCCAAGAGTGAATCAAAGCATTCCCAATCGAGTTTCAAGATGTCTAGGATCAAGGACTCGGTGGATTAATAAGGTGATCAACTTTGCGATTATGTCTCTGGATAAATTGAACCCTCTGATCTGGAAGGTAAGAATAAGATGTCTCGAATATAGAATGATAATTTCACAGTCTAAAAGATGCTCAAGGAATATTAAGGCAATCAAATCAGACAATTAAGATCAACTATATCATAAGACTTATTAGTTGCAAGTACATCTACTCTTATATAGGGATTTTAAGGTTCTTAAAAAAGCAGTAAATAAGATCAAAATAACAATAATGGTAGTATATAAAATATATCATAAAGACAAGAATAATTAAAGAAAGTATATTAACCAGCTTAAAAAAAGAAAATAAACTAGAATCAATTGGATAAAATTGCAAAGGGGGGATGTCTGACTGATAGAAATATGAAATAGTTGCCCATTTCTGAAGATTTGTTTAACAAATTGCATGACATCAAAATCAAAAGTTCATAGAATGCTGAATCCTAGAAGAAACCTGAATTCAATTACATGATACCATCCTAATATAATGCGATGTCCACTTTCAAAATAGGCAATAACAACAAAGCCAAATCTCAATATGCCAAGAAGAACATGGGACTAGATTTAGCCACCAAATCGTAGCATTAGTAATAGGGAAATCATAGCCAATCTAAAGTGCTGAACATTAACACACAGAAAACTGATGATATTGTTAAAAAGTACATTTAGTTGGCCACACAATCTATACAAAATCATAAAAAATTTGATTTCAAATTGAATCTTTAAAACTTAAATAATAATGAACCTCATTTAGATGAAGAACTCTGTATTTATAACTAATTATATATTAAATAGAAAATAAACGTCTGAATTTTCTTACTGAAAGACACAGTCAATAATAATAAGAGAAAGATTAATTTATTACTCATAGAAAAATTGTGATTAAATGAAATGTGATATTTTAATCAATTAAGTTTATTGGATCTATTACTCTCTCTACAAATGCGCCCAATTTCTAAATCAAACACTGATTTAATGAGGGATAATTTAAATTATGAAGCCAAATTTACATATTTTTATAACATTATAATTATATATATTATTGATTAGTATTTATTAAGATGGAATTTAATGCCCAAAAAAGTGTGTTTGATTTGGTCAGACTATCTTTTCCTTAATAAACGGAAGAAAATACTCTAATAAATTACAAGTCATATTTGTATAGGATTTTGAATCTCAAAACAAAATATTCAGAAATGGATGATATGGTAATAGAGAAGGAAATCAATGAGATTGAGAATGTATATGTAAAATGCTATTAAAATAGAAAGTACTTTAAAGTAGATTGAGAGAATGCATATCCAAATTGAAAAAATCAACAATTCAAAAAAATTAAGAAATTATTCACTTTGTAATCAGAGTAAGTTAGTTGGGAAAATAAGAGATCTTGAATAACAGTTAAGTAAAGCCCATTTTCGAAAATTCAAATCACTTGAAGTAATCAATGGAAATTGAAAATCAATAGACAACAAATCAAACAATCAACAAAATTGAAAACAGTTTAATAAAAAGTGTGATAGTAGAGAGATAACAAGTAAGAAATTATATAAATTTAGAATAGTATTGCTTAAGAAGTGAATGACAGAGATTTGATGAAAGATTTACTATTTTGTCTATAAGGAATAGAGGGCTAATACATTTAATATGATGCATCCACAGACTCATTTTGTCTAAGGAAAGATGTGAATGTGTCAATATCAGTGCGTCAATTAGTAAACTTGATTTCTGAATGCGGTTGGCTATTCAAGAAGATCTCCTCTTTTTGTTAAATACAACAATCAAATCTGATAGTCTAGGCACTTCAAAATGTAATCAAATTGGAATTGTCTGAATATTACAAATTGATAGCAAATCTTGAGGGGTTAATCCTATCATCGTAATGTAAACTATTAATACTATGTAGTGATAACTTTTAAGAGAATTCACTTCCATCTCCAATCCTCATATGACTATATGTTGTTCATTAATCAATTACTTTCCATAATCTAAACAAGCAATCCCCTTGGAACCACATCCTGTTTAATCATCAATGTATTGGAGCAATTTTCAAAACATGGGTGTTCTTAGACAGCAGAATTATTTATGCGCTTACAATAGGCAAGTTGTTAGCCATTAATGAAGTACATAAATGAATGGATGTTTGAAGGCAATCTCCTAGATATTGCAAATGAATTCTTTATAGAAAGAGACGATTAAAAGGTACTGACTAAGGATTAAGGAGAGTTGTGGAGAAAATAATATAGGATTAATTATGATAAAGTCCCAGTTGTTATTTCATATGATGAAGCATATAAGATCTATGACACGGGCAGGGCAATAAATTGGTTGAGAAAACAATGCGATAATAAGAATTGGTATTTGGACATACAGCCATTGACTATCAATATGCTTTAGACCAAGGAATTATCATAGTTAATTAATCAAGCAAACAAAAACACAAATACACAATTAGTCAATTTATTATTTGATAAATTCAAATTAATGGACCATTTTAAGATGATTAAATAGTATTTCCTATTGGGTAATGGTAATTTCTCTTAGTTATTGATTGAAACCCTGTATACAGAATTGTCAAAAAATGCTCATTTAGTGTATAAACATACATTGACTGGTTTGGTAGAATCCACACTCAGGTTGAGTAATGCCAATTCGATAATCTAATAGAGATTGTCAGTCAAATTGCTGGAAGCCTAGAAAAATGATATTGGTTGGGATATCTTTTGTTTAGATTATGAATTCGAAGAGCCACTAAAAACAATCTTCAATCATAGAACTATGCTAAATTATTATAAAATATTCAATTATTTATGGCGTATTAAAAGAGTTGAACATACTCTCATCTAATCATGGATGTAATAAATTAAAAATAAATATCACTTAAATGCAAAATCTAATGTAAATAAGGCTCTTAACTTGAGTCTGTAAATCATGAATTCAATGATCCATTTTATTAAGAATTTCTTTAGTTATTTAATGTTGGATGCAATTGAGACTCCCTGGAAAAAATTCATGGATCAAATTAATTAAATAGAAAATTTAGATCATCTCATATAATTGCATGAATAATTGTTGAATGAAATCATTGATAGAACATTTTTACATTAAAAACAAGAAGAAATTCAGATCATCTTACTAAAACTATTCGAAATATCATTCAGATACAAGTAGAACTTAGAAAATCTATTTCTGTATGTAAGAGAATTGGTGGCACAAGATAGAAGTGATAAATTTGAGTAATCATTGGATTCAATAATCTCGCATAAAACTACACCCTCATACAACATCAATATTGATAGATAATTTAAGGGATAAGAAATTATTAAATTACTATTGTAATTGAGACAAATGTATAGAGAATAAACCTTGGAATTGATTAAGCATCTCTAAAATGAGGAAAAATTAAAGTTCTTGTTATTCAAACTTGATTTCAATGAATATTACTACCTATTGTCATAAGAGAAGCTATTTTCTTTAGGATTTGATAAGTAATATTATTATATTAACATTCAAGATTTTTACAACAATGCCTTCCCATATCGATAAAGGAAACAGGTAGTTAGAAGGTAATATCTGATTAGCCTTAACCTTAATAATAAAAGCCATTGTTGTCGCAATTAAGCTAAAAGTCAATGACTTCTATTTAACAAGACTATATCTAGATTAAAGAAGGAAGTATATATTTGTATTTATCAATTAGTAAGACTTCTAGAAGAATAAAAGAAATAGAAAGAATAGCAATCAAAGATATTGAAACAGTCTTAACAAAGAGAAGTGGTTTAAGAATTACAAAAACCAATTTCTAAACCTCCTTTGCCATTCCCCTAACCACAATAACCTATGCTTTCAATGAGTCCAATTAATAAATAGTCTACTACATCCTCTGTCTCCTCTAGTAATATTTTCTAGCCCCAACCCTTGTAGAACTTCTAATAATAATTTGAGCAATAAATTCAATAATAGCAATAAATCAATCAAAGACTTCAATAGTTGCAACAATAATAATAATAGATCTAACAATTTCAATAGCTACAATAGCAACCACAAACAAAACAAACAGCATTGCCTAAATTTATTAATTCATCCTCGCAAATGTATTAGGTCTAATAATCATATCAACCAAACTTCAATAATTCTGTACCTTTTTCCCAAAATTAGAGCTAATCTCAGATTAGTATTTTGTAACCTAATAGAAATGATTTATCGTTGTCATAAGATGAAAATTTACAATAATTAATGGATAAACAGTTCAACGTCGATGATGATAGCAGTGATGAAGATTTAATCTGAAAATGTTAAATTAATTAATATAAATATTAATAAAAATTATATGAATACAATAGAAAAAGAGAATCATGTTAGGTCTTAACTGAATAGGGAGTTTTAGAAATAAATGAATCTCAAATATATATATCCAAAGTATAAGCCATAACAGTAAACATCCCCAATTCCTCAAGAAATTAAAATCATAGAGAAATAATCTCCACTATGTTCTTCAGTTTAAGCTATTCCATAATTAATAACATAATCCTTAAAGCAATAATAGTCAGGGATAGCTCAACAAACAATATCACCATTAAAACCATAATAATAAGCTCAACCAATTTAGCAACAATAACAGCAATAACAACCAAAGAAGAGGATTAGAATTTTAGAAGTCAATGACATGTATTGAATTAAAAAATCTATATTAATAAGATATATTGGCAAACTGAAAGTCTCTTCATCATCTATCACTCCTTTACAACCATTTATTTTTAATAGAGTATTAATTTTTTTATAATTCTCATTGTATAATATAACAAAGTGAATTACAAATACATAAATTTATTACTATATAAGTTACATAAAATTATGTTAAAAAATTATTTATTCTATAATAATATGACCTTATATGATGTTTAAATTGTAGAATAATGCATTATTAATAAATAATATATATTATTCATTATTTTTAATAAACAGATTTTTATACAAATTTTGGAAAATATCTTGATTATTTTATGTTGAAATCTTGAAGTCTAAAAACAAAAGGATACAAAATTGAATTATTTTGAAACAGAGGCTTAAATTTTTGTTGTGTTTATGCGGCATAATATTTGGTATTTGCATTTTTCTATGTAATCAATTCTCTGAAATCAAATTAAAGATGAAACGCTAACCAGTCATCAATTGGTTTATTATCATTTGAATTTGAAAATTTTAAGGCAATTGTAAGATAAGTCGGGGAAGTTTAAGAGAAAATGATTATAAGGAATGACAAAATCATATAAGCTATGATATAAATTTTTTATTTTAATTAAATTGAAGTAGTCTTCTTTATTGAATTAGATATTGATATATTAAAGCTTTGGGAGATAGAGTTTATTATGAATCGCTATTTTGATTCACTTTAATTAATTATAAAGATTCATCATAATTATTCCTCTATATTAAATTGTATTATTGATTCGTGTGGTAAATTAATTATATCAATGATTCAAGTTGATGATAATCCTTAACATATAAATCTCAATCTTTTTCAGAAGATCAATAATGGAAAGTATGAGGATATTCAAATCAAAATACAAAAGCTCGAATCTACATTTTTCTAATGTTTAAGCTATAGTAAACATGAGTAAATGTAGTAAAATGAGAAACTACAAACTGATAACTCACAACTCCATGATAACGAACACAATATGAACAAGGACTTATTATAATTCGAACAATTTGAAAAATACATTGCTTAATACTTTGCCCAACTTCGTTAATAATTTGGAAATATCAAATCGATCTGTTTCATGACTTCTTAATAGTTAAACCTATTTTTCGAAGAAGCTCTTGAATAATTGAATAACAAAACTAAGTTGTTTTAGGACATTCTAAAACTTAAACTAATTTAAAGTTCATAAGGTATTGAATTCATATATATACATTATTAGACTTATTTTCAAAAGTATATCCAACAAAAACAAACTTAATACTTAAGAATTGGTATTTACACAATTATTGTTATCCATACCCAAATTAGATGGAAATCAAAAAATTAATCAATAAAACACAACTATCGAAGAAGAAAGTATTAAAATTTTTTAATTAAGATATTAAATTGGTTCATAAATGCTCGCAATAGCTTTAAGAGGAAAAAACAAAAAAAACAAAAATACAAAATATTAGTGCAAGAACACTATAAAGCTTTGGTCCAACCGAAAAAACAAAGCTAAAACTCGTATTAAGAGGAATCAAATTAACAAATTTTATTTTGAAATTAGTGACAAGTCGTTAATATATAAATATAATAACCATTAATAATTAATATATTAACAATATTAATTATTTCAATTTACAAATTATTATTTTGCTTCAACTCGTTCTTCATATGTCTTATTTAGGAAGACTGTAATTTTATTATTATTAACGATCAATTTTATATCAGATATCAAAACCAGTAGATATATTAGAATGAAGAATAAAATTATTTCTTTATTAATTTGATATGAAATAAATTCTGATTCAAGATTAACAAATAACTTATACCTCAGACTTGCGAAGACAAACCACAGGACAGATACATTAACTAACATCAAATTCCATTATCTAAGATTATTCCACAAATTTTACCGATAATTATTACTTGTTTTAATCTGTCCATAAGACATTTTTGTTAGTTTTATCTACCTTAACTGTTATAATATCATTTATTTTTAAACTAAAATTGTTTTTCTTATTATTATTATCTCCAGGAGAGAATACTTTTCCAATTGAATCGATAAGGTAGCATCTTAGATATTTATAATTTCTACCCGTGCTAAGAATTCTCCCAAATATCAAATTTTTTTTTATTGCATTGGATATGATCTTTGTGACCAATTCCTATTGCCATCCAATCCATTTTCAAAATCTTAAAAGTAAATTCTTACACTTACGAATCCTTATTAACCCCAGTTTCGCATAAAACTAAGCCTAAGTGTTCATCAGAAGTAGATGCAATACTTCCTTGAATGTTAAGAACAATATTATCAGACTTGAGTTCGTTAGAGAATCGTAATTAAATGAGAGATAAATCTTTCACAGACTTGATTTAAGCATGCATTCGTTAAATTAAATCTTCTAAGGGATTTATATATTGTTCTATTAAACCTAGATATGCTAATTTTTGGGTTAATGCTTTTAATTCTTATAGTGTATAATGTTCAAAGTTTTATTCTTGTACTTCTATGTTGAATCTAACAATCATATCATCTAAATCAATATTAAGTCTATTAAATTGCTATTAAAGACTTTTTAATTTACAATAAGTTTTAATTTTCTATTACCAATTTTGTAATAAACCTTTGAAATCTAAAAAAAACTCTTAAAAATGTTTGTTATGGAATGATTACAAACAAGTACTGCATGATGCTCCCATATATTTGCAATTTAATTTTGTGCAAACTCCAATAATTGTTCCTTCATTATGATCCTCATATATGCAATACTAACTCATATTTAATTGAAGAGCTATTATTTTATTATTTATATTAATATAAAAAAATATTCTATAGGATTGGAGTAGCAGATAGTCGAAAACAATTAAGTTTATTAATTTTATTTAACTCAACACACTAATAAAATTTGTAGAATTTCAGGAACATTAAAATATTTAAAAAAATTAATATAAAATACTCCAAATCCTTAATTAAAATAGAATATTGTTAAAGTACATCATGAATTCAAAATTATTTAAATAGTAATTTACCTCTTCTCACTTCTAATTATTTATTTAAAGACACTGATCTAACTTCTCTTGCCGTCTTAGAGGCTTCCACCTTATAATTTGTCACTAGTTAATTTAAATTAATAATCTCTTCAGTATTTTGATGATTTGGAATGGAGTTCTTAAGATTTTGATCTAAGTAGCTTTTTAGATTTGTATCCTCTTTTATTGATTAAAGAACTAAATTAACGTGATTAGGAAATAGCTTCTAGAAGATAAAAACTAAGAGCTTTTCATTGCTAACTACTAATTCTAAGATCTTGATTTTATCTTCTTTATAGAACTAGGAGTAATCCTGCACAGAATCTAAATAAGATTGATATTATTAAAAATTAGCCAAAGGTCTTTTTTTCTAAACTTCTTTTCTTACTGTTTCTACACACTCTAAAAAAAAGTTTTCCAATTCACTTCTAATTACACATTTCTTATTTTAAGATATTAGAAGTTTCTAAACTTTTTCATTTAGGATTCTATTTTAATTTTAGTATTTTTATTCAATAATGGTAACATATCTAATAATTATATGCAATACTTAGTGATTTTATCTAGAATATCCTCATATTTAACGATTTCCTTATTCAAGTCATCTGCTGGAAACATTTCTTTAATTGAGGAATAATGATGTTTAGATAAGGATGAGCTCATATCAACTTTAGATTGATAATCTGTTAACCTTCGTTTTTAAAATTCTATTATTAGACTGAATAATATTCATACTGTGCTAATTAGCAGGAGTAGTAGTACAAAATGTTTAATCTAATTGGATGTTTGGTTATAATTCCTTATCAATTTCCTATAATTTAACCTTTTTAATTAATGACTTGATTTATGATTCCAAGAATTCGTTGGATTTCTGCAGTTCTGATAATTTAAACCTTAATTCATAGACTTCTTTATTTTTCAATTCAACCTTTTAGTATAACTTCAGACATTCTTCTCTAAAATAAACCTAATAAATTTTTAAACTGTTTATTACTAATTCGTTATCGCTGCTTGTTACTTTCACATTATTCTAATTTTGAATGCCTAATTGTTCTTCCATTTTACTTCGTAATTCCTTCAATTCAGCTTTGATTTTTTTCATGTGATTCTGATAAGCAATTAAGAATTCAGCTTCATTCTTTACTTTAATCTTATTCACTATATCAGTCAATTCATTCACATATTGTACTAAAGATTAGAATGCTTCCACAGGTTTAAGCTGATTCGAATTTTCATTAGATTATTGCCTCTCTTTATATAATTCCATTTACATATTTAATTAATAAAAAAGGTTGTTAAAACATATTAATGCGCAAAAGCCCACTCCTAAAGGAAAACCTCCGATTGAACAATAACCAAAGACCTACATATTTAAGCAAAAGCAAAAAAAAGACTGTCTCCTTGGAAAAGAATTCGAATTCCAACAGATCACTTCTAAATGAAATTTAAAACCAAACTCCCAATTAACCGAAGAAAATCACATCCACATAACCATCTGATAAAAAATTGCATAATTGTACTTAGATTTATACTAATAGACAAGGCTAAATTTTGAAATCACTTATGAAAATATAAAATAGAACAAATCCAATATTAACTCAATAGAATTGCTATGCCGGCATCAAACTGAACTTTAATAATTACCTATGTAATTTTATAAACTTATAAAAAATAAGCGAATGAAGAAAAGAGAATGAACACAAATCAATGCAATTCGTTAAATCAAACAGCTCAACCCTCCCCCAAAGCCAAAACGATCTCATTATCAACTTACACAGTAATGTTACTCATTTATTTTAGAGTACTTTGAGTCCGGAAGTGAGAGACAAAGAGATGAGATAAGAGAAAATTACTTCGTTCAAATAGTTAATCTAGGAGACCAAAGAATGCTTGGAAAATATGAAAATATCAGACCTAAAGTAATCTATAGATAAGATATTTGATAATACAATTTAACCATTGCTTCAATTAAAAGTACTGGATATTTTATTAAATTAGAATGAAATGATTAAATAAATCGAGAAATGCTTAAATGCTGAACAATATTAGATTCGATCAACTATAGATTCATTAAAGAAAATGGAAGATGACATATTGTCTAATGAGTTTAATATCATTGAATACATGACAATGGGACCATTCAATGAAATAATGCAGATTTATTAGAAGAGATTTTAAGAACATTCCATTTTCACTTAATAATTAACTTAACAAGAATTGGTTATACATTAGTTTTAGAAGTTGCATGATAATTTTACATAGCAAAACTAATTGTTATGTAAGTAATTATCATAATCTTTTCAAACATATTTATCTTTGTTTATTTCATTTTAGAATAAGGAAGACTTTTATGAGTTGAAGGACAACAACACTACTCACCAATACACTTAAAACAATAATTAATATACTCAAGAAACCTTATTTTAAACTTGTGAAACTAACAATTCAATTGATGAAGATTAGGTTATTATGAAGGATTAATAAGTAGTAAGAATTCCTGATAAAACATCCTAATTTACTTAATTGCTCATGTTGAATAATTAAAAAAAGATGATTTTATCTGAATCGCCACAATTCAAAAATTGATTATATATTTTAGTTTAATGTATCTAAAATAAACAAACAGATATAGATATTATTCAAAATCAAATTTATTATGTATATCATGGCTTAGCAGTTAAAATTCTCAATAGATCATGAAATAGATTTGGTTTTTGGGGAAACCAAATATTAAGAAATCCATTCAAATCTATACTAATTTTATTTTCATCCTTTAATATTTTGCTTTTCTTTTTCTTCTTTTCTGATTTATTATTTTATATAATGCCTGAGAAAGCATAATCCTACTCATTATTATTATTAATTTAAGTAATCAACATTACCTTTTTCTTAGTAGGAGTGTTCTTAGCATGATTTGAGCTATCTTAATCAACGTCCATATTTAAATCAAATGAGTTTCTCTGACTGATCTTACCAAAGAGTCTTCCTCTACCATCATTGGACAATACTGATTGTCTTCTTTATTAGAGAACCACACTTTGATCTAATTTGACTCTCAAAACACTAAGGGGCAATGTGAAGGAGTTCATTTGTTTAATATCATTATTTATCTGATTTGATATTTGAGCCTTTGTTTATTTAATCATGTGGAGGATATCCAATTCTATCGCTGGATTGGTGTTATATTTTAATAGTTCAACTAAATTATTGGTGGTTATCTCGGATTAGTTATTGATATCATAAACGAAGAAGCACAGACGGATTTACTATTTTAAATCCAAATTTTCTATTTTCTATATCCATTATTAATATTAATTGAAGCTTAGGATCTGAGGTATTTTGAATACTTTTGCAATTTGTTCGCAGATAACATCAGGGTAATACCTTTATAAATACTTAACTAATTATTATTTTTTTATCCGTATGTTTCTAACCTAGATTGTCTTGCATCTTAATTTGATATCTGTTTCCAATTCAATTCTACTGATTTCCCCCAATACATCAGCTAATTATTGAGGCACTTCCTCTTAGGAAATAGATAAAATTCTCATTAATTTCTAAGGTGATTATGTATTTCTTCTCTCTTGTCGTATCATGATGGAGCTGGAGAGTTTAGAACTACTCCTACCTGTAAACTCTTCACTAATTTTTTAATACTAAATATTTTCAATTGTTTTCGTTTCCTTTCTTGATTGCTTTTTACTTTAATCTTTGCTTACAGATACGCTTGCTATTTAATTTCTTATCCTTAACTTCCTTATCAATGGAGCTTTGAGGGATATTTTAAATTGTTTTACTCAATAAATTGTGTTTATATGCTTTCTTAACAAACTCATTTAATTCATAATTTAACATTTTAATTCAATTACATTATTAATTCGCTCTAATACAATAATTACAACGACACAATCTCATGATACAAATAAACATGAGTCATATAGAAATTTGGATAAAATTATATAATTACATAATAATATTATTCGTTATTTTATAATAAATGGTAAAGAGCTTAAACATGTATTTGAATAAATTAAACATTAAATTAATCATTAAATAAAATTAAGGTTTTTTCAGGTGGAATATGGTCATGGCTTTTTAATCTCGAATTCAATATCTTGAAATATTATGATATATAAAAACATAAAGATAAAGAGTATTAATCATAAACAAAATCATTAGATAAAGATTTATTGATTAGAAGGATCATTTTGATTGTTATTAAGAAACACAGATCTCTTTTTAATCTCCTTTGATTTCTTAATTTTCACTGATGATGAGGAACTCTCTATATGTGTAAGTTTATGTGATTTCTAAGCTGAATCATTTTTCTTCATTTTCTTCTTCATCATACCCTTGGTCATTGATCTCTTATGTTTCAAATTACTTTTTGGTGTTAAGGTATCATCATTGTTTTCTTGTTTGTTTTTAATTAAATTAATAAATTCAATAGGAATATTTTTAATTTGCTTTCGTTTTTCATTCACAAGTATTTCAAAATATGATGATTAATAAATATCTTCCAAATTACCATTCAATTCCAAGTATTGTCTCTTTAATTTATAAATAATTTCATTTCTAGAACATCTGAGACAAGAACATAATCCCTATGTTGATTATAAGTAGTATTTACTTTGCATAAGGGGCAAATCCAAAGAAATTGAGTAGTTTCATATGAATCGAACTCATGCTTCAAACATTTCAAACAAAAGTATCTTTTGCATTGGATCTATTAATCTATAATATGTCAAAATTTAAAGTACTTTCAATGATGTAATTTGTAGAATAGAGATCTAAAAAATATGATTATTAAGACTTTGCATTAATTTAATATCTTTAACAAATTAATAAATCTTCATTGTATTCATGTAACCCCATCTAATAATGATTATATGAACACTATTTCAGATTTTTAACATCAACCATCAACTTACAAAAATGACACATTTGCATTTCGAATACATCCTACATAAATTCAATCCATTTACATCAGATCTGAGTCCAGGCAATTAATCAGGAAATTCGTAAGGTACTTCTCTCAATTTTTGTAGATTTGCAAAGTGTTCCAAGTTGAGATCAATTTAAGTTTGACTCAAATATTTATCGAAGATCACTGTAATGGTGTTACCTTTACAAAATAAGTTGGTTGAATTTACTTTATTCGTTGAAAGTAGCTTTTCCAATGCTTTCTGCCACTTGGTAATCTTCATGCAATATGATTAGGTCCTTCAATGCGGAGAGTTCTTCTTTGTGATTTTAGATTCTGGTTCTGGTTAATTTAAGGGAATTCTCATGAAGTATTTAAGAAGAATAAGTGAAGAGGAGAGAATTGTTGATTTCATTGACATGTTGTTCAAGCCTAATTATATTAGGAATAGTATTGTACTATTGAATGGAATTCTAATTATCGAGTTGTTCAAGTTATGATTCAAGTTATTGTATATGTTGAGACAATTCATCTTGACAATCGATCATTTGGTGTAAATTACTCAATATTTAATTTTCTTAATTGTATATTATTTATTGTTGTTATTCTGATAATTGGGACATATTTTTAATGAGATCTTAGGTCTGCTGTAGTCCTTCTATAAGATGAGCAAAACAAATTTGGTCTATCATTTCATCAATTAAATTTTAAATGGGTTCTGAATGTTATTAGCTTTCTTGAAAGAGCAATGAAATTCTTTATTTTAAGTTGATAAAGTTGAATTAAGATAATTTAGATCTGTTATTATGTCGAAGAAGTTTATCTAATAATTTATGACAATTTAAGTTTACATAATTAGAAACTATTTTATGAATAAAATGATTACATTTCTTTTTGAACACTCTAATATCAGAGATGTTGACAGGAGACAGAACCATGAAAAATTACTCATTGATTTCTCTCCAAAAATTAGATGTGAATATTGATTCTCCATTTCTATCCATTTTACAATTAAAATATTAATTTTAGAATGAATTATTGATCTATAAATTACAAATAGAAATCACAGTAGTGTAAATTAATATTAATTCAATTTTGATTTGCAGCTAATTATCCCTTATTTTCTAATTCTCTCTCCTTCTCCGCATCGATCACTGCCTAATCTCTCCAATCATATCCCGTTTCCTTAAGAATCAACCCCAAAATGATTCCAATAACATTCAATGCGAAGCAAATCCAAAACACTCCCTCCCATTTAATCTTCTTCCTAGCAAAAGCATAAAGTAGATATCCAATCATATTCGAGACTCCAACAAAGAAAAACATGAACCCGTACATCAACCCTCCTATCTTCTTACCATATATCTTAGCGCAAATAACAGGATAGGTAGCCAACAATCCTCCTTCAGCAAGGTAGACAACAGCAATCAATAAAAGATAGCCAATACCATCCTTATTATATGGGAGAATGGATGTAGTAACCAGATTGAGGATTGAAATTAGAGTAAATGTGAATTTATATGAAGTCTTATCTGTTAGAGTGGCCCAAAAGAATCTAGATGATCCATTCATAACTCCTGCAACAGAACCAGTGGCTGTTAATGTGGCATCATCTATTCCCAATTCTAATCCATAGTATTTGTAGCAATTAGATATCAACATACCAAATGTACATGACATCAACACAATCAATTAGAGAATTATAAAAGTTGGATGTCTCATACCTCGACCACTATAGAATAAATAGGATAACTTACATCTCAACACATTCCTTATGAGCTGGTAATACTGGAGGTGGAGGTGCATCAGCTCCTTCTTTTCTCTTCTTTAATTCTTCAGTTTCCAATGTAGCCAACATTTTATCAGGATCTATTTCAGATGGATACCTGATCATAATCGTAGCTATAATTCCCAATCCAAGATAACTTGCAGCAAGGACTTGCAACATCAATGGCACTTTGTCTCCTACTTCATTGTCAAAGTATTTCACATCTTTTCCATCTTCCACCTCCACCACTGTAGGCTTTAGATTATTTGGATTTGCTATTGCTTTGCATACGAAATTGAAGATAAATGATCCAAATCCATATCCACCTATTGTCATCCCTGATACTAATCCTCTTCTATTAGGAAAGTATCTCCATCCACAAATAATTGGTAGCATATATAGTAATCCCCCAGATATTCCAACCATTATACAATAGACTGCTATAAACCCTCCTATTTCTTAGATAAAAGAGATTATCAAAAAAGCAAGAGCAATAGTGAATGAACCTATTCCTATTGTAACTTTTAATCCGATTTTTTCAGCTATTTTTATACCGAAGGATAGAACTGACATGGTTATTACTCCTAGGATTGGGAAGATGATTGCCATAAAGTTTAGAGTCACTTCTTTGTCCTTTTCTCTCATCCAAGCAGCGACATAAGGACCTAATCAAAATTATTATTAATTAATTACTTATTGAGCCCCAAACATAGAAAGTTCCCAATTCTAAATGTAAAATTACTCCTCCCACCAGTGAGATTATTCCTCTCTTGGTGAAGTTTTTCATTTCTTCATCCGTGTAGATTTCTTTGCTCTAAGTTATTTAAAAATCAGTCTTCATGGGACTACTTGATTCACTTATTTTATGAAGTAATTTATTTTGTTCGTTCCCTCCATGCACAGTTGCTAACGCTATTCCATTAGAATAACCAATTGATTAGGGGTTTCTTTCTTCCATTATTTTTATAATATTTTTTTGAATTAATTATATCTTATTGCTAATTATTATAAAACCCTATAAACTCCAATATCATAATGTAAATTTAAAGTGTGTCATTATAAAATGATGCACTTTTAATTAAATTTATTATAAATTCAATATTTATTTTTATAAATTTCAATTATTTACAATAATTAATTCTCGTTATTCTTGACTTAAATTATGTTACTACTTTAATAATCGCTTAATAGGAACCATGTACTTGTTCCTATTCTACATTAATATTTTTATAAGCCACAACATTTGTTTTACAATCTATCATCTCTTCAAAGGGATCAAGTTCTTATCATTAATAATAAACACATTATATCCCCTACAATTAGCATAGAAATCAATTCTATAAACTAATTTTGTCAAATCTGTAAAAATAATTAAAGAAAATAAAGTATTATTTAAATATTGATATTATTATTATTATATTAAATAATGCAAAACTCAGATAACTCAATTTAAGAGAAAATATTGACAGCCTAAAAGTATAAAGAAGAAGGAAATGTACACTTCAAAAATCAGGATTGGAAAAAAGCTTTGACTTGTTATCACAAAGTATTTTTATACGTCAATGGATTGATAAGCAAAGATGATGAATTGGCATAATATTCTAAGGTATTGTAAAATAATTCGAATTTAGAATTAATTGACATCTTAGGAAGAGACTAATGTAATCCTACAATTAAAATCCCAGACATATGGAAATATGGCCTAAGTCTATATTAATTAATAGAAATTCGATAAAGGAAGAGAAGCAGCTCTGAATAGTTTACAAATTAGCAAGAATATTAAGGTTTTGTTCCGATTAGCTATATGCAATATTGAATTGAATAATCTAGAAGAGGCTAGATAATAATTGTTGGATGTTCAAAAGTAGGATCATCAAATAGATATCAGTTCTTAATTGAAATAGATTCAAATCAAAGAGAGTAAATAAGATAAAGTGATGGCTTAAGCAATGAAAAAACTATTCGTTTGATTTTTATTATGTTATATAAAATAGAATATTCAATGAAATTAATAAACATATAGTTTGAAAAGCATTTAATTTAAAATGATGATGACAGCTTATCTTAGTTAATTATAGAGTTAATTTATTCTGAGCTAAAAGCTTTATATTCTAAATAGATCTAGAATTAAATGTAAAGAGAATATTGGGAATTATTTGGAATATGTATATGTGCAATTTCATAATTAATTTAAGTAAAAAGATAATGTGACTTTAAATACTTATATCTCAGAAGCATTAGTAGTATTTTATTTATTAAAACAATCAAAATACTCATGTTTTTTAATAACTACACTCATTGAGTAAGTATTATGAATACTTGATGTTTTAAAATACTGTAAAAGCTAATAATTTGTAAGATTATTTTTATAGTTAGGAATAAATTAATTTAAGTATTTGAAGATATTTATCAAAAATATAAGAAAAGGTATATTTATCTAAAATTGATCAGAAAATATGTCTGTCTGTCTGTGTATATTTCAAGTTTATTGAGAAATAATCATAGAGTTAAGGATACGTAGTTTGTTCTCAAATTATTTGATGAATAATAATTGTGATAGAATGGGCTTATTCAATAATTTTATATTAAATAATTGAATTAATTAAATACTATTTAAGAAATTCTGGATAGAATTAAACAAATATCATTAAAAATTTATGATCATATTTCCAAAAATAAATAATTAATATCATGACTCTACTAAATCCTTTAATGTGTAATGCTTAACAATTTAATTTGATGATTGATCTTGTTATTATCTTTTATTTGAGTATTATATTATAAGAGCACTTTTGATACGAATATTTTCTTTGGTTTTATTCGGTTGGGAATTTAGAATGTTGTTAACGTTGTTAATTACAGCATTTTAACCACCATTACTATTTGGGTATTTAATGTAAGGTTCCTGTGGTAGAGGTACCTCTTAATGCACAGATGGCTAGTTTGAAGTTGGGTTCAAATCTAGGATAGTGAACTTTTTAACTTCCTTGACTGATTAATTTTATTACACTGGAATCAATTTAGCCCTGCAAGAGATATTTGCAAATGAAGATCCTCTTGCTTAGGCTGATAAAGGTCTGATTTGCACATTCTGTTTATAAGTATTCTATGGTTTAGAGTGTTTCATTTCAAGTTTAAATTTTGGTCCTTATTCTAGTGAAAAAGAGTTCTTCCTTTCCTCTTAAAATTATTTGTCATCGATATCTTGAATGTAGAGTTCAACATTGTTAGATTGAATCTTTAAGATCTATTATTATTACTATTATTAAGTATTTTTATATTCTTATTATTCTAATTACTTAAGTCTATCTTATTCCTGTTATTCTTTTAATTACCTTTCCTTCTCTAATCTCTAGATTTTCTCTCTTTCTAGTCTCTCTTGTCTTTCCAATCTTTCTTATTTCTCCTTCTCCAGCCTCTCCTATCTCTCTCTATCCATTCTCTCTTGTCTCTCTCTGTCTATCCTCTCCCTTTCAAGTCGCTCCTTCTCTAACTTCTCCTATTGATCTTTCAACAACTACTAATATTATTAGGCTCTCGATATTTGCTCATTTTCTACTTGCTTTTAGGTCATGTCAATAACATCTCCCATGTAGATTGTATCCGACCCATTACTAATTAAATCTTGCTGTTGTGGTTTCCTAGTTTTCTTCATCTTCTCAGTCTCTTATGCCTACATTGCATACGATTTGGGATTTGAGGTTTATGGCCTTTATTATTAGTGCTATTGATATTACATCTAAGGCAATGCATCATCAAGTTGTCTATGTAATTAATAAAATCTACTATGAAATTCTCTATGGCTGACTCCTTTATTGGAAATAAATTGTGTTGACTTCTTAAATACTGGGTCTCAAGGCTGGGATCTTCTCAAGCAACTTCCAAATGAACTGACTTAATCCTTTGATAATTTACTTATAAAATTCGTACTTGTAGAATATTGAGGCGGCAATGCTTTAGGAGCTCTGTTAACTATACTATATCCTAAGGCAATCAAATTCTCACCCTAAAAGGGAGGTTCCAAAGCAGCCATGTAAAATACAACGCAACCCAAAGCCCAAATATCAACCTTGTAATCATAGGGCTAATGCTAAACAAGTTCTGGGGACAAATATAAGGGAGTGCCAACTCGAGTGCCTTAGAGGGCTGTGTCTGAATTGAATATTTTGGATACTCCTAGATCCCCCAATTTCACACGTTTATCCTTCGTAAGAAACACGTTGAGTGTTTTAATATCTCTGTGAATGATGTTGTTTTCATGCAGATGCTACAATGCTGAACTGAGTTCCCTACTCATCTCCCAAATGGTTTCTTCTTACATAAATTTCCTTCTCTCCTTATAATCTTTGAGTAACTAAATAAGTGAGGGATGGCTACTTTCTAAAGATCTCCTCCTTCTGCATATTCCATAATGATGCAGAGATTGTCTTGTTCAATGAAACTCATATAATATGTGATGATATTTGGGTGTTTCAGTTTCCTCAAAAGTTATGCCTCTTTGAGTGCCTCAGCTTTTAATATGAAACACACATACCTTGATGCTTTGGTTTCAGATGAGTTAGATTGATCTTCTTAAGCACATAAATATTCCCATCCTAACTAGATTTCACCTTATAAACCACTCCATAGGAACCTTTCCCCAATTCATTCAAAATTGTAAATTAGGAAAGATTGCTGCCGATTAGCTGATATTAACGACCTAGATTCTAACTACTTAAGTACTATCTAGATCATGAAGCTATTGAATTTCCCTTTAATCTATGGTTTTTGGAACTTTCGCAGTTGTTGGCCTTTATTTCATTATATATTTATTTATATAATAAATTTTGAACCTCCATTCTTATTTCCTCATCATTACTCAAATTCCCTATCTCTTCCCCAATACTAATCACAACAACAAATGCTGCTCACCTTTCCCTCTAGAAATACAACTATTAAACTGACTATTTACAACTAAGACTTTTATTGAGGATTTATTCAAGATTGAGATAAGAAAGATTTCAATAAGAAAGCAATAGAAACTGGATGAAACATTCATCCTTAGTCAAATGAAGACTAAATTAAGAACTGTTAATTATTCTTAGTGAAATATGAATTAATCATTAAATTTGCATTTAGTAAAAACTCAACATTTTCATATATTGTATTTCTATCTATACTATCATTGTATTTTGAATGTTGCCCAAACCAAATATTTGATGCTAAGTTATAATTCATAGTTAATCATTATAGTTTTATCTTTTATTAAAAATGTAATGAAGTATCAAATGATGGTTACAATAATCAATATATTTGTAACACTGATAAGGTAGTAAATAATACACAAACTTATAGAGTAAGATAATTAAATTCATTTTTATAAATTGTTCATCATTTTCTTTTAAAACCGCATCTTCCACAGAAATTATGATCCTGTTCCATTTCATAGCTACATTGTTTACAATGGTATGTAGTGATTTTCTTTTGTTTAAGTTATTTTTCAATGAGCATTTTTTTATACATCAACTCTTTTTAATTTTTTTAACAAAGTTCTAAATGACTTTCTAGATTTCGAGGATTGAATTTTCTACCACAGATGTGACATTCTGCTGTTGTTATATAACTTCTATCCAACGAACTGTTTTCTCTATTAGTTTTTTTTGGCCCTTGAGATTTTGGTTTTGCCATAGATTTCGATCTTTTCTTCTTTAGTTCTTCTTTTCCTTTTTAAACAAAGATCATTGGTTTCTCTTTGCTGCATAATTTTAAATGCATTTTCAATTTTCCTTCGAAAAACTTTCTATTACAAAATTCACATTATTCGTATTAAATATTTTATACTTCCATTTTCTGTATATTATATATATTATATTTAAATTTAATGAAATAACGAGATCACGATCGAAATGCATTATTCCCAATAAGCGAGGACTCTCAATACACGTATCATCGATACAGTCCACCAATGAGACCAAAAATAATGCCAAATTAATACATCAACAGAGATTAGAAATTAATTCAATTAAGTGCACACGAGAAATCAATACAAGACAAGCGATCAAATATATTTTATGAGCCAACAAGACTTCCAATATCACCTCCTAAATGTATAGAAGACAAACCAAAATCTCCAAATCTAGATCATAGATAAAGAATGCTATATTAGAATACTTCCAATGTTTTACCTGGCTACAGTTACTAGAAGGTGAAATAGGTTTGTGAGAGTAGAACTAAGGTTGTTGAGGATCCAAATAATCAGGTGAAGCATCAAAATCAGAACTTCTCTGATTTATTTGACAGACATTGTGGTGACACTAAAGTCAATCAAAGAGTTAGATCAACTTCTCCTTAGTTGGATTGGACTGCACATGATAGTGTTAGGAATGCCAAGGATTGCACAACTAATGAATACACAACTACTAATAAGCCCAAGTCTCCTCTCAAAGCTACTGAAATCTCTAATTTAGAAATTAAGGTAATTAATTAATTCCATTTCTAGTGTATTTAATAGGCTAAAGAATTGAAGACTTATTCCAAATTGCATGGCAAGAAAGCACCTCAAAAAGAGATTGTTTATGAAGGTATGCTCAAATGGAAGAATAATTATAAATGAAATTGTTTCTAATTAATTTATTTTATATATTATATGATTACTACAAATAGAGATTTGATGTCCTCCACATCTGATTCAGCTGAATACTCTTAAAATATTCAGCTCTCTAGAAAAAAAATACCCAATAAACAATTCTCATTAAGTCCATTTGCCTTAAAAAAATAAGATCTTATTAATAAGAGAAGTCAATCCTACTACTCCCATAATACCAGTATTTCCAAGATTAAACCACTCGTTGACTATAAATCCAAATTTAAACAAACCACAAAAAAATTGATCATAATTATGAGTTTCTTTTAATCCCTCTCTTAATATTCAAAGGAGCAACTCAGATAACGTATAGAATATTTCAAATCAAAGAAATAAAACATCCTACCCTTTTATCCAGATCAGTATTTTATTATCAAATGGAATTCATTCATTTAATTACTGCTATTCTTTTATGCAATAGTATTTCCTCTGCATTTGGCTAATCTAATTAATGTAGATTAAGTTTTAATGGGAATCGATGTTATCTTTGCTATAGACATATTGATGAATTTCACAACTGCATACATTGATGAAAATTATAATTTGGTTAAAGAATTCAAATTAATTCTGCTCAATTATCTCAAAACCTGGATGATCTTCGATCTTATATCAGTACCTTAATATTAGTTGTTCATTCAACAATCAGAACTTTAATTGTTTAAACTCCTTCGATTGATCAAATACTTCATCAACAAACCCTAGAAAAACTATAAGGGGTAAATTTTCTACACATCCAATATTATCGATTCCTTCTCTTGGGATACTAACTATTACCTCTCAGAAGGATGGATATTCCTATCCAACATCATTCTGAATGCTTTGCTTCTCATACACATATTTGGATGCATCTTTCTATTTAACGACACCCATTATAATTACATTACTGGAGTCTATTGGTCTTCGTAAACCTTGTTTACTGTGGGTTACGGTGACATACCTTAGAACTACTCAATGTCGGCTATTTGGATTATAATATCAATCGGATATTATTCAGTCAAAGTTGGTGACTTTGCCAAATTATTGATGCAATCTAATCTATCCAATGATGACAACCAATATTTCCTATTTGATCGTCTAGCCTTCTAAACTAAAATGCCAGATGACCTTAAAGATTCAGTCTAAAAGTACCTTAAAACAAATGCACAGCACAATCAATTTTGGGAATAGGACATTCTTTATATGCTTAATGAATTTCATAAACCCCTTCAAACCTATTTCACTTTAAGTGTAAGATTGGATTTGTGCATCAAGATCCAATTCTTTCTTTAAGATGTTAATAATACCCAAAGTCTTTTGAAATCATGCAGATTTATCACGTACGAGAAAAACGAAATGATCTATAGGAAAGGCTAAATCTCTGATGAAATCTATTATTTGATCAAAGGGGATGTCAGAATCCTTTCAAAAAACAGATTCAATTTATTAACCATATTATAAGGCACTATATTTGGAGAATTTGAAGCCTTAAATGAGCAGCCTCGATTTACTTATGCTATAGCTCAATAGAGATCTTTCATCTTAATAGTTTAATTTAAGGCCTTTATCAATTGCTTTAAAAAGAGTAAACCCATCAATTTTGAAGTCTCATAATTGTATGCCCGAAGAAAGCAGTTGATACTTTCATAGCTTAAACTCGAAAAAAGTATAAAAATAATTAATTTAGATAAAAAGTTGAATTGCAAAGATTGAAACGAAAAAATTTAATCATCTTCAACGACAGCTCACCCAAATTCAACAATAGAAAAATCGATGAGAATCAACTATAGAATAATTAATCTTATCATTATAACTTTTTATAACGAATCATAGGATAGGCTAAACTTAACAAATAAATAGTATATTAGAGATTCTAATTTTGTGTATATAGGGTGATCGATTATATAAGATTAATAGACATCACACCTCCAGAAGACTGGAAAGATTTAAATGAATACTCGACAATCACCAAGGTTATTCCATTGAAACTTCTATCAAAACGAAATTCACTTTTCAAAAATTAAAATCGATAATCCAATTTCTCAATGTTAACCTTCAACCAGAAACTACGGCTTTCTAATTACATATTAGTAAGATAACAAGAAATCAATATTTAAAGAAAAATAATCCTTTTTAGCAAGTTGTAGAGAGAAAGATTCAAAACTTTAAAAGAGATCTATGAAAAGTATGAGTGTTCAATTGGAAATCACAGATATGGGACAAACATGCTCGATTTTGGTGGTTATTCAAAGTTCGTTTTGCTGTAATCTAAATATTGCCAATGGAAAAATGTAAAATAAAATGAGGAAGTAAAAGTTAATAACAATATTGTGCAAAAGATAAATAAGCTTAAAAAAGATTTTTCACATATTAATGAGATTTGGTTAGAAGGGTCATTGCTTAAATTTGATTTGCATAAGTTTTTGAATTAAATTTGAAAGTTCTTACTTATTAGATAACATTTACTATTATAATATTTTTATATGATTAATAAATATTCTAATTATAACATGTATATATGTATTATTATTTATTAATTGATTAAATAAATATGACATATTATTTATTTATTAATTAATCATAATGAGATATCCATATAATTTGTATTACTTTCTGATTTCACATAGAATTCATCTATATATATATTACAATAATATTTATTTATCTGTAATAATATTTTTAATAAACAAATAATGTAAAAATACGTTGCTAAAAATGTTGCTTTGAATTTTAAAAACCTAGTAATTGGAGGAGATTTGAAAACTATTAATCCTTTGAAAAGGAATGAAGAATAATTTTTCAAATACTATGATTAAATGTTCATGAAGAACACCTATATTTAAGATTGCCTCAAAAACGAATTATTGAGAATACCAGTTGATTTTTTCCAAGAAAGCAGATATGATGATTTCGCAGAAGATCATTTTGATTTCTTAGAACAAGAACATCAGAAATAAAAATGATCCCCCTTATATATACATGTTAATTTTTCTTATTTATAATGTTACATCATTAGCTTATTTTTTTCAGTTCTTCCAATTCCAAAGCTTTCTTCAAAGCCTCTTAGTAATGCTTCGATTTATTTCAACTTAACCTCCTCCAATAGTTCTTAATAACTCATGGTTCTCATTATGATGTTATCTTAAATCTCGAGCCTTTTAAAATAATTTAAATTGAATTCTTTTCTACATTATCGAATTAAACTTGATCCTCTTTTCTGTCTTTAATCAAGGCTATAAAAATGGCTGTCTTTGAATGAATAAATCCTCCTAATATTTGCTTATCTAATTGAAGTGATTTCAAAGAATGTTACTTTTAATGAATTCTAATGGAACTTTCTGTCTTTTACATAACCGAGACAATCAAACAGCTAATTTGATTGGATCAACATCATAAACAATTAGGACTTATTTTGACTTATTTGTTTAAACAAAAGTCGTCACATGATGTAATCCAAAATTAAGAACATTAACTTTCTAGAATCAGATTTTTAATTTACTACTTTTAATTCTGCACCTCAATCAATTCGTATTTCTTATCAGTCCTCATTTTTGGAGCATAATTTCTCAATAATAAATATACTTTATAGTCTTTATATTAGGATAATTCATACATATATGCTTTGATTCATATATAAGTGAAATAGACTAATTAAATAAACTAAGTCTTTGCTCCTTACTTGTTTCTGTTGCCAAATTGTTTTCTGACAATGGAGTCTGATTTCAATCATGCTGAAAATATGGAAATATAATTAAAATATTAATAGTAATATACAACTTTTCAAAATTCATATTGTTTCATTTAAGGCTTTTTGTTAGTAGAAAATCTTTTAAATGGAGATTGGAACTACGTTAGATGCTTAGTTCCCATTATTAATTTGGTTTTCAATTCTTTGTATTTACTAGCTCTAGCCATAGCGGCTTATTCTTCTGCTAATGACATTTTGTCAAGTTCTTCCATAACCTACAATAAGATCAGAAAAATACTTCTCGATGTTAATGTTCTAATTGATCATTCATCCGCTTTACTTGCTCTAATTCATGACTCAATTCCTCTGTAGTTTCTAAACATTCCATGTGTAATGATTTTAATCGCTCCATCTCATTCCTCTAGTCTATAATAGTCTTTTCCTAATGTTTAACAGTCTGATCTAACTAAATAACTTATGCATTCAATTCCATGCATGTGTCCGCTTCTGATTAATAATTTTTTTAATATAATAGGCTTTCCTACTTGAATTTCTCTTTTTATTTATGAAGTTCTTCAAGATCATTTTATAGTTATGATATATAATTCTAAGCTTCTTGATATTGCATTCGAGTATATTTCAAATTTTCATTCTTTGTTTTTAATTCATTATTAATCTAGATGGTCAATTAATAAAATTACATTTTCAACATCTGCTCTATAAATTAGGTTTTACTTTTCAAGATTATCAAAATCACTTTGCAATTAAGAAAATGATTTCTCTTTTTCATTCAATTTATCTAATACATCTTCATAAGTATTATTAAGAATCTCTCTGTCATGCAATAATCTTATTTTATATGAATCATCTCTTACCTTTTTCTTTCATCTTTAGCTGCTTATAATTCTGTTTCCAATCTAAGTTTATCTTCGTATAATTTTCTGTTTGCCTCTTGGATTTGGGCTAAGTCATTTTTGACTCTCTAATTCTCTTAGGATCTATGATCTGTGATTTCTTTGAATGCCAGATTTTCAGCTCTCATCTCTTAACTTTCAATATGTTTTTCTGTTAACTAAGACTTCAAATTATCTATCTCATTTCTAAGGTTAGCAATAGTTTTTAAAGTTTGATCACTCTTATTTCGATAGTCTACTTCATTTCTCATCTTCTCATCATGTAATGTATTATATCTAATTTTAACAGCTAATTCACCTATTCTCTAATGATTTCAAATGAGAAGCCAATTCTTAATAGTCTCGTGCATTCTATCTCAATTCAAAGTTCTCAGCCTTCAATTAAGAGATCATTAAATCCTTTTGGTCATTTTCAAATTTGGCTGGAGAATAAAATGGTAAATTTTGAATGTTTCTTTGAGAATATGACATATATTATTAAAAGAATTAAATAAAATAGTGTATGAATGATATACTAATAATCCTTTTCATTTTTATAATATTTCCTTCTTGAGTTATCCAATTTTATTGATTACCAAATCCAATACAAGTCCTAATTCTTCTCTTTCTTTGTCCCTCTTATTCTTGCCACTTTAATAATCCAAGTCTTCATTTCTGCACTCAGTATCTCGATCATCATTTTAAGATGTTTTAGTTTCTATTTTCACGTCTACTTCTGCCTTTTCATTTTTAGCACTTGTAATTTAAGAATTCAGAGACTCAATTGATCCTAAACAATTATTTCCATAAACAAATACCTTAAAGGAAGGTTAAATTCTCTTATTTCAATATAATTTGATCTTCCAACATTTAGGCCAAAGCTCCGAAAGCATCTTTACGTTGTTGTTCGCATAAATCTTCATAAATTCTTTGCTTTTGAATCCAATTGTCCACTTGTGAAATGATTTCCAAGACTTTTCTGCTCATTGATTCTTATTCTGCTGTTGGGTCTTTGGATAATAGATTCACAATATGAGAGATTCCATGCAAAAGAAAGTTGATTCCTTCTGCTTTTACATTATGTTTGATTTTATTAATCTATTGAGCGATTTCAACCAAAGTTATGTCATCTTCATCATTAAGGGAATAATTCTTATTTAAGAACTTATCTTGATTTTCTACTTAAATGAGACTGGCAAATCTTTATTAGTTTTTAATAAGAACATTAAGAAATGTGTTAAACATTTTCTTGGCTTCATTTAAAGCATACAAGCCTTGTTCTAAATTATCTAAGGTTTTTTCATATCTAACTTGTTCCTCTTTTCTTTTCTCAGTTTAATATTCTAATTCGTTTTTGAGTTCTTTTAATTCATTTTCTGTTCTTGCTAAGTCTGTCAATTTTGCTTGTTTATCTGGTTCCAATTAGTCAATCTATCCCTTAAGCAATTTTGATGTACTTGTTGATTCATTAATGATATCTTCCAAGGTGCTCAAATCCTTTAAAGAAATGAATTGCAAGATTATACGTTTTCACATAATGATTAATATCTCTCGTGTAATCTGTCATCTCTGTCTTGTTCTCCTTCCAATTGAGTGTTCAGATTCTATAGCATATTTATCAAATTCTGTAATGGTTCAGGCCCAGATAATTAAATCTAGACTGTGTCCAAGATTGTTTATCCGAATTGACTTTATTTCAACTACAACATTTATCATAATAATAACCTTCTCTATCTCTTCATGTACATCGACGTCCTCATCAAATTACAGAGAGACACTTAGAATAGCCAATAAAATTAACAATTTGCACGGCATATTGTTTATATTAATAAATTTATAAATCAATGCATCCCATCATTGGACCCAAAACAGTGGCATCTCAATTATCCAAAAAGGAACTTAATGAAAAAGAAATTCCAGACAACAAAAACCCAAATGCTTACATCATAGTCAGATAAGACTCATTATTGAACCCACAATTAAATCCAATAGAAACCTACAGTATCTAAGATTCTCCAAACAAGACAATACCGATCATATACAATCGTCCCTCCTTATCCAAAGTCGAAATATTCATCGATCTATGCACTCTCACTCTATTCATATACACCTTCTATGAGTTCGTGTCTGAATACGACAAACTACCTTCAACAGTAGATGTCGACTTTGGATTTGATTCCTCATTCGAATAGATAGATAAGGAATATTTGGCTCTAATATTATTAGGAGACTCGGTCTTCTTGGTTTTACTCTCAATTTTGTAATGTTTCACTCACAAATTTAAGTAATCCTTATTAATTATTTCATTTAGGTACTTGGTTGAAATTAAATAAACCAATTCAGAGATGATCTTTAGATATACACGTTATTTTATAAGTTCTTATAAACTATCCACTATGGCATTGTTTATGTATGCCACGATATCAATATTTAAAATTATTGATAAGGAATGGGAACCTTATACTTTGTACTTGTCATCACTATTCTCAATACTCTTCATCATATTTGGTATGATTTATTACAGGAAGATGAATTACATAGCAAACAATCCATTCCTATGAACAATTATAAACTATATACTCAAATAATATATTATTTTTGTTATTAATGTCTTAATACTAATTTCCAGATCTAGATAACTTTACTACTCAAGAAGTAGTTGATTTAGTAGACGATTACTATAAGTTCAACTCAGATGAAAATGTATGTAATGTATTGTGTATATTAGCATTTTTTTTATTTCCATGAAATACCTATCCTTTTTAAAGAGATCGATGCTCTCATTAAAAAATCTTAATTCTCTAATTCTCTTTGGATATTTTTCTTAAACTATTTAGCTGTTGTTTCAGAAACTATGTAAGGCAGAGACCTACCCTTTTTCCAGTTCTATGATATTGTAATTTTTGATGTGAATCATTAGCAACAATTCGATGTTTAAAACAATAAAATTAACTTGAGGAATGAAACTGATTCAATTGTCTAAACCCTAACAGTTGAAGAATCTAAAAAGCAAATTATACTTGTGAAACTGATAAAGAAGTATTTTCTTATAATATTATACCACGAAGTCATATATTTGGTAGATTACTCTAAGAATAATCAGGAGTAAATGAAAATGATTGTTAATTAATTGACTGATGGTCTGGATTATGAAATCAGATTGATCTAGAAATTTATCAATCCTGAAGCATCGCCATACTACTTTTATTTTTTATTATCATTTCTTTAAGGAGTTAAAATAGATACAATTTAATTAACAGAATTTGAGCATAAGATTTGTCATGATAGAGTCGTCTGGCTAATTTTAAGTTTTGGTTTTGACTAGATTGAGAAAGAATTCTAGGAATAAATTGAAATTGATTAATAAAATATACTAAAATTAAAGCAGAATTAAGCCTTGAAAGAATTAAGAAAGTAAAGAGTAGCACAACTTCAACCAAAAAAGTTAAATAAAGTCAGACTCTAAACTCCTAAATCTAAGCAAGAAAGGGAATAATAAATCAATCTATTGAATGAAAGAATATCCTATTTGAAAGTATTAAATGGAGTAGGCGATGATGATGACATACTGACTTCAGAGATTTTCTAGATTAAAATGAAAAAATTAAATAAAGATCTAGAAACTGAATTCTAGAATCTAGATCAAATAAAACAGAATCAAATGCTATATTCATCCAGCCAAAACCAGCTATTAAAGAATGCTTCCTAAATTCTACAAGGAAAATTTGATTCTCAATTGTTCCAAGGCTTGGGGTTACAGCTGTAGACAAACTCTAAAGTGGAGACATTGAAGTAGTTACAAGAACAAAATTATCAATCGATTGTAGATCCAATTATGAGATAAGAAGGCAAAAAATTGCCACCAGGGAAGTTTGTCACAGTTTAAAAGGATAATCTTATTGCTATGAAGTATGGAATCAAGGTAAATCATCATTTTATAAGATATCAAGAGATGCACTATATGATTTGAGAAATGGGAGAGTGAAATCTGAAATAGTAGACTTTTATTTCAAGTTTCTACAGGAATTTTCTTCACTTTGTAATGAAAGGTAGGCTTTTATGCAAATTGCAGATTTTGATAATTTAATCTTTGAATAAAGAACTGGAAAAGAAGCTCCTTAATCGAGAATAGAAAATTACTTATCTAACTTTGATTACATATATTTTCCAATAAAATAAGGACAGGTAGATGAATATTCATTAGGAGTAATAGATGTCTAGAATTTAGTGATTCGTCATTATTATTTATGTTATCAAAAGCCTAAATTACCAGTCAGTTCATTGTAACAAATATTTCGATCTTGGCAGATCTAAGAATAGGATGTAATAGATGAGGTTTAATAAAGAATCGATATGCAACATCGATTTCTATAGTTTCTAATATATTGGATTCGAAAACAATCCTATCACTATAAAATGGAAAGGATCTCAAATATGAAATTATGGAAAATTAAAATTGAAGAAATTAAGACTGTATCTCAACCTTATGAAACCGGGATGTATTTACTATGTGTGATAACAAACTTTTGTTTAAAGAAAAAAAAAGTGGACACTTTTCAAAACAAGGATGTGATTAGAGAAATATTAGAAAATGTTATTTGTTCTACAGGTCTTTAAGAAAAATTGAACGACAGGACTGCCATTGAATATTTTAAAAAGAGAATTGATGCTATATGAACTAATTTAATATATATAATTTTTGGATAGACAACATTTAATATATATTTAAAGATTCTGACACTAACATTGAATTATTCGACCAATGTTCAGATTAATAAGCAATTTAAAGTGTAATATAATGAAATGGTTTAATAAATTAAAATATATTAATCAGTTTCTCACAAATAATTATTCATTTTCTTTGACCATATCCAAATAGATCTATGCCATTTTTTGCTGCATATTTAAAATTGTCTAAGTAGTTTAATATTGGCTCAGATTCATTATGATTTATATTTATTAGTAAATATTGTTATTGAAGTATCCAAAATTATCGGAAATAACTTCATATTATTTGGTTTCTTTAGGAAACAAACTTTACTTTTATTGTTTTTCTGTGAAGATTTCTTATGATTAAGTTTGAGTTCGTTATTGAATTTAGCTATCATTCAATTCTTTAAATTGTTTGTCTATTTTAGATTCAATCTTTTGTAATTATTTTAATGTTTCATCCCTTAATGAATCTCTATACTTAATTTTCTCTTTGAGTGTTTCAATAACTTAGTTTTAATATTTGTAAAAGTAACTTAGATGCTTAGTAACAATCAATCCAATATCTTCTTATTTTCTACTCCATGTTAAGAACATTTAATTAAGATGTTTATAATAGATTTCATCTACCTTCTCAGGTATCTATTCATTTTAACCCCTATTTCTTTATTGCAAATTCACAAATTAATCTGCCAGTGATTTATATTCTTAACTTAACTATTTGTTTAAACCCACAATTTTCTTAGATATTTGTCTAATATTGTTATAGCATTCCAAATCCTTACTAAAAGTACTTGATTAATATGAGAAGAACCCCTCAATTTATGAACTTATCTAACATTCAATTTATCCATTCAAAGTTGCTAAATTTTAGATATCATATTGTCTCTATTTCTATTATTTGAGCTTATTTTATAGATCATTATCATTTTGACAACTGAAAAAGCTGTCTACTAAGCTATCGAACCAGAATTGTCTAATGATTGTATTCATGAATTTCTCTAACGCTAACTATCTGAAATCAGCAATCTTATTCTTAGTACTCGAAGTCACCTTCTTGGGAATTGGAGGAACATAGTAATCTGGATAATTCTTAACCAAATATTCTCTTAATTTGTCGAAGTCAGAATATCTCCTACTAATGAAATATCCATATGGATCCAAAGTGATTTTATACAATATGTATGATTTCGAAAACAAAGAGCCTGGTTACTCTTAATAACTTTGAATCTTCACGTCAATGTTTGGATGTTTATACAAGAAAGAATTCTGATTTATCTACATTTGTTATCCTGGATACACCTTATATCGTTGACCTTCTATAACCATTACGTTTTATTGATTAATGAGCTGTTGAGGCAAAGGAGGTTGAGGAAGTTGAGGCATTTGAGGAGGTGGAGGTGTCTGCATCAAACCTTCAGATTCCTCCTTTAAAGTTCCTTGTTTAGCAAATTAGGGCTAAGAAATAAAACTAGGAGGAGATTGATAATCATTGAATCCAGGATATAACTTCCCATCCTGGTGGTTATTCTAATATTCAGGATATTTAGTCATCTCTGTGCTTGTTTGTCTAGAATTGTAATAATACGTACTATTGCTATTTTAGGGCCAAAAACTCCCCTCCTGCTATGAGAATCTCATCCATATTCCATAATTCAATTTTATCACCATTTGTTTTTTTACTATTTAAATATTAGAGAAACTCTTATTTATCGAAACCTTGTGCTTATATTGTAGTCTCAATGAAACTATCGATCTAATTTACAAATGAGTTTCTATCCATAAGTTTTATTAAATATATTTAAACTTTTCATTCCTCGTATTTCAACCATAGAAAACACATGGAATCCATATACATTATGAAACTATTATTCTAAAATACAAATAATTTATTAAACAAATCTCATTTATAAATATTATAAATTCTAAGAATATATATTTCCAATCCATAATCTAAACAATTCTCAAAAAAGAAATCATTAGAAATTACTTTTTAGTGTATAGACTCAATCACATCAATTAAAATATTAAAAAAAGAAACTGACTTACTTAAAAATGAAAAATATGGAAATAATAAATTTACAGTGTATTAAATAATATATACTCTAAGGTATGTAAGCTCAAAAATAATTACTTTAGAATGAAATAATTTATTTAGTTTAAAATACATCCATTTGTTCATTAAATGAATATACTCAATATTATTTAATTTTTAATATCTTTTAACTGTTGTATTCTTTTATTAAGAATATTTCTTTTAGTGAACAATGATTTTGTCTAAGTGGAATGAAAAATACATGGCTGATTTAATTTATTTTATATCATTCTACATTGTACATATCGTGCTTTGTGTTTGATATAAACAACCTCCAATAAAATTAAAAAATAGCATATATCAATAACGTCCAATATTTAAAAATTAAGAAAATCCAATACCAATTAAATTCAATAATGCTTGAAACTTAAATTATATTTAAATGATCAAAATTATCTTGAATCTATTTCTTTATTTTAATGTATAATTAAGAATTGACATTCGGAATAATTTTTTGAATTATTTATTTAAAATATTTGTGATAAATTAGAAATTATCGTTTAGAATTTGAATTTGATGTGCTTTGGAGGGCTTGCTATTAGTTATAGCATTGTAATGAGAAGGAATGGTGAGGATAATGAGCAAGGGGAATCCTCTTATTGGTAATATAAAGGAGAGTTGACTTTGCCTCTATTTGATTAAATGTTATTGAATGATTGAAATAATAAAAGTTGGCAATCTCTAAAAAATAAGAAGTGAGTATATTATTGAATGGCGAGGAAATTTTAGGGAATGGGAGAATGGATATGAGAGTGAGGAGTAGTATATATATATATGTATGGCAATTAATATAAATAATATGAGGTATATAATATATATTTAATTTTGAAATTCAAATTCAAAAATATTATTTAATTAATAAAATGTATAGAAGTTAGAGATTGAGAATGAAATCATAAAATCATCTGTCTATTTCTCCTCCGATAATAAAGAGGAGATTAAGAAACAAGAATGAATATGTTGAGATGAATGAAATCGAACCAACTGATAAAAAAAAATAGAACATTTTATAGGACATAGCAGCAACTAAATAAAAGAGCTTAACCAATTTCGCCCTGACAGTTACACCAAAATATGGGCAAGAAAGAGATTATGATGATGATGAAGATATTCTATTTCATGTATTAAATTAGAGTATCAAATTAGTCTAAAGGAAAAAAGAGACCATGGTCAGAGTAGGAAGATAATTTGTTAATTAAATTGGTTTAGATGCACGGTCCTTAGAAATGGACATTCATAGCAGAACATCTGCCTGGGAGAATAGGCAAATAATGCAGAGAGAGATGGCATAATCATTTGAATCCTCAGATTAAGAAATCACATTGGGGAGATTATGAAGAATGGATTCTATTCCTATCACATAGAGTTATGGGAAATAGATGGGCTGAAATGGCTAAATAATTAATAGGGAGGACAGACAATTCAATAAAGAATCATTGGAATTCAGCAATGAAAAAACGTATTCCTGAGATGGAGGAGAGATTGAAAGATATTCGCAAGAGAGGAGGTACACAATAAGTTAACTATCCTATAGGAATGTAGAATTCTGAATTGATGAATTCATTTACTTCCTTAGAAAGATAATTATTATAAAAATTGTTATCCTCTCAATAAAATGGATAGATGTCTCCCAGATCCTATTCTCCTAACAATATGCCAAGAAGAAGGACAAATAAACAACAGAATTATTTGAATCCCAATTCAGTGAATTCGTATATTTAGAAAATGATGAATGAAATTAAAATCGATGGAATTGAGAGTTACTCAATGGAAACAAAAATGCTAAAGAAAACTGCTAAGATAACTGACTCAATATTCTGGAATGAAGACAAAGCTGATGACATATAAAACAATCTATATGAATACATATAAGAAAAGGTCGGAGCTCATGGTTATGATTAAGATGAGAAGGTTGATAGATGGATAAAAGACTTTTGGATTATGTGCTAAGACGTTTTTACTGTCTCTGTAATCAAAGACTTTTTATCATAAAGACCTTCCTTCTATTATAATTATTTGCATAAATACAAACAAGATAGTGCCAATTAAGTATCCAAGAATTTAAGTAGAATTTATGAATAAACCAATAATAGTGATGAATATCAACTGCCTTCTCTGAATTAGTTTAAGACTCCTCTCAAAGAGAAACCAGATCCTAATTAAAACAATACAAATGATTCTCATAATAATAATGACAATCATCATCATAATGACACTCATAGTCCTAGTAATATTTGTTTGGAAGTCAAATATGATGATTAATTTTAACATTAAATTGAGTCACCTTCAAAATTATTAAATTTACTCACTCCAAAACATTAAAATATTCAATAATCTAATAAAAAGACTCCAAACTTGAAATCAGAAAATAAGAGTGCTATTCAACATTCTTAATTTAAAGATAATTTGAGCTTGAGTAAATTAAAATTTGATACTACTCCTCTAAAAAAGAACTCAGCCTTTAAATTATATAATAAACTTAATTAGTAATAGTAGCTTTGAAAAATTATTTAATATATTTTTTTATAAACAGGATTTCACAGATAAATTTGCTGTTTTTATGTAATAATCATTATTAACCTTAACTGCTTTTAACAGTCCCAAAATATCTATCTCCAAAATCACCTATTCCTGGAGCTAAGTAGTTGATATCTTACAATAAGATTGGATCAACTTAAGCTGTAATAATCTTGATTTTAGGATGCTCACTAAACAATTTACTTAATCCTTATTCACAACTAACTAACGTTAAAAATGTGATGTTCTCTTCTTTGACTCCATGATTTTTTAAAATCTTCAAAGCCATGCTAGCACTACCTCCTGTGGCCAACATTGGATCAACCAGGATGACTTATTAATCCTTAATGTTTTTAGGCAACTTTTAGAAAAAATATGAAGGTTGAGAAGTTTCCTCATTTCTTTAAATAAGTATTTAACCAATTGATGCTCCTGTCATGATCTTCAAAGCCTCAATTAAAAAAGCATTTCCTGACCTTAGAATACTCACAAAACATATTCTGAATTTATTAATTAAAATTACTCCTCATCTGAAAATTTCAACTCATGAGCATCATAATATCCTAATGGAGACTATTTAACGTGTTTCTTTTTTTCAATTTATGAGATAGCTTATTCAATCAGAATTCTAATTAAACGATCTGCATTTTTTCTGAAATCCTTGAATAATAGTTATTAATACCACGATATCTGTTTCAACGTCTCGAATCACTGATAGAATGTGTTCTGTGTAGCTTCTATCTATAATTTACAAATTTGTATGTTTCTTTTGTAATTTTTGTAAATCATGATCATTAATAAAATGAAAATGAGGTAATTGGTCCTCCGAGTTTTTACCTTTAATTTAATTGCATAAAATATTTGAGGAACTCAACAAGCCCAAACAGCCTCCTAATTTAATTAAATTCCTAAACATTAATTAAAACAATAATATTTTTGATTATCCATGAAATCATGTTTATTATAATATGATGTAAGATGACTAATTATGTTTAATTAATAATAATGCATTATTTATTTTGTATGAAAATGATTTCATGAATATAAAGATTAATGATTCATTCAATCTTTTTCATCATTGCGCAAAATTCTTCCAATGAAATTTAACCATCTTAATTTTAATCCACCTCTTAAACCACCTATTTCCACATTTCCTCAGATATTCCACCAAATATTTGTTTAAGTTCATCCAAACTAATCGAACCGCTTTTATCCTATCAATATCATATATATATATATTACAGCATCAAACATCCTGAATGTTAATTGTAATCTTTATTTTGACAATAACTATTATCTATCTATTGTGGCCATCACAAACTCTAAAATGAATCTAACTCATTATATACCAGTATAATCGATCATTCCTGAGTTATTTTTATCAACTTGTGCGAATACCTTTTCGACTTCTTCTATGGCTTGATCAGCATTCATAATCTTTTAATATCCAATCAGTAATTCTTATTTGCTTAATTTCCCATCATTATTTGTATCCAGTGATTAAAATGTCCTTAATAATTCTTATTTCTCTTCTTTCGTTGCCAATTGATTAACAATATATTTGAAACATGCTTCTTGTAATTTTTAGTGTTGCTAAATTTATAATCTAATTTATACTCTAAAATTTTTCATATTTGTCAACACCTTCTTCATTAAAGGTTACTCGACCTCAGCAGCATTTGTGAATTTCTTAATCCAAGGATCTTGTAATGCCTATTAAGCACTGTATCTCTTTGTTGGATCGTATTACAATAGTTTTTTTATAAATTCCTTAGCTTCCTTACTAACATCCTCCCACTCTATTGACTCAAAAGAATACTAGCCCTTCTTCACTTTTTCCATAATCTTTTCTTCTGTTTTTCCATCAAAAGGTGGAAACCTAATCTACTTTGTACCATTTACCCACATAACAGTATATACAATATTACTCCACATGACCAAATATCACATTTTTCATCATATTTTCTATTTAGTACTTCGGGAGCAATGTAGTAAGGAGTACCCAATTTTTAATTTAATTTTTGATTGACATCAAATTCTCGAGAGGTTCCAAAATCAATAATTTTTAATAGTGAATTCTCTTTATCACCTTCATATAGTAAATTCTCTGGTTTTAAATCTCTTATGGAATTACTTATAATGATTACCTGTGAACTATTTTTTCTTGGTGACAATAATTGACAGCAGATAGGATTTATTTCAAAATTTCTGCTGCTTTCTTCTCTGAAAAGCTCCCTTCATATCTAATCTTCTCAAATAACTCACCACCAGTACATAGTTCTGTAACAATATAAAAAAATCGGTCATCCTAATAGAACTCATAGATTTTAATAATGTTTGGATGATCCTAAGAGCTTTTTAATAATCTTACTAGTTTTTATAGAATTTAAACTTCGTTCATTAATCTCTCTTACTCTTCCTTAGTTGTCTGGGACTTGTGTATAATTTTTACTGCCCTTATTATACCGGTTTATTTATGTATTCCTTTTCTTACTTCCCCATAAGCCCCTATAATAGTATGATTTAAGTGCATACCGCTTCCGAGTGGTGGGTTAAGCAGTGTGTAATCTCTTGTAATTCTCCCCATTTTGGCGCTTGTGATAACAAGACCTCCGGTATCACCTTAAACTTGACAATATAACAATTCATTACTATCTTGTTTCTATTAATTATTCTATGTTAAAGTTTCCGGTTTTTATTATTCTTCTTTTGCTGAATCAGATTTCTTATTTTCAGTTGGTTTCTCATGGCTTTTTTGACTTTGGCTAGAGCAAATTCCCATTTTTATAATTAATATTATTTGTAACAGGAAAAACAAAATTTTGAATATCAGCCAATTTAATTCACTTTAATCATTAGAAGTATTTGATTTAATAAACTTATCATACTGTTTTGTTTCTATTGAATTTAACTTAATGTTTCTATATTAAAATCACTCAAATTCTGAATAAACTTTATAACTTCCAGGACCAGGACTCTACGCTCCCAAATCGAATGGTCCTTTTCGTGTAGCCTTAGGAAATGAGTTTTGGACTGTAGATTTGAATCCATTTTTGTGGCAGAAACCTGTTCCAGTGATTCCAGTATTCGAGATATCATAACTAGCTGGTTCAGGAAAACTATTTTAGGCTATTGATAAATAAGATTGAAACTCTATAGGGTCTTAAATCTGTCTTAATCTTTGCCTATGATGGCAGCACCAGAGCTTCTGAATTTTGAGATATATTGATTTCCTTTTTGATTTGTGATTTGAATGGCTTCATAAGTTCCAGGTCCTAGAAATAGATTAATTAGAGAAACCAGGAGTGTTGAACTATTTCAAAGAGCCTGATTTGAGTCCAAAGGTGAATTTGTTATCAACAAGGGAATTGGTTGAAGCATATCTACCAGGACCTGGAGAAAGTAAATTCAAAGAACCCCAAATTCCATGGGCCTTCATTTAATCTCTGCTATAAGCGAATGTGGGTCCCTTCTTCTTGTCGACATTATTTTCAGCAAAGGATTAGATTTCATACAAATTAGGAGCTGGGACTGGTTTAGCATCTTTGGAAAAATCATGTCTAAATATATGAACTTGGAGTACTTGAATCCATAGCCGATTCCAGCCATTCTGCTTCCCAAGTTTTAAGGTAATTTGTAACTTAATTCGTTGGTTCTACATGAGTGGAGAATGAGAATTACGCTGATTTATTATGAATGGGTTCTCTTTTGGCTTTTGGGAATGAGTACTTTTATTTAGACAAAGAAGTGTTTAGACTTGAGTCATGAGTGGCCAAATACTGATTCATAATATAATTAAAATATATATATATAATATTCATATATATTTCATTCTGAAGATTCAGAGAATTTTTCCAAAATGTCCAGTGTATGCGAATCTAGTTTTGAAAGAAACTTATTCTTAGTATTGGCTTCTAGATGATGAAGATATGAAGTACTTGAATAGTTAGAATATTTGGAGTAGATTTCTTTGGCTCTTTGTTCACATTTAAGGATTTCATGGTCTTTCCAAGGGAATCGTCTGTAACTTTTAATTTTCTGTTAAGTATAAGATAACAAATTACTCCAAAATCTCTGGTGATTATAATTTTAATAATCTGTTTAGTCATATTCTCAATTTTTTCATCGTTTTCGTGATTGCAAATCTCATTGAATGAAGCTAATGTTATTGTTAATTTTTTACAAAGAAATTTTGCATAGAAAGAGGAAAATCTCTCTGATGCAAATAATTTTCTTAGATAGGTTTCATTCATAGTCTTCATTTTGGAGTCCTTTCTGAATGGTATCATATCATCTATTGATTCCTGATTGAGAGTCTTCATAAATTCCTTGTCATCTGAGAAGAAGGAATGGTAAAAGAGTCTGTCTCTCTCTTCAGCTGACATTCCCTCTTTTTCTTCGTATTCAATTTGACTTTTAATGAAAAGGAAACATCTTCTTATAATAAACTTCGTCATTTCTTCTTTTGTTTTGTTAACCTAAACATAGCGCTTTTTGATCATGTTTGGTATGTCTTTCGAAAATGAGGAGAGTGTCTAATTAATTAAAATGCGAAATACTTTTAAATTTTCTTATACAAACTCTTCAAACACTGAGTCTTGGAGTAAAGAAATGTTCTTCGACAGGAATCTTAGCAGAGAGATCAATTCTTATTCTGCGATAATCTCCATGTTATTAGTTACAGCATTTTATTCAACTGGCTCAGGAAACTAACATGCCTAATCACAAGTTTCTTTCACTGGGATTGGCAACGCATACGTTGACGTAGGAAGCATATAGAATTATTAAAGGTTGAGTTAGGGGTAATTTAAATATGGTGCAGCACACATTAAAGGAAGCATGAGATGATTTAAAAAAAATTAGATGTTAAAATAAAATATCTTTTGTATTTATTAAGGTCTCATTAAATACTAAAGTTTTTTATTAATCATATTAATTTATTTAATCATAATTCTGTTGAGGCTACATATTAATACTTATATGATAACGGAGGCTATGGAACATGCACAAATCTCCCCTCCGGTGACTTCTCATAGAAGTTGCCTGCAATTCTAATATATCATAATTACCATATCCTTTAACTTCCTTTTTTATGAATTCCTTATCCCGTTTCAAAAAGCACCTATCCATGCTATAAAACCCCCCATATTCTTTTCCATAATTTGAGTTCGAAAGTGACTTTCTACTCTATCTGATTGTTTTTTTTGCAATGCTCTCTTCGTAACTTTATCTCTCAGCCACTATTTCTGGTTTCCCTGTCTTCTTGCCTTATTTTTTTATTGGAGGATGAACATAATTCTGAGGCAATGGAGGTGGAATATATTTAGGTTTTGGTGGCTACATCTTAACAATAACTTATACCAAGGGAGGATCATCAGGTACTTTTGATACTCCTATCTTTTAAGCAATCTTTGGAAAAACTCCTTGAACATCCCAAGTTAATTGAATTGCACCCTTTCTATTGTGTTGCTCTAATTCATTCGATCTCGAAAATACCTGGAAATATCCGTTTAGAACTTATCACTTCCTTTTTTGAAGGCATACCATGGGTCGTCTAAATATTGCAATATTTAAATACAATAATATCAGCAGTTGCCATTTTAATAAATATTTTAAAAAATTATTATTACCAATAATTTTGTAATCCAAGGAATTATTGGTAACTTAGATAAATACTTTATTTTATGATCAAAAAAGAAAAGTGAATAAGATATCTAAGACACTGAATGATGGATATATGTAGATATATCTTTAATATGTAACATCTCAAATTTGCTAACTACTCTTGTTAAATATAATTTATTAAGTTCGCTTTTACAATAGAGATATATTGATATCATATAAATTACTTTAAAAACTTCTTTGTTCCATCAAAAGAGGTGGGTATTTTAGACTTCAAACTTCGATCTAGTTTATACTCTTTAATTATCACTTTTTATGTATAATTCTGAGTGGATTGGGTACTTTTAAATAATAGATCTTCCTTGTTAATTGCTGATGAGATTATCAATTATAGATGTTTATTTGCAGATGATATTCTCTTAGTATTACTATAATTAGTAGTATTATTGTTTCTTTCTTCCACTTTTGGAACATTAGAAATAGAATTAGTCTTTTTAATTTTTTAGATAATTGGTTCAGACGAACATACTAATTCAATTAACTGATTATTGGAATCAGTAATTAACTTCAATGATGAGTTTTTAAACATCTGTCTTCCACTATTGATTTTATTTAAACTATCGACTTCATTTTATTAATCCCTTTAAGTGAGTGGGTATTATTTATGGAGATGAAAATTCCTGTAGTTTAATAGTTAACCTTGCTTATTAAACTTAAATAGTTTCTCATTGTCTTTTCTCTCACTGCACAGTTATACGAAATTAGATTCCTCCTTGAGTGACTTAACTCTATTTGATGCTCCTTTTAAGTACTATCTCTTATAATTAGTCTTTGTGACAGGCAACCTTTAAAAATCTCTATAATTAGATGTGCCATTTGTAGAAATTATTCTCTAACCCCTTAAATCTTAAAGAGAAACCGCTATTGATGAAAACATGAAATAATTTAATAATATCTCGCAATTAACATTTTACAAAATAATCATGATTTTCATTCAGCAAATATATTTAAGGTCTCTAAAATCTCTGCTTTAGCTCCTTCAGGATCCATTTATTACTGTTCAAAATACAGAGAGAAAGCTCCAACTAATTTTGGGTAGTCTTTATGATAATCATGAGCTATCTCTTTTAATTTTATCAATTTATCATCTCCTAAGAGGTTCTCCTATTCAAATTACTCTATTGTCTACTGTATCATTTCTAATAATAATATTTTCATTAATATTACATTATTGCAATAATTTTTAAATACTTTTAATGCTCTCTACAAAGTCCTCAACATTCTTTGAATACAAATAGATTTCAAATACTCCTTTAATTCTTTATTCATTTTTTTTCTTGTTTAGTAATCCCAACATATAATCATCGACTTTCAATAATCCATCCTTTTTTAATTTTTTCAAAACATCTTCAAAACTATTAGGTTGATGTAATTTTTTGAAGATGTCTTATTAACTTAATTTTTTGATTGATGCTATAAATCCATTCAAATCCTAATCCTATTAAAATTGAGAATAGAGTTCGACAATATCGTTTTCACCCCAACCACTTGCAATAGTTTCTAATCTATTTTTCTCTTCAGCTGAAAAGTATTGTTTAATGGTTGATAGTATCTCTTTGGCTCCAAAAATAGGAGTGTCTAAGTGTGGCTGATCCAAGGGAGACAAGTCGGTTTCTAATTAATTAATCTGAAAATAATGAATGTAATTACATTAGTGAATTTACCATACTGTTTTATTATCATCTATAAGTTTTCTAACATATCCTCAGCATCTTGATTTTGCAAATAAGTTTCAAGTGTTCCCAACACCTGTAGATCATTTTCTCTAAACATTTTCAATAGATAAACTTTTTCATTTTCTTATAAATGTTTTTACAATGTAAATTATCTCACTTAATTCATAAATAAATTATACATCTTGGTTTTTCGATAATCCTGAACATCATTTTGTTTTTCAGAGAGCAGTTTGCTATTAATATAAAAAATTCATTACATCAATTTTGCTCTTGTATTCATTACAATTCGAGAGGTTTAAAACCCTTTAATTATTTCATACAGTTATTCATTATGGTCTGAAAACAACTATTCTACTTATTTCAATTTTTAATCATCCAATTCCATTTAATTTATCATATCTTAGAAATCCTAAGCAATATCCTTATCTGTTTAGATGGAATATAATTTTTCAATTTTTTAAGAGTATTATATACGTTACTCCCTTTTCCTCTGAATGAAGTTCTCCTCACTAAAAATAATATCCTTAGCAGCAACATCTTATTATTTCCTTTGAGATTACTCTTATTTAAGTTCATTTTGTTAATTATTCTATTATTACTCAACCTCCTCTTTATTTTACTATTCTAATTTTGGTTGTTAAGCAGGAAATGTTTAAAACAATTGAACTCTTTGTAATTCATTCGAGATTTTCCCATAGGATTAATAGTTTTTATTGCTATTTTCTTCCTACTTTTGTTATTTGGGTTATGGAGGAGGTGACAGGGCTTCATTGGCTAAGTTTTAAAAGTTAGGCATTAATACACATAAAGGGGATGGAGCCTTGGGTGATTAAAATTTGAATAGATTGATTTCTTTTGATATTTAATTAGGCTGTTTCTCAGATACAGTTAAATGCAGATTTTAATTGTGAATTTGTTATAATGCCTTCTTAAGATCATTGACAAAATAGTCAACATTTGTTTCATATCTAAAATGCTATAAGGTAGCATAAATAGAGCCGGACTTTGTATTCTTACATTCTTGGATGATTGATATTTCTGGCTTTTTGAAATTTTAGTTCAATAGTTCATTAAATTTAGTATCTGCATAAAGTTGCAATGGTTTTAAAGAAGCTTATTCTTTTCTACTCTCTTTATTATAAATATCAGTACACAACCTAATTAAGATTTGATCCTTTTGATTCCATAGCATATTAATCATGCCATATTATTCAGAAGTGAAATTGTAATTGTTGATATCAAGAATGAAATTCTTTACATCCTCATTCTATTCCTTAATATTATTACTTATAGTTTATTTAGTCTACTTTAAATTCTAAAAAGGCGAGGTAGGTCTCTATTGATTTTTCTATTTCTCAATTATATTGTTCAGTCTCTCACTTAATCTATAGATATCTATGGATCTTTGAGAGTACTACAATAACACAGTAATAATCTCTATGTTTTCTTCAATCAAGAGTCTTTTAACCAGTCTGGCCATAGTAACATCAAGTAGTTCTTTGTCTTCTAATTCAGCAACAACTCGAAACAAAAGATCTTGTTGATTTATTATGGAATCATTGGGATTTGAGATATTATATGAAACATGATCCTCTGGAATGTCACTACCTCTAGATGGGGCACATTAAGTAACCTTTGCTTAAACTCTTGTAATATATTGAGAACCGATTAACTTTGAGTTATAGGAACTTTGATTACTATGAATTTGAGAGTCTTCGACCAATTTTCTAATGGATTTACTTCTTCTTTTATTTGGAGATTATTATGAAGATAATTGAGATGTTTATCTGATATTAGAATTCTTAACCATGGGATCCATAATTTTAGATTGAACAAGTTTCTGGATAATTTCATCCATTTGCCTCATCTTTTTGTCATTATTCAATAAAATTGACACTATTTTCTTTGATCCCTTGTACACCCAGAGAGTCTTAGTTTGACAGTCGTGTTCATTTGCCCAATCAAGTATGTTATTACTGAAGGAATAATAAAAATTGATCCAACAATTGAGGTTGTTTATTAAAGGTTCTAAGGAACTTAGGAAATCTAATGCGGATGGATCTTTTTCATGAATTAAATAAATGCAAGAATATTAGTCATCTCCCAAGATATTTTGAAACTCCTCTATGTCATAGATGAAATCAATAAATTGAAGTTTGTTATTGAAATCTGAAATGGAACTATATTTTAAAGATGTTTATTGTTATATTGTATTCTCTAGTATATTTGATCCATCTTCACTTACTAAAGTATAATGGGAACATTTTGTGTAATTCAATTATTAGATAAATTATACTAAATCAACATAATTGCCTAAACTTTATTTATTTAAGTTTTACCATCTGAATCGATTAATCCAATAATTTTATGTTTTATGCTAAATAATTGTCCTAATAATATTTATAAAGACTAAACATTTATTCTTCTATCCAAATTCAATTATTTCACTCTATTCTAATATTTGATTGTTAGTAACATATAAATTAATATTTATTTTTATTTATTAACTTAAATAAACACATAAATAATATCATCACAAATATATTTTCTTAGACTCCTGCAACACATACGTCATCACATAAGCATTTGTTTATAATACTTCAAATGGGATTAATGTTAATAATAATTTTGATTAATTAATTTAATTTGAAATTAAATTCTTGAAACACTTCTCTGTTATAAAAGTAAAAACACAAACAAACGTAGCCCCAATCGCAAATATGACTATTTAACTCACAAAATGGCTGTCAATTAAGTCTCTTAATTGATAATCTTCATAATCAGATATAACTTGAAGCACAAATGTTAAATAAATGAAGATTTCTTATAACTCTTTATTGCTCAATAAAATCACTTCCTTATCTAAATTTTAAGGATCTAAATTTAATTCTAATCAACTTAAAATATTAATATTACATTCAAATATTGATAGAGTCTCATAAAATTAATTCATTTGAGTGATAAAATTAGCCAAAGTGACACTGACTCCAGATTATTAATTACCAAATGATTCACAAATCTCATAAGAAAAATAATCTAAATATTGCTAATTCGACAAATGCGATATTAAAAGACTATCAAAAACAGCACAAAAGTTATTTGACAATATTTCAAATAATTGAGAATCGTCATTATTTAGTTTACCTGTCAGTTCTTAGGAGTAATAAATTAATGCCTAATTCTAATTTTCCTACTGATACTGAATCAATTATAAGACTAGTTTATATGATATGTCTTTACTTGAAGTATCATTCACTTCTAATGTGTTTTGGCTAATCAAACTATTTATGATAATATTTTCGATGGAATTCTCTTTTAATATTTCATTTTGTAAAGTACTATAAATTGTATTTTATTAAAAGTAATTTTGATATTCATTTAAAAATTAAAATTGAATCAAATAAGAAGTGATAAAGTAAGCTGATACTATAGAAAATAACAGCAATACTAATAAGATACTGAAGATTATTAAGGGAGTGGCATCTATATAGAATAATAAGTTTACTCGATCCAATTATGGTCTTCAATTTTCCATGTTATTATTTCTTATGATTGGAATCCTTAATCCCTCGAATAGTTTTGGCAAACTTTTTAATGTGAACACTTTCAATGTCATATTGATTAGTTTCTTATTGAGCGAATTTAGTCTCTTCTAATTTCTCCAATAAAATTTGATATACATCAAATTATTGTTACAGTTCTGATTATGGGAATGTTGTGAAGAATTATAAAATAGTATTCTTTTATTTATTTATCACCAAAAATACAGGTAATAATATGATTACTAATAAACTTAATGTTACTTCTGACAGAATTATTGATAATTAATGCTAGGTTTAAATAAAATCAATTTATTCATTTATGTTAGTAGTAATTGATGAATTCAATTCAGAGAGCATATCAGTGATAATTACTAAATAGTTATCAATTATGAATTGTATGCTATTATTATCATCTACTTCATTGTTTTTTATATAATCAATCATTTATTAACCAACTAATTTAAATATGAACAATTAATCTAATAATAGGGTCTGATTGTTTTGGGTAAAAATGATGTTTTCTTAAATATATAAAATATATACATTATTAATTAAAGCTTGATTACTCTATTATAGTATTTTATTCATTCAGAATTACTTATATATACTACTTGTAATAATTGATTGAGACATTTTGTATCTAATCATACCATGGCAAAGTTGTTTGATTCTAACGCAATATTTGCTAATATTGATTGGATAGTATGAAAAGGTTAAAAGAACACTCAATATTTTTGGAGACATGCTTATTTGTTTCAATCAATAAAAATTTCTAAGTTAAATGCTATAAAATACTTCTTTAGAGATAATTATAAACACAAGATTGAGAACATATAAAATAATTAGTAACAGCAATCCAAAGATTAACATTCCTTTTTTGGTTGTATTATTTTAGAATTGATGATCTGAGTATAAGACATCCTTAATCATTCTTCTCTTGCTAAGATAATCTGATTATTATTAAGAACTACCAATTGAACTACCTCCATCATTCTAATGAATAGTGATTTTATTATTGCTTTTGTGATCAGAACTTGAATCAATTGAATCCTTAGAATTTTTATTAGAAAGATCCATGTCTTCTATCTGATTCTTTGATATCAATTAGAAACTATTTTATCTTTGATACTATTTTGAATTGTCGAATTCCATCTACAATAATTATTAGTTTTCTTTTGATTTTGAATCCAGAGTTAAAGATATCTATTCTCTTTTAGAAAAAGGATTATATTCCTCAATATTCCTTTATTTTTGAGTGATCATCACATCATCTTCTAATAACAAATTTGACTCCACATCTTAGTATTTCCTTTCTAAATATTCAGATGATTGAGACTTCCTAAACAAATCAAAATTATCTTTATATAAGTTTTCCTTGTATTCAGAATCCTGATGCATATAATTAATCTTTGGAGTCTATTGCTAAATATTGATATGTTAACCCTCAAAATTACAAAGATTCTAAATGACTTTCAGCACCTTTTATTGTTGTTCTGATTTTACCATCTTAAGATTCTAGATATCCAGGATTATATGCAATGAATTTATAGTCTTCATTAATCTTATTTTGTATTTTACATAAAAGATAAAATAATGTTAAACGTTCTAATAGTAAAGATGACTTTTCTATTATTCAGTAAAAAGTATGTTTGAATATCACCAGTCATGCTTGTCCTTAGTAATTGTATATATTCATTTAGATTAAATTATCTTGGTATTAGAATATGTCCTTCCTTCAAAATGTCATAGTTTACTTTGTCTTTGTTTTGCTACTAGAATTCAAAATCAATTTCAGTATTATTTTTGTAAGTTTCTTCAAGTTTCTAGAGATCCCTTAATAAACATGGCATAATTCTAAGGAAATTCAGATTCTTCAATTAATTGGGAGGACAGTTGAATGTTTTCTTGATAATATCTTCATAAAAGTTCTATGATATCTCTTCTAAAATCCCAAATTTGCTTATGACTATATAATAATTCTATTAATTTATTTATGTGATTAATGCAGAAGATCCAAAGTCACTATTAGAGTAATTTTCCAATCTCACCTTGGCATAGACTGGAATGATGAATGATTCTTTGTTTTTCAATATTAAAAATCTTTATTCAGCCATCACAATGTTCATTCTGCCAAATTCAATAAAGTTGTCTAAATACATATCATGATACTAGGCAATAGAATCAGGCATGAAATGTTTAATATTCTAATATTTGATATCTTAATCAGTCCCCAAGATAAGTGATTTGAAGGATTTTGTATAATTTTGTATTGAGCCTCTTTGATTCATTAATGAAATATAAATGATGCAGGAATCCCTTTAAAATACTTGTTAATTAATAGACTAGACAAATTAGTTAGCATATGTAGAATTTCTTTTAGTTGTTTTAGGTCTCTTGATGTTGAAATTTAAGTATTTATAAAACAAATAGATGATAGTGTCTAATTCAGTGGAGACTGGATTTAGTTAATATAATTAGAATAATTGTTTTTCTAAGACTTGAATCTGTAACTATAATTCAGTTCCTTTCTTTATGATTGATTGCAATTATAATTATTAATTCAACAGTTAATAAAACCATTTCTTATAATTTGAAAGTATGATCTAAAAGTTTTATTTAGAAGTGTCAAGATTTGAATCAAAGTCAAAAACCTATTTAAAGTTGTACTTCTGATTTTTAAGATCTTTTTTTTCGATCATCTAATTGAAGTTATGTTTAGCATCTTAAATCAATTATTCAATTATCATAGTTCTCTTTTAGTTCAGCTTCTTAACTTTAAATTTTAAGTTCATTGCTTCATAAAATGCTTTAGTAGGCTTCTTTTGTACTTAAAATAGGAAGTAGATATATGAAAATTATTCATTGTTATCCGTAAATGATTTATTTTACAGAAATCTTTCAAAATAGTATCGAATTAAATCGAACAGAAATTATTTAAATTGTTTCTCACTTTTAAAAGCAAAGTATTTCTTCTCTGTATCATGATCTAAATCTCTTTTCCAAAATGTAAGAGATTTCTATTCACTATATTAAAAGTATTATCTACAAAAACATTATCTAGAAAGATTGTATTGTAAAGGTTAACCATCCTCTACCAAATAGCCTGAACAATTTCTTAAATGATTAGCAGCAACATTGTGTAATTAGAGGGAAATGTAGGTTCTAATAATTGGTTTCTTAAAAGTTCTCCAATCCTTATAATAAGTCATTTTAATCAGATCATACATTATTCTTAATTTTTCTTCCAAATTTCTCGGATCCTTTAAACTTACTGCAAAATGATACTTAAACTATTCTCGTCTGATGATTATTTAGACTGCAATTATAATAGGAGATGAGATGAAAACCAATAAATTAAGGAAATCTATTGAGAATAAATTATTAATGTAACAAATCTATCCAATATATATAAATATAAATTGACCCAATACAAATGACTAAAAAGTATTAATTTATTGTCTTCTAAATAAAATTTATAGAGTACTTAACAGTAAAAAAAACAAATTACAAAATAGTCCTAATAATAATTGCAGATTTGGGTATTTTTGTTTAGTAAATATTATTATGAGTATGCATGCATAAATGTAGATGTTTTATAATAATTTAAATCCAGTTACTTTTCTTCCCAAACAATCTTTGTTTTTAAATTTGTAATCAAAACAATGAAACATCATAAAGATATCAAGGATTAGAAAAAATAAAAACACAAATATTGATGCGATCATGCCTTATGTATAAATCCAATCTAATTTAAGATTTCATCTTACTTTGATTTGCTTATTGATCATCTGCAATATAGTTGTTAAAAATATTTAATGAACAATAAATGGTCATCCAATGGAGCACATATTTATATGTTTACAAAAAGAACGACAATGCATTAGTAATGAATTTGATAAAATTTACATGAAAATATTATTTAGTTTACAACTATTCTTATTAATCTATATACTTAAATGGGGAAATCTGAAAATTTTAAAGAAAATAATCCGTTTATTTTCTAATTTGTCTACTTCTATTAACTATTCTTCCTAAATACAACAATTAAATTTAAAAGAGAAATCACAATTACAATAATTAAGAAACAGACATCTATAAAATATATTTGACTTAAGTTTGTTTCAGTTTGAAATAAAGGGTATATCCTAATATTCTAATCAAATGTTTACTTTGATGATTTTAAAATCCAAATTATTGCATCCATTATCCCTCTCTTTTTTTCATGTTTTTACGGTTCAAAATTATTTTCACTGAGAAATATCCCTTATAACTAAATGGTTTAAAACAATATCAATCCAAAACTAAAGTATTGATTCCTATAAAAGCTATCTCTTATCATCAGAAAGTTTTCACGATAAAAATCTTCAAAGACCTTTTTAATAACCATTTTATTTAATTTTATAAAAATTAATTACAATACATCTAATACTAAAGTACAAGTTACTATTCTTTAATATCAAAGTACTATACATTCTTGGATATATCTCAATAATTAATAAATATAGTAACATTTCAATATCACTCTTATTCTAAACAAAAAGAATACATAGCCTCTAATCCTTTATTTTGAAAGACATCTTTATTTAAGAACTTAAATCATCCATCAAAATTTTAACTCAATATTATGAGTGATAAATTAATTGTTCTATTCAAATTTTATTTAATATTAACATTTTATATGAATTAAAATGAGAATAATTCTGAATCAATTCATGCTAAATTGATTTCTAGATTAAAATCTAAATAATTAACTATCCTGCCCCCTGTTCTCATTCCTAAGCAAAAGATTAGCAATTTTGATGAAAATAGATGGATCGATAAGATTGTTCATACAAATGCCAATGAATCAACTCCTTAGCATGAAACCACTCAACCTGATAACAAATATAAACATAGGAGAGCCAGTTCGCTTTATAGTTTGCACAGCTTGCCTAAATCTTAGAGTGAATTATAATTGAAGATAAAGACTGATAAACGACTATCACCTAAACGACCCAATCAATATAATAAGTGGTTTATCCCTCCAAACAAGAGATTCACTGATTTGCAAGCAGAAACTCAGGAGTATATTCAAGAATAATATATCTAAGAATAATATCGATAAAAACAATCATAATATAATAATATGATCAGATAATCAAAACATTTGACACAATTTATTAGAGATGTATTATTACATTATATCTAACCTAGTTCTAAAAATAACATAAAAGAAGTCCTACTTTCATACACCAAGCTTGATATTTGTAATTTCATATATATTGAATACTATTTAAATTCTCTAACATAATTTAGTTTTGATTTTGTATAATATTCCTAAGACATCTAATTATTAGATTTATTCAATTTTAAGTCATCTTTCTACCTATTAAAATTTTTTTTTGTTTAATTTGAAATAATCTTTGTTTCATTTTCATTTCTAATAGGAATTTTTATTTAATTTTTTGACATAATTTAATATATTGTAAATTTCATTATTATTTATTACTTAAGATTTCAATATAATATAGTGTGAATATTATTGATTGAAATTAAAGTATCTTGTCTAAATAAATATGAATAATAATTAATAGAATTGTTAGCGATTTAACAACCTAACTACAATTTTAAATATTAATTTATTATTTAGATTTAACAATTTGTCTATCAATCTTCATAATAAAGTTAATTAAAATCAATTATTATTCTAATATATTTACTAAACAATTATCTAAAGTATATGATTCAATAATATAGCATGAAGAGTGTTTGATTAGTTTGATTATATTGTAGTTTTGATATTAAAATGTATAGAATACTAAATATATTCTTTAATCTATTTATTAATAGCTACTGTAATTATTAACACGCAGATAATAAATTTATTGATAAGTTAATTTCAAGTAATAGAATAATTGAATCTTATATTTTATTTATAGAATCCAATAATTTGTATTTCATATTGTAAAAGATTTATCTGATGTTGATAATATTCTAATTATTATATTAATAGATCATAATGAGTTATATTAGATACTAGTAACAAATGGTAAAATAAATCAAATATTTAAAAACATGTTCGAATACGACTTTGGTTAATTGTACGAATGACCAGATATTGATGCTTATTAATTATTGTATTCTTAAGCAATCAATTATTCTCTTTCTAGTTTTTTGGCTTACCAATTATTCAATCTAGATTAGAATGGTAATACCTTTCAACCATGACTTCGATATCCTTCTCTTAAAAGTTGGATTGGGCTAATGAATCAGATGAACCCTGCATTTATTGGGTCAGATCAAAATATTGATGTATAGGAAGGGATATTTTCATCTGTTAAATATAAATGTAGATATTTACATTATTAATGGAATTAGGTAATTCTTAATCAAGAGCATGTTAAATGGGAGTTTGCAATTAAGAATTTTCAGTTGCTTAGGTTTTGGATTTAGATTAGGTTGTATCCACAAGTTAAAATTATCTTTGATAATCTTGATACATCGATTTCGTCATATTTTTAGTATAATACGGTTAATCACAATGGGTATTTCTTTTTGATTATTCTAACTTAATGTTGATAATTACACAGAGTGAAGGCACTACTTTTTCTGATTTGATAAAGTCTTTCAAAGACAGAGGAAGAAGTGACTTCATGAGTCAATCTATTGGCATTATTTTAGATTTCTCGAGTCTAGATAATTGAAGGATGAATACTTCTTCTTCTTTTATTTGGTGTATTTTTTGCATTTTATTTTGATTCCATCTGTAGAGATCATTTATTGTTCGCTATAAATTGATTGATTATTTGTTGATCTAGAGATAAATGTATTGATACTTCTGGTTTGAATTGACATTATTCTGGTTTTGGTTTTTGTTTGATTCTGGCTTTGGAGTGAGGCTAAATCGATTTATTGGCATATGATTGAATTCTCAGAAACTCATCTTATGTAACCAATATCCTTTGAGAAGATGACTTCTTCATAATTATACAAGATGAAGATATTGATATGAAATATAAAATATAAAATAGTTTAATTAAAATCATTCTCGAGTATCAAAGAATTCTTTCATAGTATTTTATCTAAGAGGTCTCCTTATTGAAGTTTGAAACCAATCTTTGCCATATAAGGTTTCAACATAATCAGTAAAGATTACTAACTGATATAATTTGGTTTCTTTAATTATTTGTTGTTGTTTCGAGAATAATCATTATTATTGAAGAAATCATCCAGTCATTTTTAGATTCAATATTAAGTAATGTGTAAGACTGAAAATTGTCATGTCTTCTAAAACGAGTAGTTTTATGTATCCTGAGAACTTTCGAAATCATCTATTTTAGAGAGCACTTTTTTAGATTGAATTCTGAAGATTTTCAGTCTTAATGATATTTTGACTTTCCATTAGATTATCTATGCTATCAGTGACTAACTAAGAAGTTGTTTTGATTTTTCAGGTGATTTTAAGGGAGATAAAAATAGAGTTCCTTAATCAAAATCTGAAGTAAATAAATTTTAGTTAGATAGGATAGATTTGTTTTCCTATTTATCCTGTTAAATTTATATATTAATATTGTATTTTAGAATTTGCTGTACTCATAATATATATATTCAAATAAAAGAGAGATCAAATCTTACTATTTGACAATGTTGCATCAATTGCTTATATGCTGTGTAATTAGTATAGACTTTTCTATTCCTGAATCAATCGTTGTATATTAATATCCCTCCTTTTCTAACTTAATTTAGATTGATAATGTTGTTCCATAGGAATTCTATTGAATTCTAAGTTCTGTTCTTCCTGTCTTATTTTATAGTAATGCCAACTCCTCTATAGATTTCGAACTTCCTAGAAATGCTTTCGATTTTATTCTAATAATGGTTAATGCTATTATTAATGTGGAGATACTTATGGATTATTATTTAGCAACCCACAAAGCTTGGCATGTTTGATTATTTAATTCATCTCAGCAGCTGAATATATTTTGGTAGAGTTCATTTCTGATAGCTTTCTATTAACACTACAGGAACTATTTTTGCTTTGGAAACTTTCATCATTGCATTTCGTAGACCTTGATCTCATTTTTGATGCTCTATCTATGTGATCCAAATAAACTGGAGTTATGTGATTGGCTATCGGTTGAACTTCTGAAACCCTAAGACTAATTGTCTTCGTTATCATAATACTTTGAAATCCCTAATAGATCTCTGTATTTTCTAATGTATTATTGTTTCCATTTTAATTTATTTGGATTCTATAAATTCATTAATTTATTAATAAATGTATTATAATTCTACTCACCTATAATTTATCTAAATAAAATAAATTAAAAAAGGATCACTTATAAAATCCTGAAAATTATTGTAATATATATTACAAAAATATATGACCACTCCTGTATGTTTAATATTAATTAGCTCAAATAGAAATTTAATATCGAGGACGGTTCAGAGTCAGAATAAGAAGAAACCTAGAAGAAATCCTCTGAAAATCAACCCTTATTTCAAACATCCTTATTTTCCTCCTTACCATCAAACTCAAAATCACTAAAAAAGAAACCATTAGCAAAACTGACACTCTAGGATTTCCTCACTAATTATGATTAAAATTTTGATGATGTCTTTGGAGAAAAAGAACTCCCATAAACTTAAGACTAGGTAGCCAAGAAGAAAAAGAAGAAAACAGCAAAAAAGAAAAAACATTAATCTGATTCTGAATCAGAATACAAATCATTACCTAAAGTGTCAAAAAAGAAATAGAATGCAGATTCAGAATAATCAAATGAAAAATAAATGGAGCCTTCACTAACTAAGTAATCAACATCAAAGAATCAGAAAAAACACAGACTAACTAAAATTGATAGTAGTAAACTCACATCTGAAGAGAAATCAAACGAAGTCAAAAGATATGATCCAAATTGTGTAGATCTACCAGAAAACACTAAGGCTGATAAGAAGAATTTCAAATTAAGGAAATTTTTGTTTAGTTTTGGGTTGGAACAATAGAATCCAGATGATGATCAAGAATAAGAAGAGGAAAAGGAAGAGTAAGTAGAAGAATAAAAAGAAAGCGTTAATAGTAAGAATACTAAAAAGAAAAGCAATTAAATAAGTGAAAATAAGGATAATTAAATAGAATAATTGGATATTGATAAAATTGAAAATAACAACAAAAAGAGGAAACAACCAAAAAAGACTATGACTAATTCAAGAGAAAATGAGAAATAGAAATAACAATAAAGAGAATAGAAACAACCAGAAATAGATCCTAAAACTATGCTTAATCTTGATACATTAAAATTGAATGTCTATATTCCAGAATGCAACCCTAAAGATAATGATAATGATATTAATTAATGATTATACATATTATCTTATCATTTTTATTATAAATGGTGATGCCATTTGGTTTTCTCTGATAGGATTCCTGGATTTGTGACATTTCCAAATTTACCAAAATTTCCATAAACATTATGTGCTGTGCTTAGAAAGTGTCTCTTCACATTGAAACTAAATTAATTATCACTGAATACTGTCTTTCTCCTAATTCTACTTGAGATGCATTTTTAGTGAGAATTGGAGCATCAGGTTCAGGTAATCTTGATCTGAATGAACCTGTGTGATAGGGTTCCAATAATTTATTAGTTGAACCAACATGCAAATAAGGCTTGACTTTATAATCATCACTTATATAAAAAATGAATGAATTACGCATATGTTGATGTTGTGTATGTGGATTTAGTTTCGTGTTCTGCTGGTGTCTTGTTTGCAATTTCATAGAACGGAACAGCCTTTGATATGGTGGATATTACTTCAGGATTTCCTTATTTCATTCTCACATAAGAACATGAACTAACTCTAGTGCTTTTGAAAAAGGCTGCTGATTTATCTAACTTCAAGGATGGATGGAGTACCATTCTGCCACTATGAATTGATTGTTTAGTCTCGGACGGTTGTGACATTATATTAATTATTTATTTTAATTAATGAGAACTAATCATTAATACAATTATAATTATAAATTAGACTAAATATTTTCCAGAGAAAAGTAATCCATCATATATACATTTATTAGGTCTTATGATCTTCATTTGAAAAAATTGAATGAAATCAAAAGCAAAAAATCACATTCATAATCAAGAGTCTAACATATAGAAATCTTGGAAAAGAGAAATTCCATCAGACAATAAAGAAGGCGTTTCGATCTCAGTGGTATGTTTTCATGAAGATTTTAATAAATTTAGAATAATCAGAACGAATCAATAAGGGAAACAGTTAATTATATTATAAAATAACAGAAATCTGCAATAGGCCAATGTAATAAGATTACTATAAATATGAAGATGAAAATCTGCATCACCCTCATAACTTAAATTTAACTTTTCGCAAAATACAAGCTCAATAAATTTAAAATGAAAACATTAAATTAGCTGATAGACTTATGAAACAAGAGCCAGTCCTAAAATTGGATGAGTATTCTCATTAATATACCGAAAACAAAAGATTGATGCAAAGACTTTAAAGATATCAATAATGTTAACAATATGTAAATTCAATTAGGTAATCTTATTTCTATTTTAGAAACAATTTGACTCTATCCAATCGTGATACAACAAATAATAGTTCACTATCCTGCAAAAAAAAGGAAAAAACATAGTTATAACCAATTCTTAAGTACTTATATATGTTCAAACCTAGTGTCAAAAATAAATCAATTGATGTTTCTGAATTAGAAAAAATCAATTATTTAATAAATTAAGAAGAATAATCTACCCTAAAGGAACTTTTATAATAAGAAGAAAAATAGCAATAACAGGATGAGAAGAATTAAACCAAATAAGAATTGCCTGAAATTCCTTAGCTAAATGAGGAATCATAAATTGAAACTCTAAGACAAGATGAAATTGTGGAGAGCCAAATCTAACAATAGATAGATAATGAAGTCAAACAATAAAGTGAAGATGATGTTGAATAATAATGAACTATTTTGTTTTCTTAACATTTTACATATAATAATATCAAAATTTATTTATTTATTAAATATCTATTTAACAGTCATATGAAAACTAAAGATTAAGTGCTCAAATAAGTATATGAAAGTATTGAATTATTTTATTAAGACGATAATAAAACATTTGGTAAAAAGAATAAGCCAAGAAATGAAGAACCAACTATGTTTGACATTATGAAATGGCCTCGACAGTAGGATGAACCGTGGGATTTTAAAAAGAAAATCTAAGTAGAAAAAGAACCAGAAACCAAAAAGGTTACTGCAAGAATCAATCATGAAAATTAACATTGGCAAACCGAAAATAAAGATAATTTTAGAAAAATTGAAAAATTAAAGGTTGATGATTCCTAAATTTATGTGTAAAGTAAATTAAAAATTAACATCATTTATAGAATTAGATGAAAAAACCATCAAAAACATTGCTAAATCTTGTGAATGTTAAAATAGTAAGGCATAATAAGCAAATTAACCCTAATAATATTAATAATAAGAGGATTTAGATAATCAATATAAATTGCCTTTAAAATGGAATCCAAAGCAATAATCTGCATATAGAGATAACTATTAAGTGAAAGATATAAAGGATTAAAATGAACTTATCTATTAATTAGAACAAAATAATCAAAATTTTAAAGGATAATATAAAGTGGTACATCCATAAGGTGGATTTTATTATGAAGAATCTAAAAAGGAAGAGGAAGATGTAGTAAGTTCTGAAGAAGAAGATGAAGAAGTTAATGATTAATAGAACGATGATTAGGTGAAGAAGATGACAACCAAATTCATCAAGAAAGCGAAGACTTTAGATCCAAATAACCCTGAAGATGCTGAAAAATTGAAAAGAAGATAGGAAAGGATTAAGAAGTTTAATGGTGAGACAAGATGGATAGCAGATTCAGCATTTACAACATACTTTGGTAAACCTGCTTGGGGTCCATATGGGTATAATAATGTCAATCCGACAGTTGGAGGAGTAATATATGGGCAACATCTACTATCGCACAATGTGTAACCTCATAGAAATAGGAACGATCCATATTACATATAGACATATTAGAACGCATTAAGAAAAGGAGCTGCAGTTGCTAATGTAGAACCAGAACCCCCTCGGAATTGCAGAGAAGAGGATAGATTAAATCCAGAATAGGTGGAAGCATTAAAATCAAGGAACCCTTTGACTCCGTAACCATACTAAGACTTAAAGAAGTAATTGGATTCAAAAGGCAAATAAGTTATACCTGAGTTCAGCATTAAAAAACCAGATTTGAGTAACACTCTAAGGTTTGCTTCTGAAGCAGGGAGTGTTTAAGGTGAATAACTTCAATAGGAGAATAAGAAGAGTCAACAAAAGATTAAGAGGCCATAATCAGCTTTGGATAATAGAACATAGAAATCATAAAATGAGAATAAGTCAAAAATAAGCAATGATTAGAAAACAAAGGATTCTAAAAAGAAACTAGACAAGAAAGTTTAAATGCAATCAGAATCAAATTTAAAAGTTGATGATTAATTAGCTATTCCTGATAAGGCAAGCAACAAGTTTATAGAAGAATTAAAATAGAAGAAGGAAAAGGCTAATCGATTGACTTGCAAAGTGAATGAGATAAATCCTTCATTATTGAAAAAATCACCTAGATAGGAGTAGAAGAATTAGATAACAGCTGATCTGTAGGAAGTGAAATCGTTTGATGACAAGTACAATAGATATTAATTAATAGAAATCCACCCCCAAATTATTTGTAATCATTGGACCCAATAGAATTGAATCCTAAAAATTATAAGGGAGTTCCATCTGATTGGTTGCACAGAATCCCATTTGCAGGAAAGAAATAAGAGATCATTAAGAATGGATAATAAACAAAAGAATGCTTTGATTATGGGTTTTGATTATATCATTATATCTTTACAATAAATTTGGTATATAATTTTGGAATCAAATTATAATTCATTAAATGGCAATAAGAATAATTAAAATAAATTCACATTAAAATGGCATCATCATTAAGAATATAATCATTTATTCAAGGAAAAGTCCTCCTCCAACTGTTAAATCCGGACTGCCATATTATCTCCTTCCTAAATTCCTTAGGTTAATTCTGAGTTTATTTATTCCTTAGGGTTATCATTAATCATAATATTATTAATAAACTACTCGGTGACAAATAATAATCCGTAACATTGTCACCTCAACCGCAAAGATCTTAATGTTAATAAAATTCATGATCATCACTCTATAATTTATCCTAAATTATAAATCAAGTCTGGCTTGCCCTGCTTAGTTGTAAAGTACCCCATAATAATTTGTAATATTTTTCAAGTATCTCTAAGTAATATTGAACATCTATTTAATAATAAGTACATCCAAGAGATGTTTAATAACCTTACCCTACTTTATATTAATCACAACCTTAATTAATCTCAACCATAATATTAAAAATAATTAGATTAGCCAGAACCTCAACAAGTTCCATATTCTAAAGACCATTTGAATACTCATAATCCCAATCATAATTTAGACCTTAATAGAATTGTTACAAAGATGATGATTAGAAGAGAAGTTTGAAATACTCTTGATAGAACAAGACATTTAAAGTAAAGAAACTGAAATCCAGAAGTACCAAAATAGTAGATAGAATAGGTATACTAAATATCAATAGTTATGATAATACCCTAATATTAATTGAATAATAACAATAATTGTAGGATTTTACACTTCAATATTCCAATGATTATATAGGCTAAGGATAAGAACTAGCTTCAAGAGAAGGATATGGAGTAATAAAAGTTTAAAATGAGAAAGATATGGAGGTTATTTTAATGATGATATGATTTTTGGAGAAAGAATATATTCAACAATGGATGATGGATGGATTCACTATTAAGAAGAGATATTAATAAAAGATATTTGATTTGAATTATCAATACCCATATTAAAAAAGAAAAGTTTTTTTTCTTGAATATATCATTTATATTAAATTTAAATAATAAATTACCTAATTATACTTATTGCAATTTCAAATAATAATGTCTCATCATTTATAATTGTTGATTAGCTCTATCAATTTAACTTTGGTGAATTCAACTTAATTTCTAATGTATTTTAAGCCTATATCCATAATTATCTTTTAACTTAATAAAATAACAAAATATATCTGTAGTTATCCGAAATTTATAATCTAAGCAATAATAAATGTAGCCATTTCTTGAAAGAAAGGATATTGAAATCATACCTGTTTTTATAAAGCTAGTTTAATGGATATTTAAGTTTGGTATATTACTACTTTCTAACACAAATTATAAATCAAATATCAATTCTTTTTTTTATTTATAGAAAGAGATTTAATGTTTTGTATGGTGGGATTTTCATTCTCAACTTCAAATTCAAAGTTTTTCGAAAGACGATTCTCTTGAAGAAATGATAAGAATGAGTTTTTAGAAATCTTCGATCGATATTAAGGTTTAAAAATCTTTGAGCACAAATATTCCTTAGGGGTTTTTCTCTTTTAAGGATTTATTTGCATCATAGATTTGAGTAAATCGATGATATCCTTATCAACATTTGTATTTAGGATATTATATTTTCCTGAAATGTTGTTTTGAAGTTATGTTTATGGGTCATTTCCAAAAGGATTTTGATTGAATAACCTTAGGATATGAACAAATACAATTACAGATGGTATAAAAGAGTGCCAAGCTGGAAAATATTGGCTTATGGCGAGATCAGGTATTTATTTAAATACTCGGGAGGAATAAATCCTATAGTATTTCCCTTTCTAAACTAATGAGAAATATTTACATAGGTGTTCCTTTATTGCATTCAAAAGTGGAGGATGAGAAATTACAAACTACAATAGAGTTGGATTCCAGAGAGTAATTAATCATATCCAAATTAATTCCATTATGAATAATTTGAAGCTCTTGAAAAATATTTAACACTAACATTTAGATTATTGTATACCAATTAGCAATTGTTCCAAAATCTCAATTACGAAAGAGAGAGGCAAGCCCATTTTTTACATTTTTAAAATCTACTTTAAAGATATTAAGTTTTTGTTTGTGTAGATTAAAGAATAGTAATCACCATCATATGTGATCGATTAAATTTTCATTATGTAAGGACAATTCTAAGCATTCAATAATTAGATGATCCTCACTTCCTCTGGTATGTTGTCTTGACCCAGTTGAGTGTTAAATGAGTTCGACATCTCCAACCTTTAAGAAGTTAAGCTGGAAAAAATTCTTTTCTCAATGTACTGTTTATTTTCTTTGACATTCGTTATTAAATTCAGCTTAGCTTAAGATATTTATATACTTCATATTGTGAATTGGTCTAAATGACCGAATTCTTTATAAAGATATTACTTTTTTAAAAAATGAACTTTCCAGAACAAAAATAATATAACTCGTCCAGTTATTCCGTAGAACCATGAATTTTGTATTCTTCCCCTTAATAAATGAGTCTAAAGTATAGTCCATTAGAGCAAATTCCTTCAATGTAATCATTCCAATCCAATAATACAGTCTCATCGCTCCAATAAACCAATAGTTTGAAACTTAGATTCAAAGGGTCCTATACATTGAAGTTAATAAATACTAATAGCTTGAATCCTAATGGCTCTTGTGTAATGTAAATTTCAGTCTTTCTGCCTTTGGTAAAGTTTAATCCTTCAATTTGATATAGATCGTTTTGATTCATTATAATAGTTAATTAAGATTTAGTGTTTTATATTATGAATTAATTATTTGTTATTTTGAACGATTTAAAATTTATATTACTTGAGTTATGTATTTTTTTATAAATATTGATAACATAAATAATAATTATTAATAAAAAAGCACAATTAATAAAAATAATTAATTTCTGTTATTTTCAACTTCACAACTAGTTTTACTATGGATATTTCCAAAAACAAGTGAATTCAAAAAATTCTTACATCATTTTTACTAGTCTTATTAAATTATTATCATTGCATTTAATTAAACGTTTAAAATTCTGATAAAAAATACAATTAACCTATTAACAGAGTTAGAATTGAGAGTTAAGTAGAAAATAATTACAACAATTCCTATTAACAAATATTGATAATAAACTTTAAATATATATTCAAAAATATGGTGATTGAATTACATTATACCATAATATGAATCGAAGGTCTGTAAAATCAATATGCATAATATTGAATTAAGAAAATAATTATAGAATTTAGGATTAATTCGTTTTTTATATAAATCGTTTTTTAATAATAAGTTTATCAGAAATGAAATACATGATTGTGGTATTGTTAGCCTTAGCAGCTACAAGCTATGCTTCAAAAACATAAGATCAAATCTTAGCACTTTTATAAGTAAATTGAATCAAATATTCGAATAGACTGGAACAAAAGCAAGTGATGCTATTGATACAGTGTTTGGATTGTTGAATGATTTGAAATAATCAAATATTGATGCTTAATTTGCTGCAGACTAAAAGAATGAAACAGATGAATGGATTGGTGCTTAGTATATATAATTAATTAAATATTAGAACAATTGAATAATTCACCAAAATCAAAGCCTTGAATCAAAAATTATTCTAACAAGCAGTTGAAAATAGGGCTGAATATGAATAAGTCTTACAATAAACCAAAAATTATTTGGCTTGGAACGAAGCAAGAAGAGATTCAATTGCAGCTAAAATTGAAACATTACAAGACAATTAATGCTTTAGCAATCAATTATTTGTTAAATCAATCAAACACAATCAAGAAGCCCTTGAAGTCATCAAACTTCTCAAATAAGATGTTGCTGGTTATATTATAAATGGAGATTCATTCGAATTTGCATAAGTTCAAGTTTAATCAGTCGCTGAGAAATTAAAGTAATATAGCAATTTGTTCTAAGAACATCAGATAAAATCATTTTTAGCTTTAGCTTCAGGAGAATAAGTAAATTATTAAATTATTCAAGGAATAATAATCTGGAAGTACATTGGCTGAAAAAGTCTTGGCTGTCCTTGAAGGATTGGAAAGCGAATTAGAAGCTTCATTGGAGAATTTGAAATAGAATGAAATCAACGCATCCTGGGAATTAGCTGGATGGGTTTCATTGTCTGAAGCTGAAATAACAAGTTTGGAAGTAGAATATGAAAGAAAATAAGTATTTGCTGATAGAACTGCTACTGTATAGATTATACATTAAATTAGTAAATCCAAGCTGCCTTGGCCTAATAAGCTAAATCTAAGATTATTCTATAAGAATCCCAAGATGCCTTAGATTAAGCCTAATCTGATTTGGAATCCAAGAGAGCTGATTACGAAGAAGCTAAGGCTAAGAGAAATGAAGAGAATGCCATTTTGGATGAGGTTATCATAATGTTCAAGAAATAAGTTGCTTCATGGTCTGGAAGATGAAATTATTGATAGATATTAAAGAATATATCAATTATTCAACAAATAAATTTCACATATTCATTTCTAGCATTTCAATCTTAATTTTTTCAATTACAGTTTCAACTAAAGACACCATTTCTTATTCAGTAGTTTCTCTTTCTTTTCTATTTCGCTTCAACAATTCAGTAATTCTAAACTACACTTCTCTTAAACTTTCAACTATGTCTTCTTCTTTGGCTTCTCTTTCTTTTCTCTCTCTATGATGATCATTAGTTTCTATAATACCTATCAAATAATTCTCTTAGGTCTGAGATTTACTCCATAAATTGATGATATATTCTTTCTTCAACCTCTCTTCTTTCGTCAATCTCATTCTAAAGATCATCAGCAATTTTAGGTAAGTCTTCATTTAAATAAATATCCACATATTTATGTGATTCTAAAAGTTCAATTCCTTATCTATTAACATCTTAGGATATGAAATCTATTTATTAACTAATTGCATAAGTCAATTTCTTTTCTTAATCTACTCTCTCCTTTTAACTAGTTTCTAATAACCTTTTAGCATGTCTTTCTAAATCAACAATCATTTTCTAAGTTTCCTATTCTTATCTCACTCGACTAAATTTCAAATTATTCATACTTATCATTTTCACTTTCCAAGAATACTTGTAATTCTTTAAATTTATTTGCCAATTAACTAAATACTGCTTCTTTTTATTAAGATGCATTTCTTAAATTAGATTCAAACTGGCCAATCAACTAGGCAATAATGGAAAATCTGCTATTTTTTCTATAATTTATTAATGAAAATTAATTAGTACTCATCCTATACTTAATTTTAAATGTTATTCAATTTCTCAAAAATCCCTGTTACTCTAGTTTATACATTGTCATTCATTTCTTTGAATTATAATATTTATTAACTATTTAACAGAATTTTTTATTAATTTAAATTTTAATTCAATGAATAATTAAATATAAAATAATTTAATTAACTCAAAGAAGCACTACCTAAAGGTTTTTGATTAACATATTCAATATATCAACCTACTTTTAATTTAAGTAAAATAAATTCTATACCTTCTAGTATATAACACCTAAAATTAAACACTAGATTTATCTAAAATAATTGGCAAGTTCTAGTTTTGGAGATTATGCTAAATTTGAATAAACTCATCAGATATGTCAAGATCTCAATGATTTTCTAGGAAAAATATATAAAATATTGAAATATTAAAATACCCATTATTTACTATTAAAAAAATAGAAATATTAAATAATCATTCTTCATTGTTAGCAAGAACAGGAATAGATGTTGTGATCTCCTCTGATTCATTGATGTGTAGCATACTCTTTCTAATTCTATTATCATCCTCTTCAATTTTTTCTAATAGTGGTTAATGTAAAGTCTCTCTTAAAGGGAACAAAAGCAAGGAGCACAAAACCCCAATTAACCCAAATGCAACCATAGGATGAATATTGAGAGTAGCACAAATATTTATTAGAAAAGCTTGAGCTATGCTACCAATTGAACCCCCAGCAGATATCAAACACAAAGCTAAAGATCTCACAACTGAAGGAAACAGTTCAGACACATAGACATATGCCAATGCCCATACGACACAAATCAGAAATCTCATTAACTAATTGAATAATATTAAAATTATACTCCTGCCAATACTCCTTGAAAGATTCTGAATACAATGTGGTCACTTTTGAAGATGAAATAGAGACTCATAATTCCTACAATAAAGAATCCTCCTATAATGTTCTTCTTTCTTTTTAATTTAGTAATAAACAAATCTGACAATAAGAAGATGATATACCTGTTGTTGCATAAGCTAAGAGTTCAAAGAAAGCAATAATGAAATTACTTAAGAAGAAATCAAGGCCTAATTAATCACTAACAAAACTAATCCCATAATATGTAACTTAGATTGCAAAGAACATCATCACTCCAGCTAGAAATACAAATCTAAGAGATTTATATTTCAATAAATCCCAGATTGAATAAACTCTGGAATTGTTCTCCTTACTTTATGGGTTCGTAGCCAAATCATTCATAGCTAGGGGTTGGGTGCCATTTATTTTTGCAATTTAATTAAGAATCTTGACACATTTCTTCTTATTTTTTGAGTATAGAAATTGAGGAGATTCAAAAATCCAAAAGTTACACAGGTTTAATAAAACAGTAGGCAAAGCAACTGCAATGGCCAACCACCTCCACTTAGACACAAAATATGCCAAAGCTATTATAGTGAATTCACCAACAGCAAAGAACACCTAAACTCCAACATTCTATATTTCTCTAAAATGTCCTTCTAATTAATAATTATTGAAGTATTTACATGAATGTTCATTAATAAATGAATAATGTACTGTAATTGCTGGATTACCTCCAAAACCTAATAAAAATATTCCTATAGCAATCATTGAATAGTTCATGGCAAACTTAAACATAATGTAATAAAATACTGCAAGCAACAGTGATCCCACTGTAGTCATACCCCAAGAAATAGATAATGCCAACTTACGGCCATAATTATCAGCTATAAAGGAGAATACAAAAAATCCAGACAAGGATCCAATATAAACAATAGATTTAATTATGGATTGTAAAGATTTGTTACAAGGTAATAGAGCATTAAAGGCTGTATTTAATGATTCACCAACAACAAAGTCTCTTCGTTAAGAGTCATCCTAAATTGATCAAATATTGTACGCAAACATAGGTAAGACATTTTTCATCTAAGGAATCAGATGTACATTAGCTCAGACATTCAGGATTATCCTTACAATCAATCGTAGGTTCGATAAAAAAGAAAACAGGAGAAAACAATATCCAACTATAATGTGGAATTCTGTAACATACTTAGTAATCAACCACTGCAATCCAAATATTAAAAATGCTCTTTTTTAATATAATCCAGCACCTCCAACTTGCGTTAACGCTTCATCATATGTCAACTATTTCAAATCAGCAGAATCATTTTATGTACTTTATTCATGCACAAGCATTTAATAATTAAAATAATTGTAATTATCTTACAATATCTGAGACTAATCTCAAAATTGCGTAATTATGTTCGTAATGATAAAATCATAAAATAAAGTAATCAATTTAAATAATTATTACGCATCAATAAACAATAAACACAGCCAATCAAAAAACAGATTAATAAATATATACAATCATATTACAATAATATTAATTATATTAAGACACGATTCCATTAATGTGCAATCACTGACGAAATCAAATATCCTACAATTTAATCTCAAAATTAGTATTCTTTAATTTTCTTATTAATATTTATTTTAAGTAATTTAATTATTCTGCTTATACGTTTTATTAAACTTCGGTTAACATCCTATTTTAATATTCCATTAATATAATATTTCATATTTTAATTTTTAACAATTATTTTTCAAAATTAAAATTAATTATTTACCTGAATGTATTAACCAAGAAGGTTATCTCCTGCATCCTCCAGTCCACTTTATAGAAATGTTAATGTTAATCTCTAATGTATTAATTCATTAATCAGTTTAGAATAAAATTAAATTAAATTATAACTAAAATAAATCACTCCCACTAATAATATTACTCCTTATGTTTAGATCATATCATAAAACCATCATAAACAAAATACTTACAACTCCTACGAAAACAATTCTAGACAAGTGTCCAAAGAAAGAGAAAGTACATAATCCAATCAATCCAAAGATTAAATACTCAATCAATACTAACTTGAATCATTGTTTTAACATTAAACCTAATCCTTGATATAAAAAAATGATATCAATTAGGTCTACTCATATATTGATACCGTAATTAAGACCTAAAAATCAGAAATATTCAAAGTATTAGATCATCAAAATAAACAAATAGAATTTTTGTAATAAATTATTTTAAATTAAACCCAATATCAGCAAAATGCCTCATCATAATTTCTATAGTTACAAACTTAGTTAGAAGAAAAACTTTCAAACTTTATTAATAAATAAATTAAAGACCTTTCAACTCGATTATAAAATAATAATAAAAACGAACTTGAAACAATCAATAATTAATTAGAAAAGCTTAGAGCATAAATATTTTAAATTAATATAACCAACAGCAAACTTATAACTGATAAACTATAATCTTCTTACGCCAATGATACTGAAAATTAAATGATTCATCACTCATAAAGTCATAAACCCTTTCTAACCGATAATCAATCTCATAATATGGATTAAAATATCAAAATTATGAAAAATAACTATCTAATTGATAGAGATTATTCAACTCAACAACACAATCCTTTAAACGATATTACTAATATTTAAATTAAATATATCAAAAGTTTGCAATAAAGTTTGCAAAACTCAAAACTCTCTAAATGTTCTTCAAATAATAATAACAAATAACAAGAAGGTTCTCCTATTGAACTCTTTAACGACCAGAACATTCTAGACAGTCTAGATAATATTAAGGTATTTGATCCTTAACAACATCCTGATCATCCATCAGATTCTACTAACAATTATAACTCCATGGATTTATCATAAGCAAGAATGTCCACTATCTAAGAAAACGAAAATGAAGAGGATGAATGTGTTTATTAAATAGTTGAAAATCATTAACAGCAGGCTAGAATCGAAAATACTAAGAAATAGAAGGATCAACTCAAAATTAAATAATGCAAAAGCAAGACATTATATTATTGAAAAATTAAATCTTTTAAACCATTAATATTTTCATATTATTTTCTACATTGTAAATAAAAGTGCAGAGAATCCTTCTCTTAAAACTCAAATGATTTATTGTTTTTAAATGACATAGTTTTGTCTATTTCTTTTGAAAAAAGATGTCTTTCAAGAATAAATTTCAGTTTGAAAAGTTTCCAAATTAACAAATCCAACATTATTGAAGAATGAAGAAGAAATTTTATAGTATATATTGCTATGATTGTTCTATTAATGTTATTTATCTATTAATTATTTAAATTCAAATACAATAATTGCGAAACGTAGATTATGAACATCCTTTTTCTTTTATTTTAATTTTATTATTTATAAATTGATTATCTCTCTTTATTTATTCTCAAATGAAAGTATTACGCTTTTCTATCAATATGTTTCAATTCTTTTATTTTTCTAATGTTGTGAATTTATATGTTCTCAATCATTCCGTTTACACTTCATATGAGCTTTAATAAAAGACTAACATATTCAGGGCTTTCAGAGATTAAATTCTTCCTTATATTTGAAAAAAATTGCTCCATCAAAGTAAGAAGTTATTGTTCATCATTATTTATTAATCTTACATCTTTATAACAGCGTCTAAAATTTACTTTATATGATATCTTGTACTCATTTTATTTGCAGTTGTAATTTGAATTAACAAAACATAATGATATAAGAATTAGATTTATAGGCATAAGTGAGATTGTTTTATTAAATTCAAATTCTGTTATTTTTCTCCAAATTTATATTATTATTTTATATTAGTGGATCATTTATTTTGTGGCTTGACCTTTAGTATTCTTGATGAAATGTTGAAATTGAACTTCCAAGTTGTTTTTTATTAGGATGATAATAGTTAATGCACCTGTTAAGTATGGAGGTCTGATGTTCTTTTATAAACAATGAAATCTCTTAATTACTCAGATATTGACCTTGTGATTAATTATCATAGCTAAATCTGAGGAGTTGATGGCTACATATCTGAATCTAGAAATTTTGCTTTAGAGTGCTTTGGTTGGGTTAACAAATTGAAAATTTTGTGTGCTATCTTCATGGATTAACCCCTCAGTAAATAGACTAGCACTCGATTCAATCTGTGTTTTAGGTCTAACAATAAGATGTTACATTTTCATCCATTTAATAATTATCAATATTGAAGCAATTTACATCACAATAATCTTTCTATTTATAACCTGTTTTCCTTAACAAAAAGTTTGGACCAATATAAACCTCACTTACTTACTTTACATATCAATAGTTAGTTCTCAAAATATTTAAACCTTTTGCAAATGATTTTATAATTAAAAATAACTATCATTAATTTAAAAATATATTTAAAAAATATAGTAAATATTATCTCTAACTTTTTCAAATTATAATTTCACTATTCATATTAAATGACTTCATTTTTGGGTTCTCCATTCTGATACACATTCCATCTACCTATTTTATTCCCATTTTTGTATTCACCTGAGTATGTGACTATATTTACATATTAAAAACTATTTTCCAAATCCATCCATTTACAATTCTTTAATCCATCATCATCATAAAATCCTCCTCCGCTATTAAATATTATAAGTTAAAGATTTATTACATTTATTCCCAAGTTTTATTCTACTACCGATAATTTATTCCCCACTTTCCAAATTTTTATCCATTTTTGTATTCTCCATTATATGTAACCAGATACTCTCTAGAAAATTAATTACCATTATACTCATTAAAGGCATCAAAAATATCGATCCACTTGCCTGTCTTCAAACCATATTAATCATATGATCCTTAACAACTAAGAATTTAAGAAGAAGAGTGTTATACATCTATTCTTTGTTAAAAAAAACATTCCATTAACCAACTTTTAAACCATTTTTATAAACACCATTATAAGTGACTTCATAATTACTAAAAGAATAATGATTAAAATTAAAAAATAAATTACCAATTAAATTGAACATTTAAATCAACCCATCTACCAGTTTTAATCCCTTATTCGTCATATAAACCTCCACCACTATAATATCTATGTCTAAATACAAGTATTAATTCTCATAACAATCATTCCATATTCCAACTTTTGAACCATTTTTATATTACTCCATTGTGAGTGACTAAACATTAACTAAAAATAAGATAAATCTTTTCAAAACTTCTTACATATTATACTAATCG